AGGGCTTATAACCTAATAACTAGCTAATAGTATTACTTATAATAAACCTTTAAATTATTTATATATAGCAAGCGGTAAGTCATAAGAAAACCTTAACCGTCACGTGCTGCGCTAGTCCTAATCGGGATAGGCGCGTCCCGGGCGCCGGCCCTCCGGGCGTCCGACAGCTAATATTTTTTATTTTACTTTTTTTACTTTTACAAGTGTTTTTACTAACTATATTTTTTATTTTTAAGTAAACCTTACTTTAACCTTTTTTACTTTTATAAGCAAGGACTATAATAAAGCAAGGACTATAATATACCTTTTTTTTAGCTAAAGCTTGTTTATCCTTACTTTATTTTATTTTTCTTTATTTTTTTAATAAGTAAAGTTTTTTTATTTTTTTATTTAATTTATTCTTATTTTTTTATTCTAGTAAGTAATATAACTTATTACCTTTATTAAATAAGCTCCCTTTTCTTTTTTTTTTTAAGCGAGTTTGTTAAACAAGCTCCCTTTTTTCTTTTTTTTAAGTAAGTTTTTTTAATAAGCAAGGCTTAGCTTATGTCTCTCCTAAATAAAGCCTTTTTATTTTTACTTTAGTAAGAAAGAGTTGCAACACAACTTCCCCTTTATTTATAATTTTTTTTAATAATAAAGGAACTAAGGGTAGTCTAAAGGCAGGATTATGCTAATATTATTAATAAAAAAAATAAAAAATAAAAAAAAATAAAAAAAGTTATATAAAATATTACTAAAAGTAATATAATTACTATAATTATTTTTTAATATATTAAATATATAATAATAATAGTAATAACTATAACCGCCTGTAAACGCGGGTAGTAAATAATAAAATAAATTTAAATAACCTAAAGGTAGGGAGAAAGCTTGTAATTATATTAAATAAATAAATTAAAAATTTTAAGATTTATAGTTTTTTTTTAAAAAAAACATAAGTTTTTAACCTTAGTATATTTTTTATTATTTATATAATAAATAGGTTATTCAAGCATAAGAAATATTTATATAATTTTAATTTTAATAAAAATTTTAAGGTAAAAAAAATACCTATTAACCTAATTATATAAATTTACGCGTATAAAAAGTACTAGTTCCCTATATATTATAAATAAATAATTTTATATAATAAAAACCTAGTATTTATTAAAATATAAAAATTAAAAAATATAGTTTTACTAGGTATATTAAACTTAAATTTTATATTTAGCTTTATTACCGGGCCAAGACTATACCCTATTAAAATTATTAAAGTAAATAATACTTAATTATTATTTTTAATTATTACTATAAGTTACTATATTTTAAATATTTTTATTTATATTATTTCCCTAGGAAAAGGCCTAATAATATAAGTAATAAAAAAAATAAATTATAATAAGTTTACTTAGGCAGCGGGAGGAAGCTATTTATATTTATTATTTTTTAATAATTTTACTACCCATGGCTTTTGTTAAACAGCAAACCAAGATTTATTAAATTTATTATTAAAAATAAACCTTTTATTAATATTTAAGGGCCTTAATATAGCAAGAATAAGGGCTTATTAACTTTAAGCTATAGTAAATTAAAACCTCCTAGTAATAAAAACTAAAAAAATAAAAAAGTATTAAAAATTAAGATTAATTACTAAAAGCGCCCTAATATTATATATAAATAAAAATTTAAAGTTAAAATTAATTAATAAGTTTAAGCTAATTATTATAAAGTTAAAAAATAATACTAACACGGAAAACTTAAAAAATAACTTTAACTTTAATAATAACTTTAAAAATAAGATTTTTAATAAAAATACTATAAATAATAATAATAGTTAGCCTAATAGCTTTTAAATATTTAAGGTAAATGCCTCTTGCTTTTAGGTATTTAAAATAAATAACTTAAAAGTAAAAATATTTAGCCACCTTAGCCGCTTTTAAGGGAAAAAATTATTAATATTTTAAAAAAAAACTATAAAAAGCCGTGGATTTATAAAGTCCTTAAAAAAATACCGCGGCCTAAACAAAGCAAAAAAATATTTAAAAAATATTAAGCCCTCTGCCGCCGCGACCACTAATATATTATTTACTAATAGTTAAAAATTATTAAATTCTTTTGCCCCTTAAGCACCTATATTAAATTTTTTTACCTTTTAAGTGCCTATATTAAATTTTTTTACCCCTTAAGTGCCTATATTAAATTTTTTTACCCCTTAAGCGCCTATATTAAATCCTTTTGCCCTTTAAAATAAAGTTATTAGCCCTTTATATAAGCTAGCTAGTATATTTAGTTTAGGCTTATAATAAAGCCTAAGTTTTTACTTATAATTACTAAAAATTATAAAGCCTTTATTTATGTAAAGTTAGCATATAAATTAATAAAAAAATATATTAATTTCTTTTATTATTTTAATAATAATAATATTAGTAACTAAGTAAAAAAGGTAAAGGCTTAAAAAAGCACTAAATCTTATTTTTATTAAATTTAATAAACTAACTTCTTTTTTTAGCTAAAAACTAGTTAATAAATTAAAAAAAGTGCTAAATCTAAACCCCATAGCTAGTAGGTTATTAAAACTAACTAAAAACCTTACTAGCCCTGTAATATTAGTAAAGGTAAATACTTTTAAAAAAAGTGTAAATACTAGTTTTACTCCTAATAAGTATTTTATTAATAATAAAACTTTTATTATTTATTTAACTTTATTATTCTTGCTCCAGTAAACATTACTTAAAACTTTATTTATTATTTATTTAACTTTATTATTTTTAGCCCGTGCTCTAGCTAGTAACCTTAATTTATTATTAATTAACTATAATATAATATTAAACATACTAAAAAAAATATTTTATTATTTATAAGGCTGTATAAGCTTTTTTAAAAGCTTAAATACAAGCTTTACTAAAGGCCCAAAAGCAAATTATTATTAATATAGCTTATTAAATAAAAAATTAGGTTCTGGAGGTTTTTATAAATATACTATATTTGATATTAAAAAGGTTAAAATAAAATTAAAAGTCTTTACTTTTTATTAGCAAATTATAACCACCTTTATTTATATTTACTTTTTTTTATTTTTACTTTACTTTTAAAGCTTTTAATATTTTTATTTCTATTACTTTAATATTATTATGTTAGCTAAACTTAAAAAGCTTTTATATTTTTTTTATTATTTATAGTATTTACTTAAACCCCCAAGCGTTTTTTTTTATTTATGCCTTTTTTTTATTAATAAATAAGGGTGTTTGCCTTCTTTTATATAAGGGACTTGTTAATATTAGTTATTAATAATAAATTAATACTACTATTAGGCACCGCCCTGACACCCTTTCCTTTATTAAACGTAGCTAGTTTTTTACAAAAGAATTAATAAACTAATGAATCCTCTTTCAAAGCATCTCCCGATAACAAAAACTAAATATAAAAAGCTTATTAACTAAATTAAAAAGGTAAGTACATAGTAAAATATAAAAAAAATAAATAAAAAGCTAATATAATAATATATTAATAATTAAAATAAAATAATTATATATTATAAATAGCTATTAAAGGTATTAAAAAAAGTATAAAAATAAAAAAAATTTAGTTATTTAAAGCTTAAAGCTTTATTATAAAAATTAAGTATAAAATAAAATAAAATATACAAGCTTAATAATATTAATATATAATTAATATTACTAAAATAAATAATATAATACTTAAAAAGCATAAAAAAGGGTAAATATAGGGTATTTTAACCCTAAAAATATAATTAAATAATTAAAAAGTAATAAAAATATAATAAAAAGATATATACTTATAATAAGTATTTTTAATTAAGTTATAAAAAAAACTTAAAAAAAAATTACAAGGGTACTTTAATATTAAAACTAAAATATTATACCTAGCTATTACAGGCAGTAATATTATATTTAAATTTAAAAATAAAATAAGGTAATTAAATTAAGTTTTTTATACCTAACTTTAAATATAAATTATATATAAACTATAATATTTTATAAACCTAAAAATAGCTTATTTTATAGCGCTTAATAAAATTTATAATTTAAATTATATTTTATAAAGTATAAATATAAATTTATAAATTACAAGGGCGTAATTACTTAAAAAAATATTATTATTATTATTATAATATTATAATTATATAATATTATAATAATATAATCTAGTGGCTTAAGGCTGCTAAGTAAAAAAACTTTAATATTAAACTAATTATATATTAAGGTAGCAGCTAGTTATATAATATATAAAATACTAAGTTTAACTTAAGACTTTAACTTAAAAAATTAGTAATTAGTTCCTACTATAAATACACAATGCTTTTTTTATTATAGTAATTTATGTTTTCCTAAGCTCACCGCAGTATACAAACGCGACTCATAAAAAGCAAGATATATAAAATATTTAGTAAAAATTAAAAGTAGTATAGCTTCACGCCTAGCGTAGGATATTTAAAAAGTAAAGGTAAAAGTAAATAAAATATAAAAGCTTTTAAAAAGTAACTATAGGAGGTCCCTAATAATTAAAAAATATATTTATTAAAGTTTTTAAATAATAAATAGCAATATTTAAAAAAAGTTATTATTTAATTTAAAACATGCTATTATTATAACCGTGTATAGCGTGATAAATTAAAAAGTAGTTAATTTTTTTTATTTACGCTATCCCTGGCTAACTAAGAATAGGCTTTGCGTAAGCGGTGGCCAGTGGCAGAATGTGTATGTGTAGCCGCGGAGCGGTTACAATAAGTAAAAAAACGGTTTATAAGCTTTTTAAATACTAAAAATTCCTTAGTTAGCATCTCTTGGCCTGGCTTAATTACAGATCCTAATTAAGTTATTAAGTAAGCTACTTAACTTATTACAATAGATATGCTACTATTGTTAAGCAGTAATAATTTTAGAAAAAAAATTAGTTAATTTTTCTTTAAAAATAAGCTAGCTAGCTAGATAGTAATATGGACTAAGGGCGGTAGCGAACATCAGTATGGTGCTGCCACGGTTGTCACAACGTGACAGCTACACATCTGCATCAATATCCATAACATCCTCGCTCCAAGCGTCCCTGTGGTTCGCATGGTCCTTGTCACGAACATTATTCTGGGATGTATATCCAGAATCATTTTTCTGCTGCATACCGCCTTGAAGCTTGTGAAGACCCGACCTAGCTCTTTCTCTGGTCTCTATTAAAGCTCGTCGCACCTGATCCTTATCTTTTGGAATTGAGAGCGATTCAGGCTCCCTGTAGAGAACTATCTCGTTGCACGGGGATTTGCTATTATCTGCTACCAGCATTTTTGTCATTGATAGCCTGCCTTCTAGCCCGGGTAGGATTGTCAGAGCACCCTCAAGAGCCTCAGCCTCTGCCAATTCCTGCTCAAGATCATGGATATAAAGAGTGGTTGCTGTGTCATCCAGTAACATCGCGTCGTTGTGTCTTTGTAATGTATTTGGTAGACGTCGAGCTTGCTCCGACCGGCCACTAAGCAGATGAAGCGTTGCAAGAGGCCCTAAGAGGGTTTAATAAATCAGCATCGGGTGCCGTCTAATCTAGATTTGATACAACCCTTGTTGCTGCGTACCTATCTGTAGCTGACCGAACTTTTTCGTTAGAGGTTGACCATCAAGCTCCCCGTCGGCGGGGCGTTTCCTTCCGTGGACTGCAACATCGGACTGATGCGCCATCCCTTCAAGAGTACAGCAGGAGGAACGAGGTCTTATCAAAGAGCGAGCGACGCACTTTCATACTATTTTCAACGATCGGACAGAAGCGCAAGGGCCTGTGATTATATCTGAGCGGATGGCTTGATGCTCGTAGCGAGGTTCTCGAAGACTTTATGGGGTTTGACTCATCCCCCCCTCCTCAGATCAAACACTAGAACATTCGATAAATTTCACACCCTCAACCCCTCGGTCCCCTCCTCACCCATCCCACATCCGATAACGAGCAAACTACAACTCGCCATGGCCTCGACCGTCCCAGACCAGCCAACATGGACATCCAAACTTGTTCGCGATACTTTTCTCCAATACTTTCAGAAGCATGGCCATACGTTCGGTATGTTTCGGGCGACTGCAAGAAAAGGTCATAGACTGACTTGCCTTTAATAGTTGCTTCATCCCCTGTCGCCCCCCTATCTGATCCTACTCTGCTATTCACGAATGCGGGCATGAATCAGTTCAAGTCAATCTTTTTGGGTACAGTGAATCCAAATTCAGATTTTGCGCAACTGAAGAGTGCCGTCAACTCCCAAAAAGTCTAAGGCCCGACTCGTACCTCCTTGGACAGTTGTTAACATAATCACAGTGCATTCGCGCAGGAGGAAAACATAATGTTTGTTTGCGCCGTATACAACCACGGCAAGGACTGGCTAACCCTTGTCATGCAGGACTTGGATGATGTTGGGAAAGATAGCTACCACCATGTATGGCGTATCTCTTTTCTGACTCGGGATACTCACCGCTAGCCTGACTGACTGTTTGCACAGACATTCTTTGAAATGCTTGGTAACTGGAGCTTTGGCGACTATTTCAAGAAGGAGGCCATTCATTATTCCTGGGAGTTGCTGACGCAGGTGTATGGACTCGACCCCGGTCGTCTATACGTGACCTACTTCGAAGGAAATAAAGAAGGTGGCTTAGAACCCGACTTGGAAGCCAAGGCGCTCTGGAAAGCCGCGGGTGTCCCCGAAGATCATATCCTACCCGGAAACATGAAGGATAATTTCTGGGAGATGGGAGATCAAGGCCCATGTGGACCTTGTAGCGAAATCCACTATGACCGGATTGGCGGACGTAATGCCGCCTTTCTTGTTAACCAGGACGACCCGAACGTATTGGAAATCTGGAACAATGTCTTCATTCAATATAACCGCGAAACCGATGGGTCCTTGCGCTCGTTGCCGAACAAACATGTGGACACTGGAATGGGTTTCGAGCGGCTTGTGTCTGTTCTGCAGGACAAATCGTCAAATTACGACACTGATGTATTCGGTCCGATATTTGAAACTATTCAGAACATCACTGGGGCACGTGAATATCAGGGCCGTTTCGGAACGGATGATGTAGATGGGATTGACACTGCTTACCGCGTGATCGCAGACCACGTCCGAACTTTGATGTTCGCGATATCAGACGGTGTGGTGCCAAATAACGAGGGTCGCGGCTATGTCATTCGCCGTGTACTGCGTAGGGGTGCACGGTACGCCCGGAAATATTTCCAGGTTGAAATTGGAAGCTTCTTCTCGAAAATAGTGCCTACCGTTGTGAACCAGCTCGGCGACATGTTTCCGGAGCTGAAGCAAAAGCAACAGGATGTCATGGAAATATTAGACGAGGAGGAAATATCCTTCGCAAAAACGTTAGATCGTGGAGAGCGTCAGTTTGAGCAGTATGCTCATCAGGCCAAGGCTACAGGGGATCACAAATTGCACGGAGCAGATGTTTGGAGACTCTATGACACCTTTGGTTTCCCAGTCGATTTGACCCGCATCATGGCCGAAGAGCGTGGTCTCGATATAGATGATCGCCAGTTCGAGGAGGCTCGTGCAAAGGCCAAGGAGGCTAGCAAAGGCCAGAAGAAAACAACGACTGGAAGCGTTAAACTTGACGTTCATGACTTGGGGAAACTTGAAAGGATGAACAATGTGCCCAAAACTGATGACAGTGCCAAATTCGAGAAAGGAAATGTCACCGCTCAAATCAAGGCTATCTATCACGCAAAATCTTTCCATACGTCTACTCAAAGCATACCCGGATCAGAGCAAGTTGGCGTTATCCTCGATCGCACCAACTTCTACGCTGAACAAGGTGGACAGGAAAATGATACAGGACGAATCATCATCGATGGGCAAGCTGAGCTTGATGTTGTGGATGTCCAGCTGTATGCTGGTTACGTCCTACACACGGGCTACATGAAGTATGGCTCTTTCACCGTCGACGATACCGTCATCTGCGAATACGATGAGCTCCGGCGGTGGCCCATCAGGAATAATCATACCGGAACACACATTCTGAACTTTGCCTTGAGAGAGGTCTTGGGAGACGGTATCGAGCAGAAGGGTTCTCTTGTTTCCTCGGAAAAATTAAGATTTGATTTCTCTCATAAATCGCCCATCGCGGATGCGGACTTGGCCAAAATCGAGGAATTGTCAACTAAATATATTCGACGCAATTGCTTGGTGTACTCTAAGGAGGTCCCCCTTGCAGTCGCCCGAAACATTGCGGGCGTGAGGGCTGTGTTTGGCGAGACTTATCCTGATCCTGTCCGTGTCGTTTCTGTGGGAGCTGAATTGGATGAAATCTTGAAGAACGTCGGAGACCCGCGGTGGGCAGAGGTCAGCATCGAATTCTGTGGTGGTACCCATGTGCAAAAGACAGGGGATATCAAGGAGTTGGTCATCCTGGAAGAAAGTGGAATCGCAAAAGGTATTCGCAGAATCATTGCTGTCACTGGGGAAGACGCCTACGAAGTGCAGCGTATCGCAGCTGAGTTTGAGAAGCGTCTGGACCACCTCGAGGCAATGCCCTCTGGACCCGCCAAAGAACAGAATGCGAAACAGATCCAGGTCGAGCTTAACCAGCTGTCGATATCTGCAATACGGAAATCAAAATTCCGCGAGCGTTTCACACAAATCAACAAAAAGATCATTGACGAGCAGAAAGCACAACAGAAACTCGAGTCCAAGAAGGCCGTCGAGAGCATCACCTCGTATTTCGCGGCTCCGGAAAATGCGGACAAGTCCTGGCTTATTGCTAAGCTTCCGATATCCGCAAACTCAAAGGCTGTCAGTGAATCTCTGACTTATGTGAAAACGAAGCTCGCGGATAAGATGGTATATGTCCTTGCTCCCAGTGTTGAAGACGGTCGTGTAGCGCACGGGTGTCACGTCCCGAAGGTTAGCTACCCTACACCTCTTGTGCCCCTCTTGTGAGTTATCTAACAAGTTGATCTACAGGCGGTTAGTGACCAGGGTGCGTCTGCCAGTGAATGGTCCACCGCTGTTTCGAGAGCGGTTGGGGGCAAAGCCGGAGGCAAAGGCCCTACTTCTATTGGTAACGGTGTCAATCCTGAAAAGGTTGATGATGCCATAGACTTGGCTTCGGAATACCTTAGCAGATTCAAGCTGTAGTCTCGGTAATGACTTGGCATGTCAGAATAGATTTTTTCTATACTTTACACGAAATGAAAAGTTTTCTATATGAAGCTTCTTCTCTCTACATCTCCCCGCACTGAATGATGGTGACATCTTGATTTGGTTTGTCCCTCGTGGTGCGGGTATTCTCAATCATTCGCACGATGTCTACTCCATCAACTACTTGACCAAAGACAACATGTTTGTCGTTTAGAAACGGAGTCGCAGTCGTCGTGATGAAGAACTGGCAGCCGTTTGTATTCGGTCCAGAATTCTAGCAGTATCAGTTGTTTTGTCGACTCCAATTTGAAGCAGGGACGCTTACAGCCATGCTCAGTAACCCTGGACGATCATGGCGGAGAGCGAAATTCTCATCTGGGAACTTCGGGGTGCCATAGATGGTACACGAGCCTGTGCCATCGCCATTGATGAAGTCACCCCCTTGGATCATAAAGTCCTTGATCTATACCGGGAGAGCAAAGCTTAAAATCCGCATTTGAGCCCTTCGAGAACTGTGGAATACTTACTACTCTGTGGAATCTACTGCCTTTGTAGCCCTGAGGTCGGCCTTGTTGGTTCTTGCTCTCTCCGGTGCAGAACTGACGGAAGTTTTCAGCAGTTCGAGGAGTCACATCCGCGAAGAGTTCCAATTTCAGACGACCCAACGGCTCACCTGTAGAGAAGCCTGGTTATTAGCTGGCTCCCTGATGCATGCGATGTTTCGACCAGCTCCAGTCCCCGTACGATCCGACACCCTTACTAGCAATATACATGGATTTTGGGCAAGGAAGTATACGACTGAGAGGAAAGAATATGCGGGTAGACCTACCACCGAGAGCAACATCAAAGAACACGATTGGGTTGCTGGTAGTATTGTTACTCATTTTTGGGCCCTCCGTCAAAGTTGAGAGGTGATTTCAGACAAAAGAATATAAGCACTCTGCCCAGCGTAGTCTTACGGAGTTCTCTTCCAGGTCCCAGCCAGTCGGATTCCGGGCCGAATTTCCTGTGAGAGCATAGCTCTTTTCGCCGGCGGAGTTCGGACAGGGCCCAGAGTCTTGGACCCTGGCCTAAAACTTGGCACAAGGAGATCGTCCCGTGATCGAGGACATCTCTTATCGACCCTTGGAAGGCGGAAACCCTCCTCCTTTTCATGAACCTAACTCCATTACCAGCATATGATTGCCAACCTGCTGAAACCGCGCATATTGGATCAGGCCAGGGCCGTTGCAGCTCCGATAGCAGCTGCTCTTAGTAATGCGCCATCAAGTGCTCGTTACTCGGTGTTCCTTTACCTGCTCTCTTGCTCTCTTGATCTCGATGAACTGAACTGTGACTGCCGATATCATCTCTTGGGGCTTTCTGTCTTGGCTGTCAATCACCACATATTGGAGAGGTGAATTGGAGACGCCAGTCCCGTTACTAAGAACCACCACATCTCGTCAACGCCCTTTTGCTTATCCCCGAACCTTTGAGCCCCGGGCGAATCCGGTCATCGAGATGTCCTCAACAACAGGCTCCTCCTCACAGCCCACTGGCGACAGTTCTAACAGTGATGGCAGCTCAAGCCCCACTAGTTCTCCGCTACTATTTTTTGTTGCACTTGGCTTTGGGGTCGTCTTCACAAACCTATGGTATGTTCTCAGAGCCTATGCCATTCAAGTAATAATATTCATAATAAACTGTAGGATTATTGTTGGTGTGAAGTACTGCTTCAGATATAATCAGCGAAACCGCCAGTTGCGCAGCGAAGAGACTGGCGAACCGATAGACTTGGTCGCCATGCCACGAACTCATCGGAGGAGAAGGGAAAAGAAATTGATGACCATGGACGAAGTAAACGAACGATTCCCGCTTACCAAGTATAAGCTGTGGAGGTCTTCACGGGCAAATGCGGGACTATCAATTGCTGGCGGTATATCCGCCCCTGATACTGGGCACGTTCATGAAACCCAACAAGACGATCAACAGTCCCTCCCAGACGGCGCTGCATCGCCCTTGGCTGCGTCTGGTATTAAATCCCACGGGAAAGTCGAGTCAACAACGTCCCAGCCACCAACGTTTGTTGATGATGGTGACCCATCCCAACAAGCGGAAGAGAAGAGTCTCAAGGATTTCACACAGCCTAGCCACGCGCCCCCTAGGGCCAGTTTGGATCGAAACGATACGCAGGACAGGAAGCAGGCTGATTATACAACCATTCAAGATGATGTTGATATCCTCTTCCCCACCACGGTTGAAACGGATCTTGCCGCAAGCCCTGGAGATTCATGTGCGATTTGTCTGGATATCATTGAAGACGACGACGATATACGCGGTCTCTCATGTGGTCATGCCTTTCACGCCTCGTGTGTCGACCCGTGGCTTACAAGTCGACGAGCCTCATGTCCGCTGTGCAAGGCAGATTATTATACACCCAAGCCTCGCCTTGAGCCCACCGACCCATCCTTCACAAACGACCGTCGCCGCGCGGCCCGCCGGGTGTCAGTACCAAATCAACCACCGGCTGTTTTTATCAGAGGAATCAACCCATTTCGGGCACACGTGACATTCTCTGGACAGTCCTTGCAAAGGGCCTCTGATCCTGTTGTCGGAGAACCTCGACGTACAGGCCACAGTTTCTGGGGGCGACCTCTTTTCAGGCGAGAAACAACTACTGACCAAGGTCGTTCCGGAGACGAAAGCCGGAACTCAACAATGTTCTCACGATTTCTCAGTTTCCGCAACCTACCCAGGGACAGAGGTCATGCTTCTGCAACCTCCACTGACATCTCACGCCTCAATGACCCGCGAACACCAAGCCAGCTGGAGGCTGGGCAAGCTCAGTAATTCCACTTGAGGATCTTTGGACCGTGTTCTAGTGTTCTACCCGTACATTGACATCTGGAATGTTTTTGGCGGTATCTCAGTCACTGGTTATGATGCATCCATAAGCGCTCTTGGCTTTTCATAAACGACATCTTATTTGACCGGAGTTCTATAGCGTCGTTATTGTTTGGCCTACAAATTTGTGGGCAGTTTTTTGTTGATATCACCACCATATGGGAATTGTTTGATAGGCGTATGGTTTTCTTAAGGTCATGTATTGCCGTTCGCAGATTTGTTCCTTATATCTGCACTCTTATCTTTAGCAATATGAAGAATGTTGCTGGGATTGAGGGTGCCCGGTGCAATCTGGCCTGCACAAAAGGATTGCAGAATATCGAAGTGTGTTTTATATTTTGCTAACAAGCCCAGGGACCGTGGTCTTTTATCCGCACTGTCAAAGTGGACCCATAAAAAACCTCTTTGACCTGCTCATGGGAAGATTTATTGAATTCGTAATTGGGCTTCTTTCTGCTCTGTATTCGAATTCCGGCACATTAACCGAAAATGGTCCAGGCGTTAGAGGCCAACACCCTCCTAACGGCCGTCCATTGTCCAGAGGAGCGGCTACGGAGGACGTACATGATTCTAAGCATGAGCTACAGTATCCAGCGATGGATTTGAGAAATCATTTTTATACATGGAGCGCGACGGTTGTCCCTACCTGAAGACATTCAAGCTAAAACCATGGCATTGCAGGGTTCTGTCTGCAACTCTATGAATATGTACACATTAGCCACAGCTGCCGAGTATAGTGAACGCTCATTTACCCCCAAGAGGCTGTTGTTGGAAGAAAAACACGTCTTTGAGGTGCATAGTGACAGATACCCACTCCGAGGCCACTGGGTCGTACTCGGCATCCACCTCGACCCTGCAGAAACCGAGTGAGCCCCTTAGGCCCACAGGCCCACGAATGGAGAACGTTCCCTGGCGATGAGCACGCGAGTTCATTTCTAGGCATTGGTTTATTTTAGCCTTGAACGCCAGCGAAGCTGCGTGAAAATCCGAACCAGGGCTGAACTTTGGCAGAGGTAGCCACCGTAGCGTAGATAAAAGGAATGAAGATTGTAGCTGCGTGCCATCATCTCGGTTTGGCCTGTTCGGTGGTTCTGGTCGCGATGCATCACCCAGCTTATCCAGTGTTTTGAAGTCCGAAGGTAATATTGTCCTGGGATAGTCTGACAATCCCAACGCTCGATCAGCAACCGAGCTCTTAGCGCTAAATTGGCCATGAAATCTCCCCCAGAGGACTGAATACGCATCAAGGGCGGCCAGGGCCACGTAAGACGCCCGTACTGTTGAGACGGGCTTCGAAACCCAGGCGACCGCGGTGTCGGTAAATAATAATCTATGCACTGATGAGAGTCCGAAAATCTGAGATCGGTAAGTTGGAACTATGCTCACCCTGACTGAAAGTAAGCGGCTTTGGCTCGAGAAGGGAACTGCGGTTGTAGCCATTGCCCTTCTATCGTAAAAGGCGCTCCGAGCATGCGCGAGAGTGAAATTGATCGCGATGCCTCATTCAGGGCAACAGATATCAACTCATCTACTAGCGTCAGAGCCGGAGCCACGTAGGGGTTGGAGATAACATATCACCTTTGAGCGCTCGGAGCTTTCCATCATCTTTGGAGATCTTGGCAAATTCCTTCCACTCGGGATCCGAGGCTGCGTATAACTTGCCTTCCTGTAACCGTGCCCAGCCAGTCGGTATGAAAACAGGTCTTGAAGGGCCCCGGACTGTTTTCTCCTGCGTAGGACGTTTCTCAGAAGATTTCCGCGACTTTACATTGCTGTTATCATTGTGCGCCAGAAAAATCGACTGCCAGATATAGAGGGCGGTGCCAGCGAACAATATATGCGGAATCAACGCTCTTTTATCATTAGCACGCTTGCAAGATTAGTGTTGCTATAAAGTGCATACCTGGACCACGGCCGTTTGATCAATCTCACATAGCCTATGTTGGTTGGACCTGAAACGAAGCCGCGAGACTTCGACTTATTCTGTGGCAGTAATCGACGGCTATGAAGTAGCGGCCTTGATGGCGGCATTGGAATGGCACATCGGTGGGATTTGAATGATTGATCTCGCCAATTTTGCTAAAGTGACAGGGGTAAGGTTGTTTAAAGAGTAGAAAGAGAACTTCGAAGAGAAGGTGAGCCGTTTTACCACGATATTATAAAGATAATCATATAATGGAGACTATTGTTGGGCTGACTCGAGATACTACTAAGATGTTCCCCGGATCCCATCGAGCCAGTCTTCCGCACGTGATCAAATCCAAGCACATGCTCCAGCCTCCGCCAGGTAGCTGTGCGCTGGATTAAATGCTGGCAACGAAGTTCATAAAGGTACCTCGAGTAGTACAAGTACCAAGTAAATGCTTGATAAAGCAAAGTCCATTGGGTAGCCTGTCTGACAATATAAAGCAAGCCGCGACGCCCTTCAGCAAAGTTTCTGCCTTAAAGTTGGCTCCCGAACTCTAAGGTATATATTTTGCCTGGGGGTTCAGGCAGTTTTTCAGTGGGACCGTTGCTACATTAACCATCCGGCAGCAGCGGACACTCAAATTCAATATTGTGATACAGAGTATGTTATTATGGTTCTTTAGACGTATCATCACCTGTCAGCAATCAGCTTGGATGAACGTTTGTTGCTAGTTTTCTTGGACACATAACACCAAATCCAACATGCGGTCGTTCTTCAGTTTCTTGACCACATTAGCCGCATTCGCCGTCGGAACTACTGCGTTGGAAGCTTCCGTTATCAACTTTGGACCCGAAACGCGCACAGTGCAGGATCTGGAGTCTCGGGTCATCTCAAGCGCCACTCTTCAACGGCTATTGGAGCTTTGGTCCAAGTCACCCACCACATCGTCTCTATACGGCTCAGATGATGATGACATTGAGATCCTGAGCAAATTGGCAGGATCTCCGACACGCTTGTTCGGCGCGCTGGCTGCAGGTGGAGGACCGGATATACTGGTCGTATTAGAAGGGCTGACTGGCGATACCGGTATGATGAACTTGCCATTCCAGCAATGCTCAATGCACCTGACCGTACAACGCTCAGGAATTTCAATTCACGATGAGTACCGAAGTGAACTACTGACTTCCACTGTCGGGACGGACTTTCTGGACGTGGTCGAAGGAGTAGTCAGCCCAGAAAGCAAGCACTGCTCATTCTCCCACCCTGGAAGCTCAAGGGTAAAAGCCAAATCAGATGCATCAAGTCAGGCCAGCCGCTGATACCATTTCCTCCGCACTTTTAGGATTCTGTCAAGTCATGCCTTCCTGAGAACCTCGATCTTGCCCTCGGTACTGAGCTCCTCAACCAGGTTATCGTTGGTGAATCCTGGGTCAATGACCGAAAAGGGCTCGTGGCTGCACACATTGCATTCAAGGTATTTTACAACTTTATTCATACTATACTACGCCGTGCTAAATACACTTCTAAAGTCCGAGGGTCTCTCTGGTCATTCAAAAGACCTCAAGTCTTTCTTGGCCGATTTGCATTCGCTGTCACTGAACGGCAGGAGGGTGGCGGCAATAGTACTGTCGGGTTCAAACGCGGCATCGAAGCCGTCTCACGCGCAGTCAGCGCCGAAACATGCAAAGCTTAACACCAGGGACACCCAGTCTATGACCACTCTGCGACAAACACAGATGTCGCTTTCCCTCGCACCCATGTGCTACGCGTCGAACTCTTCTTGCAACGATGCAACAAACGCTTGCTCGGGACATGGTGCGTGTTACGAGAAAACGGGCGACTGCTATGCCTGCTACTGCTCGGAAGGATGGGGGGGATCCGCTTGCCAGAAAGGGGACATCAGCTCCCCATTCTTTTTGATTGCGGGCGTGACTATAGCTGTTATCGTGGCGGTGGGCGCTGCTATCGGAATGATATTCCAAGTTGGAAATCGCGAGCTACCAGGCGTGATTAGTGCTGGCGTCGGGCCCGCCAGGGCACAGAAGTAATCATCTCGTTGGCAGTGATGCTGGCAATCATGGTTGATGACTGATGGGAATAAAAAGTGTCAATACCAGTAACTCAGCCAAGGCTATATTACGATGACCATATTAGAGGCAGTCTGTCAGACGAAGTGGACATGCTTTGCTGGGGACTTGGGTTCGGTATACAATGTGCTGTCAGACGATCGGGACTGCAAGGCACCGAAATTTCGCCTATCTGCTCCACAGACTTATAGGCCATAGCTTGTTTATTATATTATTGTCACTCCATTGGTATAAACCATACTACGGAGTATCTAATTTACATAGTACAAGAACGGAGCCGAGGCACCTGCACTATTCCGGAGTACTGGCGGCAAGCCAAATTCCCTCCCCGCACTGGCGGGGTAAGATCGACAATGATTACTGATAGATATGACGGAAATGATTGTTGAACACATGAACTCTGTAATCTGGTGTTCTAGGCAGACTCCTTCTGAACCGTGTAACTGTTACTTGGTCTGCACATTTCTTTCCTTTCTTTACAACCTCTTTACTCTTCTCTGATTACCCACGTTCTAGCGGACGTCTTGCCCTTGGCAGCCTGTGTATTCCTCAAGTGTAGCAATGGCTCTTGCCCCCAAATTTGCGGGACAGAGGTTGATGCCTACCGCTGCTCACCAGCAACATACGCTTGAAATATGTTTGTTACCTTACTTATCTTTTCAGTGTATGAGAGATGCTGACCCTGTTCAAGACCTTGACTATGTCTGCCCTGTGAGTGTGTCATCGGCGGCTCGGAAAGGGTGTCCTGAATTAACTATGATTACAGTTCTCTGCCAAGTTATTCAAGACTTTCTATGCTGCAGCCCGACCGATTATTACTGAGAGGTATAAAACACGTCTTCAAGTGATCTTTCGCCAGCATATCCAACCTTGGCACCCATCATCTACACTCACGCATGAAAGCGCCGCTGCAATCCTCAAGATAGCACCGGATAAATTCTGGGAGTTCAGTGCAGCCTTATTCGAGCAGCAACAAGAGTTCTTCGACGTCAACGTTGTGAATGAAACTCGCAATCAGACGTATGACAGGCTTGCAAATATTGGTCAAAGGGTTGGCGTGGACAAGAATGAAATTCTGAAACTGCTGACAATAGCCTCGGAAATCGACGAAAATGGACAGTTGAACACCGGGAATAAGGTCACCAATGATATCAAGGCCATGGTCAAAGTATGTACTTGAGCGTCTGTCTTTGGGAGCGGCAACTAAAATCAATCACAGGCAAGCCGAGTGGTTGGGGTTCATGTTTCTCCAACAGTGTATTTTAATGTGCGTTACCTAAGCCTAAAAGTCCCGAGCCTAAGAAGCACTGACTTTGAGGATATAGGGCGTTGAAGAACCAGGAATCAGCAGTAGTTTCACCGCTACTCAATGGGAGCAATGGCTGGCCGAAAACGCAGTCTGATGTCCTCCTCAAGAGCGTGCACACATATAAGGGGCCCGGACAAAAGGCAAAGAAGGACAATGTGATTTTCGGCGACCCTCGCTTTAGCGAACATACGAGAGATCTTGCTTATATGAATCATACCATGTTTCATTTCACTTCTTGCATGGAGTTGCGATTGCCTCGATCATCTCTATTTTGCAATATCTTTGCGCGTAACGGCGCGTAGAGATGGCTTTCCTGAATCCTCAGTTATCACGACGTTCGCGCCTGAGTGGGCCCAGGATCGCAATATCAGTAGCTTGGAATATATTGCTCATTGGGAGATTGGCGGCTGGTAATTCAGGGGCCGTCTGTGTAGACCGTGAGCATAGAGACTACTTCAGCATCACCGTAGAAACATACTTGAATAAGAGAATGTGCGGCTCAGGTTCGTGAACCTCATAATGTTCCCAGCCCAGGCTCTATGAATGCGGTTAGACGTGGATTCGCCAGAGGCGCAACATCGCGTACCTGTGTGATACCAAGAGCCCGCCATTCCTCTTCCCATAATAATTTCAGTGTGCCTTTTGAACTGTCAAAGTAGTCGGCGGGGATCTTTTTCAGCATATTTTTGGGCAGCTGGACATGGCGGTATTCGAATTGGTCATCGGAATATCTGGGCATATTAGAGGGTTGAAGTGATGTGACTAGATATACATACCTCGCTGAGTAGTGGATAGAGTCAATGAACTCATCCAACCTCTCGCGCTCGGATTCTAGGAGAGGGCGGGGCTTTTTGTTCCTCCGGCTGGGGTCGATCTCCATCTCGCCAATTGGTAGTTTGATAACGAATGAAGGCAATATCAGTGTCGCCGTGTATGAGCTCGCGGATAGGACCAGGATTCTTGATGTGTAGGTAAAACCCGGCCAAACAGTTGTCGGATTAGGTGTGATGCTGAACACAGATTAGGAAATCTCTAGGCTCGCGCGCGCGGAACTCATTTCTTGAAGCTGTAATACCTACTAGGAGTTTTTCGAGTATTTGGTATGATTGCAATTCGTTTCAATGGGTTCAACAGACCGCTGATTCAACAGCTGGTGGTGTGTTGATTCAGAGCTCCGAATGGAAATTGCGGCGTTGTTTTGACAGAGTACTTATCGGCCACGGCCAGTTTGATGCCTTAAGCACAAGGCGTGAAAGACCTCCGCCTATGCAACAATCATACCCTGTATCCTACCAACTAGATGCACGAACATAGGCCTTAACAGCCAAGTGACATTTACATGACTGTATACCAGAAAATCAATCTGAATGTTCATGGAGTTATCCCTAGTGGAAATGCAGCTGCGTTTGACTGGCACGACAAACCTTTCTCCTGCTTTGGACAAACCTTTCTCCTGCTTTGGACATTACGCGGTTGCATATAGTCATGATTACCAGTAAGAGTGTCAAGAAGCTCAAACTCCCCTGATTCCTATTTGGATCTCAGCGCCTTGGAAATACTCAGATTTGGCTTTTTTTTTATTTGCAGGTGTGATTCCAATCACTTTTGGAGCTAAGTGATAAGCTAATCGTGGTCAAGAATAGCTTATCTAATCCTCCGATGGCCAACCACGAGTCTGGGTCTCCCCCTCAACCGAGGGCGCAAGGCAAAAAAAGTTCTGAAGTGGGTTTTTTTTGCCCTCCAAATTTTTCTACCGCTCCCACTTCAAAGCTGGAAGCGGATATATAACATCCTCCAGTCTACCCTTTCCCCCTTCTATTATCCATCTGCTTTTTGAAATCCACTTTTTTTTTTTGTCTTCCTTTCTTTTTGCCAAAATGTCTGACGAGGTTTACGAGGGCGCCATTGGCATTGACCTTGGTGAGTGCTGGTACTCTTATCATAAACTCGTATCCTACTAACAATGACCCAGGCACAACCTACTCGTGTGTTGCCAACTATGAGGGCACAAATGTCGAAATCAGTATGTATCCAGGAATCTCATTCTCCGATTTGAAAATGCCAACCTTGCCATAGTTGCCAACGAGCAGGGTAGCTACACGACCCCCTCTTTCGTTTCTTTCACCGACAAGGAGCGCTTGATTGGTGAGGCGGCCAAGAATCAGGCTGCCATGAACCCCCAGAACACCATCTTCGACATCAAGTAAGTTTGCCTTCAATCAGTGCGAGCTTTGTCTAATCGTTTAGGCGTCTCATCGGTCGTCGCTATGAGGACCCCATTGTCAAGAAGGACGTTGAGTCCTGGCCCTTCAAGGTCGTCGACCAGGGCGGAAACCCTGCTGTCGAGGTCGATTACCTCGGAGAGACCAAGACTTTCACTCCCCAAGAGATCTCGTCCATGGTTCTGATGAAGGTAGGACGGCTGCGTCGATTGGTGCTTACAACGCGCTAAACCCGTTACAGATGAAAGAAGTTGCCGAGACCAAGCTTGGCAAGAAGGTCGAGAAGGCCGTCATCACCGTCCCTGCCTACTTCAACGACAACCAGCGTCAGGCCACCAAGGATGCCGGTGCCATTTCTGGCCTCAACGTCCTCCGTATCATCAACGAGCCCACTGCCGCCGCTATCGCCTACGGTCTCGGCTCCGGAAAGTCCGAGAAGGAGCGCAACGTCCTCATTTACGATCTCGGTGGTGGTGTAAGTTGAGCCGCTTAAAAATGGGCTGTGGTCGAACACGTTGCTAACCATGATATCCCTTAAGACCTTTGATGTGTCCTTGCTCAATATCCAAGGAGGCGTCTTCACTGTCAAGGCCACGGTACGTTTTATCTCAAGAAGAGTTTCTCCATGGCTAATGGGTTGTTAGGCCGGTGACACCCACCTTGGTGGTCAGGACTTTGACACCAACCTGCTTGAGCACTTCAAGAAGGAGTTCCAGAAGAAGACCGGCAAGGACCTTTCTGGCGACGCCCGCGCTCTTCGCCGTCTCCGTACCGCCTGTGAGCGTGCTAAGCGCACCCTCTCCAACGCCACTCAGACCAGTGTCGAAATCGACTCCTTGTTCGATGGCGAGGACTTCAACACCTCTATCACCCGTGCTCGGTTTGAGGACCTGAACGCCAAGTCCTTCTCCGGCACTCTCGAGCCTGTTCAGCAGGTTCTCAAGGACTCCGGCCTTGCCAAGAACCAGGTCGACGAGATCGTGCTCGTCGGTGGTTCCACCCGTATTCCCCGTATCCAGAAGCTCCTCAGCGACTTCTTCGACGGCAAGAAGCTCGAGAAGGTTAGCTTCCCTTGTAATCTTCCCATGAACCAAGACTTACACACATGCAGAGCATCAACCCCGATGAGGCCGTTGCGTACGGTGCCGCGGTCCAGGCTGGTATCCTCTCCGGAAAGGCCACCTCTGCCGAAACCCAGGACCTCCTCCTCCTGGATGTTGTTCCTCTCTCTCTCGGTGTTGCCATGGAGGGTAACATCTTCGCACCCGTCGTTTCCCGCGGTCAGACCGTCCCCACTATCAAGAAGCGCACCTTCACCACTGTGGTCGACAACCAGACCACTGTGCAGTTCCCTGTCTACCAGGGTGAGCGCACCAACTGCGCTGACAACACCTCTCTTGGAGAGTTCACTCTTGCTCCTATCCCCCCTATGAGGGCCGGCGAGGCTGCCCTCGAGTGTGTGTTCGAAGTCGATGTGAACGGTATCCTCAAGGTCACTGCCACTGAGAAGTCTTCCGGCCGCAGTGCCAACATCACCATCTCCAACGCCGTCGGCAAGCTTTCTACCACTGAGATTGAGCAGATGGTTGAGGGTAAGTTTACCCATCGGATATTTATGGGCAGATGCTAATTATCAACAGATGCTGCCAAATTCAAGTCCAGCGATGAGGCTTTCACCAAGCGATTCGAGTCCCGTCAGCAGCTCGAGTCTTACATTTCTCGCGTTGAGGAGATCGTCTCCGACCCCACGATGTCCATGAAGCTTAAGCGCGGCAACCGGGAGAAGATCGAGTCCGCTCTTAGCGACGCCATGGCACAGCTCGAGATCGAGGACTCCACTCCTGAGGATCTCAAAAAGAAGGAGCTGGCTCTCAAGAGACTCATCACCAAGGCCATGGCTACGCGGTAAGTGTTACATTACGAGATGCATGACTTGATTGTTCAAAGTTGGACATAGTAAGGACCCCTGGCCGGGAGTGCTTGGCACGGCTTGGGCATGATTGTTATCAAAAGTATCTTCTAGATTTTATACAGGACGGTAGCTGCGGCTTTTAATGATTTCGACGAGTTTGTCTATATTATGATCCTTGGTAATCTTTTGTTCATGTTCTGTATTATGCTGGGGCGCATAACATTCATAGCTCAGTGCGCGCTCTTCTTGGCATTGGCACACTCGGGGAGAATTTTTCTCGTACAACCACCTGCCTTTCCCCCTACTTGCTTTTGCAATAATGCAGCGTACCTCTGCCTCAATTCCAAGCCTTTCAACGTTATCCAGAACATCCAAACTGCAAGCTGTATACCGTATAGAGCTCTCACGTCATGCCCTCCGCCGAAGCTTCTCCATCTCTCCATCCCTGAACAAAAGCAAGAAACGGGACAATGGGAGGACAGCAGACTCTGGACTAAAGTCTAATGCAAACGCCGGCCCTGAAGACCCCCTAGATCTTACACAGCTTGAACTTGGAATTGCAAACGCGGTCTCTCGGCTGAAGGATGAGCTCTCCAAACTCCGTATGGGCGGAAGGCTAAGCCCTGAGACCATAGAGGCCCTTCGCGTGCAGCTGGGCAAGGGGTCCAAGGAAACGGCGAAGCTCGGGGAATTGGCCCAGGTTGTCCCCAAGGGCGGACGCCTGGTGGCCGTCCTTGTCTCGGAAGAAAGTGTATGTTTTTAGACAAACCCACGGGATTGATTACATGCCCCTAACTATCCTTCCAGTACATCAAGCCCATATCCTCAGCAATCCTCGGCTCCAACCTATCTCTTACTCCGCAACAAGATCCCCACAATGTCCTGCAGCTCAACATTCCAATACCACCTCCGACCAAAGAATCTAGAGATCAGACTGTCCTTGCTGCAAAGGCAACCATGGAGAAAGCAGCAAGTAATGTTCGTGATTCACGGGGTGCCGTCCATAAACGCCTCCAGGAGAGTATCAAGAAGAGGCTTGCTCGACCAGATGATGCCCGAAAGTCCCAAGACAAGATGGAGAAGATAGCGGAAAAGGGACAGAAAGAAGTGAAGGAGCTTTTTGAGGCTGCCAAGAAAGCGATGGAGCGAGCCTGAGTCTAGAAGGATTATTACATATACAAAGCACGGTTAATGTGTAAGCATCTATTGCTACATGCAGATACGACGGAAATGGTAAAAAAAATAATGTACAACGAACCTAGGACCCCATTCTTAAGCACGTTTGACAGGACGGCTCGAGACCAAAAGCGAATCCAGCTTAGCCATAAACTGCGTCCTTTTCCCAGAAGTCTGATAACTTTCGTTATTCCTTAGATTCCTGAGAATCTCACCGACAACAGGAGGCTTATTCGCCGGCGTTTTCTCCACCATGGGATACTTGCCCTGGACGAGAGACTCAATCAAAGTCTTGTGCGCTTCACCCTTTACCCGTTGGAATATGACTGCCTGGGGGTCTACCAGCTCACCCTTCTTCTGTGACAGCTTGTCTGCAGCCTCCTGGGCAAACTTTTTGGCTGCCTCTAGAGCCTCGGCCCTTTCCGCTTCACTCGTGAAGCGGACGAACTTTCCTTCCATGAGTCGTTTGCCGAGCACGTAGGGCGGGATATAACCGTTAGGATAGCGCTCACTAAGCAAGGAAAGCTTCTCCGCAACTCCGGCAGTTGTTGCGGTGATGTCCGTGGGCAGCGATGGCCACGTCTCGCTCAGATTCTGAAAATCGGGGGCGTTGGGTTGATAATGAGTAGGGATTGGCTTTGTCTTCTCCGCGATTTCTCTGTAGACATCTTCAAGTTCAGATCGAAGCAACTTATTCTCGTCCTCCCCAGCCAAGTTCCTTAGACGGGGACGGCGTGGTGCTCTCGGTGCCGCCTTCGCGTTTACTGGTTTGCGCGCACGTAATGGCGTTCCACCTCGGGCTTCTAGGCGGCGGGGACCTCTGAGAATGTTTGCTGGCTGGCCTCCCGGTTTTGATGCCGCGAGAGATCTGGCATCGATAATCCGGCGAGGGCGGAGCTTGTCTACATTCGAGTTTTTGAGTTTCAAGAGTACCGGCGGAAGCTTCAGCTTCTTCGGCTGATCATTTGGTTGAGTGGCGGAAGGAGTTCGGGCAGCTGTTCACAGTTAGTTTGTTGATGTAGGATTAGCTGGTCATGTTGAGCATGACTTACCGGGTGGCGGTGAATCTGCCTTCAATGTCGTGGATATGGAAAATTGACGGAGTGAGAGAGATAATGGCTCTAGCCGCCCGATACGCCGAGGACGCAATATCATAGCTCGGGGTTGAAGCATTTTGAGCAGCAGTGCCTAGTGACGGAGTCGTATCGAGCACACCGAAAAGATTACTGTCTGATTTCCGGACACGGTCACGTGAGACAATACTAAAGCCGTTGGGATGGGAGACGTACCTGGACAAACCCCATCGTCGCGAAAGATCCCGCCATGATTCGCCGGAAACCTACTGCCATTGCGATCACGTCTGATGACCTCGTCGCGTTCGAGGAAGAGCGATCGCGCAAGCTCGAGCGAGAAATCAGCGGTCGCGAATCCGTCCAGAATGGCACGCGCGTAAACTTTGACCCTAGCGACGAACTGAAGCCTCTACCTGGTGACAAGGCGAGGATAGTTAGGTCTCGCGAGGAGCGCATAGGCATTGGCCAGCGCACCTGAGTCAACATCTGCTAGACAGAGACTATTAGGTGGGACTGACACGGCGCAACACTTTCCACGGTCTTGGAGCTAATCAAGATATTACAGATGTCCAACTCAGACTTGTTGAGGCGTGGTGCACTTTGGCCGACTTCCATGCAAACTCTTTCCATATATGTCTTTTGATTCTTAGGACACGTGGAAACCGCCGGAAGAAACTTGACTATATGTCTACCGCTATTTATTATAAATGCGAAATCAGATGTTTTACATTTGACCGATAACTTCAATTCCCATAGCGGCAAATATAGCATCTGACAATGGTTAAATGTTCTCATAGCAATACCCAAGTAGCCAGATGAAGGCTTGGTGGTTAGCGGGTAATTGTCATGACGGTCAAGGGAATGTGATTGCAAAAAAAAAAAAAACAAACATGGGTATCATGCTGAGTTTCGTCTATATCCACTGTAGCATTGTACAATTAGTTATTACCCCCCGGGCCCTCAACGAGGCCGTTTGGCGTTATTCTCCATTCCCATATCAACCGAGTAGTTCCATCTCCTTTTCAGACCATGCGGATCATACACGCTTGCCACGCTTTGCTGCCAATCGCGCGCTGTGAACACCACTGGCTGCCCACTCATCTGTGGCTGGGGTACTGATGAGGCTTGTGTGACTAATGGCTTAGCTGGTTGTTGATATTGCAAGGCATACTGATCCACCAGAGCAGGTTGCAGCCCTTGCGACGTTCCAGGGATTCCCATTGGCGGCGAGTTTGTGTTCACAGCAGGACTGAATGAGAATGCCATGTCCCATTGGCTAAAGGTGAGGGATTAGTACTAATTTGAATAACAAGGTAGGATGATTCTTACTTGATGATACGGGTGGGATCCCAACTGTTCTCATCGACCAACGGGGTCTCTGTATGGACGGGATGCGTTGGGAGTATACCTGGGGGGTGTAGTTGCGGCGTACCGGACTTGGAGTCTTCAGTGCCAGCCGATATCGGAGGAGTTATAGGGTAAGGGTGGAAGCCAGCTCTTTCTTGTAGACTGGAGATCTGGCTGGATTGTGGATGATATTGCGTCTCGAGAGTAGGGCTGGGTTGGTACGGTTCGGAAGGGCTGCCGTAAGGAAATGTGGCTTTGAGTTCAAACGGGCGGTTTATGTTGGCGGAAAACGCAAGCCGTAAAGAGTCAATCTGCGCTTGGATCTCGGGCATAGGCCAAGCCGATGAGCATCGTTCAAGTATGCGCATGTGGCGTGTAAAGTATTCCCGCGCGTCAGTATGGAACTCGGGGTCAGGAGACGTGATGGCAACCTGTTGCCGCGTAAGTCAAACCCGTACATCACAGAAGGAGCCTCCTTACCAGATGCAACATTGTACATGTCAATATACAATAGATGGTGAAATTGATGCCTCTTTGCATGTAGAGAAGACCCGACAACCCAAAACGAGCCAGGATCGCCTCTTGGAGCCTACAGAGACACTTTGCAGACGAGTAGCATAACGCCATATGCATCTTCCAATTTCCACCAGCAGGGAACTTTGAGGCAATCAATTGTGGTCGATGGCAAAGGACTATACCCAAATGACAGTGTGAATGCATATTCCCGACGAAATGAGAAGGGATCCAGGGAGGGGAACCGTCAGGAGGGTAATTGACCTGCAAATCTGCAGGAAGGCTTTGCAACCAGTCGGCGAAAAGCGGGTTGTTCTCGACGAACTTTGAATTAGAGCCCCAGTCCTTTTGCCTCTTGATTTTGTGATAAACATCAGTAAGTATGCGAATGTGGCGGGCGTTCCGAACAAAATAGGCATACTGCCTAGATCGATCAATCTCAAACTGATCCATGTTTTCAACGTCGAGCTCAGGCTGCGTGTTGACTGTTTGTGGATCCACGCCATAGTCAGAGCGTCCTGCGAATGTCAGCACTTGCCGACGCCTTTTAAAGAATCAGCATACCTTGGGGAGCACCTATCATGACCTCAACTATCAGGAGGGCCTGCCAAACCCTGGTTTGAACCAGACATTCAACCGGGCTTAGAGTACATGTCTTTTCTTCGACATGGTTGTTGTAGTGTTCATGGATATCCAAGTCCTTGGCCATTGATATGATTGTCTTGACGGTTTGCCAAGATCTATAATAATAACCCTTTTTAGGCAATGACTCTCGCGCTTTTAAGAGAAGGAGAAGTGCCTGGATCGTGCTCAGGCGTGGAACATCCATGAAGCTAGACTCGTGTCCTGGAGGCGGTAACTTTAGTATATCAAGCGAGAAAAAGAAAGGGTGGTGGTCTCACTAGTCGCCAACGCCAACCACTGCGCCCCTTGGGCCGGATCATCCGACAACCTGCCTGCGCACGCAAATAAGGCTTCAAGCAAAAGAGGCGAGATGGATTTTCGATCATGCTGCCACTGGTAATACAGGTGCGCCCGGTGAACAACCGGAACGTAGGGATGAATTTCGCCAAAATAGACCTTGAAATAATACATAACTTCATCATCAGAAGGCATGAGTTCCGGGGGAATGCGGATTTTGGAGCCGGATCCAGTACGAAGTGGAGGCAGACTCTCCTCCGCCTCGTCCTGTGTCGGGATTTCAGGCTCGGTTTTGTCTGTCCTTTGCTGCCGAATATATGGTGCTATCCAATGTTGAGCTTTGGGCTTATGACATGAAACATGTTACTTACCGATGCCGGTTTCATCAATTCTTAGTTCGCCCAGTACTTCACTGAGATTCTCCGCGGTGGAATGCTCGTGGTCACCAAAATCTATACCATCGCTGGGTCCTACAGGCTGTGCTTGGGAAACAGGAAACAGCTGCTGTGACTGATATGATTCGGTTGCAACGACTTCATGCGGCGATCTTGTTTCATAAAGACCCGGCTGGGCAGGCGAATAATGAGAGAATGAACCCACTCCGTCACTGTACTGATGGATGACCTGTCCATGAGGCGAAACGCCGTCCCGGTAGGTTTGATACGCAGTCAACTGCGAGGGTTCTGGCGCATTAAGTGTGTCGGTTGAGTTGGTAGGGTAAGATTCGTGACCTTGTCCCGAAGAGAAATCGCCCTCTTGGCCAATAGTCGGAGGTACGCATATAAGCTTTAGTCGAGTGCAGGCTGAACAGGGCCAAGTGTTTGTCGTAGCAGCATCACACTTGATCTTTCGCTTCCTACAACCATTGCATGCACGCATGACTGGTCAAAAACACTCAGCGACCGAACTTAGATTGACCAACAAGGGCACACTCACCTTTGAGCCTTTTGTGCCTATTATGCTCATCAACAAACACATAGTCTTGAAGTTAAGTTAGCATAAACACATGCGGGGAGTTGCAGCTCTTCCTCTCGTAAGATTGCGCTTACTCTTCTGGCCCTCGCGGGGAGGACCTGTAGGAGGCGTATATGAATATCCCTGCATTCTGGATTCCAGATTATGCTCAAACCCAGAAGGCTTCAAGAGCAAGGCCCGCCTTGCACCGGATGTAAGCCCCCGCTCGAACCGCAAGCTTAGCTGGGTAAGCCAAGATGTTGACTTAATGCGAGCCTCTTCGCCTTCCGAGTTCTTTCTTAACTGGAACGGTCGAACAAGTCGAGCTCTATCTTGACTGGAAATTTCGCCAATTGTAGAAAATGCGAACCGGACAATTACGATAGCGCTGCCGGTTGTTTCGGACCAAAGAATGCTGTATGTTCTCTGGACGTCAAGAAGTTCTGCTTCAAGGAAGGCTTTTGACGATTGTTTAATGATATGATGTATGGAGTGCCTAGGGCTGTTGACGCGCGATGTCAGAGACAGTTGGCGGGTAAGGGTGGACGGATAAGAGTGGGCTGGGGTATGACAGGCCAGTTCTTGACAGGCAAGTCACAAAGGGTTCCAGGGTCAGATTGCACACGCGCCAGCCAGTCGCACATAGCGGCCGGCTGAAACGATGCGCTCCTGAGAAGCAATAAGAGAGAAAGACCAGAGCCAAGGGTACTCACAACCAAGGAGCAGATGGAATTATGCGAAGCGCATAGTGTAGCGGCGCCTAAGGATAGTGATTGGAGACAGTTCAAACGCGAAGACGAGTTGGCGAAATGGTATTACAGTCGAATTGACTGTAACAATTTGAGTGGCGCGTCAGTTGAATCACTGGGCTCCGATTCTCAACGGCGTAGGTGATAAGGTCGGCTAGAGTTCCAAGGCTGGTGCAGACTGGTACCTGAGAATGGTACTCGGAGTAGAAAATGGACCGTGCACAGATGCCTCGAGTGTTGCAGTTGGAAGCGTTGTCGGGGGTCCAAAGCAGGTCCACGGTGCGGCTAGGTCATAGCTACGATCGTTCAAGTATCGCGCGAAACGTAGGTAGTTTGACGATCGAGTCAGAAGCTCGAGCCGAGCATGGAGGAGCTATAACGGGCAGTAACAATAGGTTAGAAATACAAGAAAATAGAACAAGGCCAGCCAATCGTCTTGAACAGGGTAGATAGATAGAGTGGTGAAAAGAAACTCACCTACTCGACTGGAGGGATGGAGGGAGATCGGCCTCGGGTGCTGAGGGGGCGCTTGATGTGCGGCACCACTGCAAGTCTGCGCCAGTCCCAGTTAAACCCAGTAGTTAGTCTAGTGTCCACTGCCCACCCTCAGATCATGGATGATGCCAATTGCTGGCTCCGCCTGGAGGAACTTCGGGCCTTTCCTGAAATTTAGTTTCGGTGCCTCGTCCAAGCCCTACTACTCCATAGAGTCCATACGTAGCCTTTAGGTTTTCGAAGCTTCCCCTAAGCATACACGGAGTAATATTCCTTCCAGCCTTTGGCTTATTGTCGGCAAAGTTTAAGAGAACGTGGGGTTCCATGTGGGTGCATTGTTGATCGGAACTTAAAACTATACAGAGTACGTAACATGCCTCAGGTGGCTGAATTGTGACTGACGATGCATTATTTTTGGAGATTCTAGGCGATGTATAATCAGACGGTCTGGCCAACGATGAATATCACTATCGGGGGGATCCGTGTTGTCGAGTGACTCGAGTCGGACTGTCGGACTCTCGGATCATGAAGAGGTGCGGGGCGACCCTTGAGGAAAATTGTTGTGCCGGTGGATTGCCTCCGCACATCTTCCGCAGCCACGCAGCGGCATATTACGGAGTACTTTGCTTCACCCACGTAGCTTCGACTCAACGCTCAACCCGATCAGCCATGTCTGAAATGCAGAATTCGAACCCGACCATAATCAATAGCGCCGACCTCCCTACACGCCTTCGGCGCACTGTTCCTCACAAGAGTAGCGCATATGGAAGCGATTTCTTCGCATCGGCGCTTCCCTCACTTGCGGTCGACACTCTATCTGACTACTCACCGTCGTCTTCGGGATCTGACAGTGACGATGATCTGATGGAAGAGCCTATAGACGAGCAAGAAATTTATGGTACAAGCCTCATGCCTGCAGTGATATACATATTCTAATGGTCCAGATCTTATCTCAACCATATCTGATCCCGAACATCCCATCTCCCTGGGGGCTTTGGCAGTAGTGTCGCTCCCGGACATTTCCGTCAAGCCCGCTCTGCCGGGTGTACCGGATTCGCCTCTTCGCACTGTCACTGTTCTTATTACACCGACCATCACACACTGCAGTCTTGCCACTGTTATAGGTCTTGGTGTTCGCGTGCGACTTGAACAATCACTCCCACCACGATTCCGTGTGGACGTGCAGATTAAAGAGGGGACACATAGCACCGCTGATGAGGTGAACAAACAACTTGCTGATAAGGAAAGAGTGGCTGCAGCACTCGAAAACGGTACGCTCATGGGTGTTATCGCAAAGATGCTTGAGACGTGTCAGTGATCCACTGGAACTTTTTTTCCATTCATCTAATTAAGCCCTGGATGGTTACCATCGGGGCTCACGAATCTAAAACGCCACTTTCTTTCAATCCCTTCCAGAGCTCCGGCTCCAAGAACTTGCTTACGGTCACATCTTCAGCCAGACCTTTTCGCCGCCTTGTCTTCAAAACGAAGTCGCGAGCTGTTGCCATTGCGGGAGCCGTCTCCAGCGGTTTTAGCTTAACGTCCCGGTCTAGCGGGTCTCCTGGAACCACACTCCACTTATCAAAAACAAGGCTGACGGCAGCCTGGCCCTGTGTATGGATACGGAGGTCTGTCTCGAAGCCAAATGAATCAATGACCGGAATCAGGCCGCGCACCGAGTACAGAGGTGTTCCCGCAATGGGTCCATCGGAAAGGACATGGCCTCTCCTCCGTGAAAGGACAGTATAGACAGATGCGACAGCATCTGCAGGCCCTGTCATCGAACAAGAATATATCGGCTCCATTAGTCGAGGGGAGGCCATCAAGAATGATGAATAAACGGCGCGTCTGGCAGTGGGGATGATTTGACCGCCTCCTCTGTAAATGGCCTGGTCGGCTAGAGAAACGTCTGTGAGCCTGAACTTTGCGTTCCGAATTGCTGTACACATTAGATATGGGAAAATATGAATAAAAGATGAGGGACATACGTTCTTCACACAGAGGCCCTTCGCGGGTACCCCAGCTAAAACCCTGTGTTACAGAATCTCTGACGCTTCCAAGTAGCTTCTTATCGACTTGAGAAGGCAGTGTGTCATCTTGTAAGATATTTGGTCCCATCTCATCTGGCCCAAATGCCCATATACTTCTCGCAGCGAGCTTATCCCAGTCGTACCTCTCCTCGAAAAACCGGGCCACTTTGCGAATCGGGTCTTTGATGCTGACCCTGCCGCTTTCAATATCCTCAGCTATCCCATCGTCTAGCGGTTCGGCAATCATCGTGATCTTATTCAACTTGTTCGGGGTTATTGAATAGCACATGATAGCGGACGTCTCAACAACGGTTTCGCAGAAGCGAGTAACAGGGTCGGAGACCTTGATTTCCATCTCCGAGAACAATCTCCGGAGATCATGGAGGACGCAGTCCATATACAGCTCCCCGGTTCCCAAAACTATATGCTCTCCCGATTCCTCTACCTTGGTCGAAATGAGGGGGTAACTCTTGTTGACTTTTCGGAGACCCTCGAGCATTTTGGGAAGTTCGGATGGGTTGACTGGCTCAACAGCGACCTTGAAGACAGATTCAGTCATGTGACGCATGGGTTTGAAGATGTGCGCTTCCTCATCATCTTCAAACTTGGTGGACACCAGCGTCGCCGTCTTGACAATGGAGTTATCCACCCCTCCAAGCAAAACCAAGTTTCCTGCAGTAACGCCACTAGTCGGGATATTGTATCGAGTTTCCGCAATCCATGTGTCTGAAATAGTAGCATTGACCATGTCTTCTTCATCGTCAGGAGTATAACCCTCACCAAGCACTCGGACTGCTAATCCTGGCCGAGCTGTTCCACTTAGAACCTTGCCAAGAGCATGGAACCGCGAAGCATCCGTGCTTGCCAGAAGCTTTGTGACATGGACAACCAAAGGGCCATCCGGATCGCATTTGTTCATTGCTGTTGCAACTTTAGTATCCATAGGACCAGTATAGTATCGTTCCAGAGCCCTCTTGGCGCCCTCCACGGGAGAAGGAATATGCTGTAACACCATGTCGACAAATCCTCCGGCAGGTCCGAAAAATTGCTCGCATACCAAGTCGAGCAGCACCTTGGCGTCTGACCTTAGCTGTGATGGTTTCAAGCTAATGCCTACACTGGCGAGAGTTTCCTTCAAGTCCTCGGGGCTTTCGCTGAGCGTGTGTGAGTAAAGTTTGTATATGGGCTCCAATACGAACTTGACAAAAGTCCGCTTGGAATTATCCTCCACCCCTTTCCGAGTAAACTTTCGACTTTTGGGGTTAAAGAAGATGTCTCCCCAGAGGCGTAAAGCAAAATCAGCGGTCTCGATTTTGGGATAGGTGTCAGCGTACATTTTCCCAAATGACTGCAGCGTGAAGCACCATTTCATGGAAGCGCAAGCAAAAGCGACATTGCCCTTTTCAGGACTCAATCGCCGTTTCTCACCCTGTCCGGGCATGACGTTTTCAATCACCGTGTTGACCTCTTCAATCACATGTTTCAATTTGAAATAGGCGTCGTTTGGCGGAATTTTCAGCTCTAAAATCAACCTGTCCATCTTGTTCACCACCATTGTTAAAGGGAGGTCCTCCAGTACCGCATGCTTAATAATCTGTTCAGTGTTTGCCTGCACACCCTCTACAACATCGACAACAAGAACAACACCATCAACGAGCCGAGACGAAGCAGCCACCTCGTCTACAAAGTTCACATGTCCCGGAGTGTCAATGATATTGAACAGGTGTGATTTCCCTTTGGAGCTCTGAAGCACCAGACTCATGGGCGCCGACTTGATCGAGAGTCCTCGCTCTCTTTCCATGTGGTGAACATCAGTGTAGCGAAGTTGTTCCTCCCTTTTCCTTCCTGTTTTCTTGTCGAGCCGTTCGGCCAAATCATGAGTCTGCATAACAAGCATGTCCATGAATGCTGTTTTGCCATGGTGCAGATGGCCAACGAGCGCAACATTTCTTGTCTGTTCCGGGAAGTTCAACAAATCTGTCATAAACTCGCGGGAGAAGAACACTGGCGGCAGCTCGCTCTCTTCAATTGAGAACTTCTTTTGCGTGACTGGCGCGATTATAGGCTCGGAAAGAGGCTGTGCATCCTCCTCCTGAACCAACGTTTCGACGTCTTCACCGTATATTTGTTGCGCGCTGGGATAGTACTGCTTATCTTCGTGTAAAATGACGGCATTGGATGGGCCTTCTGTAACGCGCACTAGATGTCAGATTCAGACAATTGAAGGATTAGAAGGCCGGCGCACCATCCACTTCCATCAACTCTTGGTCAGCTTCATCCTCGCCCGCACCGAATGCTTCACTGTAATCGAATGTCTGGTTGTCGTCATGAAGCTCTTCGTCGGACTCCGCGGCCTCGCCAATGTAGTTGCCAAACCTGGCACGGTCAGTAAGGATGATGATAGAAGAGATCAAAGCATACTCATCATAAAGGTCATCCATTGTGCTGTCTAGGGGGGGGAATCCCGTTGCACCAAAGCTCTCAAGGTCGGTGGTGCATTACTTTTTCTCGCTGGTACGAGCTCTTCGGGGTAACTTCAAGAACTTCTGCTGACCGAGCTTGGCGTCCCGATTTACAGATCGCCAAACCGGTAAACCACCACAAATTTGGTAAGAAAGTGGAAAGACGGGATGTGTCACTGTGACCAGGAATTCTTGCGGATTTCTGAAAATATCAGAATTTCATACGTAACTTTACTGTCTATCGTATACGTTTCTCCGTCCCACCCCACCTCGCCGACACCGCTCAACCTGTCCTTATTTAATTTTCGAGGTATATAAAAGGGGCTTGAGCTTTTGTCTGTGACTCGATCCTGTCAGATTTCATTCTTTGTCCTTGTTGTACATCGAGCAAAAACTTGCTGTATACTGTCTACAAGTCTACCGACATGGCTTCTCTCCCCCCCGTCTACATTGTGTCCTATGCCCGTACTCCCGTGGGCTCATTCCTGGGGTAAGAATATATGTCAACTCTGTAATAGGGGAGACTCTGATAGTGCTTCACAGGTCCCTGTCAAGCCAGACTGCCCCGCAGCTGGGTTCGCATGCGATAAAAGGTATGCTCAATCACCTCCATTATCCAAGGCTTTCTCCTGACAGACATGTTTAGCTGCCGTTGAAAGGGCCGATGGGATCAAGCCATCCGATGTTGAGGAGGTATTCTTTGGAAACGTACTCTCCGCAAAGTGAGATCCCCTGAAACCTTGCCTGTGAGTGGTGTTCATTTTCTGGCAAACAGTGTCGGTCAAAACCCCGCCAGACAATGCGCTCTCGGCGCCGGTCTTGAGACCTCAACCGTGTGTACTACCGTCAACAAGGTCTGCGCCTCGGGTCTGAAGGCGGTCATTCTTGGAGCGCAGACCATCATGACCGGCAATGCGGATATTATCGTGGCTGGTGGCACCGAATCCATGTCAAACACTCCTCACTACCTTCCCAATCTCCGTACTGGCGCCAAATATGGCAATCAAACCATGGTGGATGGCATCGTGAAGGACGGTTTGACGGACGTGGGCAAGCAGGAACTCATGGGACTCCAGGCGGAAGAATGTGCGCAGGACCACGGCTTTGACAGGCAACAGCAGGATGACTACGCCATCAGATCTTACGAAAAGGCTCAAGCTGCCCAAAAAGCTGGACTTCTGGACGGTGAAATTGCCCCGGTTGATCTACCCGGGTTCAGGGGCAAGCCTGGCGTCACCGTATCGCAGGATGACGAGCCTAAGAACGTAGGTCAACCCAACCATTTGGTTGCAGTGCTCTAACTTGACTAGCTCAACCCTGATAAGCTTCGTGCTATGAAGCCCGCATTCATTCCTGGCTCTGGGACAGTGACTGCTCCCAACTCCTCTCCCCTCAACGACGGCGCTGCCGCAGTTGTTTTAGTGTCCGAGGCCAAACTGAAGGAACTCAACCTGAAGCCGGTTGCTAAGATTCTTGGTTGGGGTGAGGCCGCACAGCAACCCAGCAAGTTCACAACTGCCCCGGCTCTCGCGATCCCCAAGGCTCTCAAGCATGCCGGAGTTTCCCAAGATGCGGTTGATGCATTCGAGATTAATGAAGCCTTCAGTGTGGTTGCTCTTGCCAACTTGAAGCTCCTTGGTCTCTCTGAAGACAAGGTTAACGTTCACGGTGGAGCGGTAGCTATTGGACACCCTCTTGGTGCTAGTGGTGCCCGTATTCTGACTACTCTGCTCGGCGTCCTCAAGGCTCAAAAAGGCAAAATTGGATGTGCGGGTATTTGCAACGGCGGCGGTGGTGCGAGCGCGCTGGTCGTTGAGTACGTCGCTTAAACAGTCCGGGACAGTATGCCGGCCATGCCATGACCTAATGTATACACTAGAGATATCACAATATATGATGAGTTTTTATCATTGCCTGTCCGAGAGATCCAAAGGTTACTGTACTATTCACATGGCTGTGAGTTCTTCCATGGCAAGCCCACTAGTAGTTTCCAATAGCGTGCGCAGGGGTACATTCTGTAGCTGCGTAGTATATACTATGAGCTAGAAGCATAGTAAGAGGATATGCACAAATCGGTTTAAGTTACAACACACTGCTTTCGCGCACAACGCGGAAGCCAGCCGATGTACACAAATATATATGCCCTATATAACACAGTTTAAGGATAGAGAATATGGTGGACAACCTCTGCGCAGAGTTAAGCAAATGCACCAACAAATGCCATCAAAAGCGCACCAGCAGCAACTGCTATACAGGCTTCAAAGCGTCGTTTGCCCCGTAAAGTCACGTAACTTTCCTCGCTCAAGAAATCCTCAGCCAAGAGCTCTACCAAGCCGGCAAAAAGTAACAATCCGCTGCTGATTGCGTTTGTGATCCCGACCATCAAAAGGCCAGTGGCACTGGCAGGGTCGTAGAAGTTATGTAAAATCAGGCCGATCGCTTGTCCAATAGGGGTTGTGGTTCCGTAGGCAAGAGACATCAACCACGGTTTCATGGACGACGGTGGAAAGAGATCAGGGATTAGCGATGCAATGCGAGCACCCAGAGCGAAGCCCTCGAATGTTTGGTGGAAGCAGATTGCCACTAGGAGAACTATGAAGGACGTACCCGTGGCAACGCTGACGGCCATTCCAATGAAAACACTATGGAAGAGAATACCAGCTTCAAGGAGGAGGCATTGCAAGAGCTGTCTTTGAGGATTCTGCAGAGTCATTTTAGGATCCGCATTAGACACTGATCGGCAATTCCTTTCGACGCGAGGAGCTTGATTCTCGCCCGTCTCGTTAAGGGGCGGAACCGGATCGTCCTTGACGAGATTGGTTGAAGAGCTCTCTGGGCTGAGATTCCTTAAGTCCACGTTCTCAAGCATCGGTGAGAGGTGAATGTTGTCCGTTGGTGCAAGCTGCGAGTAATTCATCTCATCAACCTGCTCATCACTGATCAATTGATCATATTCACTTCCATGGACATGGCCTGCGCCTTTCATGGCAAAAAACATCTCTACCAGGACGACACCAAAGACCGAGATCATCGCGACGAAGCCAGGCATGGCGCGATAAGATTCGCTCCAGAACCGAGGAAGGCAGGGGTCGGTCAAGGAAACAAATGCTGTCGGTAGGAGATGAACAAATGCTGTCGCAATCAGCACCCCTGTCCCGAAATGTCTTGAAACAAAGAGAAATCGTCGGGGTATCGGAAGGCGCGGAAACCGGCGAGCGAGGATGGGGAATGAACAGGCTTGCCATCGTCAGCGAAGTCAAGAATCCACTAGGAGAAAGGTACCCAGCGTGCTTAGCACTAATATGAGAAATAATGCCATAACATGGAGCGAAGTGTTATAGGCGCCTTGTTTGGTCGATCCGCATGTAGGTTTGTCGCTCGAGTTATGGTAGACGTTTCGTTGATATAGCTCCTCTCGGAGCAGGGCGCTTGGTATGGTTGACAGCGCTAATGCGCTGGTCTGTAAACCTTTAGAAGCTTAGAAAACCACCATTGTAACTGACGACTGATCTACTTACCCATACCATCCATATTCACGTGCCGTATAGATGTTCGATCGTTGTGGTCTTCAGGCCTCCATGACCCGGAAGGGCTTCCCACCAGGAGAAGTGTAATGACGTACAATCAGCCGAGTGAGAATAACATTCACACAAGAGTATCGTCCCTAGTAGATATTCGCTTTGGCAGAATCGCCTTCAGTCAGATGTAGACATTTTGCTTTAAGAATTGCGAACGTGCAAGTCTGAGAAACACACGTTGTTCCGAAGCTTATCTTATCAATCTAAGTTATTAAGTCCAGCTTAGGTAATAAGCCTCCGTGGCCCTCGGCATTACTATAGGGCGCTGGGGTTGAGATGTGTACTCCGTACGACTCGTGGAACGGACCAACAATTTAGAAGGGCAAGAAGTTACAGACTCTGCGCATGTAAATAGGAATGGACAAGAATCCTCGAGACACAGCTTCCTGTCTTAGTTGAGCAGGGATACGTGTACTTGGCACACGCCAGCTATGTTTATTCAAGCAACTCAAAAGCCAAGACCCCGAGATCAAGCCCGGACCTATCGACGATACCTCCATATCCAATGTCTCGGGCATAATATTACCTGTTTCGAAGTTTTGTCCAACCACTGGTCCCCTTTGACCGAGTTGCGATAGTGGGGGTATCAGGGACATCAAGTTTGGATGCCAAAGTTATATTACCTGCAGGGCTAGATTGAGCATCATGCGCCACATCTGAGCCATTAAGGGGTTCGCGAGGAACCGGAGGAAATGATTCCTGAAGCGGTTCATCCCACTCATCCTCTTCTAACAACTCCCACTCTGCACTGGTCATTTCACCAAGTAGCGTTGATTTCAGCCTGTCAATAACCTTTATTGGGGTTGGGAGTTTCCAACTTCGAATGAATTCTGTACCCTCGGATGCGCCTAGGAAAGAGTGTGCCGTGCCGTGCGAATAGTGACCAAGCATGGGGAAGGATTTTGTTCGCTGAATTGTGGTTTTTGGGGACTCCTTAAGGGTCTTGGTCTTTGTGTGCAAGTCGCGTCCAGCCAGGGCTCTTGCCAGACTAGATGAATGCCCGGGAGGTGCCACAAGAAGCTGCCATAAATTCTTTCCAATATCGCAGACATCTTCCCATGAATCAGACCCTAAACTGAGTCCTTGACTACGACAAAGCCAAGCCACATTCCAGGCCAGTAGTGTGACCCCCTCAATAAAAAGAGCATAAGCCGCAGGGTCCTCCTTGGCTAGCTTCGGAAGAGACTTGTCAATGCAAAGTGGACGGGGTCGAGGCTGATTTGAAGCCGGTAGCTCAGAGGACAACGGATGAGGGTTCCTTGGAAGGTAGGACGCAAAGGGGGTGTAAATGGTCGGCAACGGATAATCTTTATGTGGGAGCGTAATCTCCGCCGGGAGCCGTAGCGACAGATAACTAGAAATGAGCACAAGAATGTGCGCAATATGAGAACAAGACGTCGAGATATGCTCTGGCGTAGCGCCTGTTTGGCATTAGTGTTTGCACAAACAGAAGAGAGACAAACTTTCCATTCAGTTCTCTAAGATCAAGTATACCGACACCCCCAATAGTGTATGTTTCCTTGAGACCTCCTACGGTGTCTCTCTTCCTGACTCTCTGTCGCAAACCGTAGAGGCTAGCGGCTTCCCGACATAGAAAAATCCGAGCTTCAGCTGTCTTGGTGTGGCTGGAATGCCAGATGTGATCGGTCCTTTTGATATTGTTTCGAATATTGCTCAGTGATCCCGCCTCCCTGTCCAAAAGTTGATATATAGCGGAGTCCGAATCCGAGTGTTGTCTCGCTAGTTTTATCTTCCGCTGTGAGATGTCTTGACGCAAATCGTTGATACACGATTGCAAGCTTTTAACATGGCCTCTCATAACTTCTATCCTTGCAGCCGATCGTGATTGCTCGTTGTGGATACTCTGGAGAGTCCAGTGTTGCTTTCCCCAGTCGATGGTCCCACTCACATCTCCGCGATTGTGAAGTCGACAAGCAGCTTCGATTTGCTGACCTAGGTATTCTCTTTCCAAAATGGTGCTGGCGTTATCGATCCGTAGCTGGTAGAGTTGGTTCCGAGCACATGTTGGGCAATAGAATGCTGATGCTGGAGTACGAGCACATATGTCGCAACTCATTTCAGGAAATATGAGGTTGTTCAGTTTTACTTTGAGGCGATGGTTCGGAATCCCGATTCATCAGGTATGGATCAATAGTCCGGCTTCTGAGTTTCGGACCCATAGATATCGACTGGAAGGGCTGCATTAAATAGATGAATTCATCCGTTGCTTCAAGTGGTCACCGGAATCGTTGGCAGGGACTGCGACAAGTCGCCTACCTAGGTGAATGGGCTTGATGAGTTAGGAGGCAGGGAGCACATAATGAGGGAGGGATTTCCCTCGCAGTGAGTCGGCGGTAGACGTCACTTGATGGTGCCTCAGGCACCGCATGATTCCATAAACTACAAAGTAGGGTAGCACTTTCCCTTTCACAGCTCAGATAAGCCACCCAAACGGCTGGCTATGGCACATAAGAAAGCAAACAGTTCCCATGATCAATATAACAGTAAGCTGCAGTTTCAAATGTGCATTTGATTAGATTTTCCGAACATCAAATGACTGGCAACTCAGTAAACACAACCTCCTCACTTTCCCTCTGATCTTCTTTTGCAAAGCGAGCGCCCTGCCTATATCCGGCGTCTCTTGCAAGAAACGGCTATGATATCAGATTACCGACTTGGCTGTAAGTACTGCGTTCTGTATGCTATCAAAAACTAATGCTGGTTGCAGATCCTGTGCTAAAGATATGGCATCTGGTGATAAAACACCCTCTCGTATTCCTGGCCCCAAGTCTGGAATGACTCAAAGCAAACCCGTTGCTGAGCAGTCTGTTGTCTCCGGGGATGAATCGCTGCTTGACCTTCGAGACTTTGACTGGTCTCAGCTCGAAAGCAATTACGTACAAATGATGGAACAACACGAGAAGTCCGAAGAAGAGCTCCGAAACCATATCACCAACCTGCTCCAGGTACTAGGCCTGAAAATGCCTGAAATATGGTACTCTGACATCGACCATTTAGGTATTTACAGCTTGGTCCCAGACTACAGTTGAACACGACGAAACCAGAGCTTTGAAAAGGTTGGCTGACTCTCGTAAAGAATATGGCGTGTTATGCTGAGCAGTTATAGGTTCAGGACGCAGATGCATCATGTCCAGAACTCAGAAGAGAGCTTGGAGAAAAAGAGAAGGCACTGTAGGTCACGCCTCGATGTGAAACAGATTCTCCTTAACATTTTCCCGTACAGACATGAACGTTGTCAAGGCTTTCGAGAGCGCACTTGCGCTGCTAAACGATCGCATCAGGCCTTAGCTAGCAGCATTATAACCAAATCTCGGTCTGCTGGCTGGACCGTCGCTTTACTTACTTTTTCTACATCCTTCAAACGTTCTCGTGTCTGCTCGCCCTACCAACTATATTCTGCCATCGCGTATCCGTATTTCTCCTAGAGCTTGCTAACAATGCCTCCTCCTCGGCCTCCTCTGCATCCTCGTCAAGTTGCCGCTCGTCCAGCTTCGGCGAGCGTAGAAGAGCAATGAGCAGGGCAAGCAAGTGGATCCCTGTAGATATCAGTACTTGTCTTCCGATACATCAGGTACATACCCAAGAAAGCAAATTGGCCCCAAAAGAAAATTGCACCGAAAAAGGGAAAGTTTATTGTCACCCTGTTGAGAACTGTACTAGCCACACTAGGTGTACACACTCGTCTGGCTGCATCATTATCGACTGCTTCCGAGCAAGGCTTGACAAGATGCCTGGTTTCTGTGCAGCCTAGATGTATCCCGGACGTATCGGACGATCGATCGCAGAATGTTTGAGGTCCAAATGTTGCGTACTGGGGCGCGACAATCATGGAAATCGAGTAATTCAGAGCAAGGATCGCCAACATCAACATTGTCGTCATGAAAAGCAAGGCCTGCGGGGAAGTATGGCCTTTCCGAACCTGGAAGATACTGATCCATAAGAATCGAATCCCAATGCTAGCAATGCCGATCACCGTGCCGGAGAAGAGCAGTAGCGCAAGCATAGTGAAAATCACATAGTCGATCGGAAACACTTTGGCGGATTGTACGAATATTTGGTTAATTGGGTTGAAGATGTTGATATGCCCCAGGATATATCCACAATGACGTTTGCATAATGAGTTCTTGGCTTTATCGATGGCAGTCAAGAGCATAGATACCCAGATTAGTAGCACAACAAGGAATAGCATCAATCCAACTAATAGTTTGAACGGGCAGAAGAAAGCTTCAAATCTGGACCACGCTCTCATCAGGAAGGGCTGATGTTCGCCATCGGCCTCCTGTAGTAAGCGCTGCCTCCTGAACAGTGTTCTTTCTTCCCTCACTAGTGCGTCTAGTTCTCTGCGGTCTTTATGCGACAAAAGCTCAGGGTTACCTCCACAGCGGCCTTCTAATTGGCGCTGTCGTTCCCTGTTTGACTCAAGCTGCACAGTAGACGCTTCGTTCAAACTGCTAACATTCGGTAGCCGAGGACCACCTCTGATCAAACGGACAGGAAGAACGGCAAGACCTGTGGAAGTATACATGACATAGACACACATGCCAATCGTAATCAACAAGCCGAGAGCAAAAGTAAGAGCGCGTTCGCCACCTGATCTGAGTTAGCACAGACTTGACTGCGAGAGGGGAAACCCACGGTTCTCGCCGAGTAGATTCTTGAAGAAATCAAGGCCATTATTCCCATTCTCTCTGGCAATAGGCACAAAGAATCCAACGAGAAACAAAATGATGGATATGGCAACAAATGACAGTGTATATTTGAAAGCACCCCAAAGCCGCTGCCCGAAAGATTGCTCCCTTGCTTGAGCAGCCACTTCGTCATACTCTTCATACCAAAAATAGACGAATGGGACAACAAGAAGACAGAGAAGAATATCCAGAGAATACAGGATATAATATACAAGGGTCAGGGAAAAGATGATTCTATCCACGACTTCTTGAGTCGCCCAGTCTCTTCGTTGGCCCACGGCAGATGAGACGGTGGAAGAGACTAATGCGACATCAACCGGTAGTAAGAGAATCGTCGCAAGAAGGCTTGCAATTGCAACGGTACATGTCAGGGTCACTGATCGCGAGCGATCACAAGGAGTTTGATAAACATGAATAAAGACCGAGGCAATGGCAAACAGAATGGCCACTACAACTGCGTAAATGACCCAGATCAGTGATGTTTGCAATAGAGCCATACTGAGTAGGTAGGCATGCTTTTCAAAAGTGGCTGCACAAAGGTTATCAATCTGAGTATCATCTTACATCATTGACTTCAGGGATAAATACAGATCACGTGTGATCCCGAAAAATATGCCGCCTTTCACTAAAACCATTCAACAATGGGGTCCAGGTTGATGCCCTTACTTGTGAGATTGCTCATAATCCACAATCTACCAAGCCATGTCTCCTACGCGCAGGACAGCTAAACAGCAAAGACGTAGAGTTTAGGGCTATAAGCTTCATACCGCGGTTATTCCTTACTTTCACCGAGATGCAGTGCTATACTGAGCTCTCACCTCCTACAGGAGTGACTCATGCTCTGGCAGTGCCTTTCCTTTCTGCGAATTCCAACAATCTTGTCGTCGCCAGAACGTCGCTTCTCCAAATATTCTCTTTACGCAACGTATCGCCGGACACAAACATCAGCCGACACAAACTGATCTTGGAGAGGGAATATCCGCTGCCCGGAACCGTGACTGGTCTCTGTCGGGTCAAGATAATAAAGACAAAGAGTGGCGGAGATGCGGTACTGGTTGCTCTTCGGGATGCGAAACTGAGCTTAATTGAATGGGACCCGGAGCGCCATGGAATTGCAACCATTTCCATCCACTACTACGAGCGCGATGATATGAGCCGTAGTCCGTGGGTGTCGGATCTGAGCAATTGCGGCAGTATCTTAAGCGCAGATCCGAGTAGTCGATGTGCGGTTTTTCAGTTCGGCGCTCGAAATCTTGCCATTATACCTTTCCACCAACCTGGGGATGATTTGGTTATGGATGACTTGTCCGGCAACGAGCATGCACCGAATGCCACAGAATATACAACTCCATACGCATCATCATTCGTCTTACCTCTGACTGCATTGGACCCTTCAGTTATTCACCCCATCAGTCTGGCGTTCCTCCACGAATATAGGGAGCCAACTTTTGGCATATTGTACTCGCAAGTTGCAACCTCAAATGCCCTACTTCACGAACGAAAAGATGTTGTTTTTTATACGGTTTTTACGCTTGATTTAGAACAACGTGCCTCTACAACTTTACTTTCTGTTACTAGACTGCCTAGCGACCTGTTTAAGGTGGTAGCTCTCCCCCCTCCTGTAGGAGGGTCGCTACTCATCGGATCAAACGAACTCGTGCATATTGATCAGGCGGGGAAAACTAATGCAGTCGGGATAAATGAGTTCTCGAGACAAGCTTCTTCATTCTCCATGACCGATCAATCCGACTTGAGCCTTCGTCTCGAGAATTGTGTTGTGGAGCGCTTTTCTGAACATAATGGCGACCTTCTTTTGGCACTTTCAACAGGAGATTTGGCCCTGGTAAGCTTCAAGCTTGATGGAAGATCAGTTTCTGGAATATCGGTTCAACCCCTGTCAAGTCAAACAGAGAAATTCCTGGCTTCAACCGCATCATCTTCGGCTTTCCTCGGCAACGGAAAGATCTTCTTCGGCAGTGAGGACGCAGATTCAGTTCTACTGGGCTGGTCTTCTTGCCTCCCACCAAAGAGGTCTATCTCTGGAAACACTTCGAATGATGAAAGTGAAGACGACGCTTACGAAGACGATTTATACTCTGCGCCTAATATGGCAGCACCTAAAAATCTGCCATCGTTCGGTGATTTGCAAACCCATGACAGACTTTTCAGCCCCGGCCCCATCAGAGATCTTGTACTCGGGAAGAATAAAGACGTGCTTGAGCTAGTTGCAGCTCAAGGCTCGGGTGAAGGCGGTGCAATGGTGATCATGAAACGGGAGATTGATCCTCATCACGTTACATCAATGGCCACAGATTCAACAAACTTCCTATGGACTGTCTCCCTGCTCGGAGACCGCGACTATGTCATTCTACAGAAAGATACAGAGTCGTCCGAAGTGTTCATCCTTGAGGATGAGCTAAAACCTTTCACGGCGCCTGAGTTCAATCCAAACCACGACTTGACTATAGAAGTTGGAGTCTGCAAAAATAGGGTAGTTCAGATTCTGAGAAACGAGGTCCGGAGTTATGATGCTGGTGAGTACTTGACACATTGAGTACTCAACCAACACTAATAAAACAGACTTGGGGTTGGCCCAAATTTATCCAGTATGGGATGAGGACGATAGCGATGAAAGAGTGGCTGTCAGCGCTAGTATTGCGGATCCTTATTTGGTTATCATACGTGATGATTCAACTTTACTCCTGCTCCAAGCGGATGATAGCGGAGATCTAGATGAAGTGACCGTGCCCCAAGACATTGCAAGTCAAAAGTGGTTATCCGGCTGCCTTTATAGTGATAAGACTGGATTTTTCCTCTCGTCAGTTCTTTTTTTACTGAACCAGGACCATCAGCTTTTTGTAAGTTCCTCACACCACTCTGAACGTAGGCTGACAACCAGATTTTCCAACTGCCCGACCTAAGGTTGATGATTGACATCAAAGGGGTCGGCTGTTTACCACCTATCCTATCTACTGAGCCTCCCAAACGATCGACTACGCGTGAGAACGTGATACAAGTGTCTGTCGCGGACCTTGGTGACTATCACAGCAGCTTCCCCTATTTGATTGTATGCTCCTTGTCGATTTGTGACATGGAATATGCTGACTGAGAAGCTACGAACCGAAAATGATGACCTGGTTATGTATAGGCCGTTCTTGCCTTCCACCAAAGAACTGGCTGGCTTGAAATTTTTGAAAGAGTCTACCACCCCAGAATCAGGGCCGATTCGCACCTTACCGAATGTCTCAGGCCATAGCGGCATCTTCATGCCTGGGCCTTCAGCGGGCTTCGTCTTTCGATCTGCATCAACCTCGCCCCATTTTATTCGCCTGAGAGGTGACCATACCAAGGGACTGGGTTGCTTTGACTCCCCTGATAAGGGTTTTGTTTACCTTGACTCAAATGTGCGTTATCCTCTTGACCGGTGAATCATTACTAACTAGGGATAGGCTCTTCATTTAGCCAGATTTCCATCGGGAACACAGCTTGGCTACCCATGGTTATTAAGAAGGGTCTCAATAGGCGAGCAGATTGACAAGCTAGCGTACGCATCTGCTTTTGACACATATGTACTGGGGACTTGCCAGAGATCTGAGTTCAAGTTACCAGAAGATGATGAATTACATCCGGAGTGGCGTAACGAAGGTATTTCCTCCTTAAAATGGGTTGACTAAAGCTAACCAGCATAAGTAATCTCTTTCCTACCGGAGGTGGACCAAAGCTCGCTAAAGATCGTGAGTCCGAAAACGTGGTCTGTTATTGATAGGTATGCTCCTCAGCTTGGTCTAAGTGTAAGCTGACGACTTGAAGCTATCCACTAGAGCCCGCTGAACATATAATGGCCATGAAAACCATGAGCCTAGAGGTTTCTGAAAACACACACGAACGTAGGGATATGATTGTGGTGGGGACTTCGCTGGCCCGCGGAGAAGACATACCGTCTCGCGGCTGTATATATGTTTTTGAAGTCATCGAAGTGGTTCCCGACCCAGACCAGCCGGAGACGAATCGCAGACTGAAGCTTATTGGCAAAGAGCCAGTAAAGGGAGCTGTTACTGCACTATCCGAAATTGGGGGCCAGGGCTTCCTGATCGCGGCGCAAGGCCAAAAGAGCATGGTTAGAGGTCTGAAAGAGGACGGAAGCCTTCTGCCTGTTGCATTCATGGATATGCAATGCTATGTCAGCGTCGTAAAGGAACTCAAAGGAACCGGAATGTGTATTCTCGGAGACGCAGTGAAAGGTATCTGGTTCGCGGGGTATTCGGTACGTCTTTTATCTCGGTCTAAACCCGATCTCTAACTGGCCATAGGAGGAGCCCTATAAAATGAGTCTCTTCGCCAAAGACCTTGATTATCTTGAGGTGATGGCGGCAGACTTTCTTCCCGACGGCAATAAGCTATTCATTGTCGTTGCCGATAGTGACTGTAACCTCTATGTACTCCAGTACGACCCTGAGGGTGAGATACTTTTGACCGCCTTCCTCCCATTGTTACTAACCTAGCAGATCCAAACTCATCCAACGGCGATAAACTGCTGAACCGCAGCAAGTTTCACACGGGCAACTTCGCCTCCTCCGTGACACTTCTGCCACGAACCCTGGTCTCCTCCGAGCGCGCCATGTCCGGCTCGGACGACATGGACATGGACAGCGCAGCACCACTCCATCAGATCCTCGTAACCTCTCATAATGGCTCCATCGGCCTAGTCACCTGCGTCCCGGAGGAATCGTACCGCCGCCTCTCGGCCCTTCAATCCCAACTAACCAACACCCTTGAGCACCCGTGCGGCCTCAACCCTCGCGCCTACCGCGCCGTCGAGAGCGACGCTAGTGCTGGCAGAGGCATGCTCGATAGCAATCTGCTTCTGCAGTATCTGGATATGAGCAAACAGCGCAAGGCGGAGATTGCGGGAAGAGTTGGAGCGACTGAGTGGGAGATTCGCGCTGACCTTGAGGTTGTTGGTGGTAATGGGCTTGGATATCTCTAATGGACTCTTGCCGTGATTCAGGTAGTTATATTGCAGTCTGGTAGTACATTATTTCGAGAAAACCGTCAACCTCTTCCACTTCGAGAGACAAGGCAAAAGCCGCCGCCTCCACCGCGAACCTGAGTGCCATGCGAGGGACTTATCATTGAAGAAATTGAGAAAAAGTGTTAGCAAAAAACTACATACAACAGCTGGGATTCGCATGTGGTCACCCACCATACTACTAACCAGCCGGCGTGTGGTTTAAGTACGGCTGAGCGGACGGGAAGCCCTGTTCTCCACACCCTATGGTCGTATGTGCTATTTTTGTGCTATATAACGTTGAGATTCGCCTCAACTTAATGTGCCCTTCGCATTCATGAATATACCTATCGGGTTAAGAATTATTAAATATCTTTGATTGTAATTTCACCGTTTTATTTGGTTAAGCTGCCTGCCGTCTTTTATCAATGCGTATACCTGTTCCATGCCCGTCCCAATGCACCCAGCCTCGGTCAGAAAGAACCGGCCATGCAAGGTAATGATAATATGTTCAAGGGTAGAAGAACACTCAGAAAAGTACTAGACACGAGGCGAAGATTATCGAATGCAGGGGGAGTGTTCATTGACGGCCAGCCGAATTTCAGTATACCTACCAAGATCATCAAGATCTGCTAGGCAAGAGAATGAGTATGGTCCACCTAATACCGCCAGAAACATGACAGACCTCACATATGACAAAATAGAGTATGGGAAGAGAGAAAAAAAAACAAGGCAAAAGGGGTAATCCGGTAGACTCCGTCGCGCCACCACCGAAACCGCCCAGTAGAGAAGCATACATGTGCAGAAAAGACGTCAAATCATTGTACGTGAAGTTTTCCGAAACTGTCCATCCAGATGGATACGTGCTCTTAACGAAAAGGAATCATTGCAGATATAAAGCACAGCCGTACTCAGCGCAAGCGTAAATTGGATGTGGTTGACCGCCCTCAAAAAACGTCCTCTGCAGCAAAATATCGTTTGCTCTGGCCTCGTGCCGTAACGTACTTCATTTGGGGCATAGTTGTGTGGTGTACCACGTGTGGGCGATACACCGCATCGACAGGCCCTTGCCAGTCCTCCAAGCCCAAGGGGAAATATTCATATAGGACATCGGCACTTTCGCTCACAAAAGGCAGGCCGGAGGCAAGGTGCTGCTGAAAGTTTGTTGTGTTTACCATGGGTACTGTGGCGGACGTGCTTCTCGACTGTGTATGAGGTATAGAGTGTGAGACCTTGCGCATCTTGGCTGGTCTCCCTGAATCTATACTCAGAGACTTTGACTCAAATGATGTGTGAGGACGGCCTTCGCCATTCAGTAGACTAAGAGGGTCGTCGTCAAGAAGAGATAAGTTAATAGGAGCCGCGATGGCGCTGGTCGTCCGTCGATGCGTCTCTACTGGTCGCGAGAATTCTGGGCTGGACTGCGAGTATATTGATGGGTGTGGCAGCGTCGTAGGAGGAATTGTGGCACCTGCTGCAGGAGTAATCTGCGACCAGTCCGGGGAAGCCTGTTGCGAAGGAGCCACGTTCGGCTGCGACGCCGAAGTCTCCGGGGAGCTGCTTTTCCCGGCGGCCTTCGCTCTGTCGGTCAGACTATTCGAGTTTTGACTACCTGCAGCCGCTTGCGCATTCTTCCTGGAAGCGGCGGCACTACCACTCAAGGGTAGATCCTTCCTAGACTGGAAATTGCGGGGGCTGCGACCGCGGACGATGACCGGCCCCGAGTGGACCTCGCAAATCGGAGCTTTCATACCCGTGGACAAGGTTGCTATAACCCTGAGTCGAACGACAAAATGCTGTTGAAGCTCCTTTCTGCGCCCGTTGTTGGCAGTCGCGACGCGGAATTGAAGGCGCTTCCAAGCGATTGGGAAAGTGGCGTAATCGGCATCAAGATCCTGGCCAGTCAACATGTCTAGTGGGATAGCTGGGGGTTCCTTCTCGATCTTGGCGGCAGTATTGCTACTGCTGTTTGCATCTTTGGCAGCGTCATTTACAGCGGGGGTCTTCCATGGCACAGAGATTATCTTGACCGAGTTGCCCTCGACAGACTCGGTGGCGGACACTGTCAGTTCCTGTGCGACAATGGGTATCCGATCGCCGTTCTCTGTGATGAGGTAACGTAGGGCCCGAGGAAGGGTCACAGAGCCAGTGATTTGAAATAGGTTTCGCCGGTAGCAGGTCAATTCCGCCCCCTGCTGAGGCGGAGCATTCTCCGTTGGAGACGTCGTCCACGGTGACTCGGCGAGAAAAAACATGCCGTGTAGCTGAGCTGATATCGATATTGAGGTGCGCCGAAAAGAATAGTCTAGTAGATTCCACGGATATACCGGCATGGAAAAACTCAGTAGCTTATTGTTATGGTCGATGGACGAGTCGGCAGGCGGCTCAGCTGGAGGGGCGGCTTCAAAGGGAGACACCATATCCGGGAACGGGTCTTCATAACCGGAAGAGAACCGCTTGAGGGTTTCCGCGGGTAACGTATGATGGGTAAACGTCAGATCATCTCCGCTGTCCGAGATAACGATTAGAGGGTATATCTCAGGAAACAGAAGAACTACATACCTAACGAATGTATCGGAGTCAAAGTTGGAGCGCTGGTCGGGAAGGTCCATGCCTGGCAAGGCATTGAGGTAATCTGAGCCTTGGATATTCCCTAAAGACAGAGGGGAAGCCAGGTAGGGCATCGCCATGGTGTCGAAGCCCTCCATGGTGAGTGTTCAGCAGTGAAATTGGGGGAAATGAGCTGCAGGAATAGAAGAAGCTATTCAAGGACGAAGGGAACTATCTGTAAGCGTAGGAAGAAGTGACGGTGAACGCTGGCGGACCAGGTGACAGGAGGGTTAAAGTTGCGAGACCATGGGAGGGGGGCAAGGACGGCGAAAGAAGAAAGAGGCTCGAGAGACTGCGATAAAGTATACAGAAGAGGAACAGAAGACGATGTCGTCCAGGACTTGAGTCTTGAATGGCGCCGAGTGGATCGGCCACCCCCGAAGTCAGCAAGCACTCAGGACTGCAGCAGAGCACGTTAGTGGGGATCGCACTAGTGGGAGGAACTAAAGAAGAAACGAAAGACCCCGGGCAGGAGAACGATCCGGAGAGAGGCTAGCGCTAGGGCGATAAAGGCAGAGATAACAGGGAAGCAGACGGAGCCGGCGACTGGGGAGTGTTAGCGCGCTTCTGGGAGCTAGACTAGGCCAGACTCCAGAGTCCAGTGTCCACTGTCCAGGTCCCCAGGAGGTAGGGTTGTACAATTTACCGTAAAGAATAATTCCTTACCCGAAATTGCTGACAGAGGTTAATTCATTACTGACGAAGTAATGAATCACGTGCTACAAAAGTGGGTCTAGCTTGGCGCTAAGCTTTTCTGCCAGCCAATAAGATGCTGGGATATTTTGTATGTGAAGTCAGAATTATCGCTTTGCTGGCCGTGCTCTGCTCGTTAATTTTACCGCGGCGCTAACCCGATTAGGAGGCGGCAAGTCACGTGATTTTATTCTTTCGTCAGGAATCATTCCTTACCGAAAAAATCCTTAAATTTCGACTTTCCGTAATTACCGTCAACTATTTTGTACATCCCTACCAGGAGGAAGAGTAGTTAGAGGGGCGGATTCTCCATGTTGGATTTTGGTGGAGAGCGAGACTGAGAGCCTTGAAGGTTCAGTCTGGAGGAGGGGAAAAGTCTAAGTCGCGCGCCGCTCTGGTTCGTCGGCTGGATCGGGCTAGTCCCTTTTTCGTCTCCATACGGAGTAGTCCACAGTCCCAGATTCGCACTCCGTCTCAGTCTCGCTTTCTGCGACCGGAGACGGCTCTCTGCTTTCATCTCAGGAATTGTCATTACTATTATAATATTAACCAGCAGGATACTTTGTGAGCCTGACCACCGTGAGCCCTCTGGTTGAGCCTCGGTACGCCCTGCGGGCACGTTAAGGACCTTCCGCATCAGGCAGGTCCCCGCCCCGATAGCACTACCTAAGTTTATTAACAGTGCTCCACTTCAAAGGGCTGGGGAAATTGTCCTGCGCCGAGCAAGACTGAGCGCATCCTGATGATGGCTGCAGACATGCCGTATTACTACTACGAAGCATCATGCTAGCAGGGATTATCTGCATGATAATAATATTGTTGGTATGCCCGCCAGATAATGTTCGGTTAAGGGAGGTTAACCTCGCTAGATACAGTTAAATGACCTTCTTGCCTACTCCGGAGGCAACAATAAAGGGCGCTGGATAGCCCTCCAGCTCCTCGACCATGGATCAGGAGATGACAGACCGATGAACGCAGCACACACCCTCTTTGCAGTTTGCACTACTGGCCATGTATGCAAGTCTTCATACATTCCTCCAGCTGACCGCATGAATTGGAGACTGGATTGGCGGGCGGGCAGATTGATCGGCGGTGGTCTGGCTGACATGCATCTCGATCCTTTGCCCTGAAAGTCCCTGAGCGCAAACTCTCCGTTGGATTTGGATCTGCTCCCGCGCTGCCCCAGGCTTCGAATCCTGTAGCAGCGATGCAGCCAGTCTATGAGCTCATGTGGCTTTTTCTCGACTTACTTCAGGCTCAATATCGCCACGGGGCTTTATCACGCAGTCTCTCGCTGTGTTGTACGAGTGCGAGCAGGGGCAATGATTGGGCCGGCATGGCCATGGCCAATAACTCAGGCTTCAGCACTCTTCTCCTTGCAGTCCGCGGTCTACGGAGTAACCATGTCGTGATATATTCTGATCCGAAAGCTGCGGCTAAAACACGGCAGAGCAGAAGCAAAACCGGGCCCAATGGCTTCCATGCAGGTTGAATCCCTCGTCTTTTCCAGAAGGTTTCTAGAATGCGTTGAGCCTTTTTTGCATGTGATTGGCGCCATGCATAACAGCTTTTCTTAATATATCAATCGCTGTTACTCGGTATAGTATTACCATTCTTACTATTATTGTGTCCCCGTCGTTGACATCATGTGGAACCGTGTTTCGGTTCTCGAATATGAACAAGCTCCCTGTCCTTTGTACATGTACATCATCTGTACATCGTCAGGGGCAAAAGGTATGAGGCCTTTCGCATGGTCAGGGAATGACATGCCGAGGAAGCTTGCTAGAATACAATGGAAGTGTTCGATGCGCAGGGGTTTATCGCTGCCACAGAAGATTCAACGGCGCTCTCCGATCGTAGGCCATGCACAGTGATCCTGATAAGCTCGTCAACAGTTCAGGTTCGGAGGCGCCAAGCTGCGTCAGGCCCCAGCCAAGGAATCGCAGCTTTCCAACATTCTTCATCTCCGTCGTCAGCCAACGAGAGAATCCAGAATTAAATTCTGCCGCCGTAAGAAGCTGAAAAATGACTGAATATTAATAAATTTCGGTTGGTGGCGACACAGTGCCAGCCCACACTTTTCTTCCTCCTGCAAACGGCCGACCAGCTCGAAGCATCACCCAATAATGGAGCTATCATGGCTTTTTGTCTCGACTGGCCGCAGACGATCGATGAAAACGCATCCGTCTCACGGCTGATAGCGAGCACATCAGGGAGATGATCCGATAGGACGCTTGTTCCTGATCCCTCACAGCTCGCAATCTCTTCATGCTCACGACAAGCTGTCAGGTCACTCAATTTACCCGTGGTATATTGATCGGGTTGCCTGTGATACCTCTGTCGAGTTTCGACGTCTAGCTAAGACTGCTGACCGCAATCCTGGGCGACGCCACGAAGCGCACATAGCGTCTTTCAAATCTGGCCCCGGCTGGGGTGACAGGATACTCGTTCCTGCGCTTGATCAGTGCAGATCATCCGGAACCTGATCCTGATCGTCCTCGTTCTTTTTTACTTACAGGGAGCCCGGAAACTGATACGCCAGCCGTCGGCGATGCAATGCGCGAGTCATGGATCCGTGATGCCAACCAACCTTCAATGACAGATCAACATCTCCTTTATTTCTCTGTCTCACAAATAGGACTAGGAATAGACAGCAAAAGAGAAGTATGCCTGAGCCGGGCTGGAAGAATCTGTGCATAAATGAACATGCCAGCATACATACTATCTAGTATATATGCAAGTCTTTGTATATAGCAAAGTAATCAAAAATGGGTATATAAGAAAATCGCCTCTTTTTCAATTCATCAAGAAGCTGGTACCATCGTCCATGTCGCCGCATCGCAATTGACTTCCTCGAAGCTATGCAGCGTGCTGAATCCAATCTCCGTCAACCAGTCAAAGTTACTGTCTGCATCCACCTGCAGTGTGTCAGCAAACCTCAAAATACATAAAAATCAAGAGAAGCGTACACAATCGATAATAACAGCGTCTGCGCCCTGTTTGCGTATCTGCTTGATGCCTAATAGGATCAACCCCTGCAAAAGAGTTGCGTATTCCCCGACCGAAGGCCAAATCACTGGGGACGAGATCCCCCCTGTCGACACATGCGTGACCTTCATCGCGGGCATATGCTCCGCCAGGCTCGATCGTTCGTTGTAGATAACCACGCTGCCGAGGATCGCCCCGTCATTTGGTCTTCTTGCCCGGATGATGCCGCAATGCGGCGCCCCGCCCAAAGCAATTTTGTATATGTCTATTACGCCCTGTCTGGAATTAGTCTTGACATGGTCGATGATCGAGTCGGCGTAATCCCAGCCGTGGACAAGGTCGTAATTTGCGTCTGCGCTCTGAAGGCTGTGCACTAGGCCTTCGGGCGGAGACCAGGTTTGCAGATTGCGGAGAGCAACGCTGCAGACGGGGCGAGAGAGGGCGGTGTTCCAGCCCAGATTCGCAAACCACTGCCGCCGTTTCTTTCTCTCAATAGGATTGGCGGAGGGAATGCCCAGGTAAATCCCGGGCAGACGAGATCCGAGCTGGAACCGCTTCATCCCCTTCCGCTGCAGAAGCGTTCGGATGGCGCGGTTGTGGAGGGAATTCCCAATCGAGAGCCTCCGTCGTGATGGGTCGACGATCAGCGATCCAATAACCCCCGTGCCCGTGGCTCGGAAGAAGTAGGTCGAGCAGAAGCCGTAGAGGGCTCGAGTCGTACTGTTTCGGACAACAAAGTGAGCCTCGTCAATGTCGTCTCTCCGCAGTAGAAAACTACCGGGTGTTGCCCCAGATAGCTCAGGGCTCATCGTCTTCAATAGTGCGTCCAATGCATCAGAGTCTCTCTCCTCGTTCCAGTTCTCCACGAGCCAGTGTTGCCTTGCCTGGTGGAGCTTCTGGCTCCGATTAAAGGAGCCCGGCAATGAGCCCTTGGGCGTCAATTCTCCATATAAAACTTTGACCAGTGCTTCCAGAGCCGTGTCCGTGAAATCATATGTGCAAAGGTAGGTTCCGATGCTCGCATCCATGGCAAAGTCATAAGGTGAACTTGCCCCAACCACAACCAATGGCTTCTCTAGCGGTTCGCCTGATGGAGTGAACTGGGACTTACAGATCATAGACACGTGTTTGGTGAAACCCTGTTGATAGATGTTTCTGACAGCATCCGCGGTGATAACAATGACGGCACTGGCGCGGTCAATAAGACTCTCATGAATTGGGCGTACACCATTTGATGTGTATGATGTGTGCAGAACACGTCCGTTCCGATGGCGCGAGAGCGATCTTCCCAGTTCCTTAAAGACGCTTTCGCCACTGAGCACGGAAGCCGTCCTATCCCAGGCTACCGCATCCACCGACATTTCCAATTGCTCAGTCACCGAGCGGGATACGGCAGAGGCCGGCAAAGGCTTCACTAAGGGGGTCAAAAGAAGGAGCTCCTCGTCGGCGCTCAAGACGTTGGTTAGCGGTAGCAGGTTCTTGTTATCGCGCACAACCGAGATCGAATTGCTGTAAGCTCCCGTTGAGAGGCTAGTGTGTGCTGGCTGCATTTGAGTAAGCAGAGGCAGACCTCCAGGGTTAAGAGCTTGCTCCCATGAAGTACATTTCTCTTTCATGGCCAACACCCTCTGTAGCGATTCCTCTATCCGAGCCCGGTTGATAATGCCGTTCTCCACACCGAGCTTCAATCCGTTGATAGCCTCTTGCTGTACCTGAAACGATCTGCACAGCAGTATTATATCGCAGCCTGCATTCTTGGCCATCACCGTACCCCCGCCAACGCCAATATTATGGGTAAGGGCTTCCATCTCCAAGCATTCCGAAACAACAACTCCATCAAATTTCATGTCCTTTCGTAACAAGTCGTCAACGACCTGCTCACTGAGACAGGCATGCATGACATTGACGCCTGCGGATGACATAGAAACACCCCCCACCATCATTGCGTCGAGACCATTCATTATGGCGTTGCGAAAAGGAACCAATGCGGTCAAGCTGAGCTGCTCCAACGATTCCGTGATAATGGGCACGTCGGTTTGAGATCCCAAAAATTCCAAATTTCCATACGACGGAAAGTGCTTGCCGCAAGTTAGCAGGCCGGCCTGCTGGTAACCTTTCATAAACTCCACCCCGTACTGGGACACTTCTTGCGGATCATCGCCGCAGGTGCGAACGCCCATAAGTTGATTTCGTACATTCGTCAAGACGTCCAGCACGGGCCCGAGGATCCAATTGACTCCAACAGCTTTGAGCTCTTGGGCTGTAGCAAAAGCGACGTCATGAGCCAGAGCTTTTGAACCTGTAGCCGTAATACCCATTGCACTTGGAAACTGCCGAATATATATCTCGTCGTACAAGCTATTCACCCCACCATTTTCTTGGTCCAAAGCTATAAGCAACGGCACAGGATGACCTGCATCCCGAGCAATTGTCTGCAACTCCAGAACCAGCCTGGTCGCATCCTCTGCAGCTATTTCTAGGTCAGTTTTGTGTAGTGAGAAAATAGAGATAGCCAGTACATTTGAGGTTCTTAGCGGTCAACAGGATTGAACCTAGATGATAGTTTTGAATGAGAGAGCGAATCTCAGGACTGGCCGACGTTCCATCGAAGCCCATCATGAAGAGCTGCCCCATCTGCCTGTCGACGGGAACTCGAGTTAGCAATGTACAGTGAAGCCGTCATAGCAGTCGACTTGATAATAGAAAACGCCAAGACTAGAATCGTACCTGTCGAGATTATCCCAGCCAGGGGGCAGCCCATCTTCTTTGGGGGCCATGTTGGCCTCCGGCGCCCGTGAGGAATGTCAGGCCAGAGCCTATCTCTCAGAGCTGACCCACTTTCGTGAGCCGGGTCAGGAATTCGTGTCGGGGGAATGGCGTGTCAGGACAAGAGTGAACGTCGACAAGGCAAGGTTGAAGCTGACACACAGCCTGAGCCGGCTTAAGCTCCAACAACACTAGCTCAGTAGTAGTACCTCGCGTGAGATGCGACCGGGGCGAGTGAGCTACGGCTGTGGAACAAATGACATTTCATCCAGGTTGGCGGGGTTACAAGAAGCTGGCTTAGGCCTTCTACTCCGCAGTCCAGACTCCGCGGAGAGCTTGCTTGGATACCGTAGGAGTAAGCCCGCCAGAATCACCAGGAACGGGTAGTGAGCTCCCTAAAGCAGTAACCCATTCGAGACGCTAATTTCCGAACCAGCGTAGTTGGACAAAGGTATGACGCCTCATTCGTGGTTTCGAATCCAGTAAACCCACGTTTGATGAAGCTGAGAACGTGTGGGGTGACAGGTCGGGATATCCACCCGTCGATATCCACCCACGTGACGTAGAGCTGCGGAGGTGTAATAATACATGCATGGACTTTAGCTTGACACATGTGCTGCAGAGCTTGAGGTCATAACTCTAAATGCTGCCCCGATTGATATCTCATTGCAGTGTAGCTGGGGTATTCCTGCTGAAGAAGTAGCCAGCCGGAGAATGAAGGATATGATGTTTCCATCCATGTTCTTGTGTATTTGCGGCGTAAATTACTCTAGCCACCCTCGGTTAGCGTCCGTCAACGTCACTTTTCGACACTGGATTATTGCCGCAGAAATCAACTTAGCCAGGCTCTACGCTAGCATACCCTTTTGGGTTCAGCATGTGACCACCTGGGCATACACTGCTAATAGTCTCATTCAAAAGCTTGGTTGTGCTTCAGACGCCTGTTCAACCCTTTGCAGCTTTCTATGCCACTTTGCTCTTTAATTTAGCGCCATTCTAACCATATAACTCTCGCGAGCAATGACTTCTCTTTATGATAACATATATAAATCCGCTTCTGACTATTGTTTATTGTCTGTGGATCGTGATATATCTGACGGCCTTTGGGTGTGAGCTCACTTAGTGTATGTTGTATTCCTTCTTATCGCTACACTCTGCTTTGGTTTTTCAATGTATCCATGCTACTTTACATGATGTCCTTATCTTGACGGCAGGTCTTTGATTCGTACCAGCAGTGATCAGAGCCTTTGGGTATCGGCGAGCGTTGGGTTGCCACTAGCCTGCATTTATTATTGCCCACTACTCTATATTATCTGTACATCACCGGCTGGGAACACAATCTATCTTGGGGTTAGACTAACTGTGCGACGAAGATGATTCTGTCCTTTCAAAGCTTGCCCTGCTCAAACTATAGCCTACTTGGAAATAGATATCTGTGTACTGGCCCCGGCTTAGGTTGAGAGAATGGTTGCGCTATTCTCAGCATCAAGGCTACTCGTGAACCGATTATAATCCTGAGTGTAGGCAAGAACGGCAAAAAAATGTGACTTCCTGGAAAAAGGCTCCCAGTAATTATGGATCTTCTTTGCTGTTATATCTTGTTAGTTTATCTACTTTCAACAATACGCTGTATGGGCCCTATTATTTTACATTTTGTCGATCCATCCTCACATCTCGTCTAGCTACTTGGTATCATGATATAAAGAGCCAAGCTGACACTCTACCATGTTCCCCAGGGGCCCATATTACGAGTGATCGTGGGTCGGCCCGGGTCTCGTATCAGGCACCTTTGTAGCAACCCACTTATATAACCTTGCCTTCAAGCTTGATGCGCCTTATCTACTTTAATCCGGCATAGTAGAAGTAGGGGTAGGCTTTGTCGGTGCGGCGGGCGTGGTATGACGGGTGTGTGAGCAGCGCTCATCGAAGTAGTCGACGTGGATCAATTATCAGAAGAGAGCTTGGCCTTATAGTGCTGAAGCCAAACCACAGCGCTTCGTGCAACACACTCGCTGCCAGGAATAATAATCTTAGAGAAGTGAGGCGAAGTATCCAGGTAATTGCGAATAGGGTCAAAGCAGTTAAGACAGTGGATACAGCAGGAGAGCGTACTCTAGTCAAAAAGCAGATAGTTTGGCTATCTTAAGAGCTGTCATGTAAAAGTGCAGACACCATGACAAACTCCATAGTATGCTCGTGAACGTGCAATGCCAAAGCTATTTGGATGGTGAAGACATCTAGGGATGATACTAGCGAGTGAGACAGTGGATAAGGCAGGAGGCCATGCCCCTTGGCGTCTCAAGTTCTGAATTTGTCAATTTGAGATGTTCAATTTGCATGATAGTGCCAAGGAGTTTCAGTTTGGAAATGAGAGTTCAACAATTCAGTCGCTTGCCAGGGTGCTGAAGGAAGGCATGGGCCTCGTCCCCGTCCCTTCTAAAGGAGAGGAGACTCTGTCGACGACCTCTCTCCCTCTGTTGATAATATTGGATACGATTATTTAACCTCTTTCATTGTTTATTCTGGAGCGCATTTTATTGGTCAAAGTTGTTGTTTTCAGCAGCAATGTCTGAGCAAGTACAGAGATGCTCCAAGTGCAAGAAAACCAAGCTGCTTGTTGAGTTCCTCACTTGGCAGGAAAGGCACTGCAAATGGAGTGAAGATTGTCGTGAAAACAAGAGAAAAGTAGTAAGTACCACTAAGCTGCAATTGCACTGTTTTCTGAATGCAATAAGAACAGAAGATACAAAAGGAAGGTCGCAAACAGCTCAAACGAAGATACCACTGCGTAATTGACCCAAAAGCAGGCTATTCATCAAGACCTCGGAAATGCAGTTTACCATATACAGCCAGCTGTGACCCAAGAGCAGCAGAGTACCTCTGCTTCGATCGCAGATACATCCACTTTGTCGTCAACCATGTCCCGCGAGCCAATGCTCAACCGTCCCATTGCAAGCCCGGTAGAGCACGGCCTAACTGGGGCAGGTCTTTCTGTTGGATCACAGACAGGTCCGATACTCTCGACTTTCTTTCAAGGATCCAGACCAGGATTTCCAGCGGCAGGACTGTTCGCTAATCCGCACACCCAATTGCTTCCCTTGGGTCAAGGTCCACCAGGCTCACCGGCAACTCCGGCACCTGATGCTGGGTTTAAACAGGACTTTGGCGATCTATCTATATGTATCTTGTGTCATCAGCAGGGACACACCATGCTTGGCCCTCAAGGTATATGTCCACGCTGCATTGAAATTAACAGCTATGCCGGAGTTGGGATGCTTGGACCTGCGAGATCAAGCTACAGCGCTCGCCCTCTGTATGGCCCTGACGTGGCCATTCCCAGCATTGAAGATGACATGTTCTTAGAGGGTGATGAATCCACCCCAGCCCCAAGCACGACCATCTACCAGACCCCGTCGCGTCGCGAGAATAATCCAGGCACCTCAGATGGTATATACTTCGCGCCAAGCCAAGATTCGAAGTCTTGATTGGATAAATATTTGACTAATCGCCACTTTGCCAGGGCTGAATTCCACTAATGTCACGTGATCTGCCAGTTGGAGATGGTATTTACCAACCATACAATACACTTGTGAAACCTGAGCCTTTCGGTCTGGTACGTCAAATCTGTGGTCACCAGCCGGAAGCCAATACCACCTCACAGGGAGAGGGTTGCACAGTCGCACTGTGCTTGGGATGCAACAACATCGTCACAGCTGCGTTGGGCTTAGCGTGAGTCTTATCCAGCCTCCACAGTGTCATCCTCTCTGAACCACGGTGCCTTCTGGCTGGAGGGAACCATGCCACCTGAAACTGCAACATGAAGCTATTCACTGCATTATTGTGATTTCTTATTAGCTCACTGGAGCGGCAAACCCCTCCGGTCAGTGTCTCCGAAGATGAGTCGAATCCCGAGTATTCCTCCCGAACAGGCAGGTTGAAGCTTACCTTCGGCTTCACGTTCCCAATAATAATGACGCTTGCACCCATCCCTTGGCCGTGCTTCATACCAACCTGCATTAATGTGTATGATCATGCAGCTGGCCCAGATAAGATCTCGCAATGGCATTTCAGAAGCCCCAGGAAGAACTCCGCACTATCGCCATCATCCCGTCCAGTTATCTTGAATAAACCGAGCTTCAAGTAAGATAATCCAAAGCTGGACAGCCAGTCGTAGACCAGGGTAGTGTCACGCTCCACCGGAAAGGCTGATCCAGAACGGGGATTGTAACGGAGCCATGGGTTTTCATATGCCGTTGGCCACTACGTGAATGGGCCTTCAACCAGGCCTTATACTGCCTTAAGCTCCGGCCGTCGCTCTCTTTCCGAATCTCTCCCAGCCTTTCAACATACTACAGTCTGCTGCTTGCTTGCTTGCCATACTTTGACCAGTTGGTCAGCCACCTGCCACGCTCATTCTGATATCGGCTATCCAACTTCGGTGACGTAGTCTCTCGAAGCTTGTCATCATGTATGTTTCGAGCTGCACTTGACTTTTTTGGCCGTGCTGATGTGACTGCTTTAGGAGAGTGATCATTAGGGATACATCTCTACAAGCCTCAGAGTATATCGCTGATTATATTATCAGTATGTTCGTTTTGATATTGATATCGAGAAGTGACTCAGCTAACATCTTCTCTACTAGGTCGTATCGAGTCTTTCAGACCTAGCGAGAGCAATCCATTTGTTCTGGGTCTACCTACTGGAAGCAGCCCAGAGATCATCTACAAGACTTTGGTTCGACGCCACAAAGCTGGAGATGTCTCATTCAAACATGTTGTGACGTTCAACATGGTACGGAGGACCGCACTGATATCCAGCTTTCTCTCGCTAACGGGCATAGGACGAGTATGTCGGACTTCCACGGGATCACCCCGAATCGTACCATAGTTTCATGTACAAACATTTCTTCTCGCATGTGGACGTTCCCCCGCAGAACATCAACATCCTTAACGGGAACGCTCCGGACCTAATCGCCGAGTGTGCCTCCTTTGAGGCGCGCATTGCTCGATACGGCGGGATCGAGCTCTTCCTAGGTGGAGTAGGATCCGACGGACACATTGCGTTCAACGAACCGGGGTCATCCTTGAACAGCCGTACGCGGGTCAAGACCCTGGCCTACGACACGATCATGGCCAATTCCCGATTTTTCAACAACGACGTGACTCAGGTCCCGCGGATGGCCTTGACCGTGGGCATCCGAACCATCATGGAAGCCCGCGAGGTTGTGGTTGTGGCAACCGGCGCGCACAAAGCCCTGGCGCTCAAGGAGGGCCTGGAAGGTGGAGTGAACCACATGTGGACAATTTCGTCACTGCAATTGCACCAGCACCCTCTGATTGTGTGCGATCGCGATGCCACCCTCGAGCTCAAGGTCAAGACCGTGCGCTATTTCGAATCCATCGAGCAAGCTGGGACCGATGCGCGCACCCAGGGTCCTCCTCTCGTCTACAGACCTCGAACCTATTTTCCTGCTCCGATGGCAGTCGACAGGTCGCAGGAGCTTACTCCTGCTGCCACGCCCGAGAAGACTTCAAAGGAATTGAGGATCAACACGGATCTTACGCAGTCGTTCGAAGAGGACGAGCTCACACCCGACAGCATGTCATCTCGTTTGGTTGACTCAGCTGTTGGGGGCCTGGATGCAACTCTCAAGGGTGACCTGATGTTTGACCGCATGGGTGCGAGGATGGAAGCTCATTAGTTCTATTGGCAAGGAGAGATCAGGAGAATGCATTCATGCGATGGTAGCTTGCTGGAAAGAGTTCAGACGCTGAAATGGCTTCTTTGATTAATCAATGCGTTTTATACAACGTTATTAGATCAAACTATAGACTGACTACTGGTAGAGTAGCTTATATTCATAGAGCGGCGAATTGATTGGATATGTATTATTATGGTTCGCTATCATCTTCAGGCTGTAGAAACGTTCGTAGGTTGTGGCGCATGTATCACCAAAAGATAAGTAAACATCAGTGTTGGTCGTATCATATATCATATACCTATGAATTCGTATCACTATCATATACCTATGGAAACAGACGTGTTTTCGAAATATTTACAGCTTCGCGAAAACAGTCGCAACTGCATTGCCCATGTCGACAAGTGTGCTCTTGTTGCGCACCCAAGCCTCAATACCTCTACGACCATTCTCAACACCAAGACCACTCTTCTTCCATCCACCAACCGCCATCTCAGCAGGGCTCTCGCCCCAGGTGTTGACCCAGGTGATACCGGCCTCGAGCTGGTCAATGATGCGGTGCGCCAGGCTGAGGTCCTTGGTAAAGACACCGGCGGCGAGACCGAGCTCCGTCGAGTTCGCGCGCTTGACTGCCTCCTCTACTGAGTCATAGGTCAAAATCGACATTACAGGGCCAAAGATCTCCTCCTTGACGATGCGCATGTCGTCTGTGCAATCGGTAAAGATTGTTGGGCGGACCCAAAAGCCTGCTTTTAGATCCTTTGGGAGGGAAGGCTTGCCGAGGCCCCCATAGAGGAGGGTAGCCTTATCCTGTTCGATACCGTGGCGGATATAAGCTGTGACCTTCTCCTGGTGAACGGCCGAACTAAGCGGGCCAAAGTTGGTGTTCTCGTCAAATAGCGGACCAGGCCGTATATACTGCATTTTCTCAAGGAGACGAGACTCGAATTCCTTCTTCATAGAGTTGGGGATGAAAACCCGTGTACCGTTTGTGCAGACCTGGCCTGTGCTGTAGAAGTTGGCCATCATGGCGCCATCGACGGCGTTTTCAATGTCTGCGTCTGGAAGAATGAGGAGAGGCGATTTCCCACCTAGTTCCATGGTCACATATTTCATGTTGCCAGCTGCGGACCCGGCGACCTTCATGCCAGTCGAGACTTGGCCGGTGAAGGAGACCTTGGCGATGGTAGGGTGGGAGGAAAGGTAGGACCCGACATCGCCTGCACCATAAACAACGTTGAAAACACCATTGGGAAGGCCAGCTTCCTTATAGATTTCGGCGAGGGTTTGAGCGTGGAGAGAGGTGAATTCGCTGGGCTTGTAGATCATGGTGTTTCCGGCCGCGAGGCAGGGAGCAGATTTCCACAGTGCGCTACTACCAGTCAGCCTCCCTTTCCAATTCTCTTATCAAGAGAGCATACATCTGAATAGGATAGTTCCACGCGCCAATGCCTACGCAGACTCCTAGAGGCGCCTTCTTCGAGTACACCCACGCCTCTTCTCGAAGCTGGGTGGTCTCCCCATTCAGGCCACCACCACCAACAAGGTTCGCGTAATATTCCAACACATCGGCTCCAGTAGCAACGTCAACGGTACTCGTTTCTGAGTAGGCTTTGCCGGAATCCAGAGTCTCAACGCGGGCGATTTCATCATTGCGCTCGCGGAGGAGGGCTGCGGCCTTTTGGAGAATACGGGCCCGAACAATGGGCGGGGTTCGCGACCAAGAGGAAAATGCGCTGTCTGCGCTTGCGATCGCAGCGTCGATATCTGATTGTGAGGCGACAGGAAGTTCAGCCAGCAATGTGGCGTCGGCGGGGTTGATGGATTGGAAAGACCGGCCAGACGAGGCGGCTTGCGGCTTGCCGTCATAGAAAATCTGGCGCGGGGATAGCGAAGGGGCCATGGCTTTCTGGTGTCTCTATGGTCGTGAAATGGCGGTCTCTTGTCGGTGAAGGAACGAAATGATGGTGGGAAAAGATAAGAAGTATGAAAACGAAGCTAAGGGACGAAGAAACTTAGAAAGGCAAAAAGTTCGTCATTTTCCAAGATCTGACAGTACTCCGTAGTTCCACTCCACCCACGGCATCACACCGCCAACAATGCCGATGTTTTCCCTTGAAGCCGATCAAACATGATCACCAGCAGAAAGCCACTGCCGAACTGCAGCGGGTCTTATCAATCTTACTGGAACAATTAACGAAATGTCGCAATCGGGCCCTGCAATAATTGCCGTACATGTACAGCTGCACAGTACGATTCCAGAACCTGCGATAGCGATCCTAGGACAATGGCATGATGTCCGTGATCGGGGCTTCCGCTGGTTCTGTTGAGTAATAATTTTACTCTTTTTGGTATGGCTGAGCGTCTCAGATTTGAACCCGAAGGGCAACTCCATCCAGAGGTGAGACCATAAGGCCTTGACTAAACCGCAAGAGGTCATAAAGTCAGCACCATGGTGGCTGTTTAGCTGCTTAGCATGCAGGCTTAGTGAGAATCGTGGGCCTCTTTAGCGCGGGACCTTGTGTGGATTGACTGCATCCAGCCGGGATGACGTCGGCTCGGTTCTTGAGAATAAGACAGTTTGTCTTTGAAGTTTGGGGCTGCAAGAATTGTGAATGAGACTGGATGTGCTTTGGATAAGGAAGCGATGAGAGTTCTACCACAGGTAATAGTGGGCTCGGGGTATCTACGGAGTCTGACGAGTCTAGTATGACTGTATGGCAAATTGGCAATTGGCAATAATGGCCAGAGATCCACCGGCAAGAATCTCCGACTAAGCGGCTCGGATTCAGGACGAGGTGGAGAAGAAAAAAATCCATGGTTTCAAAGAATTTATTACTGTTATTATGCCGCCTTTCACCTCTTCTTCACTCTCTTTCCGCTTCTCACATCTGTTTCTCTTGTTGAGCGTCTGTCTTCCTTGATTCCTTATCAGCGACCGTCATCCGCCATGGCCACCACTACCGAGTTCCCCGCAAGCGACGTGAACAGCTACGACTATGTGATCGTCGGAGGTGGTACTGCCGGCTGCGTTATTGCCAGCCGTCTGGCCCAGTACTTGCCCAACAAGCGCATCCTGCTGATCGAGGCTGGTCCCAGCGACTATATGGATGACCGGGTCCTCAACCTGAGGGAGTGGCTCAACCTGTTGGGAGGAGAGCTGGATTACGACTACCCCACTGTCGAGCAACCGATGGGTATGTCTTTTGCCAATGTCTTTTGCCAGATAGATGATCAAGGATTCCAGCAGGAAACTGACCCTTGTACAGGTAACAGCCATATCCGCCACTCTCGTGCAAAGGTTCTGGGAGGCTGCTCCAGCCACAACACCCTGATTTCGTTCCGTCCTTTCGAGTATGACTGCAAGCGGTGGGAGAAGCAGGGTTGCACAGGGTGGTCCTTTGAGACCTTCACCCGCGTGCTTGATGGCCTGCGCAACACTGTCCAGCCCGTCCACGACCGACACCGTAACCAGTTGTGCAAGGACTGGATCCAGTCATGCTCGACCGCCATGGACATCCCTGTCATCCACGACTTCAACAAGGAGATCCGCTCCAAGGGTGAACTGACACAGGGTGTTGGCTTCTTCTCGGTTGCTTACAACCCCGACGATGGTCGCCGCAGCAGCGCCAGTGTCGCCTACATCCACCCTATCCTCCGCGGTGAGGAGAAACGCCCAAATCTGACGATCCTCACCAACGCCTGGGTGTCTCGCGTGAACGTGGACGGCGACACCGTCACCGGCGTTGACATCGCCCTCCAGTCAGGTGCCAAGCACACTCTTCGCCCTAAGAAGGAGACTATCCTCTGCGCTGGTGCCGTGGATACTCCTCGCCTTATGCTCCACTCCGGGCTGGGTCCCAAGCAGCAGCTGGCCTCTCTTGGAATCCCCGTTGTGAAGGACATTCTCGGTGTCGGTGAGAACCTGCTCGACCACCCCGAGAGTATCATTATCTGGGAGCTCAACCGGCCTGTACCCCCTAACCAGACCACCATGGACTCTGACGCTGGTATCTTTCTGCGCCGGGAGGCTCCCAACGCTGCTGGCACCGATGGCCGCGCCGCCGACGTTATGATGCACTGCTACCAGATTCCATTCTGTCTCAACACCGAGCGCCTGGGCTACGACACCCCCGTCGATGCCTTCTGCATGACTCCCAACATCCCCCGCCCTCGCTCTCGTGGCCGTCTGTACCTGACCTCGTCGGATCCCACCGTTAAGCCGGCCTTGGATTTCCGCTACTTCACCGACCCCGAGGGCTACGACGCCGCCACCATTGTCGCCGGTCTCAAGGCCGCTCGTGAGATCGCCAAGGAAGCTCCTTTCAAGGACTGGATTAAGCGCGAGGTTGCCCCCGGTCCCAAGGTTCAGACCGATGAAGAGCTCTCCGAGTACGGCCGCCGAGTCGCCCATACCGTCTACCACCCCGCTGGAACGACCAAGATGGGTGATGTGACCCGCGACCCCATGGCCGTCGTTGATCCCAAACTGAAGATTCGCGGCTTGAAGAACGTCCGTATTGCTGATGCCGGTGTCTTCCCTGAGATGCCCACCATCAACCCCATGTTGACTGTCCTGGCTATTGGTGAGCGCGCCGCTGAGCTGATTGCCGAGGAAGCTGGGTGGAAGCGCGAGCAGCCCAGGCTGTAATTTTTTCCCCTCTATTATTTTTTGCATAACAATCATGTTTGCGTCTTAGACTGGTCCTAAAAGCTAGGAGTTGGAATTTGGACGAAGACGCGGGGAGTGCCTTCCTCTGGGAGGAATGGGACGCTTCAGCGTGCTTTACTATGAGATTTATGATTGACGATTTTGCTTCGTTTTAGGATACCGCCCCTGTAGGGGCATAGATAGACAAAGAGACGAATATATAAAAATCGTATTATACGAACTAGTAACAACTGTAGATTATGTACTCCATTAAACAGAATCACTTCATGTCTAAACAATGCAGCATGAAATACGTTCTATTCATGGAAATCGCTTCAAATTTGGCCACCATCTTTGGCAGAATCGTAAATCTTAGACCCGCGTTTCCAGACCTGATTTACCGCCAGCGTCCGCCCAGAATAAGGATCACCCTCATCAGTCAGCACAAGGAGATCCGCATCAGCACCGCTATCCAGCGATCCCTTGACGCCCTGAAGCCCAAGCAGCCGTGCGGGCGTAGCCGAGGCCGCATTCAAGGCCTGCGCCGTCGACGCGCCCGACCAACGGCGGAAATTGTTGACGCACTCGATAAGCGTCGCAGAACTGCCGGCGATCTTGTCAGAGCCTTCGAGTGTAAGGCGGGCGCCGGATTTGATGATGCGCTCGCCGTTCGTCCAGTCGTAGATGCCATCGGGAAGGCCGCAGAGTTTCATGGCGTCCGTGACGAGGACAAGACCGTCTGGGTGGGCGTTGTAGGCGATGCGGATGGATGTCGGGTGCAGGTGAATACCGTCAGCTATGATGCCGTAGAATGGTCGACGACAGTGCTCGCTTTGCTGGCCGAGGACGCCGAAAATGCCCGGATTGCGGTGATAAAAGGGCCGCATGGCGTTGAAGAGGTGGGTGACCATCGCTGCGCCTTGGTCGATAGCCGCGAGGGCCTGCTCATATGTGGCGTCAGAGTGGCCAATCGAGTAGATGATGTCGTTGGAGACAATGTGCGGGATATTGGACATCATCTTGCCGACTTCGGGGGCCGCCGTCATCAGTCTGACGGTTTTGGTGGCGCCATCGAGGTTCTCGCGGCCGTAGCACTCGACTAGGTCCTCTGGGGTGTTGGCTGAACGGAGGACTTCTGTCTTGTGAATGCCGTTGCGACCGGGGCTGAGGAAAGGGCCTTCAACGTGTGCGCCGAGCGACTCGGCGCCGTCTTCTGGGCGATGCGTATCCCCTGCTGGCCCAAGGGAAGGGAGCACTTTGTGATAGACTTCTGCAGTTGAGCTGACGACTGTAGGGAGATAAGAGGTCACGCCAGTTCTGGCGAGGCCCTTGTTAACTACTCGCAGGCCTTCATCATATTCCTCTTTGGAGGATTGCGGGATCGAAAAGTCGAAGCCTTGAGCGCCATTCAACTGACAATCAATAAGGCCCGGAGCGAGGATGCGACCACCCAAATCGATCACTTCATCAGGGGACAAATGCAGGCCATAGAATGCTTCTTGTGCCCGTAGGATCTTGCCAGACGTTGAATCAATCCAGACATCCTGGTTGATGAGCTCGTCCCCCTTGACTATGCGACAGTTGGTGAATTTGATGACATGGGACTTTAGTGCGGTCTTGCCAGGCATCTTAAAACCGGGGGTAAAGGCAGAACCAGCGGTTGAAGAGCTATGTTGTTCAGGCCGGGGATTTATGGAGGAAGAAAAGGCGATTGGCAAAAGGCCGAGGAGGGCCAGGGAGTATATAGACGGTCGAGGCAGCACAAAGGACTGGAAAGCTCTGCCGTGAACCACGGACCAGGCCTATGGGTGGACGAGAGAGACTCCATGTGGTACCTGTCTAGGTGCACGATTCCCGACGGTTCACGCAGTGAAGCTTGATTTCTGACGTTGCTTCATTCCAGAGGTTAAGGTGGATGTGACGTCGATGTGGCCGTAGGCACGACACTTTTGAGTCATGGCAGACTTAACCTACTCCATTCTCTGTTGACCTAGTTAGTCTTACTTATTAGCAGTGCGATTGGCAGTGCCTCCGTAGTATTCGGTTTTGATGGCTTGCAGAAAGGTCAAGATACTCCGTAAAGGCCAAGAGATTCGAGAGATAAGCCTCCGTTGGTGGAGGGTTACAGTCCAAACTTACCAATACACGGGTTACATACTTCTTACTAGTCGATACCAGTGTTGGACCATACTTTACAAAAGTCGACCAGCCGGATGGTACAAGTGACCAGCATCCCATGCCTGTTGGTTCTTGATTGACAAAGATCACGTAGTATTACTGTAGATACTATTCTTTGTGGTATAGTAAGTAAATTCTATGGACGTTGGACGTGGGACGTTCAGCTCGCACCTCGGCATGTTGGACCTGGAGTGAGGTGAGGGTGGGCCGTGGAAAAGAGCCGGCTCCCCGCATCCGGACAATTTGATGCTACCGTCTCCCTGCTAGTTTAGCCCCCAAGAATCGTTCCAGATTCTGGAGGTTAGCCTAGCTCGCGAGCTGAGCAGAATTATTGTTCGATTTCTTTTTTTTTTCTTTTTTTCTTTTTTTTTTTTTTTTACCTTTGTGCGCACAATCATCCTGTCACCGAATCTTCCCTGCACGCGACCTGCTCGTGGCTCCTGCAGGGTTCGTTGGAGAAGACCAGTAGCAAACTCAAAAAAGGTCAAGATACTCGAACGCTGCTGTCTCAGTGTCTTATCAACAACAGCATCGAGTGGAGCGAAAGAATCCCACCGTCTCTTCGCTTGAGATAACTGTCTGAGGTTGCTCTGCGCTTGCGTGTTTCCCTTATTTATGCTTCCTCCTGCCCGCTGTTGTGAAGAAGCCTTGCCTGCTGTCAGTGTCCAGGTAGGTATTTACCCCGGATCCAGCTGCAGCAAACCAAACTTGAACCGTCGGAGCTCACCTGATCGTCACAACTCCCGATAAGTCGATTCGCTTTCGACTTTTTTTTTTTTTATCTTTCTCTCGCAAGCTATCGCTGTCTTACCTATTAATAATTCCTTGACGTTGCCGGCGGAATCCTCTATTTAATTCTTGATTACCTCACTGCATTGTCGGTTCACGGTTGCTCGCATTCCAGCTGTCTCCTCCAGTTGCTGACTTCGGCCATTGTTTTATTTTATACCTTTTATTTTTTCCTCTTCCACTGTTCTTCTGGAAGCTATTTATTCGTTCCCTCAGCTTCTCTTCCATTCAACCCTCTAGCCACCTCCAGTTGGCATCTTTCTTTCTCGTCAGAGATCACCATAATGGCAACCGATAACGAGAAAACTGCTCCCTTGAGCACCACCGATCCCGAGGTTCAGCAAGACGTTCACGCCCCGCCTGGGAAGCCATGGATGTACAAGAACTTGAAGCTCGGTCCCCTGACTGTGCCGTACTATGCGTCCCCGCAGACCCAGTTGGTTCTCGTCGCTTTTGTTTGCTTCCTCTGCCCAGGCATGTACAATGCCGTCTCTGGTCTTGGAGGTGCTGGTCAACTCAACCATTCCGACGTCAGTAAATCAAACACGGCCACATACAGTACCTTTGCTGTTGTTGGTTTCTTCGCTGGTTCCATCGCCAATCGCATTGGCTTGCGATTGACTCTTTCGTTTGGTGGTTTTGGTTACACCCTTTACGTTGCTTCTCTCCTGTGCTACAATCATACTTTCAACTCTGGGTTCTTGATCTTCGCTGGAGCCCTGCTTGGTCTTTGCGCTGGTCTGCTGTGGTGTGCCCAGGGCGCTGTCATGATGGCTTACCCTGGTGAAAATGAAAAGGGCAAATACATCTCCATTTTCTGGGTTATCTTCAACCTGGGTGGTGTGATTGGAGGCCTCGTAAGTTTCTTGCCTTAGCCTTATTTCCATGCTATCAAACGCTAACTCTCTATCGTAGATTCCTCTTGGGCAGAATATCCACTCAACCGATCCTGATGCTTCAGTGAATGATGGAACCTACATTGCTTTCATGGTTTTGATGGTTTTCGGCTTCATTCTTGCATGGGGCCTCGTGGACTCCAAGTACATTGTGCGAAAGGATGGCACACGAGTCATCGCCATCAAAAACCCCACCTGGAAATCGGAACTCCTCGGCTTGTGGGAGACTCTTTTGACCGACTGGTACATCGTCGCTTTCTTCCCCATGTTCCTGGCCAGTAACTGGTTCTACTCCTATCACTTCAACGCCATAAACGGCTCTTACTTCAACACCCGCACCGCTGCCCTCAACAGTATCCTGTACTGGGCCATGCAAATGGTTGGCGCCTTCTGTTTTGGCTTTATTCTTGACCTGAAATTCCTCAAGCGACCGGCTCGTGCCAAGCTTGTTTGGTTTCTTCTGTTCGCTCTCACCATGGGCATCTGGGGTGGTGGGTATGCTTTCCAGAGACTCTACACCCGGGAGTCTGCAGGACGCGACAAGGATTGGGAGCATAGCGGCTATATCGGGCCCATGTTCTTATACATGTTCTACGGCTTTTACGATGCTGCGTTTCAGACTTGTGCCTACTGGTAAGCTATTTCAGTCCCATATGCAAGCTTAATATGCTAACTAATTCACAGGTTTATGGGATGCTTGTCTAACAACAGCCGTAAACTGGCCAATTTTGCTGGTTTCTACAAGGGAATTCAGTCTGCAGGTGCAGCTATAACTTGGGCGTAAGTGGTGCAATACTTGACTTGATGCCCGGACAACACTAATTCATTTATTGTAGGCTGGACTTCAACAACACGCCATACATGAACATGTTCGCTTCCTGCTGGGGCATCCTCTGTGGCTCTCTTCTGGTTGCTGCTCCGATTATTTTCTTCAAGATCAAGGATCACACCGATCTCGAGGATGACCTCAAGTTCTCCGACGAGACTGTCGCGGAAGTCACGGGAATCGACGTGGGCGTGCGGACACATCAACCCCAGCAGCACAGTGTGCCTGAAAAGAGAAGATCTTCTGACGCTTGATTACGATACTTATGAGTCAGTAATGATGGTGTACATGACACGATTGATCATGTCTTTTTGTTATCTTCCTGCGGCGTGTGGGTTCGGTCTGGCGTGGGTCTTGCACAGTTTCTCTCAGTGCTGGCGCTTTTATATTTGTCGAATCTTCAGCCGTACATCTCGATACCACATACCTTGGTTTGGTCATCCCTCGATACCAAACAGTTCTATATTGTTATTTAATGATGGCCAGTCATTTTGGCACCCAGAACATTCTAGTCTATAGCTTCTCAATTCTAATGACAGTCAAGGTCATCTTAGACTAATAATAACATATGTATCATTCCAACCTTTATATACGCGTTTCGACAGCACATATCTATCATTTTCTCATTCAGGCCTTGGAAAGTCAGAAAAGACCCGAATGAGGTGTGGGCGTCGGCAAGGGCACAAACGATTCAGTGTGCGTAGGCCACGCAGTCCCGTTTGTAGAATAACCCGGCCAGATCTTAACATTGCCCTCAGCGATATCCCAGCCAAACAGAGTCCGGTTGAAGAGCTGCAACGACGCTGCAGGCTGGTAATACGGAACCTCGTGACCGGCCTCGTAAACACGAGAGAATGAGAAGTTGCCATACTCGCGAGTCTCGCCGTACTCGACGCCGTCGACCAGGAGAGGGGTGTATCCGGCGGCCTGGAACTGCTTGGATTGCGGGTACTTGACGGCAAGGGAAACGGCCTGGCCACCGAACCAGTTGCAGATGTAGTCTGCATCTCCGTAAATGAGGGTGACGCGGACCGGGTAGGTGAGAATCTCCTCGAGGTCCTCGATAAAGTTAGGCCAGACAAAATCGCCGGTTTGCTGGAAGGCGTAGTAAACCTCATTGTTGGACATAGTGTAGTTTATTTTTACGCCGAGGGCGTCCATAACCCAGTCTTGTTGCAGGAAGGGTGCGAAGAGATCCTCAGGGGTTGGATCCTTCAACGTGGTTAGTACTAGTGAAGGTTTGATGTAGTTTGACGGCTTACATCGTATGGGTGGCGGATGTCGTAAACGCCGCGATTGCCGTAGCTGTAGTATGGCCCCTCTGTATGTATATATCAGCGGTTTGAAATCAAAAGCCAAAAGTGACATGTACTTACCAACATTATCTCGGCACATGTTGGTCGCCTCTGAACAAAGAGCGTAGTCGGCGAAAGAACTACGGTTTGTGGCTTTGCAAAGGGCGATCTGGTCCTGGCATCCATTGCCCATCTCGTTGGCAAACTTCATGTAGTTATAAACTGTTTCGTTGACCTGTTTATTATGAGCGTCAGCCGTAGTATTTGAAGAATCAGGATACTCACAGCCTTAATGCCATAGGTGTTGTTCACTGCAAACTCGGGGTAGTGAGATGCCTGATTTTCGGGTCAGAGACATTATCCTGGGCCTCTAAAACTTCCGTACCTGAATTGCCTCGTCGATGATACCGTTGATGATTCCCAAAGAGTTGAAGTTGAGCTCGATGCCCTCGACTGTACCGTTGCGGATCTTTTGGTTCTGCTTGTAAAAGTGGTTGAAGAACGCTGGGCCGTAGTGCCCTCCGTAACTCTCAGTCCACAAGCTAAAGTCCTTGGACTTGACAGTGCTGTCCAGCTGGGGTAGGCCTCCGAGGAAGCCCTGCACGACTTCCCACGCAGCATTTGCGGCAAGGTCGGTAGTATCTGGTCTTGTATTAGCGTTGGGACTAGGTAACCATGTACGCTGTTAACTTACCGGTCAGAGTAGCGTTGATGGTAGGGTAACGACCCTGGACGCCAGCAAAGGAACCATCTTCAACAATACCGGTGATTGGGTTGAGTGAGCCTTCCTCGGTGTCCGCGTACGAAAATCCTATGACTAAGTGAGACACGTCGACACTAACCGGGGCACGGGCCTTCATACCGACTCCCAGTGGCTGCGAGATGAACAAAAGGTTGGAGACCTCGTTCCACGAGTACGGGTTGATGTAGGTCGTAAGGTTCTCGCTGACAGCGCACGGTCCCAATTCTACATGAACCTCATCAGTACAATGAATCCTCCACGCTGTGCATGTAATACCAACCCTCGAAAAGGCCGATGAGAGAGTCACTTCCCGGGCCGCCGTTCAGCCACAGAGTGATGGGAGCATTTGCCGGGTCGTGACGAGATTCAAAGAAGTAAAAGAAGGTATGAGACTCGGGCGACAGATCAACGTATCCGGAGTAGGAGTTGACGCCAGGGGTTGTCTCGCAAACACCCTCTTTACCGGGCTCTTTATATCGGATGGTCACGCCATTGGGGGTCTCAAGCTTCTTGACACCAGTCGCGTCCGCAGGCAGCTGTCGCTTGCTGAAGGAAAATCTTGGATGCTCGTCAGCTGCAGCCAAGGAGGCAGCAGCCAGAGACAACACGGAAATCAAGCTAAGACGAGGCATCACAACTGGCTCAAACTGGAATCCTCTGAGGGGCCAGAAAAAACGGAGTGGGAGCAACAGGCCATTTTATAGTAATAATACAGACCAATCGATCCGTTGACTAGTGAGTAGAAGCTGAGCACCCGCGTGGACAGCTCCCTAACTCCATTCAACGTCGTCGCCGACGCTGGTCTCCGACGATAACGAGGTAGCATGCGGGCCGTCTCAATTAGGATGGTGACAATGGAAAGCTCAGGGATTTGACCAGGCCAAGCCAGCCTCGGCCAGTTAGCTTGCGGGCCTGGGCTTCGGTTGCTGGGCTGACCTTGCAGATCGCATCATTTTTGTGACTCGACGGCAGCCAGGTGAGGGGAGATCGGCGGTGGCAGCATAGTTGAGAATTGAGATGCCGACCTTCCTGAGATAGTTTGGTCAGTTTAGCCTTCATAAGCAGAGTGGGTACTTATGCAGACCTAGGAGGGATGATTCGACAGATGTTAATGATTTGGATGGATGGCGATAACTTGATAAGAATAATAGAGATGGGTAACGATTTAGATTGAAGGAGATGAGCCGAGACTGCAGGAGACCCAAGACCGCCACCGACCTTAACGCAAGGCTTCAGTTGCTTAGCCAGACTCCAAGACAAGCAGCTCCAAAAGTGATTTGACGACAAAGGGGAGGTACAAGTACCACAAATCGATTTGAATATAAAGTATAAGGTGCCATTTCTCGTGTCCGACTTTTAGTGATGAACTCTATATAGAGGCGGTGGTAAGACAGTCTCAGCGAATTAGACTGGAGACCAAGAAGTATAAAGGTAATAACAAAACCGATCCCCTGGAACATAAATCGTGACCCAAACCCAAACTCCGTCATCCATGCTTTCCAAGTGCTCAAAAAGGGTAAATTATGTGCAAAAGAAGGAGCAATCCTGTCTGTCCAAGATGAAGGGAACGCTTAAAAGTGAAACATTCAGACATTCAGGCCGAGCCCAAGATCCATATCGAGTTTAGGAGCCGCTGCATCGGCCCCAGTGATTGCCGCAGCGTCGTCCTTGTTCCCAGCATCGAGCCCGACAATGTCCGAAAACGTGAATGGAAAGTTTTTGCCGCTTGCGTCATTCGTCATACCCTCCATACCATTTTCCGAAGAGAAGAAATCCGCGCCAGCATCATCAAAGTTAATCAACGCATCGAAATCGTTCTGCGTCACTTCGGCATCGTTTGCCAAATCCATGAGCTGGCTCAGACTCAATTCGGTGTCGTCAATGCTGGGGATGCTGAACGCGTCGCGATGGTAGCTCGGGTTGATGTTGTTTGTGCTACCATTTTCACTACCATCAGAAGGCGGCGGAGTAGAGGCGGCAAAAGCTTGTTGAGCTTCATCCACCAAGTTCAACGTCAACCCTCCGGCCGAGCCGGTCTTTGGGTAAGTCAGATCGGGAATCTTTTGGGCAAGAGAATCCGGAGGCGGCGTCAAGGCGGTGGTACGAGACGCTCCAGTGTTGTTGGAGCGTTTTTGCAGCTCTTGAGGTGGCACGGTAAGCTGGATTCCGGCCTTTCTGATTGCAGCCTCCAAGAAGGAGGTTGCAAAGTCGGCCGACGCATAGATTTCCCTTAGACGCTGGAGGATGCGCATACATTGGTAGAAGCGTTGTAAACTGGTCATGCGGACGTTCTGGTCGCTGGACTTGATGTCCAAAAGATGGATAATGACGGCGGGGAGAAGGACTGTGACACCAGTAGTGGGGAAATAGCGAGTCAGATCCAGACTGTGCAGGTCTTGGGCGATATTCGTAATTTCAATAGCAGCGAACCGAACCTTGTTGCGAGACATGTCTTGCAACTCGGTGTCCATTGACGGGAAAGGAACAGCGGGAAGGACCTGGGGTCGATGCAGAGCACTTGAGGTTGTCAAGTACACCATCTTGAGTAAAGCTCGGTGGGAATGCAACACCTCTTCCGCCTCGCTTAGTTTTGCTGGTGCTGCAGGGGAGTACTGAATCTCAGACGGAAGATGGGCTAGCCAATCCTCCAGCTCCTGATCACATCGTCGAACCTCAAAGGTCTCTGCTGCTGATTTCTTGGGCACCAGCATCATGGTAGTCTCCATAGTGCCACCAAACTTGTGACTCAGGACAGAGTACTGAGCAGAAAGAACGTGGCTGACGCAAAGACAGAGCTTCGCCTTCTCGATAAACATCGACGCAAGCTCTCGTTGATGGGCGACACTTTGAAGTATTTCAGAATTCCCTACCATGCTCACGATCTCGGGAGAAGACGGGTGGAACTCAAAGTCATCAAGAGTCAGCATAGGAACGTCACAATCGTCATCCTTGACACGCATGGGACGTCTCATTCCCAAGGCAATCAAGCGATCTCGAGTATAAGTGCTCCACCAAATGCGTTTCCACATGCGCTGGCGCCTGATGTCCATTCGGGAGTTTGCGGGATCACGATGCAGACCAATGGTGTGAGCGAGGGACAGACTGACACCCATCCAATGCCAGGTGTCTTTTTGGTCGTCTGGAGTCTCATACCAATAAGTCATCAACAGAAGGGACTGGACAAGCGAGATGCGGTCGACCTCGTAATCAAAATCGTAAAGCAACCTTGCGCGCTGGAAGAACGCTTTCCGAGCCGATTTTCGCGACGGATATCCCGCAGCTTGAAGGTGCTTCAGATCGATAAAGGCTGTACCCGCAAACATGACAGCCTGGAAGAGCAAGAGGCTCATGCGACGAATGCCGTCATTTTGAACAATGGTTTGCAAAAAGTCTTCCAAGTCCAAAAGAGGCATGTACGTATGCACATAGTGGATATAAGCCTTGAGTAGTTCGTTGCGCAGTGTGACATCAGGCACTGTCAATGCTCCTTTCATGGCGAGGTAATCAATATCTTCCCTTTGTAGTCGGCCCGGTAAGCCTCGGATATAGTCCGGTAGCGCAATGCCAGTTGACCGGGGGCTGCCGAAGGACGGGTCGAGCAATTGTTGAATCTCGGTTGTAACATGAGACAAGGGCATACTCGATGGCACCAGGGGGTTCGGAGCCATGCGTTTTCGAAAACGGTCTCCTGGGTCGACTCGGTTGACTTGGCTCTGATCTGTAGATGACATCTTGTCAGCACCAATTGATTTAATGCGCGAACGCAATGTACGAACATAGTAAATGGGGCATATGCTGCCCTTGCTCCATGTCTACGGAGCCCTGAGATGGAGATGTCGGCGCCGCATGGGGGATTGCATGGGTCTCCCCAAAGCCTCCAAAGAGTGTGCTATCGTCAAGAATCTCGGCAGGCGACTGCGAAAGTCGAGGATTCGAGATCTCGGTGTCAACTCGAGATTTCCTAGAGGCAGTAAGTATATCGGTTATGACAGCTTCTCCAGGCTGGGACTTGGCATCAGACGCACTTTCTCCGCTTGCTTTCTGTGACGACACATTCTACTTGGTCCAACCGGCAATTTGTGCAAGGTGAGCCATTTTCTACTACATCGCACCGCACCTTGCGTGCGCGACAGCAGCAGCAGGCCTTTGAAGCCCGCCTTTTCACCGGACGGGCGTTCGCGGAGAGTCCCGCTGTCGATGCCTTGCGCTTGTTTTTAGGGTCTGTCTCGACGGCCAGATTTGAGGAAGCAGGTGAATCAGTCATGATGCGCGGGAAAAAAAAAGGTCAATCAAAGTCGACCCCGTGTCATCCGTTGATAATCAGAGCCAATTGGGATAGTAAGTGAAGAAGAGGAGGAGGGATATGAGGGAACGTGACACGACAGTAACAACATAAAATAAAGGCAGTAGTTAAGAGGGGAGATGTTTCTTTCGTATAAGCGCTTTTATAAAATTATCATCTTTTTGCCGAAGTATAGAGAGTCACGTTGCCAGCGTCATCCGTCGTCCAAAGATCGAAAATCGAGACAAGACCGGGGGCATGGGGAAGAGGAGGTTTAAGTAGAGTAGCAAGTTGGTAACAAAAACAGGAATGCTTTCCACTCGACCGTCAGGAGGCGTTGGCGTTGGGGGATGATGAGTCCCCCAGATCCACTTTGTTGCCATTATTGAGGATTTGCTGCTCCCCCAGACCAGGACCAGAACCGCTGAACCGCTAAAAGCCTGAACCAGAGCTTCGACGATTGACTGTTTGCGCCTAGCGCCGGGCATCGCAGTATAACTGTATAAATTACCTCACCAGACCAAGGTCCAAGGGCGGGCCAAGTTCGGCGGGGGCTGTGGCATGCCCAGCGGCCACTCACTGCTGCTGCTTACCATGCCAGGCCCGCTCTCTCTAATCTATTCACCAATCACCGCTCGCTAACAATCCTACAAAGTCAAGATTGCCTTCTTTGGCCGAGTAACTGAAAATCAAGAAGCCGTTCAGCCCACATTTTCCCCCACCACTTTACTTGAAGGTTCGACTCCCCATATCCGCGTTCGGCCCTGTCACGTTGTTTCTCTAGCCACCACATGCAATGTGCAGTAGGAGAGTGAACGAATAGCATCTCCATCATTGGTCATTATCACTTTCCAGCTCCAGAAAGGCCGGGGTTCACTTGGGCTGGACTAACTGATAAGTTATTATCGCAGTGGCAGAAGGGCTGCTGCCTCATGCTCATGATGCTCAAGGTATTTCGGAAAAGATTCCGTGCATTTACTATTGGTCATTGGTCAACAACTGCAAGCTTCGGCCTCGACTCCGGGGTCCTTTAATTACTCATTCAGAATCGTCTAGCCAGATAGATAAAGGTATCAGAGTATCAGCGGCTTCAGGAACTGACTGTCAACCTATACCTACTGATATACAAAGCCGATGTTCATAGTCCTTGACATAAGGCAGGGTCCTGGACTCCTGGCCACCATGAGCCGAGGTCCGCACTGCGCAGGGAAGCCAAGCGGTCCGGACTCCGAAGTCCGGAATCCTGCCCAGCAGGGACTCGTACCCACGGTATTGAATTTGCGATTGTCTACTCCGTAGCACCCACAGAAATGTCATCAAAACGAATGCAAGGTCTGTGCAAACCTGCAAGGCTCTGGGCATGCTAGCATTTGCGAGGCGATAAACCTTGCAGAGGACAGTATTATATTGACCCCGGGAGACCGGCAAGCCGTCTTTTGACTAACGAAATTCAGGAACTCGGAACTCATTTGTCCCAATCTCAATCCAATGGGTGGGTGCTGGGTTCTGGGTTTGGCGTTCATATTTTCTTAGACTACACTCCTCACAGCATCACAACTACACACTAGACGTCTCTCGCAGGGCTGGTATAAAGCTCGCTTGGAGTCTTGGACAAGCGGCCAGCACGCAAACGGCACCCCGCCAACTGCCTGATACAGACTAGAGCTGATAGTCTGAGGGTCCCATTCCCGAAGTCAACAGCGACCCACCACCAGCTGGACTGGAGATGGCCTCCAAGGTTTCAGATGGAGCTCGAACGACCAGAAAATGTCGCACCACGGTTCCGCAGCTTTGCTGGAAAGTGACGAGTACTGCTATGGAATGGGGACAAGACCTCAATGTTGGCAAGTCCATAGTTTTCCGACCAAGCAAGCGGCAGGAACAGCGTGCATGACCTTGCGAAATGTAAGATATAGATTGTTGTCTCGTGCACTATTGACTAGAACGTGGAAAAGGCCCCCCACGTGAGAAGTAATGCCGGGCGCCGAAGGTCGGAGGAATCCAGTCCGATCTTAGCAAGCAGGAAGTCGGCTATATGGACGGCTATTTTCGAGGATCATCGTTACGTCTGATATCATATATACGGTCTACAGAATAATACGGGCGCGATGCTCGGCAAGTTGACACAGGGTATGGGCGATCCACAGTTAAAGTCTCGACTCCGGACTCTCAAACCTTCCAGCTCTCGTCAAAGATGAAGAGAAATATTGGTAAATAACTCCATTTACCACATGAATCACGCAGTGCGGAAAAATGAATATATCCGGGCTACGGAGTACTCCAGTCCATGCAGCGCTGCGAGTCTGCGACACTCTGGCCAGCAACGGAAAGCCCTTGCGCCAATCACGCGTCTTGATGTGGGACACGAAGCAGATTGCACATCGAATTTTCAGGCTTCCCCAAAGTTCCCCGTGAAACCCCCGTGAAACCCCCCGTAAAAATCCCTCGTGTCCGAGATTCTCCATCGGGCGTCTTGGCTAAGTTGGCTTCGACATTATTATTGTCCCAGATGCCGTGGAGTTGGACACGGGAGGACTAGAGAATGGAGATCCGGAGAATATGGATTATGGAGACAGACAGGTGCTTGATGAACGGCAGCCAAGTCCAGCTCCCCAGAATGATCTCCGCCCCTCAATAACGACAACCATTGATGGTTCACACTCACAAGATATCGGCACGAGGCCAGCTTCATCGGACATCCCCCCGAGACCGACATCTCCAGGCCAACGGCCCGATCCCCTCATCCACTGCAGGATTGCACGGAAAGCAATACTAACGAGTCCTGCAGTCGCAAGCAATATCAAGAAAACTGACAATTTGGCATCGCACATGGGTCAAGCTGATAGCGCATCCTGGCGCTTGGAGTATCTACCCCTCCCAGCTTCTTATCATCCAGCTTTTGAGCCTACGGGATACCACATTCCATGAGGCCGCTGACACGTCCATGTCCGACGCCACCCCTGTATCAAGTTTCTCCTGTCCCTCGACTAAACCTACCGAGAGAACAAGCACGAACCTCGGGCGAGAGGAACAATGAACCAACCAAAGCTACCAAAACTGGTCTCGTGCTCAGTTGCACTGTTGCAGGCTTCCAGCGTCCCCTACCTCGCACAACCCGATCCCCAATACTTTTTGGACCTCGTAAGTCGTAAGAATTTCTACTCCAGTTCCTTTTTGCTGGCCCCGCCGCATACCATCGGCGACTCCGTCCCAACGCGGGGTAGACTAGAAGTCGACCGGAGACCTTGCTCCGGAGTGCTGTGGCTGTCATCGGAGCTGGACTCGATCAAATTCGAGTCAACGAAGACCGCGGGGTAGTGTTCAACTGCGGGGAATGTCAAACCTGCCAACTGTCAGCCCCACACAACATTAGCACGACTACTACGAAAGCTGAGTTTGAGTTAACCTTGGGTGGTATCGATCAAAACCGACGTTGAGACTTGAGACTGTCGCCTAATCCTCCTGGGTCTATGGATCGTGCTATTCCTACCTTGCAGCGGGTAGTCCGGCACATCCAAAGATGTGTATACTTTCAACGAATGAGCGAGAATCTCCGGGAAAACAAGGTGTTGCTCTGCCACATGATCTAATTCATTGTTACAGTAGGTAGCAATACTGACTTGTAGGTTGGGAGTACATCATTATCATGGCTAACTCACCACGAGGTGTGGTTCTGACGTATATAAATTTTGGCGTCGGCTAAGGAGAGCAGCGACCTGCAACACTTACTGATTCAAGCCTGTGTAAATCTGTCAGCATACCGCTAGACCATAAAAACCAATTGGCTTTAGACCTGTCCTTATACTCCAACATTCTCCCTAGAAGGTCGGCATATTGCACTGTTTTGCCCTTGGGATGTAGGTGGATTACCCTTGCACCAGTCCTCCTACTTAGGATTGTTGGATCTTGATATCCAAGTTCTACGGCGAAGGCACCCAGGTAAGGACTGGTCGAAGAGTCTGACCTATTAAGCATCCGTTTGTATACAAACTGACTCCACAGAGACCATTCCGGGCTCCTAACCTGTCTGCATACCGATAGACATAAAAACCAATTGGCTACAGGCCTATCCTTATACTCCAACAGAATCAACCTGTTCAATTAAAATAGCAATATCCTAAGAGAGAAAAACGAACAAAGCAAAGCGTTCGGGGGATATCTCGACTTGCAACCAAACCCGTCCTATGTACCAAGACCCGATCCAATATACACTAACAAAAAGCAGCAAAGCAAAGGGGGCATAATATCGTGAAAGTACGCAAGTATTCTTGTTATCATTGGGTTATGCGGCACCGCCACGGCCCATTCGCTCAATCGAGCCCATGATGCCACTTCGACCGGGCGTAAAAACAGCAATGCCGGACTTGCCGGCGCTGGTCCCTCGCACATGCCGACCTGCCGGTGCGCCGAATCTTGGGATTCTCTTCTCACCGTGGCTAGATGTAGAGCTGGAGCTTGAGCTTGGGCCACGGAGTCCACTGGAGCTGCCGCGGGTAATTTTATGTTCAACATCTTCAGCTGGAGGAAGTTGTTCGTGAACAGGCTCCGGCGTCATCTCCTCATTCTTGATTGACGGTGGCGATGGAGCAGGTTGCTGGGGTTGCATTGACAACCACTCCTCCACAAGAGCGACGAGATCGCCCTTTTCCGTTCGTTCCGCCTTGAGGTCGGCACGCAACTGCTCCGCATCCCCCTTGAGAGTTGTGATTTCCTGCTGAAGAGCCGTGATTTGCGCCAGAAGAACATGCTTCTCCGATTCATGCTCTTCATTCCCATGGGCGATGACGCTGGCATCAGTGCGTGAGGATTCTTGCAACGCGGCATCACGTTCGGTCTTGATCTGCTCACATTCCTCGTTCGCAGCCTTGAGCTTCTTCTCGACTTCACGCAGACGTTTCTCCCAGCGTGCCTCGTAGCTCTTTTTGAGAGCCGCAACCTTGATCTCGTGCTTTTCCTTGTACAGGGAGTGGAGGTCACGAGCAACTTTTTCGACTGCATCCTGGATCTCCTTTGCTGTCTCTTCAGCTGTCTTTGCTGGCCGGATAGCGGTTTCGGATGTTTCGGATGCCATATGTTCACATACCGCAGACTTGCGGGCTGCAGTGAGTTGAGATTCGAGTTCGACTATGCGGTGTTCAAGCTGATCTTTGCGTTTCTCAGTCTCATCATTCTTCTTCTGTAAGCGCTCCCGCTCCTGTTCCCCCTCGAGTATATCTGCCTTGACAGTCCGCAGCACGTCTTCCATTTCCCGGCCCCTTCGCTGCCACCCCGCCTGTTCAATCTCCAGGGTCTCCTTACGGGCAGCTTCATTACGAACCTCTTCCAGTGCCTCACCAACGCGACGTTCTGCGTCTGAAACGGCTTTCTTGAGGCTGGAAACTTCGGCTTCTTTTCCGCTAAGGGTGGCCTTGAGGGAGGAGATTTCTGACAGAAAGTTCGATTTCAGAGTCTCTAGCTCTCGAGGGGTCACAGTCGGGATGGATCGAGGTGTAGGAGCCGCAGGAATATCAAAATCCAAGAGACTTGTCTTTGCAGGTGATCTTGGGTTCTTCAAAGGCGAACGTCGCGATGGCGAGTACCTGTCCTGTTGCTGCATGATGTATCTCTGGCGACGAGGGAAAAGATCGATATTATCGGTAAAATCAAGCAAGTTTGGAGTATCGCTTGGTTTCGGTTCATCTATTTCTCTTTTTCTGGGAGTGGGCGAGCCAATAGGAGAGCTCATGTTGACGATTGTCCATGATTCCTTTGGCGATGGAGTCGCTGGCTTGCTATCGCCGGCGTCTGCGTCAACCGGGAAATCCGGTAGGGGTCGTGGGCTTTTGAACGGAGAACCCCCGCGCAGGTTTGCAAAGGCCGTCATATCCACATTGGGGACTGCGGAGAACGTACTAAAGCAGGTGTCGTCCATAGGATCGTGGATGTCCTCGTCGTCAATCGTGGCGTCATTTGTCTCGTCGGCATCTTTTGGAGAAGTTTCTTCATCTTCCTCGCGAAGGACTGTACTCATACCTTCGTGTGCGCTCTGGTCGTGACTGAACCTTGAATCCTCGTCAACATAAATATCAATGTCTCGAGCGTTATTTTGAGGTGCCGATCTTTTGTGCCTATCATTCTCTTCACCTTCGATATCATGAATATCGGGTGCCTGATCGTAAGACCGCTTCATCGGAGTCGTGGCGTTATTCAACGTTTGATATCTTCGTAGCATCTGAATATCAACCGTATCATCTCTTCCATCGGGTCGAAAGGGTGAGCTCTGGAGATCGCGTACGGATAATACGTCTTCATTTCCTTCAGCCCGTGTCTCGCAACCTGCACCATCGTGACCAAAACTCTGGCGAATCTCAGTGTTCAATATTCGCTTCGGACTGAAAAGCGGATTCTCTATCTCGAGACTAGCAGTCATTGGACTATCAGAGCCTCCAAGCTTTTCCCTGGCATCCTCAAAGTTTGACGAAGGAGCTCGCGAATTCTGCTGGGAATCCGCCAGCGGAGAAAGAGGATTGGACATGATAGGATTTGAATGAGGAGAAAAAAGACAAGTAGCTGAAGATGATAACTCAAGTAGAAGCACTCACAAAGCAATCGCTCAGCAAGCACAACTAGAAGCTGCCTCCTTAGCAGACTGTTGTTGTTGCAAAGTAAGTGTATGGTTGTTGCTGGGGATGTGGTCCAAAACAAACACTAAGCGGATCCACATAGAGAGCGGCAATTGGTGGCAGTATATATTGCTTTCACCGCTCGATCGATAGATGTGGAGTATATCAGTGTCATTGTTTATATACGCGGAAGTTTCTTAGTAATAAAGAAGAAAAAACAGTATCTAATCAGAACAAAGTTCTATTGATCATGCTATAGTCAGGCTAAAATTACAGATGCAAGCGTCAACGTGTCAGACATTATTCGAAACGTCATCAGAGTCCGTCACAATGATGTGGATAGACTCTTTGTGGCCATGATGTTGTTGGTGGTCCGGCGAAAAATGGCAGCGTGCGGCAGGTTCGATCGTGATTGACGAGTGTTTCTTCTGGGTCATGAGTAAGAGTTGCAGAGCCCCAGTGACCGCCACAAATGCACTTCCCCACCATGCTAGTGCGGTAAACCGAATCTCTGCTCCCACGCTGTACAGATACCCAGCGACAGGGGGCGCAACGGTGCGCGCGGCGGCGCCGGCGGAGGCAGCAAGGCCGTTTATCTTGCCTAGGCAGGAATCCGAAGGACTCGCTTGCTTTATCAGGATCAGGAGAACTGGGAAGTCGATGATTGAGAGGATGTTTCGAGTGATGAGGCAAGTATAGATCCCGAACAACAGCTGCGAATGTGGCAAAAAGACGAGGAAAGGAACCATAAAGTAGGCCACGGGGTGTAGGATGGTGACAATGATGAAGAGTTTCCAAACCCCAAGCCACTGAGCTAAAGCCGGAAAAATGAGGCTCTGGATAACGAGGGCGATGATGCCGTCAGACGAAACGATCAAACCGACAGTCCCAGTCGAGAGACCGACTCCACCAGGAAAACTAAAAGTAGAGCTATCCAGAGTCGGATCGCCGCGTTGGTCTTGAAGGAAAATAGGTAGTAAATGATCGTAGGTCATTGAGTGGTAGGTGAAGATGGCCAGAGCGATGATGAGCAAAATGACTGGTCGAGTAAAAGCGGTTGGCTTTTGGAGATCTGGCTCAGGCTTGGACCCGTTTTGCTGTACCCTCCAATATTCATCGTCATGCACATGGACCTGATTGAAGGTTCCGTACGATTCCGCCCGTAGGTCGACACCCGGATTGGCTGTCGCTCCAGCAGTTGCTAGAAGAGGATGTTCTGCTGACGGATGATCTATTGTACTTGACGGCTGCATGTCTGGATGTGTCTCTTGCAGAAATAACCATGCAAAGACAATACTGCCGAGGAGTAAAATAGAACACACAACGTTGGGTAGGAGATATGGGAATTTGCCAAAGAGACCATAACGCGAAAAGAAAGACGGATAGTTCTCCGCAGGTTTCGCAAGCAGTCCGCCAACAGCTGTAATAATGCATTAGCATTGAACTTTCCATTAGTGTTGGTAAACATACCGGGTCCTATGATAGTACCAATAGACCAAACGAACGGCATCACGGCGTAAGCTCGCGCTATCATTTATTCGTCAGCAAAGTTTTGGAAAAAAGAAGTCAAGTTTCACGTACGCTCGTGCTCAGGTCGCTTGACTATCTCGCCTACCATGGTCTGGATAACTCCTATATTTCCATTGAGTAGACCTCCGAGGCCGCGACCAAAGAGGGCCACCCAGTAACTGCGGGCGAACCCGACGATGAGAAGAGAAACGATGGTCCCAGCCAACCCAGAAATGATGACCGGCTTCCTCCCTATGCGATCAGAAAGAGCTCCCCAAAACATCCCGGTGAAGGCTTCGACCAGGGAGAAGGTTGCGACAAGGATGCCAGCGTAAAATGATGCATCATTGCCCTCACCCATGTGGAAATCTTTGACCATCGCGAAGGCGAAGATCAGCGGCGACGTGACCGCTATGGGCTCGGCGACTCGACATATCGCTGTTCAAGAGCTTTTGCATCAGTCGATTGTCAAGAGCGAGATAGCGTAGGAAGTACCTAGAAAGAATAGCTGCGTGGTTGGAAACCTCAAGTCATCGTCCGTATTGGTTCTCTGGCGGGTTAATGACATCTTCGGTGGATTCGTCAAGTCTCTTACAACAATCCCTCCACAATTAAGGTCGTGATCCCCCCTCTTTTATTTTTCTTTTGATGTCTTGCTAATGTTATAACTTGTACTGTTTGTCTTTCTTTCTTTCTTTCTTGTCTTATAAACTGTACGAGAAGCACCGAACTTGATTTCTCAAATGTAGGGCCGGTCGATTGTGGAATGTGGTAAGCGACAGGAAACAATGAACAAAGTCTTTAACGTCTGCACAAAGCGATGGGGTGTAAAGAGAGGTTGAACTCTGAAAGTAGTGGCGTGAAGGTACCGAAGATCCTTATATGCTGGCGGTGGAAAAGCGGAGACGGATTTTGTACGTAGCCACCTCGACCTTGGAAGCGCACCCGACTGCAGGTTTTCGAGCTGTTTGAACGGTTTGCGATGCAATCTTTTTATTGTCCGCCGGGATACCCATGGAACAGTCGGGAACGGCACCCTTGAGGGCTTGCCACTGGCTGGTATGCCCCAAGTCTTGGCAGGTGATAAGGTATATATCGCATGCGGGAAGTGACCAGCTAGCTAACAAGCGATAAGAGTATTATGGTCAAGTATGCTGCACCTGACCTATTGTAGCTTAGTGGTTGCCGCTCCGATGAGAACATATGGGAAGCCCCTGCACAAAGACCTGATAGCGGTATAGCCTTTGTGGGACAAAGAACCAAGCCAAAAAGCTGTACTACCTAGGCGGGATGGTCTGTACGTAAACCGGATGAGAAGGACTGCTATCATCTATGAGTTCATGTCGTACCACTGGACACTGGAGAAAATTTCCAAGGCTCATGGCCGTCTTTTGATACGTACCGAGGCCCCGGCCGGAGGTATTTTTGATCGCAAGCTACCAAGCTAGCAGCCGAATAAACAACAACATACCATGTACAATCGCTTAAAAGTGTTTTAGGAGGGTATTTTCGAGCCAACAACCGTATATTTATCGCCTGCGACTATATACAGACAGGGCCGCCCTATCTGGAATAGGGAGATCGATTTAAAGTCGAGGACTGTCAGAAACCGGAATATAAGACCGTCGTTCTCGCGCAGCCTAGGGACGTGTCAGCTTCATTTATCCTGTCTGAAGTGTCAAGTCTCATACCTCGATCCATTTTTGTACCCAAGGTCTGAAAACTGCCCATAACAAAAGACTACCGGTAGAAATAATGAATATGAACACGATTGCCTCATCTTTCCGAGAGTCCCGCTCTATACATCCAAGTCTCATGTCAGCTCCTATATCGTTGAGAATGGAGGGGGTCGACATCCGCGACGCAACATACGGAAACAAGTGGTAAAAACATCGTCCTCCTTTGCACCCTTGCAGGTGGGCAAGTCATAACCTAAACAGAACTTTCGATTGCAGTCGTTGCAACTCAGCGAGCGGTAATTGCCAGCCCTCTTCTCGCCCCGAGTGTCAATGCGGTCGTTGCGACTGAAGAGGTTGAGCGTGCCGTGTAGGGCAGACGAGTCTCCGTTACCAGGATCGAGAGGGATAATTGTGCTGTTCGAAAAGCATGTGCATTTGCAAAAGGAGGCCGGTGCTGACGTAGGAGAGTTGTCAGTTGGTGAATCTATTATAGATGGGATAAATTGAGGCTGCTGTAGGAAGCTCACAAGAAGCTAGCGCGGAGGATGCGATATAGAGTACGGCGAGTAATAAAAGCGGAAATTGCCACAGAAAGGTATGTCGCGCCATGTCGCCGGCAAAAAGCTGTTGATCAGGAGAACAAGCCCTATCTATATTGCTTGAGCAAACGTCGACTTGGCAGGGTTTGCTGGCGTTCAAGGTGATGTGACCATCCTTCGGATCAGCAGCACATAGAAGTCACGTGCCTCGCACTGTGGAGTATACGAAATATTTGCGGAGAATAACGGTCAAAGTAGTTTGCTGGCAGAGATGCCATTGACAAAAAGGTAGTTTATGAAGTTGATGATCCTTTTACTTGAACATGTCTTTACTAAGTCAAGTGGATGGAACTATGATTTCCCCTTCATCCCTTTCCTGCGATTCTCTCTCTGCCTCTGTTCCTTGGCCGCGTCTCGCCTTCTTTTCTTCCAAGCACGGTTGTTATCCCCTCGGTTTTCCCAAAACCATTTGGCAAAGTCAGATTCCTCTTTCGCTGGACCGACACCCGGCTTGAGTACTGGACTATATGCAAGCGAATAATCCTCCTCATCCGGGTTCTTCAAGGGATCGGGAGTGTTCCAATTGATGATCTTTGAGACTTGAGACGTGTCAGGTGTAGGAGCCGCACTCCGTAGACCACGATCCTGTAGATCTCTCTTCGTGAATGGGGTAAGGGGTGCTGTATTTGACGGCGCCGCGTCTTCCTCTTCAGAATCAGTGTTTCCCTGCCCAAAGAAGCTAAACTGGGTCGGAGGCTCCATATCAGGTTTTTGCTGGTCAGCGGATATCTTGAAGAGAGCTTCTAGAGGGTGAACTTCTGTTGACACCTGCTGGAGGGCTGCTTCGGTCAACTTCCCTTTAGGCGATGCCCCGGATTCCGCTCTGAACTCAGGTTCGGAAGTGGCATTCTGCTGCGGCTCTTTTGCTGATCCGAACGCTTCGGACACCTCAGACGAGGTAGAAGAGGCGCTATCCTCGGTTTCCGAGTCCGTAAGCTCGGACTCCGATGATGAGCCACTGGACGACGTCCAATCTTCCGATTCCGTTGACTCTGTTTCTTTAGGCTCTGTGCTGTTGCTGTTGGACTTGATTTTGGTGGACTCGGTATTGACCTTCTTCGCCTTTTCTTTGTGACCTGCAACCTGCCCCGGCCTGTGCTGATCTTTCCTGACCCGCTCACTGGCGGGTTCCATGAGGTTTCCGGACTCATCAACCCAGCCTTTATCCTGTTCGTAACTGACAGTAACAGCCTTACCGCTATCATCTGCACGTAAGAACGTTGGATGTGTCATTGTCTGGGAGAATTCGTGCACAACAGCCTCCGGCGCCGCCTTGTTCTTCTTCTTGGATTGTTTCTTTATTTTCTCATCCGCCGTTGCCGACTTATTCGGCGGCACCTTTGTCCGGAACAGACATTCCGGCTTCTCAGTGTATTTTGACTTGAGCTGCGTTTTGGCCTTCTTCTCTTGCTTGTCTCTGGACCTCTTCTCCTTTTTGCGCCGTTCGGTTTTATCCCCCGAGGACTCGGTCCAGCCTCGCTTCACTTTGCGACCTGACGGCAACTCATAACCATCCAGGACATTTTCCTCCGCTTTTTGTTTTTTTGACTTCTTGGTTGGAGAGGGTTTGTCGCTCGGTGTGACATCTTCCTCCTCGGCCTGTCGTTTTTGCGGACGAGCAGACTCGACTTTGAACTTGCGGCCCTTAAGAATAGAGCCATTCAATTTCTTCTTGATTTTATCAGCCTCCATGGTGGGCAATGTCACGTAGCCGTAATTGTTCTCAGGAAATGTTGGAATATCATGAAAAGAAACGTCCGACGCAAGGGAACGAATCGAGGCGGGCAGTACCAAACGAAGAAGCTCCGGGTTCAAAGGTGTAATATGTAGACGAGTGGTAGCCGGGGACTCGAAAGTCATTTGCGTTGTTTCCCTGGCCGGTGTAAACTGTCGAACCTGTTTGTTGACTGTGAAATCAATCAGAATAAATAAATGTGCAGGACAGGCGCAGAGAGTCGTCTTGGCGCCGCTAGAGCTGGTCTTGATGTTCTCTCGACAGCTTTCTTTGACCTCTAATTTTTTTTCTCGGCAGAATGATAATGGAGCGGTGGCGCAGACGATCAAAATCACCAGCCACAGTCTAGAGTAGTGACATGTCCTGCCAAGCCCGTTTCAGCTGCGTTCCAGACCACATGAGAGCGTTGGGTGCGGTTCCTGATTGTTGAGACGAGACCATGTCCCTCTCTCACAGCAAGAACATTCCGTATTATTGGAGCTAAGGAGGAGTTAAGAAGTAGATTCTCTGGCATTTTTGCTTGTCGAGTTTCCCCGGAATAATTATAAGATGGGGGTCCTGATCTTATGTAGATTATTAATACCCTTACGGAGTACATGACCCGTACCCCATTTATTACAGCCTATTATTGGACCTCCAAAAGTGAGATCTCTCCGCCCCCATTTTGTCTCCTCTCCGTCGGCTGCCAGACATATTCATTATTTCATCGCATTCTCTGAGATTTGCATCCTGTCAGCCCTACAATCGGGACTTATATTTGTTTCGGCTTTCGAACCAGAGCCTCTCTAGTTTTCTTCCCACGACATCAAATTCTTCGACCACTCTTGTTCTTCCGTGGTTGAAGTTGACAAAGTCTCTCTTAACATCGGTCTTCCCACTTGCCGCTCTCAGTCCCGCACATGGCCGGCCACACGAGACTTTAATGACTCTGCTCCCACAACTCCATCTGAGTTTGTCCTCTTTTTGCCTTGCGACTGAGGCTGAGTTGTAGTCGAGCTCCTCTGCTTGACCATCTTGCTGAGTCGTCAGTCATCCGCTATCATCTCCGGGGACATCGTCTCCGCTCTCTTATCCGGGCCTTCGTAGCCTGCCCGCCCCATTCTCATCCATCTCCTCCCGCCCTTTCGGCTTACTTTCTTCTGCGAACCTCAGTCTCCTCTGTATACCTCTAGACCATGGGTAATTCACAGACGAAAGAGACTCGGCCGTCTCATTCACAGCGCCGGAGCCACCAATGGGGTTCAGGCAGCGGCCATTCAAGATCCCCGTACGGCGACCGGCATCACTCAGAGGGTTCTAGATCGCATCGAGGCAGCAGGCCGGACTTGTCTATCCTCGGAATAGGCGGAAACACAGATCGCGATGTGGCCACGATACTGGAACATCGGCGAGAAACCAAACAAGAGCGAGAGGCCCGTCGTCTGGAGAAGGAGCGCGCCGCTCGGCTCAAGGAGCGCGAAAGGAGCATGAGAGATGAACATGTGGATGGAGGTTATTTGGTGACGCAGGGGGTCTATACAGGGACTGAGGATTTCAACAAGGCTATAGTCCGCCAGTTGATGGTAACATGCGATGCGCTTTTTCCGGCACAGTAGCTAATCATCACACAGATTGAACGACGGCTTGCGCCATTCTGGAGGGGTCTGAATGATTTCTCAGATTCATGGACCGAGCACCAACTCATGGCGGTCGCGCGTGGTTTGCCACTACCTCCACCTGATCAAGTTCCCCCAGAGTTGGATTACAGTAAAGCATCTGATGAAGCAAAAGACACATCAGATATTCAACACTTGATGGTCCCAATAACATCACGATCCGCATCCCATGGCTCCGATGTATCTCCAGCTCATTCCTTACCTTCTCCCGCCTCACCGATTGCATCCGGTACGTCAAGTTCACCCTTGTTCCGCTCTCGAGCGAAGACGTTAGCTTCTTTGTCTGGGTCAAAGTCTCAGACAGAATCAACCCCTCGCGAGATGCAACTGCCTCGGGATCTATTCGTCAATGGTCAACCTATTGAGGCATACCTCTACAAGGATGCCACCGAATGCCCCATTTGCTTCCTCTACTATCCGCCTTATCTCAATCGTACCAGATGCTGCGATCAACCCATCTGTTCTGAATGTTTCGTTCAGATCAAACGTCCGGACCCTCATCCACCAGAGCATGCCGACTCGGACTCGAACGCTCCGACCCCAGCAGGCGAGGCAGAACGGCAGGATGTTCAAGATATCCACCTCGTCTCTGAACCAGCAGCGTGCCCATTTTGTGTCCAACCAGAATTCGGGGTGGCTTATCAACCTCCTTCCTTCCGTAGGGGGCTGGCTTATGCTTCCGATTCCAGTGGCCGTCCAAACTTGGCAACACCACTTTCGTCAACGTCCTCGCTAGCTTCAGGAAATGCTCCTGCTACTGGTCGACGACGAGCAACATCTTTATCGGCATCAGATCCGACTGTGATAACTACGGACAAGGTGCGACCCGATTGGGCGCAAAAACTGGCAAATGCTCGTGCACATGCTGCCCGAAGGTCTGCAGCGGCGACTGCTCTACATACTGCGGCTTACTTGATGAACTCCAACGGCTCAGGTAGCGAATCTCGTGGGTTCAGAAGGAGTGTTATGCGACGCAATAATGGAGAGTCTCATATACCCAGTAGGAGCGGCTCGCCGGCGTTACAAGCGCTTGCGTTCTTGACGGACAGGCGTGCCGCCGCTGATGAGACGAACTCTGAGGAAATTGCTCCACCACGGAACAGTTCAAGAAGATCTCGCATGGATGACTTGGAAGAGATGATGATGATGGAAGCTATTCGACTAAGTCTGGCAAGCGAGGAAGAGAGGCGCAAGAGAGAAGAGAAGGAGGCGAGAAAAGAGACCAAAAAGCGAGAAAAAGAAGCCAAGAAAGCGGAGAAGATGGCTCGAAAAGCCGGTCTATATAGCAACAACGCGAGTAGCTCGGCCTTGGACTCACCTGCCGGCAACAGCTCTTCGTCTCTCCTTGAGGAGGTGCCGGGCAAGGGCAAGGCAGTGGAGCGTGTCACGCCGCCTCCGAGTAACGCCGACCTGCCCGAGTCCGCGAGCTCGGATGTCCCAGTAGAGCCTCGACTGCCTCATTCATCGTCGTCGCTTAGCCCACCCGTGCCCAGAGAGCCCACCAAACCATCGCATCTCCGCCATGTTTCCAGCGCTTCGTCGTCATTTTCATCTCTTGTTGAATCCATGTCCGAGGAGCCTGGGTCCTCGTCCCAGCCACACGAGGGAACCAGTTCGTCGGCTGAACCATTGTTCAACTTTCGCAGCCTAGCCGCCGTCATTGGCGACGAGGACAAACCAGATGAGGCGGCGGAGCATGTTGAGAACACAGCACCTCATGCAACATCAGAAACGCCAACATCAACCGCTCCGGTTGACGAACCGCCAGCGTCGACTTCCAGTACAGCCGAGGAGGACAGCCCTACGATACCGAGCTTAGTACATAAAGAGGTTGAGGCACGATCGGTGGAGATCACGGATAACAGAAATTCGGAGACTATTTGACATCTAACATCTTGAACCTAACCTGACTCGAATTCACTCTCTTTGCTACGCCTTAGTTTTTCCTTGACGGAAAAGCGAGTCTCCTTTTATCCCATCATTGTGCTCTGTCCATGGATTTGTTTTCATTGACATCAGAGAATCGGAGGTCTCTTTCATGATATACATACAGTTCTATAGATTTGGATTTCTTTTGTTTTTGCGTGTACTATCGGAACGGACTGTCAGATTGCATTGCTATGGTTGTTCTGGAGGTTTGGTTTTTGGAGATTGACGAATGCCACAGCGCTCGTTGATTCTCTCTGTGAAGTAGACTCTGTAGATATTAAGGATGCAGTCACATCAAGGACAGAGAAATGAGGCGTGGGGTTTCAGGAGGGTGAGAATCAGGAATTCAGCACGTTTCAAGGGACCGCGCTCCACAACGATCGACCTTGATTTTCTTTATGACATTTCCATCATGGAGTCAATTGTTAGTATGATTATGCAAGTAGCACCGTGATCTCAAAATAATAGCCGTTGTACCACGTTGCGACCTGGGAACAGTAGCCACTATCGATATCAAAATTGCTGAACTTTGACTCTTTGAGGGAAGATGGCCAGTGTGGTTGGGGCTTAAAAATGGGCCCTGGAGGCTACTTCAATAGTCCACTGCACTAACCATCGCTAACCATCGCCAAGGGTCGACTTGCAGACGTAGCAGTCTAGCAGACGACACGATGATGGGACCAGCCCACGCCTGCCAATTATTTGCTCTCGCACTCTTCGGCTCCTTCGGACTGGGATCTTGAAACCGAGCTGACTCTAGCTGAGCGCCTCTGCCGCAGCCAATCTGAGCCTGACAGCAAATGAGCAAACCCGAAGGCGCTCCCTCCGAGGCCGAGATGACAAGAAAGCAAACCGGGGATGGCATCGCCGCATTAAGGCAGGAGTCGCAGGACCGCAATCAAATCAAATCCGGATCCTTAGAGCTGCTGGGAAGAGCCAACGAGGCCCACCTGCACCGACTGATATGATGTGATAATTCAGGAAATTATGATATAAAACCTCGCGGTGGATCCGTGGTTCTCTGTCGCGAAATCCTGCTTGTCCGTGCTTGTCCCTGGATCAAATCTAACGGTCCCTCTCCAAGAGTCCAGTATCTTATTTTTGCCAGGACTTTCCCGCTTTCTTTGCTTCCGTGTTGTTGATTCTGTCAATCTACTTAAATCTGCAGTGGTTCGCCAACTGTTCCAAGCGACGCCTTTCGGTATCGGTGCCCGAAAGCCTCACACACTGTTTGCCGCATATATTGTCGCGCCCACAGGCACAGCAACAGCAAAAACATCTCGAGCAAAGATGGCTATCCTGGACAAAGACCGCCCGCGCGGTCTGCGAGTGCCTTCGCTTTCCTCCTTTAGATCCAAACACAAGTCACCGGAGCCAACGCCTACAATCCAACTGCCTTCACCCTCGCAGTTGACTCTTCAAACAGATTCAATACCGGTGTCTTCTTTCAAGCCAGCCGAAAAGGCATTGCCCCCTCAACCGCTGCCGTCTCCGCCACAGCAATCTACGCCCGGGGTAGTGAACCCATACCCATCTCCGCCGCAGACGTACAACAATCCACCCACTCCAGTCTCTGTCCAGAACTCGACCCCGAATCGAACTGTTGGCAATGTTTTCCCCATCCATGCTCCACTACCTGCTCTACCCGCTGATAGGCCTATGCCCCGGCCTATCCCTCAGTCAACGACTCCCCCAGCCCGGCGACCGATTCCAAAATCTACAACGGCGCCACAGCCGGTAGCAGCACCGACGCCAGTACATGCACCTGCGCCCATACCTGCACCCGTTCCTGTTTCGCCAGTGAACAATCTTGTCACGCAACAGAGAACCCCGCCATTAAGCGAAGGGGAGCCCGAGCAGAGAAAATCAAACGACACTAGCGACTCACTCGAAGACCTCATCCCCTCGCCCGAACCAGAGCCGGAACTGAACGGCATCAGCGGCACACCCAACGAAGCCGGTTCTGGTGAAGAGGACGCCAGACCATTTACACCACCAGAGGTCGAACCAGTTGCTGTCCCGCTCAACAAACTGCACTATGCCTGTTATCAGGACCACTGCGCAATGCCGGCCGTTGGGAACGTGTGGTATGCACTACCATGCATGACATGTCAGAAATTTGACCGTGAGATCCGACATCGATGCGTTTTCTGCTGCCTGCGTGTCTGCGCGGACTGTTTCCAGGCGCTGCAGAAATGCCAGCGCCGCTCGCTGGCGCAACTGATGGAAACCATCTCATCCAACATTAGTGCAACTGATCAGCCATCAGCAGCGGAACTTTGATAATCTATCTCCTGCCACGTGTTTATGCCACCTGATTACGGCCTCTATATGCGATTTATTGATTGTACAGAGTAAATGATCATAATACCCCTGCTAAGTTCCTGGTTTGTCCTTAATGATAATTCAATTAATGCCAATACTGAACCTTGATCTATTTTGTAAAACCCCGGCCCAGATCTCAATGCCAGATGAGCAATAGATAACTACATGGTACAAAAGACAAGTATTGTACATAGGTCGGTCCTCAGTCGTGGTCTTCCTCGGTTACACCGGGGCAACCCTCCATCTCGGCAGTATCGTAACGATATTTGCACCAAAAGCAGTAGTGATGCTTTTTGCGGAGGTATTGAACCAACCGTGATAACCGATCAGCCGGCTCGAGGACGTTGAACTCATCTAATTCTGGGTCTTCTTCCTCCAGCTCTTGCTCGAGAACAGTTGATAGATCGCGTCCGCCTCCGAGTGCTTCGTGGTCTTCACGATCTAAAGTCGCGTCGTCATAGCCCGGTAGCCGCGGATTTGGAAAGAAAGATGTCGGTAGAGATGTCTGCAGTAGATGCCTGGTCTGGGTGGCGCGTTCGTTCTCTTCGCGCTCACGCACAAGCCCGCGATATAAGACGTTAATTTGAGAAGTTGGCTTTACCTTTACTTTGGCCTTGGGGGCTTCTTCAGCATCAATATCCTGCTCTTTCTTTTGGTCGCCATCATTACCGTTATCTTCAGCATAGCTGAAAGAGAACAGACTTGCTTCACCATTCTCATCCGCGTCTAATCGCTCGGCGACCTTTTGTGCTGCATGGATTTGCGCTTCTGTGCGCTTCGTCTCGCGCTCGAGTCGCACACGGTCCCGATAGTCTCCCTCTTCGGCTTTGACCTTCTTCGCGGCCTCCTCGGCTTCTTCCCGAAATTTGCGCTTGCGCTCACTATCCAGTCCGATCCCGCCACGGTCTTCCTTGAAGATCAGGTTCAAAGGCTCCGCGCGCGAGTGCGCATTGGTAACACTTTTCTCTTTCTCCTCTGCGGGCTTCCCTAATGTTTGGCCTGGTTTGAACCCTAACTTTGCCATCATCTGGAAGCCCTTGTTGGTGGGGTTGAGTGTGCTGGTCGCCAGAGCTGCATCACGTTTGGCGGCTTCCTGGGCGGCGCGTTCGGCTTTGGAGGGGACTTTTGCGCGGGCTTCGGCCTAGATTGAGATCGAGCGGAATTAGAGATTGTTTCGTCGCGGCCGAAAAAAGAAAGGAAAGGAAAAGAAAGCGGCACATACCTCCCGCTGAAGCCTGCGCTTCTTCTGCGTAAACGTTTCCTTCTGTTGTGGTTCTTCAATAACCATGGACATATAGTCATCCTCGTCCTCTTCCGCGGCCATTCTCGTGCGGGGCCGCGGGTTGCGCCGTTAACTATCCCGATGAGTCGGAGGTAGCAGCAAACCGGTCAGCGACCGTAACTATAACGTTGGGATGACAGAAATAAGAGATCGCTAGGGAACCTTTCCTGATCCAACCAATTGGAGGCCGGGGTAGTATCCAGAAGTGATGTGGAGTGACGACAAAGAGTACTCCGTACGGAGTAGTGACTTCAAGGTCTGCGGGGAAAAAAGTGCCCGAGGATTTTTCCAATTCCGGGAAGGTGTTTATCCCTCTTTCCATCCAATCTCATCTCGTGCGGTATCCCGCCATTAGTCGATCGCACTATACTCCGGAGGAACGTGGTTTCTTGTTCCTTGCTTGGCTTTGTCGTGTGATTGATGAGGTGGTCGACCTGCAGTCCTCCAAATGAGGGGGTCGACACCTGCTCATCAGATTCTACCGGATGCAATTGCAATGCCTCGGTTCAGCAAACTGCAGGATGCAGGAGCTAGGATGCCTCTCCTTCATGCGGCCTCGCGAGCTTTCGTGAGTGCAGAGTCTTGAAGGCCCTTTTCCAAGGGTCTTCCCGATCATCGTCAGCAATGTCAGCAAGGTGGCTGCGACGGCGCCGAAGCCGGTCAATCATCTGCATGGATGCTCCTCCACCCACAACTTGATATTGAAAGCCAAGTTTCGATACCCTTGTCATGGCGTCGGAACTACGGCTATTGGTGAAATCCGACCTGGCTCTTCTAGACCAACCCCTTGTTGGTTTACATGCCAACATGTGGAGAAAACCAGGGAGTATCTTTGGCTTTTCCCTCCGGGCCCCGGCCTTCCAATAGGTATGTAGACTACCTACTCTAGGTACGGAGTGGGAATGTCTGAACCCCGCGAATTTCTTGTACCTTTCTCCGTCCACTTCCTTGCCTGGTGTATATTTTAAATACCCCGGCATTGTCCTCTGCCATTTCGGACTATTAACAAGAACAAACAGCAACTCGAGCCATGTTAGGATATCTGGCATTGTTGACCGCGTTCTCTGCTCTAGCCTGTGCCAGAGATGTGATCGTGAACCTTGGGTATGCACAGTATCGAGGGCAGGAACTCTCCAATGGCGTCGCACAGTGGCTAGGGATTCGCTACGCTGCACCTCCTGTTGGGCCGTTGCGTTTCTCGGCGCCGCAGGACCCTGAGGATGAAACTGAAATTCAGAACGCAACTCAGGTACACATGACGCCTGCTATGGATTCTGTTTGGCGCTGACAATAAGAGCAGCATGGTTCTATGTGTATCCGGACATCCAGGTACCCGGCTCCAGAAGGCTCAGCTGAGGACTGTCTTTTTCTAGATGTGTACGCACCTGCAGGGGCCACAGGAGCCTCGCCGAGGCTCCTTCCTGTATACGTCTTCATACAAGGTGGCGGCTTCAGCAGCAACGGGAACCCCTATAACAATGGAACAGGCTTGGTCCAAGCCTCGGACATGAACATCGTTGTTGTCAATTTCAATTATCGCGTCGGTCCATATGGCTTCTTGGCTGGCTCCGAGATCGTCCAAGGCGGCAGCGTGAACAATGGCCTGAAAGATCAAATCAAGGTTCTTGAATGGGTTCAGAGCCATATCAAAGAGTTTGGAGGTGACCCGGACCATGTGGTCCTTGGAGGTGACAGCGCTGGTGGGGCATCGGTAACCCTACTTCTCTCTGCGTACGGCGGCCGGGACGACGGCCTCTTCCACGCTGCTGCCGCCGAATCCCAGAGCTTCGCCAATATGTTGACTGTAGACGAGGCCCAGTATGCCTACGACAATTTGGTCAACCGCACAGGCTGCACCGGCGCGGGGGACACGCTCGGCTGCCTCCGCGACGTGGACATTGATACCCTTCAGCGCGAAAACATTGTCACGCCATTCCCCGGCACACAACGCCGTCCTCTCTACATGTACGGACCGGTTATCGATGACAACCTTGTCCCAGACTACACATACCGCATGTTCCAGCAAGGCAGATTCATCAAAGTCCCCGTAATATTCGGCGACGTAACCAACGAAGGCACAAAATTCGTCCCTGAAAACCTCAGTTCCCTATCCGCAGTACAAGTCTGGCTCCAAGCGCAATGGCCCGCCCTTACATCTGAGCATTTCTCTAGGATAAACGAGTACTACCTCCAGGTTGTCAACTCCACTCAACCGTATCCCAACTCGACCCGATACTGGCGCCCAGTAAGCGATGCCTACGGCGAGATTCGCTACGTCTGCCCCGGCATCGCCTTGTCCGGCGCGTACGCCGATGCGAACGTTTCCAATTGGAACTACCGCTACGCAGTCCAGGACCCAGATGATGAAGCCTCCGGGCTAGGTGTTTATCATGTTGTTGAGCTCAATGCTATTTGGGGACCAGAGAACGTCTATTGGACGGACACCGTCGGGACTGAACCCCCGGCATCGTATTATACATCTAATGCGGATATCATCCCGATTATGCAGGGTTACTGGACAAGCTTCATCAGAAGCTACGATCCGAACACGTATCGTTATCAGGGGAGTCCGAGGTGGGAGGAATGGAGTGAAGATGAACGAATCTTCATTCGGACGGGTGAGACGAGAATGGAGAGTGTTCCGGGAAACCAGAAAGAAAGGTGTGAGTACTTAACTTCAATTGGCGTGGAATTGAGGCAGTGAATACTCGTGTATAGTTTGAATAAACTTTTTTTGCCCGGTTCGAATGCTCGTGAGGTATATACATGCTCCGAAACAAATAATAAGATAGCCCCATACAGCATATAGCATACATGGGTAGTGGAACAATAGATACAAACTACCTCTTTCCCTGTCGCATCCTCTTCTCCCTCTCATAAGCATTAGCCTCTCTTCCTTCTTCATTCTGCACTTCCGCGACAAGTCTCTTATACTTGCGCTCATACTCAGCATCCTTCTCCTTCTTGTCACGCAGCTTCTCACGCGCAATAAAGTTCGCGTCCTTGCGGAGCTCGCGCATTGCACCCTTGCGCTCGCGCTTGTACTCTGCCTTGAGCCGGTTAACCTCGGCACGCTCACGGTTAGGGTCGTAGTGTTTGTCAGGATTGAATGAGTCCTCGAATTTGGGAATCGCCGTCTTGACAGCTAGCGGTTTATGGTTGTGAAGAAGGAGCGGGCGGCGGGTGAGGCGCGATTGGGCGAGGACGGTTGAGAGTTTGTCGAGGGTTGATTGGAGGGTGTCGAGGGCGGAGGTGGGGATTGTCTTTGCCTTCTTGGTCTTTTTGTTAATGTTGACGCAGGAGCGAGAGACGTGTTTGAGGACAGCCCGCGCTTGGTCAAAGATCTCGGTGGATGCCGATTTGCCTGACCAGAGGCCTGAGGCGCTGTTGAGGAGAGAGGAGAGGGTTATGATGAGGGATAGTTTGAGGTCCTCTGTTGATTTTGCGGAAATGTCCCAAAACCGGAGTTTTCGAGCGTTTAGAGGTTTTGAGGGGTTGAGACGGAGGGATTCTGATGGTTGGCGGAGGGGGAAGGATCCAAGTTTAGATGGGGCTTCTTCGGGGCTGAGGATGCACAGCGCGTTGAGGACGTAGTTGAGGAATTCGGGCATATACCGCCTGGAGGTTGTTTGGTACTGCACGGCTAAGCTGGCGGCGTAGGTGCCCGTGCATAGATCAGACAGGGTGTTGACGGGCCCCTGTCCGAGGTACCGGGAGAGGCAGAGATGTGCTGGCGTGGAGACGGCGTGGAAGTGATCAGAGGTTGGGAAGATGGTTGCGATGCCAGTAAGAACGACCAGATCTCCGGGCTGCAGGGTCAGCGGGCGGTCCGTGGCAACCTCGCGCAACTGGGCTCTGAATGCCAATGAGACGCTTTCAGGGTGACTCTTGGCTAGAGAGTGAATGTGACGTAGAACGCTTTCCACAATGGCGAATGGCGGGTGTTGCCGCTGTTCGGCCATGTATGCTGCGTGCTGGACGAGGATACCGGCGAAGCGGCCGAGCTTGGCCTTGTTCTCGCTGTGAAGACGGGGGTGGTGCAGAGCTCGGATTCGCTGGATGATGGTTGGCAGGTCCTGGTATGAAACATCCTTGATTGTCTCCAGGAACTCATTGTGGCTGCTCGGGCATGGGTATGTATATGCAAGCCCGTCATCGGCAACTTGCGCATCGGCAGCTGGTGCTGCATCGCCAGACTCGGTGCCTGGCATGGTAAACCCGTTGATGAGCTCGTCTTCCTCCTCGGATTCTGCCTCGGATTCTTCCCCGACATCACTTATTTCGTCGTCCGACTCGACAAATGACAAGCTGACATCTGACCTTGTTTCGACCAAGTCATCAATGATAAAGTCATCTTCATCCTCAACACCGTCAGGCCGGGAGGTTGAGAAATCCGTAGTAGGCTGTTGCAGCCCAAAGTCCCTCGCGTCGTCCGGGAGAGATTCATCCTCGTCAAAGTCTTCGCCTTCTTCCTCTTCTTCTGCCGCCTCGGCTTCGTCCTCACTAACATTTTCACCGCGCATTCTGCGAACTCGTTCTTCCTCGAGTTTCTTCAACCGTTGTGCCTCTTCCTCCGCCTTTTCTTCCTCAGTCTTTGTACGATCCGTAGGCATTGATCGCTTGTCAAATGTTAGTTGCTTCAAACGCTGATCGTATTCCTTCTCCATGTCTCCCTGCGAATGGCCCTGCAAAATGGCTGCACGATCGGGGTTCATTCCCGCGAGGTCGTCCTTTGGTGGTTCTGGTTTCGGTGGGGGCTTCACTCCACGAAGCATGTCAAAAAGTTCAGGTAGACCTTTGTCCAATTCTTCACGTAGATCATCATCATCCTCCTTGGCCATTTGTCGCTGCGCTTTGTAAAACTTGGACTTGGCGATGACTTCTTGCATGACTTCATGCTTTGATTTTTTCCGGTCCGGTACCTCTTCCTCGTCGCCTTGTGACTCCATATCATCCTCAGCTTCAGGGTCGCCAATAAACCGTTTCCGCTTTCGAGGCATATTAGAGTCCGACATGTCGTCCGCCCCGAGGTCTTCCTGAAAATCATCCTGCATTCCCTCCCCATCGCCAAACGACAGCGATTCGCCCTTGTGAGTAAGCGTAAACTCCTCTTCATCGTCGTCTTCCTCTAGATTGAACATTGAATCCTTCCGTAATTTCTTCTGGCTTGCTCTGGCGAATCGTTCCGCAGCTCGTTCTTCGGGGGTCATGGTCGGGTCGTTCTCTCCGAAACGGCGATCCATAATACCACCAACTTTGTTCTTGCGGTCCATCTCCTGCAGTAATGTTTGACGTCTCTAATGAAAGTGTGAGCTGCATTCTTTGAAAGTCAAGAACAATCATACCCTTTCTTCACCAAGAGACTTTGTAACTCCGGGACGGAAATTCCCTGCAGCAGATTTGGAGTTCCCATCTCTAGTGGTAACATCAAATTTGTTCCGAGAAACTGTCCTGATCTCAAAAGGGTTGAATCGTTCTCGGATGGCGTTTAGGGCGGTCTCGCGCTGGGCGCGATTCTGCGAATTCGCGCCCGCCTTCGCATTTTGGCGTTTTTGCTTCTTGGACTTCTGGGGGCCCAGTACCCCAGTGTCGCGGAGAGAGGCCTTCAGCTGCTTGAGCTGCGACGGCGGCATGATTCTGTGTGGGATGAAGTCGGTGCAGGAGAAGCTCTTCAATCCAACCTCCGAAATTTTTGGGTTGCCGAAAAATTATAGTTCACCGCCCTAATAGGTACCTATTCTGCCCCAGGTACCTTGTCTCCGCTTCTTATCTCCTTGACATCGGAGATGAATGTATGAGAGCGCAATGGCTTCTCATATGAGCGATAGGCTACTATGGCTGTGTCTTGGTATGTAAAGATGATTGACCCTCGCGCTGGCTTATATTTACCTATCTAGGCGTTACCTTATTCTTTGCCGTGCGCGGAATCGCTGCCGATCTCCACCAAGTAAACGAGTTGACCGAAATCAAGAACGATGATAATGATGACAAGATACTCAATGAGGGCACAGAAGATGGTATATTCTAAGCTTTTACCTGCAGTGGTCCCGCTTCTGACGAACACTAGCCCTCAAACTAGATACTTTGTTGAAACTCTCCAAGAGCACAAGTTATGACCTTCGTTCCGCGTATGGATGCCGACAAAACTCCAGTATAGCATCCGGCTGACATTGCAGTGCGCTGCGCATAATCGCCGAGCGATCTGTAAAAGGGGATACGAAAGATTTGCTACTCGAAGACCTAGCCAGCAAGAATCCCGAGAGACGAAACAAAGCAATATCAGCAGCGTTCTTTCTTGTCTCAAACCGAGCCCGTACGTTGCCCACGCCAGAAACCAGCCCTCTATAGTGCTGATGATTATAGTTTCACGAACGTCTGTGTGTTCCCAATTGAAAGACGTATCAACATACACTGCGCTAGTCGACTGCCTTTGCAATCTGCTTGAGGAACACACCGAAATAACCTCCGGAACGATATCTCCGATATTCCCCAGAACGCGCCCCCGTTTTGAACTAAAGGCTATGAGGACGCTCAACATACTTCTTCAAGAGAATATTCCTGCTGCGCTAGAGGCGGGTATCATCAGCCGATGGCTTGCCGACTACCCGTTTCCATGTGCCTCGGCAGAACCCTCTCGGCGACAGGATGTGGTAATTCTTATGAAGACGTGGTGGTCCGACGACGCGGCCATGAGCAACATATTCAATACGTTATCATCACATCCAGAAGGGGCAAAACAGCTTCGGAAGCACGGTTTGATGGGTAGCATGTTGGAAGAAAATGATCATGATGAAATAAGCGACAACGAAGGCGCGGATGGGGAAAGCGACGTGTGGATGGTGGATGGCGACGACACTGCCGGTTCAAGGCCAGTTCTGGGTCGGCGGCCTCGGGAGCGCAACCCAGAAGAGCAAGCTTTAAGGAGGCGCAGACGAGAGGCCATGGTATTGAGTGACGGAAGGCGTCCGCTAGGCCGCGACGACATCATACAACTTCCCATCTCAGGTTGACTGCTTTATGCTCATGAGAACCTCAATTTCCACACATTATGATACCCCTTGGCAATGTATATGAAATCATGGATAGCCTTTCAAAGACCCATCCACGCTGACTTTGCAGCGTGATCCAACTTCTTCCGACTATGTTTGAGCATCCCAAGTGCCCGGAGCTCAGATAACGCTCTATAGAATAATGCTATCGTCATTCGCTCGTCGCAACTATCGCCTTGTTCGCTTTCAAAAACGGCGTGGAATGCAGTCCACAAGTCATGCATGTTTACAAGAGCGCCAGACTCGAGGTACAGCTGGTATAAGATCGACGTGGGAGGCTGCTTGGCGGAAATTTTGCGTTCCGTGTGGTGCGACGTATACATGAGATAGTCATGCGGATTCGCCAATGCCCGCTCTATCGCGAACCGCGCCCGCGGCGCAAAGATTTCTTTGATAGGGTTTCGAATGTCAAGCAGAAACGCCTCGTGTAGCGGTAGTTCTTGCGGGTAGACTAGGGTTGTCTCAAAATATGACTTCAACAAATTATAACAACGGTCTATGATCCTTGTGTACTTTAGACACTCCTCTGGCAGCTCGGCTTTGCCCGTGTTAAGTTTGACGCGTTGTTTCACTATGGTTGTGCCGATGACAGAATTTTGGCTGTCATACTCACTGCGCAGAGGTACCGCCCCGTCGCAGGCCTGTATGAGGGACTTTAAATCTCCCTCGATATCCTGAAAGCCAGAGAGTTTCGTGTGAGCTTCAGGCAACAAATGGGAAAAAATCTCTTCGAGTTTCTGGGAATCCAGGCGTCGAAAGGCAAACAGGATGTCGTCAAGTAAGGGCGAGCTTTGTAACTCCCCAGACAATGCACGGGTGGACAATTCCGAGATGCTTGATTTTTTGGGAATATTCAGATCCTTAAGCAGCACAGAGACAAGCGCCACTGCTCGGAACATGTCATGCATGGATTGTTGTCCAGCTTTGACAAGCTTAATCATTTGCGAAAGAAGGAAATTGTCATCTTCTAATAAATGGCGCACTGGCTGAGAATGGCCCCTTTCCAACAGAAACTCACAATGCCTACCCGACGTCAAAACCATGAGTACTATGACAAGAAGAGTTGAGCGACTTACTCTCTAAAAGACGGTGCATTCCGAATGGCTTCGCAGAGCCTGTCATGCTGTAGATTCGCCGGAATATCGTCCGCGAGAAGTACCGAGATGGGGTTGGCGAAAAAATGGGACATGTAAGCGTACTAGCAATGGCGTTAGCTGGAACCCAGATCGATTGCAGGAGGGCCTACCTTCACTGTTCGACAAAATGCCTCTGGAGTCTGGAAGTAATCATTCGACTTCTCAAAGAGGACGCCCGTGAGATTGCGTCCAAGCCAAAACTTGCCTGCTTCTGTTTGTACTCGCTCGTATATCCGATCAACGCAATTACTGGCCCCATGGAGTTCAAAGTATTTTCCCTTGAGCAAGGAAACGCTCGATCGCGGTAATCTTCCTTCAAATAGTTCGACCGATGTAGAAATGCCAAATAAGAGGGTTAATGGTATCCGATCGAGCCATGAACTAGAAATCTAAGCTTCTATTCGCCTCGGCTATCTGGGTTTTCTGACTTACCTCAAAAGGAAGAAGAGATCTGTAAGAATTCCGGGATCAAAGGCCTCGCTGTCCCGGAAAGCCAGGACAAGATGTTTGATGTTCTTCCGGCTGACATAGTCACCTAGTAGGTCAAGATCATATCCAAGGAGCCTTGGGCCCTAATGATCTCAGCTTTTATGACTGATGCCGACATCATCAGAAAGCAAACTTACCTCCCTGTCAGTCAGAAAGCTCTGATAACCATCATTTCCTTCTGTGTTTGTAATCGCAGCCCGTATAATGTTCTTCAATGTCGTCTTGAGGTTGGGCGCATCGCCAGATTCCAGAACCACTACCCCTCCTTCTCCGGCAGATGTCAATTGATCGTTTAACCGAGAGAGAAGTCGAGTTAGGGATGAAACGTTTGAACCGACGGTAACGAGAGCCGCAGGTATACAGCCACCGTACCTAATGCGCCCGTTAGATTTGCATCGTCTGCTTCACATGCGGATTGTCTTACGTGTCCGGGGATGTTGTTTTGACAAATGTCGACACATCCTCGAGCACTTCAGCATCTACCTCATCCAAGATACCCTAGGTAGTTGTTAGACTTATAAAGAGAATGTATGGGTATTTGCACTAACCTGGATCTTCGCCTCCTGGATAGACCACAACTGCTCATATGTTTGGTACCTCAATCGGACGGATTTCCCGCTCTCATCTCCGTTCAATAGCGGCACGAATGGACACAATTCTTCTCTCGTCTTCTTAGGTTCTTGGATGACTTTTCTTTTTTTGGAAAGTCGTTCCCCGAGAGCTTTTCCTGCATCTGCCGGTCTGTAGATATAGACGCCCTTCGGCTTGTTAGTCAAGGCTCGAAGATTCTGAGCTAGGGGCTCTGTGACGACCATACCTGGGAGTTCGAGATATCTTCTGAGAAGACACCAGCGTCTGCTTCCATGGAGTCCATGGTCACTATCCCTGCCTCTGCAATCGCGTCAACGAGGGATGATTCCGCGTTCTCTGGGGAATTCTTATGAGTGCCTGAAATCCGCGGCAGATAATCGGTCAATCTAAGCCAGATCCGGAAGCTCCGCGGACTTGCCCGCCTGTGCACCTCAGGGAATTTATTTCCTGGATCAACTCTTATGCAGCTCAGCTGTACTCGCCTCTTTCGTCTAAAGATTACTCTCGGTGTTTCTCACTTTTTTTCTGGTTCCTCGCCGAAGCCGATGATATAAACCCTCTCACTTCATGCTCCGCCCGGTGATTCGAGGAGCTCGGTGGTATCAGCATGTGGCCCACTCGAGCAATTCGGCGGCCTCGCCTTGCTCTTTTGCACGAACATTCACGGCGATAGCGCCGCGATCGATCAATTATGGCGGTCCTAATGATAAGGTCAAATTCTACGAGCAGGACACTTTACGGAGCACGAAGAGACGGAAAATCGATCCGGAAGCGGAGGATAATGCGGAAAGGGAAGAAGTGGCGCGTGAACTTTCGCAGTTGGATCGTGATCTAGAGGCCATGAAGGAGGATCCGTTTGGCCCAAACAGCAGCTTTATACAAAGTCTACCGGAGGATGAAAGGGCTATTGCATTGGAAGCCTTGCGAAAACAAGAAGCGAATGATGGCAAAGATGAGCCTGTCACCTTTGATGACGTTTTTGACGAGGAGTTGGACCAGATGCTTAAAGAGGAGTTTGAGGGTCTAGCCTTGGAGGAAGAGAATTGGATGCGAAAAAAGAAAGGAAAGCCGGAGAAGGAAGCTGAACGACAACCATACCAACTCGCACTCGAGGAGTCGGAGCATAGCAACTATATTGATAGATTCAACCGTTCTTTAGAGCGGTATGCTATCAATGAGTCCAATGATAAAGCGAGCCACGAGCTCTGGAAGTGGTATCGAGGATGCAGACAGATCGTTCCCAGGTTTGTCAATGCGATACCTGAGGAAGCTATGACGCTGCTATGGTCCTCCCAGACTTCACACGCGGCTCGTATACAAGTACTAGCTGAAGACGTCTTATCTGCTGGCCGGTCTCTCCCCACAGGGCATATACTTTCCTACATAAAATCTCTGCACCAGCTGGGCAAGACCAAAGCTGCCTTGGATCAATGGGAGATACACCAGGCTGGACTTAGCCAGCAGAAAGAAGACCTTGAAGCTTACTGGAAGCTCGGGGTACAGCTCTTTACGGCCGAAGGCAATCCACAGCGAGCTCAGGATATTGCGCTAGCATTCATGACAAATGCCAACTCTCAACAAGCTCGCGTCCTTATTCCCATCATTACCGCTTGGGGACGACAGTCTGGGAGAGAAGCAGAATTCAAATTGTGGGCTCTTTATTTACAACTGAAAGCGATGCTTCGGCATGAGATGACCATGAAGGATTATGATCAGATCAGCATTGGGCTTTTAAAAGGTGGAAAACTCAACCTCGCCATTGCCGTGTTCAAAGATATGATGGTAACTGGCAAAGATTCGGCAAACGACTCAACGACACTGTACACTGCAGCTCTTGGGCTGGCGGGTAACTTGCAGGCGTCAGCCGTTTCCGAAAAGGAAGTTAACAGAGTTTCCCTTTCGACGCTGACGGTTCTACCCCGTCGATACGAGAATCGATTCTTCTATGCCAGCTGGTTGAAGAAATTGATCGGAATGGGTGAAGTCGACTCCGCGGCTTCCGTGATTGAGTTGATGTATGAACGAGGCGTCAGGCCAGATCCCAAACATCTCAACGGTCTGATTGCTGGCTGGCTACGTGAAGGAAGTGCACCTGCTCGAGACAGGGCCGAACACCTAGGCTGGTCTATGATTAAGCAGCGGATAGACCGAGATTCGCAAGCCGACGAAACCGAGTTGGCGCCCCCGGGAACCCGACGCCCAGGTGCTCGAATTCCTCAATTCATGCAACGGCCGATGCCTGCAGCCACCATTGAAACTTTTTCAATTCTACTCCTCCACTACACACGGCGAGGCGAAGACGAAGCAATCGAGCATCTTGTCAACAGCCTCACGCGCACTCGTATCCAGCCAAACTCTTATTTCATGAACCACCTCCTTTATGCTGAACTCCGAAAACAAAACATCAACGCCCTTTGGAACAAATTCAGAGCACTTTCATCTAGTGTGCAGCCGGATCTCGAGACATACGCTTGTCTCTGGGACTGCGGTAAAGTTCAATACGATCGCAGCCGCACAGCTTATCTTTCCGACTTCCCAACGGCCCGCGCCCTTTACGCCGAAATGATTACCTGGTTCTTCAAACTCTCCACTAGAGCCCAAACCACGACACAGGAAGACTTTTCCAAAGATCTCTACGATCAAATCATTCGGTGTTTCTGTCTTTCCAAAGACCTCCCAGGCACCCTCGTCGCTCTCTCCTCCCTCCGTTTAACCTTTGGCTTTCATCCCGACGAAGCAACGGCCCGCCTAATCATCCTGTCAATTGCGCGTCACGCCGCCGTCCCATCAGACACTCCCAAACGCCGTCTCCGTCGTCTCTCCTCAACGCCGCAAAGTAAGGCGAATATCGCCTACGTTCAACGCCTCGTTGAGCTCCTTAGTGATCGCAAGTCTGCGGCGCTTGAACCAAGAGGGCTTACCATCGGGTCGCTGGATCCACATGAAAAAGAGACGCATCAGCTTGAGATCATGACTGATTTGCTGCGCATTGTCATGGGTCAGGTCAATGCTCGCACTAACCAAGCGCCTGATCCTGATCGTGTGGAAGAGCAGCTCTGTTCGGTCGCGGTCGAGATGGGCGTGCCTGGGATTTATCTTGGGCCGAAGTTGGGTGACGAGAACTCCGGTCTGATTTCGATGAGATAGGATTATGATCGTGTTCAGTTTGTTCATCATGGGTGACATTTATTTCAACTTGTATTGTATACGGAGTATATAGGGGAGCTTCCATGGCGTTACTGTACCGTAGCATGTTGCACACTATTACTCTGTACGTTGTTATTAGATCTATTCCTCTTTGACGGACTTTGCTTGAATCTATACCATGTGTCGTAGACACCGTATCTAGAGCATCAAATCATATCTTGCAGGCCCAATAGCAAACAACAATTCTTCAGACAATTTGGCTCTGTACAACGGCCAGGGCACTATGAATGACACTATGATATCATAGCCATACATCCATTCTTTTGCTTCAGCAGGTCGAATCTGCCTTGGGAGTCAGGAAGCACGAGGTGTGGCTGCGGTAGGTACCGGTAGGTACCGTATCGTGGCTTTGCTGTGGCTGGAATGAGACTTGATACAAGGCAGATTTAGTTGCAGCCGACCTCAAACAATCTGGAATAATTTAGGAGAGCATCGAATGTATTTTTCTCATACACTATAATGTCACTAATGAATGTCTGTAAGCCTGAGAGACGGGGTATTTTCTCCGTCCTCTCTTCGATCTGTGGGGTGGTGGAGATAAAGCATTGCACGGTTTGAACCTGAACCAGAGTCTCAGCAGTGGATCCAATATCTGTCAACATAAAAAGTAAACTCAACTTCTCAACTACTTTTCAAGGGGGCACGGGAAGTTCTGCATTCCCGTTAATGGGTCGTTAGTGCTTCATCTGTCATTCTCAGCCTCTAGTTTGGCGCCGGCTCTTGGACTTGCAGCGTTGTAATCCCAAGGCAGCCTTGACTCCTTTCTTTTCCTCCCCCACCTTATTATTATCTCCCTCTGTCTATCATATCAGCCCTGCTGTCCCTCTTTCCCTTGCTTCAGAGCCTCCTCCCACCTGTCACTCCTCTCCACCCCTGTTCCTTTACTCAGACACAGCCTCCTTTTGACGTCTTACTTCTCTGCCTTGCCTCACCACAGTCTTTTTATTTTACACTGCCTTGCTTACTAGCCTCTGCGCTCGGCTTTTCGACGTCATTCTGTTGACTGGACCAGAACCGTCTTGGTGTCTACCAGATATATCCCGAAAGCAGAAGTCAATGACCTAGACCTGCGCCAAAGGCCGGGCAACGTTGGCCGCTTGTCCTCTTATACTCCGATCCGTTGCCCATTCTGTTTAAATCTTCCTGTTCCCGATCCCAACTACAACGTGCTAGGCATGTCACTCTCTATCCTTCTCAGCGGGTACTAGTGACAAGTACATACCCGAACACACAAGAGTCTGAAGAAGAAGAGCAGCCAATCTTGCGCTCCTCTCATCGACCCGCTACTAGGCTTTTTCATCGATTGAGTGAGGGAAGATGTCGGCTGCCCCGCATCAGTTCGTCCAGAGCGACTCGACCGATAGAAACTTTGACCCCGAGCTCTCAAATTTATATCTTTCTACCGCAATCGACCCTGAAGAAGCAGAATTCCAATCATCTGCGCTCAGATTGACGCCCGTCGACGACCGGGGCGGCGCATGGAATAGCTCTGCGTCGCCACTAGAACGCTCCGTCAACAATGCCTCAACACCAGACAATCGCGAGGGCTATGGTACGTCCTATTCTGAATTTCTCAGCCCGGTCGAGGATTGGACAAGTGACATAAGCGGCCATACTTCGCCTGCCGATTTAACGATACCCGGTGTATGGCCGACCAACAACACACAAACATCGTTGCCAAATCAGTTCGATCCTAGGCCACCATCACCACATACGACCATGGATCCCTCCCAGCTCCTTACGCCGAACCTAACTAATCATCCAAGCCCAGCTTCGGACGCGATGGGTGCTGGTAGCCATCGCGTTCCGCGGTCTCATCAGCCGCCCATACCTCGCTTGATTACGACCCCTATAAACAACACTCTCGGCCCTCGCCCAATCCCTGAATCCGTCACAACGATAAGCCCAATCGTCAAGGTTGAGAGTTACTCGCGAGGTGATTCACCTGTCAGGGATAGCTTCTCAACTAACCGCCGCCCGAGCCAGTCATCAGTACATCTTTCCCCTGGGGGAGCGTCTAACGCCTCGGACGAAGATGCTACCATGGAGTATGATAACCATTCCATTTCAAGGTCAGCGAACGGGGCGTGGGTTCCAAATGCGCTTACTGGTCAATCCGGCCTCGCACCGAATGCGCGAGAGGATGTATATGTCCTTAGCCCCAGCGAGGTGGACTCGCAACGAAAGCTGGCGGAAAGGAATGCTGATATTTATACATGGTCGGAGGCCGTTAGTGAGGCCCACAGCGAAGCTGGTGATGATTACCTGCCTTCCCAGAGAGGCCGAAGTGACCGTCGTGGGACTAGGCGAAGGGCGAAGAGTACCGGAGATCCGTCCCTCCAACAAGATTATTTCAATCTCAAGTTTCACCCCAGCCGTCTTGAAGTTCCTGGACCAGGACTTTTGCTTCAGGAGACAAGCGATTTTAGCGAGGATGGGACAGACTCATCAGCGCCCGTTAGTGTAAAGGAGGAGATGTGGGCCCGTGAAGCATCCGAAATTACTTCTCCTGGGGCTCAGGCCACAGAAACAGGCGAGTCGCAGCCTCATCAGTTCTTGGGATCTCCTCCGTGGCGTGACGTTGAGCTCGATTTGGCTCCTCGAACAACACCGATCCAACCAGTCAGCTCTACTCAAGCCATGGTTGAATATCAGAGACGTGCTCGAGAATATGACGCTTTATCCCGTGTTGCGACTTGGGGTACGCGCGATCTCGATGCCAACAGTATCAAATCCTTCCAGATGATGAATCTCAATGGGAATGGGAAAGAGAAGAAACACGAGAGACGGAGCAGTCTCCTCAAGTATTTTCCTCAGAAAAAGGGCGGTCTTCTAAAGCGACAACGCCAAAAAACTGATATTTCCACCATTGAACCTGTTCTCGAAGGCCAAGCCCAGGACACAGAAAGCAAGCCGGCCCCCCAGAGAAAAGACAGCTTTCCTCATCGGCTTAGTCTTGGTCTCTCCCAAAAGTCTTCTAGCAGTTATAGCATCGGCGGTGCAGTCATGGCAACGACGAGGCAGATGGCTGCCATTGGCGGCAAGGATTCACTGAGTGTTGTATCTCCAAACTCTACATCCAAACCTTGGAACACGCTCAAGGTGCGAGGACGGAGTAGAAGTGAGGTACCCAGAGCACCAGGGTTGTTGGAGCTCATGACGAGTCACGGTGGTCCGCCTGTTCCCAACATCAACTACACAACCGAGTCCACGGCTAACACAGGCGCCAATCCTGCGGGTCCCGATCATGATGCCGAGGAAGAGGACGATGATGGTAGTGATGAAAAAGGCCTTGTCATGGAATTCCCGATACCGCCAAACCTACCTGTACCGACTTTGGAAGGATTCAGAACACAGATTCTCCAGCTCAACCCACGACTTGAACCCGCTCTGATTGATCGCTTTGCACATGAGCAGGTCCGGCGTTACAAGAGGTTGATCGAAATCAAACAAACACACGCTCGGGATGTTAATCGCGGGAAATGCAAAGCCGGGAAATTTTGCTTCGCCCTGGGAGGTAACGCCAAACTTCTACCACCCCGCGCTTCAGCTCAAGATGCAGATTCGCACACCCAGTTTCAGATTCCAGGTCGAGACGAGACAGAGGAAAGCCCCAAGGGCCTCGGAGAAACGACCATTGCTACGGCCCAATTCCCGCCAGGGGTTCCGCTTCCACCACCACAGGTCAAATTATTGCCGGCCGAGTTTGAATGTATGGTTTGCTTTCATATTAAGAAGTTCCAGAAGCCGTCAGATTGGACCAAGCATGTTTATGAAGATGTACAACCTTTCACTTGCACGTTTCCGGACTGCACCGATCCCAAGTCCTTCAAACGCAAAGCTGACTGGGTTCGGCATGAGAGCGAGCGGCATCGGCAGCTCGAGTGGTGGGAATGCTTGTTTACTGATTGTCGCCACAAATGCTACCGGAAAGACAATTTTGTGCAGCATCTCGTTCGTGAACATAAATTGCCAGAACCGAAAGTCAAAAAGTCAAAGAACAAGGAACTGTCAAAAAGGGCGGCAATTGAAGCAATCACCCCTGAGTTGCAGGAGGAGATCAACCGTGAGCAGGAAATCAACAAACTCTGGGAGCTCGTGGAAAGCTGTCGATTTGACACAGCGAAAAGCCCCAGAGAGGAACCTTGCCGATTTTGCGGCAATGTCTGCACCAACTGGAAGAAGCTCACTGTGCATCTGGCCAAGCACATGGAGCAATTGGCTATTCCGATTCTCGGTCTTGTGGATGAAAGAGATTTCCCGCATGACATCGATACCTTCTCGAATAGCAACACGGACATTTGTTCTGGTCAAATGTCTGTCAGCCAGGAAAGCAAAGAGTTTGCTCCAAAGTTAAACACTGGGAGGATGGCTAAGGGTCTTGGGCCATCAATTAATTTCACGCAGGGACAGTATACGAGCAGCCATGCGGGGGCATCCGAACCGCTTGCGATGCCATTCAATACGGACGAAGCGTACATTCCTGCTACCTCGATGCCTATAGACGGTACAGCGCCCAGCCAATTGAATAATTTTGAAGGCATCTCGCAGTACGCGACACATGGAGGCATGCCTGAACAGACTGCCCTGGCCGAGGAACAGCCACGGTTAATTGCCATGCACCAACATCAGAACTCAGTGACCTATCCTCCGCCGTTCAACGCCAGACCTCGACTGACCGTCCCCAATCAAGACCTAAGGGTGCTGTCGGAATATAACAGCTTTTCCATGTCCCCCACTGAAATGCAATATGATCCACAAAGCGCGTCGTACGTATCCATCGGAGCGGATAACCACTATACATATCACGGGCCAATGGCATCGGCTATGCCATACCATTCAGGATATCAGGGCCAATGACTTGGCACTCCCACATCTCACCCAGGTTGAGTTTCCTGGCCACTTTGTATGTGATACACCAGGGGCATATTTGACGGATCTAGAGCGGAGTAGTACTCGATCTAGATTTGCCTTTGTTTACGGCGATTGGCGTTCTGTTTGTCTTATTTGTTGCCATACCACTGTTATCGTATCTTTTTGGCATTGCTGTGTAACATCACTGGCGTCTATACCCTGGGACTCCCATACGAGTTGACGAGGTACGATATGACTGGTAGCATTTATATATGATGTTTGGGAATTTGCGGGAAATGTACTTTGACTAATTGATGACTGATGATGAGCTCTACGAAAGGGTGCACTGATGAGGATTAAAGGTAGCAAAGTCACTTTGACTAGGTTCAGTGATCGACATCTATAAAAATGCCAGTCGGCTGTTCGGTCCACCTAAAAGACTCCTTACAGGCACAGTCACGCAGACTCAAAAGTCCTACACCGTATATAGCCCGTAGGGACAGCCATACAGTATTGACAGTCCTGTCTCCTCACAAGGAGCAGCGAATGAGAATTTTTCATATCCGCGTATGCCTCACTTTCTGCAAGTCGGCAGCACTAATCATGCACTCACTCGGCCTATTCTCGTCCGATGGATGCTCAAAGTACAGTCTAGTCCTGTCATCACTGCTCCTGTGGGGGCACAATACCTCAATGCTTTGTCTTTGCATCCTTTGACTGAATGCTTTTGCTCGCCCCCCTTTACTTTTTCCTTCAATCGCTTACGCTCCAACCTTCATCCTATCCTTTCTTTTTTTTTTTTTGCGCACACGACAACTATCAGTGTATCACCAAGCTAAGCCCAACAGATGATAGTCTCCATGATCGAAGAAAATTTGAAGCCGATCGCCTCAGCTGCCTCCGCTGTTGTCTACTCCCGAATGCTGTAAATCCCAACTTTCAGTCGTCGACTCGGCTCTATATGATTTCCTTCCGTTCAATCTCTACAATATCTCTGCCTGCAAACTCGGCCTTGTTGCATTCCTCGCTTGGGTGCCGGCGGTAGTACAAACAACTGCATCGAGCCCTGCTCGATTCAAGCTTTATTTGTTATTGTGGTCACACCGATCGCGCTATGAGTGTACGTACCCGCTCAGTCTTTCCCCGGAATTGCCCTGCCTTCCCCTTCTCAGTTCTATGACATCGAACAAACATTCTGATCCGAGAAGGTATCATTATCCAACCGTGGCTAATCTTCATAGGGAGGTAAGCATGCTTGGGGCGACTCCATTCTTCAGGGTATCAGTGCAAGGTCTGCGGGCGAGCTCTCTCCCATCGATCCCACCGCCGACCTGAGCCCCGGCGGTTCAGCTTCGCTTCTGGGCTATCAGCTTGCGGCAGGCCCCGGACTCTCCTCCCATCATCATGGCCCCTTCTTTGGTCAGTGGCTGCCGCCTTCCAAACAGTCAGCATCGCCCAGCCCGCAGCCTCTTGATCATTCCCAATACTCGTCGGCGCGATTTTTGAGTGACCATGACTCTTGGACTCCGCTTCGAATAACAGGTGTACCTACCAATGTGACATTTTCAACGCGGCCGCTGGAGGTAGTTCAAGAAACGGGCGAGTTCGACCGTAGGTGCTCTGCTGGTCATTATAGCGAAGCCTCTGAGACTGGGAGTCAGTACAATGGTCTGCACTCCTCCGACTCCGGGTATAGCACGCGCAGCTACGCTACCCAATCAGTCTCTGCCTCGTATGCTGTAGATTCAGCTTACAGTCCACATCTTGACCCGCAGGATCACGATCGTGACGACAAGATGGCGCTGTTGGACATCAGTTCAGCCCAGCTATGCGAGCCTCCCAATGTTGCGGGACAATTAGAATCGCCATCTTTAATTGGCAATGATGTGGTCAGATGTGATTACCCAAAATGCCTGTGGACCGGCAAGTGCCCGTCAGATAAAAGGTAAGTCATTTATCTGTCCGCTGGTTAGGATCCTCTAGTTAACGTGCCCAGGAAACATGAAGCCCGACATAAAAAGCTATTCAAGTGCGATGTGCCGAATTGTACGCGAAAGGAGGGGTTCGGTACTATCAATGACCTTGCACGGCACAAGAAATGTGTTCATAAGAAGGAGCCGGAGCGCGGACCAAAGGTATTATATATGTGTTTTGGACGAGATTGCCCACGAAGCAATAAGAAATGGCCTCGCCTAGATAACTTCCGTCAACATCTTGCTCGTATGCATAGTACAGAGGATGGGGATGAGTTGCTGAGGAGGTAAGACTATACACGCAGCCTGGTACAATGAGTCTTTTTTTTGACATCTCACTTGCTTTCCAGGTCACGCGAGTGGTACGAAAAAGTAAGGTCACAGGATACTGTATCAACCCTTACGGACAACGTGCCGGCAGAAGCAATATTACAACGAGTCCAGAGTATAACCGAACCGAAAGTCATGATGCGGGCTGCTGACTGCGACTCCCAAGATCCGCTTGCTGCAATTCATTCGGCCTTTCAGGCTGCTAATTCCAACATGTTAATACCGAATCCAACCGGAGAGCATTATATACTGCACGCCGCTGATATGCAGTCGCAGTCGATGGAGCTCTCGGCACTTACGGCACTAGAACTTGAGCCAGCGTTGGCGCGAAACATGCTCGATCCTTCCAAGTCTGCCAAATCACGGCATGACAAAATGGACAATATGATATCTGAAGCAGCGGTAAGCGTGATTAATGCTATGACGAAAATGATTCACAATCGCCGGCGAAGACGAGGTTATGTGGGGGAAGACGACATAGTCGAAGAAAGCGAGCTATCTGACAGGAACCGAGACATTTTGCAAAAGATCCTGATCGCCGCATCGGAGCTCCTCTCGGAAGGCCCAGAGGCAGGAGATAAGATATCTCATGTATAGCTTTATGGCTGCAAATTTACAATTGCGACAAGACACTTGGTAATAACGCATTTTCCACGTCCAAGGGAAGTGTCTCAATCACATGAACATCGCGCATTTTAAATTGAGCGAGCACAGGGCATCAACAACCGGATTCTTCTCTTAGGCCATAGGCATCTGACAAGCAAAGTTTGTCACGAGAGCATTATACATGGGACATAACAGATCATCATGAAGGTGAGGAAGAGCATAAGATGGACGGTAACAGCGAGGTCGAATACAAGTATAGCAGTCCATCATAATAAGCTGTTCGGCCTGGTGACGCCTTGACGATGGAACAGATCTCATTACTTTGAGCCTCGACGGCACCCAAAAGCCCAAAGGATATGCGCTGGAGTAGTTCGCACAGTTTCATCATTAAGTTGTCATTTATCTTTTGAGGCCATGTCAGCGAATAGAGGAGCCTCGAACACATTATCTGGCTTCGGTGGAAGACCACAAATGGTGTTGATGGGAAACATGTGGTTAGAGTCTGAGAAATGTTCATAGGGAAAAAGTATTTGACATACATCTATGACCCTTAGCATGCTGAGTTTGGACCTATATATATAGAGGGAAAAGCATAAATTTGGGACAGCATGATCGCTGGGGCGTGGTCCAAGGGGTATATTTCCTTCAGGTAGTAAACACATGCCAATACAGATATAAGATACATTTTCAATCTTCAATCCAACGAAGTGAGCTCACTTTTCCACCACCCCCGTCAACTCTCTTGCCTCCTTCTCCAAGGCAGCTAGTTGCTCTAGCATGTATCGTTAGTTGGAACATCCACAAACAAGACACCGGAGACTAGAGAAAGACGTACGATTCTTACCAACCTTGACCTCCTCCATCTCCAGCTTCACCCAAGTCCAGTAAATGATTTGATACGTGAAGACGGCGCCCAGGAAGACCTTTGCGAAAGGGCTGGTGAAGGCTTTGTAGCGGGCCATCTAGTAATAGAAGTTTGCCAAGGGTACTCTAGGGAAGACTGATACGAAATAGGCGAAGACTTACTCCCTCTTTGTAGGCGCTTGGCTCGGGTTGCTGAGGTGGAGGATGAGGCGGCATACCTGTGTTCAGCCGGGTATGGGTAGTTGTTAGGTTTCTGCGAAAGAAAGGCCGACAGAGGCTTGGATTGAGACGCGGGGGCATCTTGGATATTGATTTCCGTTGTACCACATTCACTTCACCAAGTCTGCTTCTATACAGCAGTTTTATACTGAATTCCTAGTGATGTTCAGCGCCGGGACTGAGTCAGCGATCACATGATATCAAGCGCTGGCCCCGGGTCGCATAGACGGGGTTGAAGAACAAGCGGGGAGGAAGCGAAGTCAAAAGGCGATAAGCTTCGATGCAGGGCGGAGGCGCTGGCCACAAAAAACTGGCGGCGTGTTTGTTCTTTTTCATCATTCTCTGCTCTTTTTCTGACAGCATCAAAAACGGGTTAACCGAGTCGGAAAAGCCTGTTGAAAGTGGGCATTCTGATCCAGAAGAACATTCGGTGTTTATTTATGATATTTTACAGTTCTAAGAGGCATGGAGTTGCGTTGTTTACTGTGGGCTCTGATGTGCTGGGTTTGCGGTGATCTCGGACGGATCCCCAGTCCAGGCTGGAATTGTGTTTGTGTCCACTGGCCGGAAGGTGAAATGCGGTGGGGGCCGCATCTGTCGGCCTTAGGGCTTAGGCATCAACTGGGCTCTAGCCGCGCCGCTAGACCTAATGGGTGTCTAGTCGTGGCTTAACCGGTGGCTAGTGCGCGACCGACTCCAGCCTCAAGACTCGCAGTGCGAGAGATTGAGATTGTGACAAAGAGGGCGTGCGAAAAGTGACCACTCTCATCGCCTCGGTCAAACCATCTTGATTGATGACAATTAGTTGCTGCTGCGGGTTTCTGTTGAATAGGTATGCGTGCTCATTGCGTTCATTGATTCTGGCTCCCATCAATCCTGATTTTCGATGCGCTGACACCCATCGAGACCGAGACGGAGACGAGTGATCCTCACCTAGCTTAGGCTACCGGCGAGACAACCGTAGTGCCGCCTGTTTACGACGCGCTCAAACGTTGATTATTTCTCTTGCTCTTTTGTGGGCTTTGTTTTTGCTTTCGATTCGCGGTCGGCTCGCCTCATTTCGAGTATTGTTGGTGGTTAATCATAGATTCCTGTTGTTCGAACCCGTCGCTCTTTTACTTTCGCGGCCGCCCTGCGCATTCACTTTCTTGTGTGCAGGTTACTGCACCGGTGCAGATACGACACATCAGCCTTGACTTCACTACGATTGAGCCCCCGCTTGGTCACCTTCACCGGTCTTTCTTCATGACAGTATATCGCTAGTGAAGCACTGCGTGTGAAGAATACTCGAGATCCAATCTCACCTTATTTAGTGAGTTCCTGAGCCCGCAGCAGACTCAACCCTTAGGTCGTCATTACGCCTTGGTCCGTTATCGTTCTGCTCACCTTGCAATTCCCCCCGCCCCCCGCGTATCCCCGCATCCTTTTGCTTACCGATGGCTATCACCAGAGCTGGGTCGTTAAATATGGGCCGCGTCAAACGATCAGTCGACGATATCGAATTAGCGAATAAATCTGACTCAGATGATGACGACTACAGCGACCACCCCGTTCAAAATAGTCGACGTTCAGCGTCGAAGTCCAAATCGAAAAGAAAGTCCCGTCCCGCGAAGAAGAAGGCGCGCCATGATTCTGATATCACCTCTGACGACGAGATTAGTGAACTCGGGGAGTCTTATTCCGAGGGTTCACATGAAGAGGATGAAGCCGATGCCCCAAGGAACGCGCGAGGTATTCCCGCTCGAAGGGCTGCCGCCAATAGACCACCGACCTATGATGAGGGCTCGGAGGGTATAGAGGATGAAGAAGAAGAAGAAGACGCTATCCCTTCCCCTAAGAAGGTGGTGAAGCTGAAAGTCAATGCCCTAAAGCGACAGGCACCGCAGGATAACTTCCCAGGCTCTCGGCGTACGACTCGACGAACTCGCGATCCATCCGACGATATATACGCGTTGACAAACTCTGGACGCCATGTTCAGACGATACAGAGGGGCACGCATAGTCCGGAAGCAGAGCGGGGTCGTCGGTCATCACGCGGGTCGAAGCGCGCTCCCGAAGCTGAGGCTGTGGTCGAAGCCGACGAGGAAGACGAAAAGATGGAGGATCCAGAGGTCATTGAAGAAACTTTGACCGATATCAAGACTTCACAGCTAGAGATCCAGGAGAGTGCTCCGAACTCCTTCAGAGATGATGTTGGACAAGACGCACCTGCCGAGGATGAAGGCTTTGTGCCGGAATCTGAAAACGGTGATGGCAATGCAAAAGGAGACGACGACGACGATGATGACGACGGTCCAACCACAAGGCGACGAAGTAGACCGAACCGCAGTCAGAATACCGAAGAAGCTACACAGGCAGACGAAGAAGAAACTGGGCTCCGCCGCTCTAGCCGAAAGAAACCAAGGTCTTCGCAGCGGAAAAATGACGAGGAAAGCGATTTTGAGCCCGAGGAAGAAGACACCCACGACGAGGATGAGTTATCGCAGTCTGGAAAATCTCAAGGTTCCCCGCGCAAAGGGAGCCAAGCTCAGGATGATGATTATGAAAGCTCAACTGGCCGACGCCCGGGCCTCCGTAAGAGGGCTTCTCGGTCACGTGGGGAGTCCGAGGCCGTCGACATTGCAGAGGAGCTGGCCGAAGAACTTCATGATCTAAGAGGAAGCCGTCCGCGCCGCCGAGTACATCAAGAAATTGTTTATGAGAAGCCCAGACGCAGCCGCAAGGATGTTGATTACCGCATTATCCGCCCTGATCTGGCCCTGCCGATAGAAGAGGCTGAGAATGAAGTCAATGAATCCCCTTCGCGCCGAGGCCGTGGTGGAGGTGGCAACACCTGGCAGCGATCGCTGTTCCCAACCTATGGGCCATTTGGAGGCGGCGGGCCATCTGCAATTCTGGGACCTCCCGGAGCACACGCTGCCACTGGAGGAGTTGATAGTGACAGTAGCGACGACGAAGGGATGCAGCATCCTAAAGGGTCAATATCAGGGCCAGCTGGTGGTGTTCTACCTCTTCCTGGTGTCTTCGCGCCCCAAACGCACAGTGCCGATGCAGTGCAAGGCCACTCTGGCACTCCAGCGAACTTTGGTCGCGTCAAGGACAAGCAGGCACTGGCCGACGCAGATCCGCTGGGCGTTGATATGAACGTCAACTTTGATAGTGTAGGAGGATTGCAAGGTCATATTGACCAGTTGAAGGAGATGGTGTCTCTTCCGCTTCTCTACCCAGAGATCTTCCAGCGATTCCACATTGTGCCTCCTCGTGGTGTTCTCTTCCATGGACCTCCGGGAACGGGTAAGACTTTGCTGGCCAGGGCTCTGGCAAACAGTGTCAGTTCCGAAGGCCGCAAAGTCACATTCTATATGAGAAAGGGTGCTGATGCGCTGAGCAAATGGGTGGGAGAGGCTGAAAGGCAGCTTCGTCTTCTTTTCGAAGAGGCTCGCAAAAACCAGCCAAGTATCATCTTCTTCGACGAAATTGATGGTAAGCTTTTATTCGTGAAGAATTATGTATGGATGCTAATATTATTCAGGATTGGCACCTGTCCGGTCAAGTAAGCAGGAGCAAATTCACGCGTCGATCGTCTCCACTCTTCTGGCATTGATGGACGGTATGGATGGCCGTGGCCAAGTCATTGTAATTGGTGCCACGAATCGTCCCGACTCTATTGACCCTGCTCTTCGTCGTCCGGGCCGTTTTGACCGCGAGTTCTACTTTCCCCTGCCCAACACCGAAGGCCGCCGTGCTATCCTAGACATTCACACTAAAGGCTGGGATCCACCACTGCAAGATGCCATCAAGGATGAGCTTGCCGAAATCACCAAAGGCTATGGAGGTGCAGATTTGCGAGCTCTTTGCACGGAAGCCGCACTGAATGCTGTTCAGAGGAGGTATCCTCAAATTTACAAGTCTGAAAAGAAGCTCCTGATCGACCCGAAGACGATTGAGGTTGCGCCGAAGGATTTCATGCTTGCAATCAAGAAAATGGTCCCTTCTTCAGAAAGGTCTACATCATCCGGTGCTATGCAATTGCCCAAGTCAGTTGAACCATTACTACGTCAGCCCTTAGTCGAACTCAAGAGTATGCTTTCAGAAATCCTTCCACAGCGCAAGAGACTCACCGCTCTGGAAGAGGCACAATATGAGGAGCCGAGAGAATCGTCAAGGGGTTTCCAGCGCGAGCAAATGCAACAGGAATTTGAGAGGTCGCGAGTTTTTAGACCCAGGTTATTACTTCGGGGCTCCCTAGGCATGGGCCAGCAGTACCTGGCAGGCGCTCTTTTGCACGACTTTGAAGGTCTTCATGTTCAATCATTTGATCTCCCGACACTACTCAGTGACTCAACTCGGTCGCCCGAAGCGGCAATCATCCAGCTCTTCGCTGAAGTCAAACGACACAAGCCCAGTGTTATTTACATCCCAGGCCTTCAAAACTGGTCTGAAACCGTTGGCCAGGCCGTGATATCTACCTTCATGGGCCTTTTACGATCGATACCTCCTACTGACCCTGTTCTGCTGCTTGGAATCATGGAAACTTCCGAAGACATTGACCCTGCGCTAATGAGGAATTTATTTGGCTACTCAAAGCGAAACATCTTTGAGCTCACAGCGCCGGGTAATGAGGCGCGGCGTGAATATTTTGCTAAAGTGGTTGAACTAATCAAAGCCTCGCCTTCTCATCTCCCGGATCCTGATAATCGGAAGAAGAGACAGCTTGAAGATTTGGAGGTAGCGCCGCCGCCACCACCGCCGGAGAAGGCTCCGCTTTCGAAGGAACAACAGAAAGCTCAGAAGAAGAAAGATTACCAGACACTGAACCTCTTGAAGATCCGTATTCAGCCAATTATGGACCAAATCAAGAAGTACAAGCGGTTTAGGACGGGTGTCATTGATGAGTCCCAGATCCGGTACCTGTGGGAAGAGGAAGATCCTAATCTTGTTACGAGTGATCTCCCGATCGAGCAGCGCACAACGTTTCGACCATTTGAAAAGGCGCATGACAAGCATGGGGTTCTAGGTCTTCGGGAGACCGTGTCTGGCAAATTTTTCTACAACTTGGAAATTGTGACCATCGAGAAACGACTCTCCAACGGGTACTACAAGCGACCCAAGGACTTTTTGGCGGATATCAAACGGCTAGCCAAGGACGCGCGGCAGCTCAATGATCAAGAACGATTGCTCCGTGCGAACGAACTTCTCTCAAATGTTGAGGTGGATATCGCTACCATTGAACAGGCGGAGCCGGCACTCATGGCTGAATGTGAGAATGTATACCTTCGTGAGCTGGAGCGGGAAAAAGTCGCGCTGGAAAAGGCGAGGAAGGCCCAAGAGGAGGAAAATGCCATTGCTTCTCGTGTTATAGATAACAGGGTCCCCCATGGAAACACAGATTCCGACCCGTCGAGTGGCCCTGTGGTGCTTGGAGCATCGTTCCCAGATCTCGGTCCTCAAATACCTGGTCGGCCTATTACGCCTCCACGGCGGTCAACTGTCAGCTTCATGACGAATGGTTATCATCGGGGCGATGGGTCGGATTTGAACGATTCGAATCCGACCAACGGCTCGCATGATATCAACCCTGATGGCGATGGGGACACTTATATGACCAACTCTGACCAGTCAACTGGTAAGGATACCCAGACAAGCTCGTTCGGGCCCGCTGCGCAGCCTAAACCGGCCTATTCTATGACGGCTCCTTCTCAGCAGGTGAGGCGGGAGTCAGGGCTTTCGAGCTTCTCGCAGAAAGGACCCATGACCCCCATGGCTCCGGGATCGCAACCGGCAGACTACACTAACGAAGCCTCGACCACGCAAACGACATCTGACAAGAAGTCATCGGAGCAGTCTTCCCACCCACAACACTACACCCAAAGTCCTATTGTCATTCACGGCACGCGGCACGACTACCCCGACCTTACCCTGTATCCCGATCGTGTCTCGCAAGAGGAACACCTTCCTGATACCCAGCAAGGTGATAGCAGCCAGCCGTCTCCTCCCCAGCTACGCGAATCCCAGGGTTCGCGCGTCGAAATCCAGTCACAGCCTAAATCGCAGCCTCCTGTACCCCTTTTCGACGCCGCTTCTAGACAGCCAACCGCTCTGCAGGCCCTCCTCAATGACGAGGACGAGTCGCCAAAATTGATCATCGACCATGACTACGTCCGGGAATTGCATAAGGAGATGACACAGCGCACGAGCGGATGCTCTGTCGAGCAGCTTGAGCAGATCAATACGGCGCTGATGGATGTCCTCTGGCATACCCGCAGCGATTGGAACCGCAGCAAAGTGGCCGCTGGGATACAACACGCCTTCAACGATGTCCTCGAGGACATGCAGGCCGTGCAGGAGATCGGGCCGATCAGTCAGAAGACGCAGGAACAACTCCGCTCGATTTACTAGACTCTCCTTTCATCCCACTTACCGTACCCACTACACACATACATGCATACTACCTCACTTCCCTAAACGTTTTTGCTCACATTTGGTTAACTCTGGCAGCAGCAAGCATCGATTAGTGTAAAGAGATTAATGTCGGATATTCAGAATTGTTTCCTTTCCTCCCCATCATCATGTCATCATTTGTATTGTCCTTATCGTCTATTCTTTATACCTACCTCTATTTCTGACCTAGGGTTGTTCTTGGTGCCGCGTCAGCATGTCCAGAGGAATGGACTGTTTCGTTCCGCTTCTATCTTCGCATGGATCTACCTGTATTATTGAAAACCGAATCTAAATCTTTAGATATCCGTGTTCCACCATTGAGAGTCGTGACTGGTCGCCCTATTGATCCACTGTGTAGATTAATCAGCCGGCTCCGCTCTTTGGTCTTCGGCGTCGAGATCAAGCCCGAGCACCGACTGATGATCTAACACTCGTCCATGCACCGTAGAGTCTCCGATGCATTACACAATGTCTCGAAGCATCGATTGCGAGCGTTTATGGTTGCAACTCTCGCATCTCCTGTGTTTATATAAGACGTGAAACTCCCACATTCACTTCTATGATCTGTCGCATCTATCTACAATACCGAGAACCATATATCGGATACAAAATCCACACTATGAACGCAATACTTGTTACCGGTGCCACAGGCAAACAGGGAGGCTCGCTGATCAGAACCCTCGTCGCCAAAAAGGCTCCCTTCGAAATCATCGCCGTCACCCGAAATTCACAGTCGCCCTCGGCCCAGCGTCTCGCCCAGTTATCGTCAAACATAAAACTGGTCGAAGGGAACCTTGATGACCCAGCGGCAGTTTTTAAGAGCGCTCAGAAATCTACCAAGTTTCCTATCTGGGGTGTCTTTAGTGTACAGGTACGTAGCGCATCATAATCGTCCACCCAGACACTGGAACATGCGCTCACGGGAGAACAAGCAGGTAGCCATTGGCAATGAAGCTCTAGAAGAGGCCCAAGGCAAGGCCTTGATTGATGAGTCCCTGAAACAAAAGGTCAAGTTCTTCGTGCAGACCTCCGTCGACCGAGGTGGTGAGGCGAAATCGCCTAACAACCCAACGCGCATCCCACACTTTATAAACAAGCATAACATCGAGCGCCACCTGATGGACAAGACCAGTGTCAAAGGCAATGAGATGCAGTGGCTTATTCTGCGTCCGGTAGCGTTTTTTGAGAACCTCGTCCCGGGCTTCTTCGGCAAGGTCTTTGCGACATGCTTCAAGATGGCACTGAAAGGAGCGCCGTTGCAGCTAGTGGCGACCAGCGACATTGGATTCTTTGCTGCTGAGGGGTTTCTGCACCCCGAGCAGTACGCGGGTCAGGGGATCTCGATTGCTGGCGACGAGTTGACCTATGACCAGTTTGTGGGAGTGTTTGAACGCAAAACTGGGCAAAAGATTCCGTCGACCTTTCGACCGCTTTGCTCGCTTTTCATGGCTATGGTGAAGGACATGGGGTACATGTTTCAGTGGTTCCACGATGAAGGCTACAGGGCGGATATTGCTGAGCTGAAGAAAATCCACCCTGGTTTGAAAGATTTTGGGACTTGGTTAGAGACGGAGAGTGAGTTTATGAAGCGGTGATGGGGGCCTGGTTCTATTTGTATGAGATTTAAGTAGCCCTAAACTGTATAGTAATGGTATGTGTACCTTTAAGGAGTATAACAATTGTGCAATGGTCTGATTAATCAGCACTTCTACGGTAATGCGCTTATAAAGTTTCCTTGCACATAAACTTCGATTCGTACTCGCCATCTACACAACTTCGCGTGAGAATGGATACTTCAGTATGGAATTCTCCGCCAGGCCAAGTCCACGAACGGTCAACAAGGAGGCCGACGTCTCAAAACGCAGCTGCACTCGATGCAATCAGAAAAAGCTCGGTTGCGACCGAAACCACCCCTGCGGCCGCTGCTTGAAAGCTGGGGCTGAATGTCTCTACCCAGGAAACAAGCGAGCACCACGGAAGTTGAAACGTCCTCCGATATCTGAGATTATTGACCAGCTTGGGGAGCTGCAGGAGGAGGTCGAGCGGCTACGGTCAGCTTCTGGTGTGCCCTCGGCTGAGCCTGTCGGACATTCGCCTCAGCCGGGTCATGGCATCGATCATCACGGTCGTATTGAGTGGCAAGAAACCGCAAAAGGTAGACTGGTGGTTAGTGGTGGAAGAAGTTGGTATGTGGGTGATGAGGCCTCGGTTATTCTTGGGGACAAGGTGCGTTTGTCCAATACTTCTATGCGAATCTGGTCGACGGCTGATTGTGCTGGTAGATTCAAGAGCTACGAGAGCTATGTGATGGGCACTCTGACGAGGAGAGTATGGCGCATGCCTCTAGCCCTTCTACGAAACCAATGACTCTGGTAGCGACCAAAGGGTTTGATCAAACTGCGAACCCGAATGTAGATAACAACCGGTATCTACAACTGCCACGAATTCAGACATTATGGCGGATCTACCAGGAAAACGTCGCGCCAATGATCGCCATTCTGCATGTTCCGTCAATCAGTGCTAAGCTGGGAGAAAGTTGTGCAGAATCCGAGTCAGAATTGGAGCCTGGGTATAAAGCTTTGCTCCTAGCAGTTGGGTTCGCTGCCGTGGTGAGCATGACGACGCAGCAGTGCCTGTCCGTCCTGGGCGAGGATCATGATGCCTGTATTCACGAGTACAGGGTTGTCGCGGAGCAGGCTCTGGCAGAGGCCAACCTGGTCAGCACCACGGACATGCAAGTTCTACAAGCTGCAGTCTTGTTTCTGTTGTGTCTGCGCCGATGTGCTGACTTGCAGCTCATTTGGGCTCAAGCCGCGATCGTGGTTCGCGTTGCGCAGCGCCAGGGACTTCACCGCGATGGCCAGCAACTGGGACTGGCCCCATTCGAAACGGAGATGCGCCGCCGCCTATGGTGGCACATTTGCATTCTCGACATGCTCTGTTCGGAGGACCAGGGAACTGACACGCAGATTTGGCCGGGGATGTTTGACACTAAGCTTCCCACGAACATCGACTGTAACGACCTCACACAAAATATGCCTTCTCTGCCCCTTCCACAGAAAGGCTACACCGATATAGCATTATGCATTATTCAGTGCGAGATTATGCCTGTTTTGCATTGGTTCGGCAAGTATGTAGGCCATAACGCACAGCAGGCATCTTCTTCTGAGAAGGAGGAGCTCCTATCGCACCTTGCGAATCGTTTTGAAACCGAATACCTGCATAATCTCGACTTCGACAACCCAATCGAATGGCTAACAGCCGTTATTGTGCGCCTTACGCTCTCCAAGGCCTGGTTAGTGCATCGTATCAGCACGTCAACAGCGCACCAAGGCCCCGACGCGGCGGCAGCAAACGATGAAATATTCACCATGGCCATTGAGATCGTCAAGTTTGCGATGTTGCTTGAGAGCAACAAGACCACCACGCAGTGGGCTTGGCTTGCCGGTACCTACAAGCAACGGCACGTCGTGGCGTTCATCCTGTCCGAGCTCTGCGAGCGGCAAATTACGCCAGAAACAGATTATGCCTGGGGCGTTGTTAGGCAGTTATATGACAAGTGGGTACGTGAGGGTACGCCGAGCAATGCGATGCTGCAAGAGCCCTTGAAGCGCTTGATGGAGCGCGCGGCTCGTTCGCGCGACCAAAAGACTCACTGAGATTGATTCAGCTCGTACAACATGCGAGACTTCTCAAGAGTTCGACTTTGGCATGTACCTAACGGTGCGCCCTATCTCATCATTGGAGAAGTGTTTCGATCATCCACAATGCGCTATAGTTATGGTCGGTCTGATCAACCCAGATTTACTAACCTTGGGCTCAGAAGCCGAGCATCGGCCATGCACCACGTCATTAGGTAAGGCAGTCTGCATCTTGCAAGCCTTCTTAGGAGCACAATACGTGTGTTGGCATCTTTGTGTGCCTTAGACAGAACCTAGATGAGTTATCACTCATCCTTAGCCCTTTGAATCTCAGGCGACCGTGGCAAAGGCTGGAGCTTTGCATCAAAGCCACTGTTATTGCTACCTGGGCGACAATAGCGCACGGCTACCATTCTGAAGGCCTGCCCGGCGACTGGGCCCCAAAGCTGACCTGATTAGCTGGCCCTCAGAGTCGGAACCATGTCAAGGAGTACAGAGACAGAGGGAGATGAAGCAGAAGGTTCAGGACGTACACATTCAATGGTCCAATGGAAGCTTCGCATCGCCTGAGATCAGAAATAATTCCATATGAATAGAAGACATCTCGAGTTACTGTAGAAGAAGTGGTTGACTACGTTTGGTGGAGGATCAGCGGAGAAAGTACGGCCTGGACATGTGACAAGGCCAAGACACCAGCCTGGCCTTTGTAGCTTCATTCAGGCCAGTGAGGAAGTCAACCCACACTCCCATTCGCAACACCTGCAGCTTTGCTCTCTTGTTTCTTTCTTATATTGCACTCTCCTTTCTCCTGTCGCAGTCATTTCCTGCCCTCTCTCCAAACCCACGAGCAAGCACCTGCTATGACCGACTAAACCCGAACCAACAACCGCCGCTCCGACACCTACACGAATCCCGCCCATACACTTACAAACCAACACACAATGGTCGACTGGGTCACCCTTGTCGTACCTTTCGCGTATCTCAGCGTCCTAATCGGCTCCCTCGCAACATTCTCCTCCCTATACCGCAAGCGCAAAGCCAGTACGTCTCGTTGCGCTCTTCACATTCCCCTATACGTCCACACACGGCATAATAGACACAACGCTTGGTTGAATACGAATAAGTAACTAACTGCGTTTTCACAAACAGGAAAGGCCACATCCCTAGAACCATGGTTCCCGGCACATCTCCAGCGCGACATTTACTTCTCCCTCCTACATCTTGACCCGCCCGCATCATCAACAGAGAAAAAGGTCGCGGTTCCCGAGTCCGTCCTCAAAGCGGCGCTCATCCGCCGCGCCCAAGAAGATATCCGTCGCGTCATGGCCCTCCGTAGCCAGAAGCAGGCGCTTTCCGTGCTTCTCCAGCGTGGCAGCGTAGGCGATGACCTGTGGCAGAGATTTTTGCGCGCGGAGAAGGAGATGGAGGATGAGGTGCGGGATGTCGTTACTGAGGTATTTCTTACTTTTACTCAGGTGATGAGAACTGAATGAGGGAATGCTAATCGATCTCAACAGGCAAACGCATACGCTCCCAACTGGGGTCAAGTAATCTTCCAGTCCGCCAACGAAATGGTCAACAACGAGATCGTGCGTGAGCGGTTAGAAAAGCACCAGAAGAAACTCTATGAAGAGAAGGCGTGGTGGGAGAAGAAGAAGGCTAGCATCCAGGAGGGGTTCATGAAGGAGTTGGACGCTGAAAAGCCGGGCGCTGTCACTGCTGCTCCTGCCGTTACCGTAGCGCCGGAGGTCGCTGAGGACAAGGAGGGTGAGGTCGAAGCTGAGGCGTCTGCGCCGGCTGCAGCTCCCCCGGCACCGACGGTTACGGAGAGCGACGAGGATGCAGTGCTTGTGGAGGCTGATGCACAGGCCGAGAGCGCCGGGCCAAAGAGTCCTGGTGGGGGGAAAAAGAAGAAGAAGGGCAAGAAATGAGTGCGGTTTGTTCAAGAACATAGATGAAGCATCGTTTTTAGATGGTTGCATTTTGTGTTCTTTTCATCTGTTAAAACTTACTTCGTCTTATGTTTTATGAATGGGTCTTATACACAATTCACGGTTATCCCGGTGACGGGGCTACTTTTCGATTGACGTAAGAAAGTCCACTATAGTAGTGTTATTACTGTAAGCCAGCAACTAGACCTTAAGAGAGAAAAATCAACGATAAACGACGAAGATCCATATTCCTAACAACCAATCGCTCCATACATGGTTACCCTGATACACCCAAATGCCAGATGCTAAATCGCTGAACTGCAGAGCAAAAAAAAAAGATAGATATATAATATGTATTTGACATAAGACAGGACCAAGAAGAGAAAGCAACAGCAAAGTCATGATCGAACACATAGTGTTCATAAGAAAGTCAGTCTGGAAAAGGAGAAAGTCATAAGTGGAAACAGCCAAGTCAACAATGGATAATAGACTCGTCAACCTGATTCAGAAAGAGAAGGACAAACAAGAAGAACGGAAAGCAAGAGTCCATGCACACATAAACCCAAAACAAATAGACAAAGGAAAATATCGGGATTAAGGAATGTGTGTCACTAGTGACAGATGTTCAGCATTGAGAGTTCGATCAGCGAACGAGACTACCTACGCAGTCCCAAAGTTGGCCCCAGTTGCACCGTCAATTAGTGTATCTTGCGAATACTGGACCCGAGGCGAAGGGGGTTCGTAATAGGTCGATGCCCGCGAGAGTCTTCCCGTCGGCGGCGAGGGGCCTCTAGCCGCTGGACCATCCGCGGACTTGCCCGCCAATTCCTGGAGGCGTGCAAGGATGGTAGGCGAGTCTGAGTAGAGCACCGAGCCGCGCGAGTAAGTGCAGGGGTCCGCCTTGCCCTCGCCACCGACAAAGTCCTCGTGGGCTGCTTCGCGGATGATTCGAGGGAAGGGACGCAGGACAACGTGGCGCGCGAAATCTGCTGACTTGGGCGAGGATCGGCCAGAGGCATTCTCCTTGGTGGTGCCGTACTCCTCCCAGTCTTCACCGGGGACACTGCCGTCTTCGGGAGCGGGAAGGGCGGCGATGATGAGTTCGCGCTCGACCCGTGCATGCCTCCAAGTCTCGGCGGCGAGCTTGACGATCTTGCGGATACTTGTGAGGAGGCCGTCCATGCGGCGGGGGTCTGCGAAGTGCTTGAGATGGTTGCTGATTTCGTCGACGATTACGGCAGCCACGACGTTGATGGACTCCTTTGCGTCGGAGGTGGTGTAGGCGGCTTTGAGGGTTTGCTGGCGCCAGAAGGCCTCGCGGCGGACGGACTTGCGGCGGATGTCCATGGAGAGCATCTGGAAGAGGATGTCTGCCTTGTCGTAGCGGCGGCCGAGGGTAAAGAGGAAGGGGTGAAAGATGCGGTATGTAAGTGTTTTGGAGACGACGTGTTGGACGTACGCGGAGCGGAGTTCGCGAGACGCCGGGGTGTTGTCAAGGAACGAGGGGAGCTCGGCCGGCAGTTTGGAGAGGACCTCTTGGGGAGGATCAATTGGCAAGTACGAAAAGTGTTCCTTAGAGAGCGTCACGATGAGACGTTGGAGTTGATCGAAGCAGTCCAGACTAGATTCATACGTATCAGAACAGGTACATTTATAGCGTTATCGACATGATCGTGGTTTTCGTAAACATTCTATGGTGATGACAAAGGAAAGATATAAGGAGCGGCGAATGCTGTCGTGAAAGAAAAGAAGATATGGACAGAAATGAAATATCGTCGGATGATTATATCGCAAATGAAAATCGCAAAAAAAAGAAAAAACGAGACTGAGACCCGAACGAGTCTCAGGCTAGGCAACTTACAAAAATGAATCGCCTTTCGTGTTCTTGAGATCAGTGGCTTCTCCGAGACTGTGGAGAGTCTTCCTCAATCTGTCGCAGTCGTTGTCCAAATTGTTGATAGTAAGCCGCATGTTGTCCACCGAAAGCTGGAGTTGTTTCTCCTTGGACAGAAGATCCTCCTCCAATCGCTTGTTCTCTTGCTCGCTGTTGGCGAGCTCCTCGGTTTTCTCAGAAAACTGAGTCTCCAAGCCAGTCTTCTCCTCGTTCCAAGCGCGCTCCATCTCGGTCACCTTCTCCTGGTGGCTGTTCTCGAGAGATTCCACTTGCTCAGTATGTGCCTGTCGAGTGTCTTCCAGTTCCTTGTGCTTGTCCTCGAGTTCATCATGGGTAGTTGCGAGCTCGGTCAGTTTTGCGTCGAATTCGGCCTGCAGGATGTCGTGCGATTCCTGCATCTGCTGTTTCTGCTGTTCGTACTCGGTCTTCATCGCTTCTTGCTGCTCGAGCAATTCGCTTTCACGAGCCGCCAAGGCCTCTGCAGCTGCCTTCTCGTCTTCAGCCTTGATTTCCTCGAAAAGCTCGGTCAGCTCTTGCTTCTGCGTCGCGAGAGCTTCTTCCTTCTCCGCTTCTTTCTCGGCTCGCTGCTTCTCCAGCTCCTGGCTGTGTGTCACACGCTCTTCCTCAATTTTCTCGTCCAACTTCTTGATCTGCTCTTCGAGTTCGGCTTTCTTTCCTTCCAAGGTACCGATGGACGCTTCGGATTCCGCAAGCTTTTCCTCCATATCCTTCCTCTTCTCCTCCATATTGCCAAGTTCCATCCGGAGTTCATTGATCATATTCTTCAGCTTGGTAGCCTCTTCGGCGCTTTCGTTTGCAGTTTTGCGCAGCTGGTTCTGAAGTGCTTCGATGAAAAACTCCTTATGCATCAATGCTTGCTTGTGCTGACTTTCCATTTGCTTAAACTCTGCTTCCCGAGACTGTAGCTTGGTCTTGGTATGCTTGTAGCTTCCGAGAAGGCGATTGATGTCCGGGATGGCTTCCTGAATCCTGTCAAGGAGCTCTCGCGCATCTTCCTGGTCCGAAGTTATGATTGGACCTCCTCGACCAGAACGATCATGTTCGTTACCATAGCCTGAGTCTCTCATGCCTGGGTATGAATTGTGCGGTGCCATAGGACCTCGGGGAGTATGATGTGGGTGCGACGTTGGCTGGTAGTAGCCGTACTGAGGGGGGAAGTACCCAGCAGAACTCATAGCAGGTGACTGATACGCAGTGGCATAGCTGTGGGATACCGATGGAGGAAACGATGGAGGCATTGGCGGTGCGGACGCGGTATGTGGAGACATCACCGGAGATGTGTACGCATGTGCCAGCGGGCTGCTGGCTTTGGGCAGTGGAGACGAGGGCTTGCGGGTGGTATGCGACGATGGTGCTGACTTCTGCCGCGGAGAATAAGATTGATCCATGGGGTATGACGGGTGGTACTGAGGAGAGGCACTGGGTGGCGTCGGGGGTGCCGCTCTTGGAGTCGGGAACGCTGCGTCTTTCACGGGCGGAACATGTTGAATCTTGGGAGATGCTGGAGGTGGAGTGGGTGCAGCAGGCGGAGGCGGAAAAGCATGTGGTGAATCGGCGGTGTCGGCCACGCTAATTGCAGCAGGCGATATTGCGCGCTGCATAGGTGAAGCGGATTTGTATGACGGGGACGCAGTCTCCGGCGCAGGGGACTGAGGTTTCGAGGCAGGCGGAGTGACCTCCTGTGTCGGCTCCATGGTGTTTTCAGCTCCCATGACGGGCTCGACAGTCGCAGCCGGTTCAGGCTCAGCTGCAGCCTCAGGTACTGTCACCGGTTCAGGCTTTGGAACAGGTTCGGGCTTTTGCGCCGGCTCTTCTTCTCTGACAGGTTCAGATTCTTGAACAGGCTCGGGTTCTTGAACTAAATCCGGTTCCTGGATAGGCTCAAGATCCTTGACGGACTCGGCTCCCTTGAGGTGCTCGGGTTCTGTCTCAGGGGCTGACGCGAGGTCTACAGTAGGAGCTGGCTCGGTTGATGTAAAATCGCCAAAGGGGTTTGTGAAGGCGTGAGGAGTGTCAGTGCCGTTCTTTGGGATAGCAGCCTCCTCTGCAACAGGTGAAGTCTTGGTCAAGTTGTCTTCCTCCCAAGTCGGCCAAGGTTCAGTAGGTTGGGTTGTCGAAGTCTCTGGCGCGAATGTAAATGTAGGCGATTGCGGTGCAGTAACTGGCGTTTGTTCTGATGGTTCCACAGAGCTGCTCTGTTGAATCAGTGTATCGTCGTGGTCGTTCTTCGCTGTAGCGGTGTCTAGTTGCTCCCATGCGCCCAGTTCCTCGTGGCTAGGTTCCTGTATGAGCCCAAACTGGGTATCGAGCATACCGGGAAATTGATTCGTCGGAAGTTCAGGTTTGCTTATTTGAGTGAAGCCATCGTCTTCAAGAGGTGTTTGGGATGAGATGTCAAAATCAAAGGGAGGCTGGACTTGCTCGACAGGCTGTGCTTGTTCGGGGTCTGGTTCTTTCTCTGGCGCAGACTCGAATACTGGTTCAGGCTCTGGCACAGATTCTGGCGCAACTTCTGGCGCAACTTCTGGCGCAACTTCTGGCGCAACTTCCGGAACAGTCTCTGGGATAACCTCTGTCGCAACCTCTGGCGTAGCGACAGGCGCCTCTTCTGTTGTAGGAGCGACCGGTAGCTCAGATGCCTCTTCAGGTAGAGGTGTATCTGTGGCTACCTGTTGCTGCTCAGGCTCGGTAGCAGGCACTTCAGATTGAGGAGCCGGAGCATCCTCCTGGGCCTTGCCCTTTTTAACAGCTTTCTTGTTCTTCTTGCCTGACTTGGCCATGGTGATGCACGCCCAAGCTCAATCGATAAGAAGAGACGTGTTTCCAGTAGCCTGGTTACCGAAGTCTGTCAGTTGATGTTCGAGTGGACCAATGTTGAGTCAATTGAAAAGTGAAAGTCACTAGGTATATTTCCAGATTGATATACGTACAGACGCAGGCTAAAGGAGGTCCATGCAGGAGTACTCCGTAGTGACAACGAAAAGGCGAAGAAAAAAAGGAGGCAGGGAAAAAATGGAGCAAAAAAGCTGCGCGTATGCGCAAATAGTCAGGGACCACGAAGGCAGAAGTCGGGTGGCAGCAGATGAGTAGTATGCAGACTCGAGAGCCAGAAGCAAGTCTGAGCGGATATGTTTCTCAAATAATGGAACTCTAGAGTAGAATCGAACAGAAATAGGATAAAGGAGAAGAAAGTATCAACTGATGGCCCCTGTCAACTTGTCAAAGCGACAGCCCGACGAGCGAACTGCACACGACCAGCGACTCCGACTCGCCTTGGGAGGGCTAACATTGATTCAGAGCGGACCGAACCGTGGGGTTGAATTGTTAACCTGTCCCATTCAGTGAGTCAAAACCAGGCAGGAAAGGCATGGGCATGGCTTCAGGAGCGAAACGGTGAAGCCAATGTGGACCGAGGGCTTGTATACGCTGTGCAGCAACAACCCAATTATCGTGCATGATCCGAGAAATTTGGGCATCAACGACTGGGCGTTTGAGGGTCAGCACGAAATACCGGGAAAAAGAAAGGAAAATCTTAGGAAGTCGAAGTAGCTCTCAAACGCCGAAAGAGAGGTTGGGCTGTGGAGTCTGCAACGCTAAAGCTGTATAAGCGGTGACATGTTGTTCGTCTTGTCCTGAGACGATCAAGCGCGCATGAATTGGCAAGGAATAAATCCAATTGAATCGCAGCTCCGAAATAGCTGTGGAGAGCGCAGTCATAGTGAGGCAGATGGTCGGATTAGCCATGCATGAGCACCAGAGCAAGCCTAACTCTCATTGAAGGGCCATCATTAAGGAGCGCCAACACAGCAGCCAACCCAACTGACTACCCACATGTCGGGGCGATTTTGGTCATCAGGACCAGAGGAGCTAAGGACGGCATAGCTGCCATAGCAGGTTATCTCATTATTCTGATCACATCCAAAAGTACATCTTGGGCGATGAAGCGAAGAGAATGAAGCTGAATAGTTGGAGACTCAGACATCAAGATGAAGAGCAGAAGCAGAAGAAGCCCTGATTTAGACGCTCAGACCATCAGACGACCGGCCAGCGCCAAGACCATGGAGCTGCGCTAGCCCGGTTAATCCAAGCACGTGACTACAGCTATCCGGCTCCGCGTCTTCGACCTCAACTCCCACTTCGGTGACGGCATCAGAATTATCGCGCCGCCAATTGTCGCCCTCCACACCATGATTCTTGCCCGGCGCTCGGCCGTTTCGGCGCGGCTTCTACTGCGAAACCAGCAACCCCGACGATGCGGCTCACACACAGCTCACCACCATGCCGAGCCTGTGAACGAAAGCTTTGGCGTAGGTCCATCCCTAGGACATCTCTGCGACAACCAATGACTGACAATTGCTTGTCTTGAAACATACAGCGTAGCTTCTACGTCGCCGTCGGTACTTTCGCTTCCTGCTTTGCGCTCTACCACTTCACAAAGTCCGGAAAGGACACCGAATTGTCCATTACCCGCCTCATCCAGAAGTGGACTCCCTCGGAGAAGGTCTTCGAAGAGAGAAACGCGCTTCACACCGCTGCTGCTGAGAGGGCTGCCCAGGACCGTCATCTTTTTCTCAGTCAGCGACCCAGTGAGGCGTATGAGTTGAAGAGCCCGGAGTACGTTGCTGTCCTATCTGCACCCCTACGGAGAAGAGCACAGTTGTACTTACTGTCGCGGTAGATCGAGCTTCCACCCCGGCCACCCGTACAATGTCATCGCCGGCAGCAAGGCCGACTTGAGCGAGGTCATTGCCCACTACGAGGCCAAGAACCGGAAGATCGAGGAGGCCCGTGTTGCTCGTATGCAGGACGGCAAGGTTGTTTCTATTTATGATTAGATATGGGTTTGCTTTTGTGGGGTTTCGCAAAATGCCAGTGATAGACTGAGAGTCAGGCATGTTGTACATATAGCCAAAGTCTACATTTCGTCCAATCCCTTTCCTTTGTTCTCATGTCTATCTCAATCAACTTCAGGTGAACTGTGGCCCGGGATTGACCTAGTGCCCTAGCACTGCGCCGATACTCGCCTGCAAACGACCACTTGAATGTTATGTGTCTATTTGTGCTTATTATCGTTATATAACCCTATTGACTTGCCCTAACCTCCAGAATAATCCTCCCAACCCCAGCAGATTTAACATCCATCCGCTCTTCCACACCTACCTCAGCACCCGCTACATCCCTTAAGACAGCTAAGAACTCGTTGACACCTCCTCCAACGCCGAAGTAGACCTTCTTCGCAGCCACAAGCGCCCTACTCCCGCCAGACTCCGAACGAAGTAGTAACGCCAACAACGTATCTGAGAAAGCAAGCAAGGAAGCAGGTGAGTAAATTGTCTCACTTGCGAGAACCAACGTCTTGTATCCCGCGAGCTCCGGCGTTGAAAAGACCAGGTCCACGAATGACGGCGACCAGGCGCCAGAGATGAAAGAGACGGTGATGCCTCGATGCGCGAGATCAGCTCGAAAGCGCTCTAGAAGCTCAGGTGTGATGTCTAGCATTTCATCTTGACCTTCTGCATTGTCTTCTGCTGGATCATCGGATGTCGGTGTGGGATTGCCGTGTGTGATGAAGTAGTTCCATGTCAGAAGGAGATTCGGCAGAGTTACCAGGCGCAGGACGGCGGAGTTGTAGTCTGCAAATGTGAAGTGCATCCGTCTCTTCCCTGCTGAGGTTGGTGTAGTCTCTGCCTCGGCGAGCAACTGGGCGAACAACGCCAGCGAGGGCACAGCCGTCCCCGAACCAAGCTACCATAGATACGTCAGCACGTAAGTCCAGCCAACAATACGGCAACCGCTAGAAGAGAGAGAACCAACCTCAACAACATGTCCGTCCTGATTCCCTAAGCCCACACCTTCCCCAATTACCAAGGTGCCCAGATCAATAGAGCACTCCCACGTCTTGAACCCACCCTCGTAGAAATTGGGCGTGATGTCACCTTTCTCCAGACCGGCAATCAATTCGCCGTTCTGCTCTTCCGCACTATCCTCCACCATCAGCTGAGCACGGATATCAAAAACATCTCGGCGGGCAACAGTGACAGTGGCTATTCCATTTCCTGTACTCGTGCTTGGTCCCGCAGCACCATCTTTTGCGGGAGATATAATGCACGTGCTGTATGATATTTGCGATGGAAGTGTGGAGAGCTGTGGCATCGTTAGCAATGCGCCTGACAACAAGCCGTCTTCTCTCGATATTGTTCGGCATATGAAGCTTTAGAGGGGTACCACTAAGAGGAAACACGATTCTTACCCATTCATCAATCTCATGTTTTTGAGCCTTGACAAGCTCTGGGAGCGTCGAGGCGCCGGCTTCTTGGATGTTGGTCTCAGTGGCATTGTTGACCTCATTCTCATCAACATCGATATCGATATCGTCACCAGAGAAGCCGAAACTGAATGCGGATGCCATGATTACACAAGCAGCTATACGGCAGACAGCACTAATGTAGGTGCAATGGAAAAATAAGCATATATCAAGTGTTATGCAGTAGCCCTCACTCAAGGCACGGTTGGCTGGCGATACATGGATTAGACTGATTTCTCAGGCGGTGCAAATCATGAATATAAGCTCCTACCTGGATGCTAAAAGGTTCAATAGAGCTTTGACAGCTGCACTCAAAGGCCGTGAATCTCTAATCAAATATCAAATTCTTGGTAAAATTTCGCGGCATAGTTGGATAGTTAGTTATGCTGATGACTAATCATGATGATTGATGAAGGAAGAGTGAGTTCGCATGGCCAGCGATACCAATACTGGACTTGGTGCTTGGATAATTTGCTGTGATCAGCTGGTCAGAGTTGGTCATAGAATAATGCGGGCACTCAGATTGACTCCGTAAACGCCATGAATTGGTCTATCAGTGTAGGCTCTATTTCTTTATCACAATCAAGTTCAATATCAGGATTTAAGCACTTCCATTCTCCGCCGCAGCCACAGCCCTTTCAAGAGCCTGCAGTGTATCGGCTGTGAGATCTTCCACATCCTCAATTCCGCAGCTCATGCGGACTAGGTCATCGAAAACACCGGCAGCTTCACGCTCTTCCTTGGGAATTCCGGCGTGGGTCATGCTGGAAGGCACCTCGCAAAGACTCTCAATTCCTCCTAAGCTCTCTGCAAGTGTGAAGATATTAGTGTATTCGCAGAAGAGGTGGGCAGCCTTCTGGCCTCCCCGAATCCGGAAACTCAGCATACCACCACCCATTCCCTTGCGATGTTGCTTAACGGCGATTTCACGGTTCGGGTGGGAAATGAGACCGGGATAGTTCACAGAGATGACATGAGGCGAGGACTCGAGCGCCAGAGCGACAGCGGTAGCGTTTGTGGTAGCTTCTCGGGCACGTAGATGCAGGGTTTTGAGACCACGGTGAGCCAGCCAGCAGTCAAAGGGAGATGGCACAGCTCCGATGGCATTCTGGAGGAAAGTGAAGCGCTCTTTCAATTCGTCCGAGTTGAAGGCTGCAACGCCCATCAAAACGTCCTAACACTGTCAACAAGAGCGCGAATAGATCCGATGAAAAATGACTTACGGAATGGCCGTTAATGTACTTCGTGACGGAGTGGATCACGACATCCGCGCCGTGGTCCAGAGGATTCTGAACGTATGGGCTCATGAACGTGTTATCAACCACGACCAAAACTCCATGGCGATGTGCTGTCGCGGCGACTTTGCTGATATCGACCAGGGACAAGGTAGGGTTCGACGGGGTCTCAATCCAGACCAATTTGGTCTCGTTTGGCCGGATCAGCTTTTCCACATCCACTTCCAAAGATGAAGAAAAGGACACGCTGACGCCGTGTGCCGAGGCGACCTTGGTAAAATATCTGTGTGTTCCTCCATAAACATCTGAGACGGAAACGACATGCGAGCCTGGAGCTAAGGAGTGGAGGATCGTAGCCGTCGTCGCAGATCCGGAGGAGAAAGCTAGGGCATATTTCGCATGTTCGAGAGCAGCCACGGCCTCTTCAAAATTGTCTCTGATTGGAGTTAGAAACTTAGGGTCCTTCGGCAGATACTCTCCGTAGAGCAATTTGTGGAGCCTACCGGTTGGGGTTCGAGCTTCGGGTGTACTCATACAGCCCTACAGGCTTTCCAACGCTTTCCTGGGCAAATGTTGTGGACAAGGATATCTGGCACAGTCAGCGCCTGCACGGAAACAGCATATACGTTGTAGGCGCAAACCTACAGGTGCAATGACAGCTCCTGTAGTAGGATCGTGAGGCGCTCCAGCGTGGACAGCCTGCGTCGCAAACTGGCGCCGCTGGGATGTGGTCGAGTCGCCGTTCTCGCTGGGAAGCGTCATCGTCATCGTCACGAGACTTGCGAGGAGAATGAATGAGCAAAAGGAACCTCTAAAAAAAGAAGAAATGATGCACTTTAAGAATGCAGTCGCAATATGCCTTCTAACAAGAAGATGTGTTAACAAAGAAATAATGGCCTGCCCTTGGATGGCAGGGGCAGCTGCTGTTTATACTGCAAGGTATTTGCGACTGCGACCGCTGATTTGTAATGTCAATTCTTCCACCGTCGCAGACTGAACGGCACTATCCAGCGAGAAGGTTCTCAGCATTTATAATAGAATTGTGCCCGCCTGCGGAGTATTTTCCTCGTCCGAGTTTCTTTTACGTTGCATTGCTCAGGACGGCCGTATAGTCGCTCGATCCGGTCCCACGCATCCCGCAATCAAGCGATAACTGACACTCGACTCCACTGTCAACACGAGTCTATCCATTCTAAACTGCTACTATCGTCGGATCTGCCCCGTTGATAACCGAGACAATGGAGATCGCAGTTTGCACTAATGCACTGTCCCTCATACCATGCTTTAGCATTTAAAAAAAGATTGTGCCTGGCGCTTTCACCCTGTGTTGAGGCCAGGCGATGTCGCGTTCAGTGCCCTCAATAACGTCATCATCTTCCAGCCTCAACCTGATACGGATGCATGAGGTAATGATCTAATCGGGTCCTTGCGTGCTCGACATGGAATGTAAATCATTCATAGTCTATTATGCGGGTCATACAGTCATTCAGACACAGATACGGAGTACCAATGCTATACAATTGCTTTTGTGGCGTCAGTCGGTGAGTGGTAACTCTACCACCAGGATATCGGTCCTAGACCAGCCATCTGCATGGATCCCTGCGATCTGTTAGTAGGGTGGAATTCTAGAATATCGGTAAGCTTGTACATACGATAATCGAATACGGAGGCTTGCGATCGACTGGAGCGCCATCCCCAAGATCTGGAGCATTAGGAATCTGGTCATGCCATTCCTCCATTTCGACACGGAAGCGGACAACTTCTCCTACATCAAAGTAGAAAGTTCCTTCTTCGTTTTCCCAGATCCAAACCTGGTCTTGGTAGTCACTGCTTCGGGTCAGTTACGGCCAAGCAGAGTCAAAAAGAGACTCTCACAATCTAGCGCCTTCCAGAAGAAGGTCTGGAGGTACGAGGATGTCGTTGAAGAATTCCACGCCGACTAGTGTCGAGTTAGTCGACATACGTTCTAAAGGCAGGATGAATTTTGTCATTACTTTTGATGCCATGCTCGGTAGCGCTCGAAATCTTGCCCAACACAATCTCTCCCCTGAATGGGCGAAACACAATGAGCCGGAACTTCACTAAATATACATCAGTCAACCAGGCACTCAAATGGAAAAGCAGTAGTTTGAAGACAAAGGTAGCTCACCGTTCACATTGACAAGTCCATTCCCATGACCAATCAAGCCATCTGATGACTCTAACAGGTCATAGAAGCCAATACAAAGCCCAATCTTCTGGATGACCTATCATTATAGTTAGCATTGATGTCTCTCAAGAACAGATCTCGAGACCTCGAGGACATAGATATAACCATACTTTGTTGGCGTACTTCTCATTAATGTTGTCCTCAAGGGCAACGGAACTATATTTGGAGAAATCCTCTGGGGAAATCTGGATAAGATCTGAGATTGTGGTCTGTGTAAAACTTGTAAGTCTTCGTCCTCCTTCCCCGATCAATTTGCGCACTCACAAGGATAAACATGGTGCTGGAACTTGGAAGAGACCGCGCGACAGCAGATTGAAGATCTCTATTTCGATGTGTTACGTGTAAGGTGAAATTGGGTTAGAAGCGAGGCCCATGTTCAGCATTTGACTCCGCATAAATTTTGTAGATAATCCAAGATAAGACTCATTTGGCCATGCTGATATTCCGTTCCTGAGCTCAACGCCCAAGAGAACAAGAGGATAGCAGAAGACTCACAAATCCATGTCCTCCGGCCAATCGCAGCCACAGGATCCACCCGATTTTTTTTGTCTGTCAAGCTGAGCACGTGATTGGTCTAGCTCCTTCCTTGCCGTCGGAGCGGGCGAACTATCTGCATTTGACCCGCTTGATGAAGGGGACTTTTGACCTGCAAAGCTTTGTCGCAACCGTTACAATGCTGTGAGGATGGGGTGCATGCTCTTTGTCTTTGAAGATCGACCGAGATCTCCCCGAAATGAACCCTCAGGGATTCTCCTTCCCTCCGCCTCCCCCCCCGCCTCCTACACAACAAAATCCGCCGCAACAGCAGTATCCTCATAACAACGGGTATACGCCATATGGCCAAAACCACCATGGTCAACGGGGTGGCCGTGGGGGCAGTGGTGGTCAGTTGAGGGGCCGTGGAAGAGGATATGGGAATAGGGGTGGAGGCAGAGGAGGTAATTTCATGAACTCTGATACGAACCGCTCTGGTAGCTATACGGCAGCTGCTGGTGGCTATGCGCCCATGACCTATTTAGGGTATCCGACTCAACATGTGCCAAACCAACATGCAGGCATCTCAGTAGCGCAGTATACGCAATCTCCTTCGCATAATTTTCCGAGCACCGTAACGGGAAATTCATTCGCCTCTACATCGCATTATCCGCAACCCGCGGCTCATGGGACGACTTATCAACATCAACCGAGCTATGGCACGCCGCATGCAACACCTACTACCCAACAACCGCCCGCATATCCCCCGGCATACCCGACTCAGCATGCTACGTCGTCACTTCAGCCGACAATGATGGGTCCTCCGATCCACTGGGGCTTCGAGAATACGGGGCATTCGGGATCATTTTCAGGGCCGCAGCGTTCGAACCAACGGGTAGCGCGCCAGAACAATGCCCACAACCATCAGAACTCTCATGGAAAACATGCGAACAAGCGTGACCACGCATCAGCTTTTGGGAAGCCCCAATCGACTGCCCCACGAGTTCCGGCACCACCTCCTGTCCCTAGCTTCGGCAATCCTTTACCTTCGAAACCCCCTACACCTACCGATTCTTCACGGAAACCGAAAAAGAAGAAGCGAAAACATAATCAGCTAGGGTTAACACCGAAGACGGAGGATCATGAGTCAAGTGAGGAGGAAGACGATGCCGACGAAGAAACTAGGCTGGCTGCGGGCGGTGCAGGAGCTGCCGCTGCACTGCAGGTTACCTACAGAGGACGAACGTCGAATCTACAGTCCCCTCAAGACATTGCAGCTTGGATTGCAGAGCGCAAAAAACGCTTCCCCACTCAAGCGAAGATCGAAGAGAAGAAAAAGGCCATGGAAGAGGCGAAGAAGGCAAACAAAGCCAAGCAAGAAGCTCAGCGGCAGCAAAAGGAAGCACGCAAGCTAGCGACGGCTCGTGCAAAGAAGGAACAGGAGAAGAAAGAGCAACCTCGAGACTCTTTAGATCCCGCCGATGCAGCCGCAAAGGCCAAAATGAAGGCTGAAAAGTTACGACGGAAATTAATGAAGGAGGAGAAGCGGATAGCACAAGCAGAGGCTGATGCAGAACGCGCCCGCAAGCGCGACGAGCCGCAGGAGGGCTCGATACCTACTGCAGTTCAAGCCGACAACCAAACACCCGCTGTCCATGGCGAACAAGCTAATGAAGATTTGAGCTCTGTTAGCTCCGAAGATAGCGACTGGACCTCTTCAAGCGGCTCTGACCTATCATCGTCAGAGTCTGATAAAAGTGATGATGACGATGATTCTCCGCCGGACCAAGCGACATCACGCCGCGAGGGTCCGGAGCGAGTTGCGCCGCCGGCCCGAGATGAGAAGAAGCGTGTATGCCGAAATTTTGCTCGGAATGGCCGTTGTCCTCGGGGAAAGGCATGCAAGTTCATACATGAAAAGCCCGAACGCGGGGCCAAAACAAAGCCTGTTGAGAACAAGGGGCGGAAGGGTCTCCTCGAAGCGGTAAGTGCCATTTGAATTGGGGAAGTTTTCATGAATGCGACTAATTCCATGTCCAGCTCCTTGACCGCCAGAAAGAAGATGAGAACCACAAACTCATGGAGACGATCATGTGGTTAGGCGAAAATGGACTTCTTGACGAACCTGCGGCTCAACAAGCTGCCTCTGCGGTCTCTCAGCCCCATCAATCTCATGCTTCCACCACGTTGGATAGCGCAAGTGGCTCTCAGGATAATAAGTAACCATACTGACTGAGGATCGCCAACCCTCGGAAGGGACGGCGCTTGTAGGAAGAACCGATGTTTTGCCGGCTGGGTGTAGTGTATTAGTATTATTTAGTAAATCAGTATTATTATTATATCATGTACATTATTTAGACATATTTGAGCCATGGTAGCCTCCGAGACTATTTCATCTTGATCCTTGCCTCCCCTTTACCCTGTCTACAGTCGAATATACGACTTATGAGACTCGCATGTCTCAACAAGTAAAATCTCTTCTGCTCTTTTTCCTGCAAGAAGCTGAAATATCCATATTATTACATTGTACCTGCAGATATTGTGAGACATTGATCGCCACGATGCCATCCTGCCGCCCGGATTTGCGGCTCGTTTGTATGTTTATATTTATCAGTCGGCCTGTGAGTCTGAGAGGCGTGTTAAATTACGGAGTAGGCCATGGATCGTCACTGTTGCCCTTCGATCATTATTGGACCGCTTATCCAGCGCTTCTCCAGAGCAATCTTAGGCCGAGTCGGCTGGACAGCCTGGAACAGACCCTGCCAAGTGGACTCACGGAGTAATTCATGGTGAGCCGCTCGTGATCTTTGCGGACTCTCTTCGTGGTTCTCACCCCCAAGCTCTTGTTGTCATCCTCGTTGCCTCCTCGTCCAATAATCTCGCGCCGACGACTATCAAGTATCAACCATGCTCGTCTTACCATCAGCTGCCCAGGCGTGCAACCCGTGCAACCACCGTTTTCAAGGGTCGCGAAATCTGTCCCCACAACAGAAATCGGCTCGATGGTAGTGCCAGCCGAGGGACGCCCTTGGCTAGGATACGGATATTACGGAGTAGTCTGCTCAGCCTCGAACGAACCGCTGTTGGCGTTGCTGTTATGACCCTAAAGGGCCTAAACTAGCCGGAAACCTTCTGGCTAAGACCGCCACCAACCATGGCACACGAGCGCCAATGTCCATGGCTCCAGCCTAGCGACTCGTGATTCTCGTGAAGAGCACGAGGCTGTCTAATCCCGAGTCTTTCTGGCCCCTTCGCCACTTCTTACTGGGCCCGCTCCAAATTACTCCCTCCCCTCGGCCTGGGCTACTACTATCTTTATCGAGAGCGGACAGTCGTCCAGGACTCCAGGCTCCAAGACCATGGGAGCTGGAGCGGATGCCGGCGGATGGCGATTGTCCAATCGTGAAGATTACCCTGCACGCACAATGAACATTGAACTGAAGGGATACAGCGACCGCGAGCAGAGATAGCGAATGCTTCTGGAATCTGGAGAGTAAGGACTCTGAGCCGAGACGGGCCCATTGTTGTTTTGACCGGAGATTAGAGTGTATCGCCAGAGGCAGAGTCCCATCGCGGCCAGGGCAGCAACGTTATTTCCTCCTTGCACCAAGCGGCTAGCGGAAAGCAGTTAGCCTGCGTCCAATTTGCATGTGGACCTGTGATTCTGCGGTCTGTTCCTGGTGCTAAGTCTGCTAGTCTGGACACTCTGTGCGTGCTAAGTTTGTTTCTAACCTGAAGAAGCCGGAATTTGGAAGCGTCGCCTCCCCCGATGGCGGACACTGCCTTCCCTCCTTTTCCTTCCTCCTCGCTCGCCGCTGCCTTTCCTTTATTCTTTCTCTGATCGCCATCCCGCTCGACACTACAAGAGCCAGTCCTTCCTTTTGGTTGCCTTTTTAACCGGCTACACCGTCCACTCCTTCCTCAATTCGTCTTCAGTCTCTCCTTGACAATCTTTACTCCTTCTACCTTTTAATCCCCCGCATCTATCTACATATACGACCTACGCAGTCCACTTGGCTCCCGCCGCATCTGAAACATTATTCTATATTCTCTTGATCCTCGCACAGAGTCTATATAATAATACCCACCACATCAGTCGCCATGCGTTCCGTATTCTTCCTCGCTCTCAGTGCCGTCGCCACTCTGGCCGCCGCGCGCGAGAATGCCTTCAACATCCCCAAGGATGGTTACTCCTTCACTGCCGGCGAGGCGACCACCTTGAGCTGGGACCCCAGCACTGAGGGAACTGTGACTCTCAAGCTTCAGTACGGCGATGTTTTGACCTCTTCTTCGGGTACCACTCTTGCTTGTAAGTCCCCCTCAGATATCATGTATTACATGCGTCCTCGTGCGCTGACTTGACTAAGCCTCCATTCCCAACTCTGGAAGCTTCACCTGGAGCGTGCCCTCTGACATTGACGACCACTCCGACTACACCATCGAGATTGTCAGTGACTCCGACGCGGACGCCACCAACTATCTTCCTCGTTTCTCTATCGAGGGCGCCGAGCCCGTTACCACTACCTCGTCTACCACGACCACCACTGAGACCAGCAGCACCGAGACCTCCACCGAGACCTCAAGCACCACCACCAAGACGACTCTGACAACCACCACCACCACTACCACCGAGTCTACCACCTCCCCGACTCCGACTTCTACCTCTAGTGAGACCCCTAGCGAGACTCCCGCCAGCGCCACCTCCACCGAGTCTGCCTCTAGCACTTCGTCTGAGTCCGCAACTGACAGCCCTACCTCTATTCCCTCCGTGAACGGCGAGGACGGTGACAACGCTGGCATGTCCAACCGCGTTTCTGGTGGCCTGTTGGCGCTTGCGCTTGGTGTTGCTGCTCTCGTTTAAGTTATTTCTTGTGCTATAAGACAGACGGTTTTCCTTCTTCAGGTGGCTGTGCTTTGCAGCATGTGCTACCAGTGTATCATTTGGGCACTTTTCTTTTCTCTTCATGTGTTAGTGTGCAGGGATGCGCATGAACTGTATCGATTATATCTTTCTCGTTCCAGCTGTGTTTGGTTACGATTTTTTTTTTTTTTTGCTTGACCGCGAGTGACTTCGCGGCAGCTTATCTGACTACCCGAGCGCATTGCGTCTTTGAACTTTGGAAACTTGGATGTTGCATCGGTAATTGGTCGTGTCCGGTATGCATTATGTATATATGTATCCAGTAATGAATGTGCGACGTCACTTTTTGAACTTGGCTAGCTGGTAGCCATGAATCGGTACCGTACTTCTTTAGCAGGAGCGAGGCATTGAATAACAGTCACCTGTGCTGAGTGGGAAAGCCAGTAAATCGAATGCACCCCGACCCATTGTCTTTTGGTGTACGTACATCGTAGCACTAGATCGGCACTGTATCACCATCACCATCAACTCACTGGAATACACGCAGGTCTCAACGCAAGGAATGCAGCCGGTCCCGGACAGAAACGACAAATGACCGCAGATCCATCAACCCCGCGTGTAACAGTATGCATGGGACGTACATGGGACACAATATGGAAACACGAAAGCCCTACGGCTTTTCGATCCGGCTACGCCAGTCCCCTCAATTCAATGGACTTGCGCGCGCTTTTCGGGTACACATGCTTGTGGTTATAATGTGAAGGAAGTCCCGGTGCTGAAATATTGCTATGACTATGGCTTGCTGAACGGGAATGGGGGTTGGCTTCTACTGCCCTGTACTGTAGTGATACTAGCAGCTGACCACCAAGCTGCACAGGTACCTAACTATAGGAGTGGGTTAGGATGATGGTTGGATAGGATAGGGTGGGACGGGATTAAGGCGTATGTGTGTATATCTGGTGAATCAGAATGTTGGACTAACTGTATAGTGTAGTTCATTATTCTGAACTACATGCATAAGCCGTGCTAGCATCTGTTAGCATGGGCCGTGCTCAGTGTGAGGTTATCATAGGTTACGTAGGTAGCAGCGATCGGGTACTACGTGGGTTTACGGAAGCCTTGGTTGGTCGAGAGATATGTTCAATGATCTAGGCCTGCATTGTTCAGAGACAAAGAAAGGAACGGGACTAAGATTCTAAATTGAAAGTATGAAAGATAATGTAGAGAGATATTTGTTGATTGTAATCACACTCCCTTGATTGATCATCGCCTAGCCGGCGGTGATGATAGTGATAAACAGATAATGATATCAATTCTCAAGAAATCGTAGGGTGCTGGGGATGAGAGGCTCGCTTCCAAAAAGAAACAATGAATCACAAACGATGGCACAGGGAAGGCGTCATGCCATAGCAGCCCACTGTGGAGAAACACGATTAAGGAACTTCATAAATTTGAAGAACCCCACGGCATGCTCTACATTACCGTAGGGGTCGATGACACGTTCCGGGAACGCGATGCCCGCACCGTATAGACCAGGAATAGGTCCGCCGTTGCGGTCAGTGAAGCCGCCAAAGCCTGAATCCCACTGGAAATCATCGGGAGGCAATAGGGATCCGTTGATGGAGAGTTCTGGGAGAGGGTCGCGGATGTACCCGATTGCCTGGGTCAAGTATGTGCATGAGGGAAGGTGTTTTTGATACTGCGCTGTTTCTTTACGTTGGCCACCGGCGCAATCAACCTTAGTGATGAATCGGCCTGCATCTGATGTCGGTAGCGCACTGTCCTCTAGCTGCTGCCGGGCAAAATCGGCTGCGCGACCTTTGAGCCCAGTGTTGTCGCGGAGTATCCAGCCATCCTTGTATTCGGCGTACCGGAGTGGGTGGCGGGTAAACCATTTGATGCGGAGATGTGGGTGGGAAGAGCGAGCTAGGTCGTGGAGATTGAGTAGGGCTAGGATGGCGCTGTGTGAAGCGCCGACTACTGCGACGGTGGTTGGCGCTTTTTGAGGAAGAGTCGAGGCCAGCTCGCTTGGTTTCAAGACTACGTCTAAGTCAAGTCTCTGGACGTTGTCTGCATCGACTGGCATAGGCGTTTGCGCCGGAGACGACCCAGTGCAGAGGATCAAGCGGGATGTCATAACCTCCAAATCATCAGGGGTGTCCGCGCCTTGGATGCGTACAGTCCATGAATGTGTCTAGTAAGACGCCAGCGAGCATGTTAGTAACGCTGCAGCTTGGGTCTTCCGTCCCACGACGGACGAGCTGGTAAGGCTCAACTAACGCGGTCTAGATTGGCAGCGGTAACATGGCCGCGAAAAGCATGCACTTGATCCATCTTTACGATACCATCGGTCAAAGATCGAACGACATCTGCCGCATGGTGGAGGTGACAGGTCGTCTCTTGGTCGAGCTTCGCCATTGTAGTGAAAGCATTGGGAATACGTGTACTGTTGATGACAGACCGAAAGGGCTGGACCGCGGTTGCAAACGCTTGGAACAGTGCCACTTTGGTGTTGCTAATTGGATCCAAGCTCGGTCAGCCAGGAGAGCTCTCCCTCTAACAGTGACGGGCTCCGGCTGCCAGATTACAGAGAGACTAACCTCGGGACCTCACGATACTTCCGATTTACACGACCTCCTTGGAAATAAGGGTCGACCCAGACGATGGTGCCGAGTTGCTTCTCAAGGAGATTGCCCACGACTGCCAATCCAGCGGGGCCGGCTCCGACAACGACAGCGGCACATCTCGGCGGAGGACTCATCATTGTAAATATAGAAATGGCGTAAACGGAGAAAGTGGTCCAAATCGCAGAGCTCCCAAGCAAAATCGGAGTTGGGGCGGAAAAGCAAACAAATTCTACGTAGAGAAACGCAGAGAAAACCACGGCTTCAAGAAGAGTGCCTGGAACTCAAGAAAAGCCAAGGAGGGAAAGGCGGGCATTTATGGGCAGCAGCACGGGCAGGAAGTGAGACCCGTCGCCGACATAGTCAATCACGGGGTTCTCAGCCTAGCGGAGTACATTCTCAACGTATGGGCCGACAGGAGGGCTCGCAGGCCGCAGGTCGCGAAAGAAAGGCGCTGAGGACCGCACGGGACACAGCAAGCGCAATGGAATGACGATGCGGCGCATGTTGGCGGCCAGAATCGCTTCTCGGGCGAGAGGTCGGTTGACGGCGGTCAGACCGCAAAGTGTAGATGGTTGCTGCCTCGCGGGTTTCTCACATCTAGTGCATGAGACAACGGGCGATAAGAGCATGATTCGCTGATAGACAGGCTTGAACGCAGGACGAAGACCATTTCCTTCTGGTTGTTGCGCAAGCTGCCCCACAGCCTGAGGTCTCGGGCGACCTTCTCCAAGGCCGCTTTGCGTCGGCGGTCACATCGTGGTCGAGCTCAGGGTTGAGCGAGGGCCCTGGGCGGCGGATGGTGAGAGACACAGCTCATTCTGGTTGGAGAAGAGCACAATCAGCGACTTCTGGACACTTCAGGACACGGTCTGGGGTGAAATGAGAGAAAACTCCTGGTCAAAAGACATGAGCGCAGCCTGTTCCTTTAATATGAGCCCAAGCTGGGTCTTGGCGAATTGCGTGCTTTCGCTGCCTCAGAAGCCAGGCATCCATGCTGTCATTTAGCTTCTATGGAGCCATGGAGCTGGTGGTCGGGTTAGGGACATGTCTGATTGAACAAATTGTGTGCTGGCATGATGCTTGCCAGTATAGTCGCCGCTTATGACTGATTGTCCTACAAAATCTCTTAGAAAATGCCTGTAATGTACATAGGTCCAGATCAAATCGCCCAATAAACCCGGACGGACACTTCATCGACGTAGTTCACCCATCCCGGGAATCGTGCTCGTGCCCATATCACTACTGAGTCCCCAATCTCCATCTCGCGAACTTTTTTACCGTTCAGAGTGTCCCGTCCTCTCCCACTATCACGTTCTATATCACCCGCCTCCGAAGAGTCGGACGCAATGTCGTCCAGATAGTGCCAGTTGATAATATGCCGCTTCGCCCGGGACATTCGAGCGCGGTTGCGCTGCAGTGCGTTGCCTCGTGGGAGCAGTAGAGGATCATCGGGTGCATAATGCCTTGGGCTCTTATTCGAGGGGTCCAACATTTCATCTATGGCACTCTTCTGCGATGGCTCATGTGCGTTATGGACCACCTCAGCGTCAAACCATGTGTAAGTTCCCTCGTAGGCTGGTGGATGATCTGGTCCAGCCAGGCGGCTCTCAGAGTAGCCACCTTGGTCATGAGAGAGAATGGAGAAGACTATCTTTCGACATGGATGCATGGTTCTATGCGGAAGGAGCTTAGGCGTGGGCGTATCTGGAGTCTACGTATTGTTAGAAGACCATTTAGCACAGATCGAACTAGGATGGAAAGATGGATATAAAAGTTCCATTGCTTAACTTACATTCTCAGTATAACATAGAGGACTCGTGCAAAGCACCGCTTGGTCCACATCTTTTTGTATCCGTCTACTATCATCTAGCTTGGCTTTGGTCGAAGCCCAGTATTCGGCGGCGTCCACGATCATATCCACAACCTCAGCTGGAAGCCCCTCCGGCTTTGTTTTCCAGAGTAGAAGATGCCGGACTTTGAGGACATCGAAGATGCTCGGATAGAACTGGCTCTCTAATTGCTGGCTCTCTGGGTCTTCCTCTAGTGGATCGTTGCGCCGGGTCGGCGCAGGCCGAAGAGGATGTCGGCCAATATATGGACGGCGAGGGAACATTTTCTGTTGCTGTGAGAATAATCCGGGATGGCAAATAGTCCGCTATATGAGAATCAAACTTGAGTTTCAGGGATGAAGCTTGTTGCTGAATGGCTCTGTGTGCCAGGCACCAACTTTATTTGTTGTTTCTCGAGTCCCGGGCGTCTGTGTACGGAGAAAACCAGGGTCCACTGCCCCGCGTTTCTGCAGGTTGGTAATGGTGGAGCGGAATAGTCGGGGTTTGCAATATGTTCGAGCAATAATACGATAGACGGTTTGCTTGCAGGAAGACAGGTAATTGCTACTCCATACAAGTCGCAGTATGGATAAGCTGAGCAAGAAGAAGTGTATCTTCAACTGATCGACGTTTATATGTTTATTCTGGGATTTATATGACGTCACTGTTTTCAGCATCCCCTCACATTGCAAAAGGCCGCTATATTCCAATTCATGGGAAGGCCTCTTATGTTGTTCAAATATACAGTACAAATTCGCTGCAATGCCTACTTTCCTATCTCTGATCTTTTCCCTCCAGCAGCTTTATAGGCCGCAGCACGCTTCTTGCTTCGACCATCCTTCTTAACCTTGGAGCCGCGACTCTTCCCCCGCACTCGAATGCGAGATGATCCATCGGCCGTTGCGCGGTTACCCTCAAATACTAGCGAGTTTTGCGAGATCGACTTCCTATCCGCTGCCTTCAACCTGGCCTCACTTGACCGGCCGAGTAACTTTCCAGCGCGACCTTGCAGTGTCCTGTCTGTACCTTTGGATGCACCTTGGTTCTCACTAGGCTTCTTGGTAACCTTCTTCGCTCTCACAACACGAAGCTTTCGTGGTAGCATTGGAGGGAACCTCTTGTCGTTGAGCAAAAGAGCTTCCTCGACACAGTTTTGGTCGTAGAATTGCACGTACGCGAAACCCTTTCCAACACGAGTGGACCGGTCACGGACTACACGTACAGACTCAACATTGCCTCGACCGGCAGGGCCACTTTGTGTTCCTTTGGTGTGAGCATTGAATGTGCGCCAAAGGCCTTCCTCCACATCAGCCGGGGCTCGGTTCTTTTTCTTTTTCTCTCCCTCTTCAGTGCCCTTTTCGTTATCAATGAAGTCGAGGTTGCCGACGAATACGCAGCGCTTATGATCGACTTTCGAGGGATGCGCCACGTTGTCGACACGCAGGTGTCGGTCTAAAATCATGGTCCCGTTCAGTGCCGCGGGGGCCTTTTTCGCAGCCTGAGCGGTGCTGTAGACGGCGTAGGCATTGGTGCTGGGCGTGGTATCATCATGAATCTCCTGCTTGGCGAATGCAGCGCGCTTAGGTATCTTGCCGCCGCTAGCAAAAGCAGTAGATCGGAAGCGTACGGATTCGATCTTGTGAGGACCTGTGGACTCGGGAAGCGTCGAGAGGAATGAAGAAAGGTGCTTCATCAACTCTTTCTTCGCCGACTTTGATGTGATTGCTTTTGTGGAGACGTTGCTTAGGAATATAGTCCGGTTAGACTTGGCGATTTCGTCGTCGTCGCCGCCTTCACTGGCCATAGCTTCGTGTTTGGGAACTTCCACGTCTTCCTCCTCCTCTGACTCGTCTTCTTCAGACTGCACACTTTCCTTTTCATCGTCTTCACTTTCTGCTTCTGGGGAAGCTGGTAGTTCTGCTCGGCGCTTCTTCTGCTCCTTCTGCTCCTCCTTTGCTAGGCGACGCATGTACGAGTCTTCAAGATCGTCTCCGGTGGCTCGCTTTCGTTTCCGACTTGGTGGCTCTGAGACCGCTGGGCCGTCTTCAGGCGCAGCATCGGGCGACTGTGGCGTATCCTCCATGGGTTCATCTTCGGCAGCAGAGTCGTCGCCGGGGCCCGACAGTTCCTCTTCATCCTCGTCGTTCTCAAGCTTAGGTTTCTTCGTCTTCGGCGCAGCGCCCAGACGAGGTACTTCCGGAACCTTCACTGGCCCTGCCTATTACAAAAATTAGCAGCATGTCACTGACAAGACCTCCATACAATCGGAGACAAAAAAAGGCCTTAATACGCACACTCTGCTCAAACAATGAAGCCAATGAAGGATCCACGGAGGCTTTTCCGCCCAAGAAAGGCAACGAGGAACCTGCGCTCTCTGCAGCAGGAGCCTCCTTTTGTGTCTTGGATTTTTTGCCCATTTTGGACAATTTCAAGCAGACTCTAAAGCCAACTCTAGCAAGAAACAAAGAAACAATGGAAATTTTGCGTGGTGCTGTTCTCTCGTTCGTTGCTGATTATCTAGAAAATTATTCTTTTTCCTTACCGCTTTTGGTCTCGGCGATCGGACTACACATGATTCACCGCCTTTGGAGATGGAGCTCATGATAACAGCAGCCCCAAGCCCCAGTTTGAACCGAGATCAAAAATGGGCGACAATAGAATAGGACGTTATATCCTAGAGAGATCCTCAACCTCATAGCACAGGGGTGCAAGCCTTCCCCTCTCGAAGCGCATTAATGACGATGTTGATTGCTGGGCGGTGAGTCGTGCGCGGAATAAAAATGGCAATAATCCGGCCGGCGGTTGTACGGTCCATTCGCGAGATTGCTCAGTTCTTCGGCTCCGTCGTCTCCTCTTCAGTCTGCTGCAGAGAACAGCGCCTTGCTTGCAGTCTCTCTTCTTCCAACCTTGTTGCAAACCAAATTTGCTCCTATCGTTCGCTCGCCTTGCTGCTTTTTGGCCTCCATCCGGCTTTTGACGTCAAACTCCTCCGATTTCCATGCGGTCTCCCGCTGCGCTGCACTGTCGTACTGCCCGCTTCCAGCGCCCATCGTCTCTCCACGGCGGCCTCTTTTCCTGCCCGAATTATTCGATACCTTTGACTGTCGTGTCTCGTACGTACTTGATATTGTGCACATACAATTTTTGAGGTACTGCTTGTCTCTTTGCATACTTGTGCCCTTCTCCCCGCGACCGTGGAAGTAAAGAGTGTCGTGCTCAGTCGCGGCAAGCTCGGCGCAGCACAGGTCCACTGCTAGCGCATTGATGAATGGTATGTGGCTCGGCTCCTACATCTTTACATTCTTCATGATGAGTGTCCTTAGCGACACTTAAGCGACTGTCACCTGCGTTGGAGGCCCTTGGCGTGCGCAGGCCCTATCTGATGATGAGCAGTTTCTGGGGTGTGATCCGCACCGCCTTCTGCTGGGATCTCCTCAACCCACTGCTGTTCTCCCTGTTCTTTCTTCCTTTCTATAGTGCTGAAGTCCAGTCCATTGCGCTTAACTACTACAATGATGCCGTTTCTAACATTTTCGCCTCGATTGACCTAGGTTGATTCGCGCGTTACGATCTTCCTTCCCGCCCCCCTCCTCTCCCCACAAGCGTCTTCGGCACATCTCCGCCGAACATCTGCCCGTTTTCTTCGTCACAAATCCGTTGGCCTAGAATCGCAAGAACGCAGTATTATTGCCCCTTATGGAGGTGGCAGAGTCTAGAGAACCCACCTCGGTTGGTGCGCCGACCGGCACTGACGAATCCGTCCTCAATGGCGATCAAAACCTACTCTACCAGCACTCGCTACTCGATGATGAACGATCGAGCAGTCTGAGCGAGATTGATGATGTCCTAGAAAATATGCCGTCTGATTACGAGTCACCAAAGCCTGAGAAAGTTGCTCCAGAAAACGATTCAGAGGCAGAAACAGAGCGCATTGACGATTCCCCAAACTACCGCACGAGAACAAATATCGTGGTGAGCGCAAGCGGATACGGCCCTAGTCCTAGCAAATTAGTTCACTCGACGACGTACGATGACGTCGAGGAGGACGACGACCATCCGGTAGATGAGTCGCCGAGCAAGTCTCGCTCGAAAAATGGTCGCGCCGTCGATAGCGTCGAGGAACCACAGGACCTTGAGGACCCTGCTTTGCCCGAGAGTGGAGGACAAAAGAGGAAACGTCCTGAGTCCGGGGATGAACTGATCTCCGAGCTTGACGAGGATGATTTTCCTCCACACAAGCGCCGGGGCTCGGTTAAGAGCGACCTCAGTGACCCGCCCCCGGATTTGGCTCTTACGCCCGAGCCTATTGAAGAAGAAGAAATCCCGAAAGAAAATCAAGAGGATACCATGGTCGATGACATCCCTGAATCTGATCTACCCTTAGCTCCGACGAAAAGCAAGAGAGCCAGAAAGGGGAAACGGAAAGGGCGCAAAACTAGAGACGCCGACGATGATGTTGATAGCGGAGCTGTTGAGACGGGCGCAGACGTTGATGATACGCCTGCCGATGAGGACACCGCGGACCGTCCAGAAGACGCCGATGATGGCGAAGCGGCCGCGAAGCTAGAAGAAGAGTGTAGGTCATTATCCCGGGCTTGACACAGAACCTGGCTAATTCATTGTGCACAGCGGCTAAAAGGACGTCGGCTATGGACTCTTTGGCTATACTAGAGCGAGAATTCGCAACTCTCCGTGACAAGTATGGTCCCTCTTAATTCATCATATTCGGTCGAGTACGGTGCTAATACTCTGTCTCTAGGATCTATGACGAGAGGATATCCAAATTGAACCGCGAACTAGACATGCTCAAGGGCCCGAATCCGACGCATCCCGAGCTACTGCGCCAACTTGAATGTGTTAAAGGGTATCGCGACGCCAAGATCAACTACGAGCACACTTTGTTCCAATATCGACTCAAGTCGTTGCTAAACAAAAGCCAAGCGGAGCGTGCCCAGGCACACAGCACGTACTTTCAACGGGCGCGGGATATCCGTGAGCATCATTCAAGTGCCATCAGCAGACAATTCTACTCGATTCAGCATGATCGTTTCAAGACGGACGATGTGAGCCCACAACATTATGTCCCATTTCCGACTCGCCGTTCTCAACAAATTGCGCATCAAACTGCATACAATCAAGAGGTGTCGGTATTGGCTGGAGTTGCAAAATATGTTGGCTTTCCAGCTGCCCCGTCGCTCTTGTCAGCGCGGCCAGCGGAGCTTGAGGACGATCTGGAAAAGATGGGGGTAAGTTCAACTACCGTTTGGGGACTTCACGGAGAGCAGCAGACTAATCTCAATGCACACTAAGATCTCCATTGAGACAAAAGCCCCGGCGCCTCATCATCAGCCGACAATACCTCGGACTACCATGCCCAGCATATCATCAAACATTCACCCGATCTCCGCGGAGGAAGCCTTCCTAGAGCAGACACCTTGGGCGAATCCACAGCATCCCTACCATCAACATCAGCACCTATCTCAAAGATCACAAAATCGAATATTGGACAACTCGCGGGTGCCCGCTTTCGCAACGCCAGCAGGCCAGATGCGCATGGTGGACGTTAGCGCTCCGAATGGATCTGCCTCCACAATTGCAGAGAATTCGTCCGCGAACAATACACCTTACGGTTTGGATCAAGACAATGCGGCAGCGGTTGCAAAGTTGTATCCTGATTACGATACTAGACTGCGATCTCTCAGCTCTTCTCCCACCGATGTTCGAAAACCTCATCCAGCTATGTATACCTCTCTCGAACATCGACCACCTCAAGGTGTCCCGCGAAATCCTGGCTACTCATCTCCTCCTTCTCGGCTCGTTTTTGGGACGTCCGGTCACAGGCGAGATACTTCACCATCCTTGCCATCCAAGCCTGTCAACTCCCTCCACCAACCGGCAGGAATGCTGGGAGGCACAGGCCAAAACCAGATGGCCGCTCGATAGACTAATGTTCATTTTGCAACGACCTTTCTGGCATTCCATCAGCATGTACTTTGTTCCTTCAGTTATACAGGGACTGGCTTCGGGTGTTTGCGTAGACCTTGCTCTGCTTTTGTATTTATGGATTGATTGATATGTACGAACCGGAAACATGAGGGGCAAATCAAGTCAAATCCTTTTGCTTTATACCACTGGGCATTTGCTATGATTGTGGCGTACGAACGTCGGTGCTGTTCGACGTCGGTGATAATTTCCCATCTTTTCAGCTCTTATGATGTTGACTCAATGTTTGGCGTTTGGTTCCTTTGTTTGGATTCATTGTATTGTGTTCTGATGTCTCTTCTCATTCACATGAATGTGTCTGAAAAACTATTTAGACATCAACATTGCTCCATACCCATCTGCCTTTATAGTGGTTAGTTGATATCCCACTAAGGTATGCAGTTTCGAATAGAAATATATAATTTATTAAGACCACCAGTCCAGGGTTTAGACTTTGTGTAAGCTCATACTGTAGGCTGAATTTTTGTAACCAACCAAAGATCGCCATGGGGCCTACATATGATGGGTACCTATATGTGCTCCAAGTAGTCTTACATTAATGAGGTTTCAGCCAATTGCATGAATGCGCTGCAGCTCGAAACAAAGCAGCTTTGTATACGAGTTGCTCAAGCGTTCATTAGTTTTAAACTATGCGTTAAGTCATCTTGCCTGACATTGATACAATGCTCCCAACTAGATGGATATCCCTAATACGACCGCTCAACATCATTTACATGCAGCTACTCTTCTTTAGAAAGTAAAACCGGGCTACATAGTAATGGAAAGTCTAGGAGCGGCATGTTTCGTACAAGGCGCACGGTACATAGCTTATGATTTGATAATATCCGCATCTTTAGGGCAAAACAAGGACTTTTGCTGGTCACCTTCTCAGGGTAAAAGCATTTGCACAGACACTAAGCACATAATCATGCCCGAATAGTGCGTCCCACTGGACGTCCTCGTGTCGGCCTAGGGACGCACTCAACCAGATCTGGCTGACGTTATATGCCCCGAGACAACAAAAGAATAGGATCTGAACAGGACAATGATAAAGAGTAACATTAATGACTTGATAATGTGCCTCGTGAATCGTGATAGAGACAGCCAGGTGGGGCTAGTCAGGGCTAGGGAGCGGGCCGGACCGGTCGCCGAGCGCGGCCGTCAAGCCCTAATTCATGATGATTGCATTTGCTTGTCACCCAAAGCTTTGCAGGTTTCACAAACCATTAGCTATCAACCACGTCAATACGGCCTATGATGAATAGTCGAAAGCATGGAGGATCTAAATGTTGTACATGTCTCAAGTAGAACCAGGATATCGTCATTGGCTAACGGCGCCCGCAGGGGTATATGGTAAGTTCAATCAAGACACCACACAAGAAAAGACATTAGATACAGAAAGGGAGAAAAGACGATATCAAGAAGAGTTAGATTAGATTCAATCAGTTAGCTCATTCGCTCCTTGTCCTTCTGTTCTAGTTTACTAACAAGGCGCTTCATGCCCGTCCATTCTTCAGAGGGAACATCGTCGGGCGTACCGCTGAGGCCTCTCCCGACTTCGAAGACGGTAACAACACCGTCTAGGCCACCGGTTGCAAGGCGGCGGCCCTCGCGTTCCTCCCAGGCGACCTTGTTTAAGCTGCGGGAGAGGACGCCCGCGCGGCCTTTCGATGGGGTGGTCCGTACGGCGGGAACTTCGGTGTCTGTGTAGAGGTCCCAGACCTCGAGATTTCCTGCACCGTCGACGAGAGAGAAGACACCGGGTCGGTGCGGAGACCAGCGTGCGTCGTACACGACATCTTCACGGTTGAGGTCAAGAATAGGCGTAATAACTTGAGTGTCCGTAATGCCTGATGTGGCCACCGGAGCCGTCGCAGCCGGAGGGCGGATGCGCCAGAGCTTGACGCTCCAGTCGAGACTAGAGCTTAGCATGAGATCTCCGAGATCGACGGGTCCACGCGCTGGGTGGAATGCTGTTGACATGATGGGTGCGGCGTGACCGCGGTATACGAGGCGATGGTCAGTGCCTGCTTTGGCGCCAGCGCGGTCGTAGCGGTGACAGGGATAGATGCCGCCTTCTTCGGTACCGACAATAAAGAATGTTGGGTCGGATTGGGGGAAAGAGATCGTTGTTGGTGCAAGGTCTTCAGTCTTTGACGGCGGGGGGGTGGAGAGTTCGAGATACTCCTGCGGCTGGGAGAGCATGTCAACGGTCCAGCCGCAGACAACGCCATCTGTAGACGCGGTGATGATGTTATGGGCGTTCTGTGTCCCGATAATAGAGATGCTGTATACTGGGTGAGTGTGCCCGGCGCCTGTCAGGGGAGTCTTCTGGACAGGTGCACCACCGCCGGCGCGCGACGAGCGAGTGTCCCAGAGAAGTACTTGGCCCGAATAGGAACCGCCGACGATGATGTTAGGGTGGAATGGCGAGAACTTTGCGGTTAAGATATCAGAGGTTGAGTGGAACACATACTCCGGCCGGGAGTGCAGGTGCTGATTCCAAATTTGTACAAGACCATCGGGCTCGTGAGGTGCTGAAGGGTTCTTGGTGTATGAAGCGAGAACAAGTTCGGAAAACTGGTTGCAGGCAACTGTGAGTAGTGTGGATGACCGCAGAACAGGAAGCTTGGACAAACCTTAGGAGAGAAACAAATATCACTGATCATGCGTTTCTTGCTCCACCGCTCATCCCAAAATTGACAGACCTCCTTGATACCCCTCTTTTTCTTGCCGTGCTCGTCATCATCCTCCAACTCCGCATCCATTCCTCCTAGCTCATAGTCGGTCAAAACGTCATATTCCTCATCCAGAGCACGCTCAATGACTTTCGCGGACCGCTCGACGAAATCCAAGAAGTCTTCGGAAGATGTGACAGCCTTCAGCTCGTCATCATCAAGTTGCCGTAGAGGGTACCGCAGGGAGGAGTCCACATTAGCTTCATTCTGGGCGCTTTCATGTGTGGCTTGGAGTTCCTCCTCAATTTCCTTGCGGAGCTTCTTGCGAATCTCGTCATCGCGCTCCCGTCGTTTCTTGCTTGCTGGCTTGAAGTCTGGGCTTCCCTCGTCATCTGACTCGAGAGAGGATGCGTCTTGCTCTCCTTGTTGCAAGTCGTCTGTCTGGACCCCCTTATTGTACGTAACGACTTCCGGTTTGGCTTCAGGGGCCGGTTGGAGTTCAGGGATGGCGATAAAAGGCTCGGTTCCTACCGTCTGCACCGCGATAGATTGTGAAAGTGGTCGCGTAGGTGGACTGAGTGCTTCTGTGTTGTCTCCGCTGAGTTGGCTGGCGCTCAACACCGAATTTGGCCGGCTTCCTTTCCGCGAGAGGCCATCTGCACCGCTCACCGCAGCGGAGCCGGGACGGTCAACGAGACGGGAAATTAGATCATCGAGCTCAGCTCTACTGTCGGATCGACTGGGAACTGGTGAGACAACCTATGGTAGTCAGCATGAGTGTCCGGCCCCTGCACCGGGATCGGCGCAACACTGCATACCTCTGAGGCATCCCCAGTACTAGCCCGGGACTGAGAGAACTCCTTCTGGCGTAACTCCCTCTGCCGCTTCAGCTCTGCTAGCTTGGCCTTTTTGGCGAGGATCTCAGCCTTCCGCTGCTGATTGGCGGCTGACGACATGATGGCGTACACGTACAGGTGTGTTCGCCCCTAGGAATTATTTACTTCTTTGTAAAGTACCGCGTGGGCTGAAGCGTAGACTGGGAGAGGATGACATAAGCGCAGGTCCGACGGGTCCGGAAAAACTCGCGACAGGAACTTCGTCTTGCTCGGTCACCAGCATCCGAACCTCCTCTGCTGCCGGCTTGCCATTATCGATCACTTGTCCGGGTCCAGGCCTTTTTGCTTCTCCAGTCCCCTTTTATTCCTGCAATTGTTGATCCGGAGGCCAGGACCTTCCCAAAATGGCTGCTTCACAGGGTGTCAATGTGAGTCTCCGCAATGGGTTACCCATCCCCCTTCGTACCGTGACTGACCGCGGATTGTTCTCGCGACCTAGGTTCTCCGTTACTCGGCTCTCGTAGCTGGTCTCGTTTACGGTTTCTACCACCAGTCTTCCATTACTGCCTCCACCAGGCGTGCCGAGGCCGATCGCGAGTATGCCCGCCAGGAGCGCCTGATCGAGCAGGCCAAGGCCGAATGGAAGAAGAAGACGCAACCTCAAGACAGCAAGTCAACGGGTGGCGGTATGTTGGAAACCATCCCTATACAACATGCTGGAGCAATTGGGAGGCCTACGCTCCTTGTATCATTGCCATGCTAACTAGTTGTCTGTAGTCATCACGGATCCCGAAGACCCCAAGTTCGACCTCGAGACCTTCTTGAAGCTGAAGGCTGGTGAGCTTTAAAGAGCCATGAACGTGCAACAATAAACGAAAAGAGAAAAGACGAATTGAAGGGCGACTGTCGCCGTTCGGATGCTACGTTACCCCCATCGGGTCTTAGAGATGGTTCGGGTGATTCCCGATTATGTATTATTTGTTTGGTCTAATTTCCCAGAGTCGTGCCATTGCGAGCGAAAGGAATGAGTTTCTTTTCTTTTTCACAACTATAGAATTCCGATCCGCATTTTGTACATACCCTGGGTTTGCACGTGTACTCTATGGTTGGACCAAATGACCAATAAGTTCAGCTCTTTACACCAGCTTATCGCTCGTAACCTCCTTGGCCTTCGCATGCTCTCCATAAGTTCAATTGCTGTCGCGCTTTATCATGACCGTTCCAGCTAATCACTGGGGTTCCGTCGGATTCGGAATCTTAGCTGCTCTCGCTCTCGCCCTCAAAACCTGCGGCTTGGGGTTGCTCTCGGGATCGATCATTTACCAGTCAGGCTTCAGCTGCCCTGATTGCTGATTAGCGCCATGACTCGGCTCAGTTCATTCTGCAAGCTATCATCCTTCGGGGGAGCGGCGGCGACGGGTTTCGGGTGTAGTAAATGTGTTTCACTATCCCACTTCCATCCACAGGCCGTGAACTTTTCGATCAGATCACTTTCCGCAACGTCCGGGTCGGCTCCAAGATATCTTGCGGCGGCGGCGACCCGTATCGTCTCGTAGGAATTGCTCACTTCTACTAGCGTCTTTTCTTGGAAATAGACTACAAGTCCGTTAGCGGGACGTTCAAATCACCGGAAGCACCAGGGTGTCATTTGTACCTTCATAACGTTGTACTAGGGGTTGTGATCGCTCGGGCCATGGCAACTCTCGAAGAATTTTGTACAATTCGATATGCTTGCTCTGCCAGACAGCGCGCAAGAGAAGCGAACAGGTTTGCATAGCGTCTGTTTGCAACAAGTCCCGTGGTATCCGCCGTGTTAAAGCACGAGCTTCGCAACTAACCAGGGTCTGTTAGCTACCTGCCATGCGGAAATGCTGCCCGCTCACGACCACATCGCGAGAAACTCACATCTGATCCGTCAGGAGGTGGGAGAAGAAAAAGGCCGTGTAGAATTCTAGTAGCACATTTTTTTCGGTGGGGTTGGTTGTTGAGAGGAGGCAAGCTTGCTCTTCGTATTCCGATAACGAGGTATAGAGATCAACGGGCGTGGGCGCAGCTGTGATGACTGCGGAGAGCTGATCAAGAGAAAGCGGAGGGAGATCCATGGCGCAGGAAAGGGTATCTTCAGTACGCTCGAGAAGGGAAGAGAGCTAGAAGGCGAGCAGGCAAAGAGTCGTGTTAGATTATGATACAGCAAGTAGTGACGGTGATGCGGGGGCCTTGGGGAAAGGTCCGAACGATTGCGAGTACCTGGTGCCAAGACTTCCAAAAGAGACCACCTTGCGCAGCTCCAGTCGTCGTCAACACCTCAACTTCCCAGCTTCTGGACAGTCACCATTCCAGGCAGGACCAATTTCCTCCTGTCTCTGCTCAAGTTTCCATTGGAACCCGTTCTTTCTTTTGTTCCCGGCCATCATGGCCGAATCTCCCGTGGATGTCCTTCTTAAGGGCAGCTCCGGCAGAAGTGCGCGCGGCCTGCTGCGTATCATCATTCTGGTAACTATCGCAGCCGCTGCTGTTTCCAGTCGATTGTTCAGTGTTATTCGTATGCCCAAGGAACCCGTACTCTATGTTCACTTAATTGGACAAGTTGCTGACCGTAATTTCTTTATCCAGGCTTCGAAAGTATCATCCACGAATGTATGTATACATCCGGAAGCGCTTACAATGCGAACATGGGGCTCCCATACAACGCCGACTTACACTAGCTAAGCATACTGATGTGTGTTTGTCCAGTCGATCCGTGGTTCAACTTCCGGGCAACGAAATACCTAGTTCAGAATGGCTTCTACGACTTTTGGGATTGGTTTGATGACCGTACGTTGCTCTTCCCCGGTCGGACTGGCGATCAGTCAGTCAATTGTTTCCATCACGACATACTGAACACATATCTGTTATCCAGGGACATGGCATCCTCTCGGGCGGGTTACCGGAGGAACTCTATACCCTGGTCTTATGGTGACCAGTGGTGTCATTTACCATGTTCTCCGATTCCTGACCCTCCCCGTTGATATTCGCAACATTTGTGTCCTACTGGCGCCCGGGTTCTCTGGGCTAACAGCGTTCGCGATGTACCTCCTGACCAACGAGATGTCCTCCTCTCCCTCGGCAGGACTCCTTGCGGCCGCTTTCATGGGCATCACCCCTGGTTACATTTCCCGCTCAGTGGCAGGCAGTTACGATAACGAAGCGATTGCCATTTTTCTTCTGGTCTTTACCTTCTTCCTCTGGATCAAGGCCGTGAAGAACGGTTCCATTATGTGGGGAGCACTGGCTGCTCTATTTTATGGCTACATGGTGTCCGCCTGGGGTGGATATGTCTTCATCACTAATCTGATCCCCCTGCATGTCTTTGTCCTACTCTGCATGGGGAGATATAGCTCCAGGCTGTACATCAGTTACACCACTTGGTATGCGCTAGGAACTCTTGCCAGCATGCAAATTCCTTTCGTTGGGTTCCTGCCAATCCGCAACAGTGACCACATGTCTGCCTTGGGTAAGTTTGGCTCTCTTGAGGAAACGGCAGTGTGCTAATCAACCTCAGGTGTCTTTGGCTTGCTTCAGCTGGTGGCCTTTGCGGAATTTGTCCGCAGTTTTATTCCTGGCAAGCAATTCCAGAGACTTCTCACTGCCTCGATTATTCTTACAACTGGCCTCGCCTTTGCTGGGCTTGTTGTCTTGAGCATGTCGGGGGTTATCGCTCCCTGGAGTGGTCGTTTTTACTCTCTGTGGGATACTGGCTATGCCAAGATCCACATTCCTATCATTGCTTCGGTTTCGGAGCATCAGCCCACCGCTTGGCCATCGTTCTTCTTTGATCTCAACTTCCTCATCTGGCTCTTCCCTGCAGGTGTTTACATCTGCTTTCGTGATCTCAAGGATGAGCACGTGTTTGTCATCATCTACGCTGTCCTTGCGAGTTACTTCGCTGGTGTCATGGTCCGACTAATGCTGACCTTGACTCCTATTGTGTGTGTTGCGGCTGCCCTCGTTCTGTCGTACATCCTCGACACCTACCTGAAGACCTCGCCTGGCCCAGTTACTCGCGGAAGGTCAAACGACGAGTCCTCTGAGGGGCTTCGTTCAGCCAGGTCCCCCGAAGTCGGAATCACCTCTTACTTCTCCAAGGCTGTAACGACATCCGCTGCCATTGTATACCTCCTCTTGTTTGTTGCGCACTGCACCTGGGTGACATCGAACGCATACTCATCACCGTCTGTGGTCCTAGCTAGCCGAATGCCTGATGGAAGTCAATTCATCATCGACGATTACCGTGAGGCATACTACTGGCTTCGCCAGAACACCCCGGCAAACTCCAAGATCATGTCGTGGTGGGATTACGGTTATCAGATTGGCGGTATGGCGGATCGCCCGACGCTTGTTGACAACAACACGTGGAACAACACCCACATTGCCACTGTTGGAAAGGCCATGAGCTCTCGCGAAGAAGTCAGCTACCCGATTCTCCGCCAACATGATGTCGACTATGTCTTGGTGGTCTTCGGTGGATTACTCGGATACTCCGGTGATGATATCAACAAATTCCTCTGGATGGTCCGTATTGCGGAAGGCATCTGGCCTGATCAGGTCAAGGAGCGAGATTTTTTTACTCCAAGAGGCGAGTACCGCGTGGACGACCAAGCCACACCGACCATGCGCAACAGCTTGATGTAAGCATTCAATTCTTCTGTAGAATGGGTAAAGCACATTCTGACTATGATGACAGGTACAAAATGTCCTACCACAACTTCAACAAGCTCTTCCCTATGGGTCAGGCTACTGACCGTGTCCGCGGAGCCAAGCTCCCGGCCGAAGGCCCCCAACTCTCCACATTGGAGGAAGCCTTTACCAGTGAAAACTGGATTATCCGTATCTACAAGGTCAAGGATCTCGACAACCTGGGGCGGGACCACAGCAACGCTGTCGCCTTTGACCGTGGAAATAAGCGAAAGAAGGCGAGTAAGAAGAAGGGACCTCGTGTTCTGAGGTCCGAGTAAGGGATTGATCGAAGTTCCATTTTCATATGCATTTGTCCCATATATGTATTGATTCCGTTGTTCAGCCGGGGATGTAGAAGGCTATAAAATGGTTTCAGCGCCCTAGAGTGGCCAAATTCAATTGTACAAAATTGCTTTGTTGACGTGGCAAATAGGTAGAGGTCCAATGGACTTCGCCATTCAGTAGTTGATAATGTACAACAATAGAGAAAAATCTCAACCAAGTGTGAACAATCAATGAGCGGAGATGGTTCTTTTGGCCCTGCGGTGGCCGTCCGCCAGGTATCCAATCCAAGAACAAGCGACGGGTGTGCTGTCCCTTTCGGTGTCTTTCGGCAAGCATCAGGCACCGCAGCTTGACCAAAACCTTTCAACATAAGTTGCCAGCTCATGAGTACATTCGTCCCCGGCGTCCGAAATACCCCTCGGTCCGCAGCCGTCGAGATGATGCACGTCAAATGGTCAAGTTTCATACGAAAATTCATAGATAGTCACCATATACTCCGAACCCCATATACACCATGGCTAATAAACCCTCAACCTTGGCTAGCAAGCAAATGGCATGTTGAACGATTCATCTTCCTCGCTACCTCTCTCATTGCTTCGAGTTCTGAGGGGCGGCAGCAGGGGCATCGGGGACCTGGACGTCAGAGAAATCTTCCTGGCCGACGGCGCGGAGGGTGTATGCATCTATCGAAACGATCAATCAGCAATCCGGCATACGTTACTCGACCATGTCGGAGCAAAACGTACAAACACCAATTGTGAAGATGCAAAGACCAACGCCAGTCACGGCATTCTTGACAAGGTATGGCCGGCGGGCGCGGAGAAGTGCAGCACCGGCACGGTAGTCTTTACCGTAATAAGTGGAGTTGAAGCTGTAGACTTGGTCAGTTTCGTTCTGTCTCTGTCCGCGGCGGCCCCGAGGCAAGCGGCGGATGAGTGATCAAAAGAAACTTTGGCGCCGAGTGCGACTATAGAAAAGCCCCAGGGTAGAACGTACATTCCGGAAGGCATCTTGGAGCTCGTCTAGGCCTAAGGATCTAATGAATTGCTGGAATTGAGGATGCGAATGAGAGCAAGTCAGGGAGAAAGCGCTGGAGATCGAATGATGCGCGGGCCGGGCTTGGCGTTTTTTTGATGTTCCGCAGCCTGGACCTTGCCGGACATAGATGCAAGGTACGAAGGTAAGGCGCAGGTGAAATCAGAAAGATTCGGAATCTATTACGCTAGCTTACGGTACTCCGGAGTAGAGTCAAGTCTATGCATATGCTCTCACTTCTCCGCTGCTCGATCTACTTGCGCTGGGCATGCATTCGTCAATCACGTGACTTATACTCCCTGCTCCGAGGACCATTTGTTGTGGTACCCCCATTTGTTGGACAGCAGACTGTTCGGTCGTTTATGTAAATATGCCAGCGAGTGATGTATTCTTCCTCGAATACAAGATCTCGACATCTGCATAACATCATATACCACATCCCCTGGTTGTCACTATCATAGTGAAGTTGTACCGGAGCGGCCAAACTCTCCTCCGGGCGCGTGCAAGAAATCCGTCATTCAACAGCTCCAGCTTCAACCAGACCACCAACCTATTATCCCATTCATTGTTCGTCCATCTTTCCTGTCTCGAATCCTGAACCCTCATCGCGCCTCGACTCGACTCTGGAGCCCTTTGGACTAAACATCCGCCGGCGGCTTGGTTATCCCGTCATTTCCCTCAATTAGCTCGGCCTGTTTCACGTGTTCTAACAACATAGCTGTCGCGCCTGTGTTCTGAGCACGTCTATTGCTCTTTGCTGCTTGCCTATCTAGATTGTTGCGCAACGTAGACCGAGTCCTGGAATCATCACAGTCGTCCTTGACCTTCATCCCTTCCGCCGTTTTACTGGTTCTCCTCGCTAGACGGAGCCGCCATGGCTCAGTCGGGAGACCAGGTCGTCGACCAGATCGCGCAGCTAAATGCTGCCCGTAATCTCGTCCTAGGAGACGCCGCCTTCTACCCTCAGATCGTGAACGGAGTCCTCCCTATAATCGGTGCACACGCGCGAGTGGAACTGCGACGATGGGGATCCGAGTTTTTGGCTGAGACCTTCGCCAGCCCTGCGTTTGCTACGACCCAGAAGGAACAGTTGGCTATAAATGTGTTGCAGACGGTGCGGAACATACTGGAATTACCGGAAGGGGATCAATTGGTCTTGCAGAACATAGCGCAAACTGCTGCCAGTCTGTATCCGCTGGTTTTTAGGCATATGTAGGTGACCAATGCTTGTTTTACGCACCCCGTGGGCCACCTTTCGTAGATGTTGCGAATGAGCTCAATAGGGCTTGCTCTATCAGTGGGTTCTTCGTTCACTAATGCTTGACGTGATAGCATCAACCATCCGGAGGATAAGCAATCCTGGGAGCATATCGAAGCGATCAAGCAGGATATCTTGCGGAGGTGGGATTCGTTTCCGTGCCCCGTCAAAGTATGTTGTATAAAGTTCGCCCAACGTGTCGTTTTAGCACAAACGCATGGCCCGATAGCGGACCCCAGGGTACGTATTTGGACTCAAAAATGAAGCTATCAGGCTAGAGCTGACAGTGAAACCAGCGACCTGATAAAAACGAGACTTCTTTAGCCATCCTTCCCCGCAACCATGCCATTCTCTCTCTACCCAATCTGGAAGCAGAGTCCTCCGGGTTATTGGACAGGATCTTATCCGTCTTCCACGAGGATGCGAGGTAGCTACCTTCCCTGCCAATTTGGTAGCAAAAACTAACACTATTTCGACTATTCGTAGTGACCCGATCCTTGTGAATGCAACTTTGAACTGCCTCGCAACCCTCGTTCGAACGCGACAGTCCGTTGGTAACAAGATCATTAACGCAATTCTCAACTTCTTCCCTGCGCGGCATGCGCGCTCGCCAGTGACGCCTGCAGTACGAATTGGTGTCAAATCAATGGAAAGGACGGCTCGAGCTGTATTCATAAATATCATGAAGAGGTAAGGGTCACATGCCACGGATACCCTTGTCATGCGCTAAGAGATTTTTTTGGTTAGAAATCCGAGCCATCCTCTTGCGGGCAAGATGCAGCAACATATTGAACGACTGATGCAGTCTCGTATAGGGCATGTTGACGATACGTCACGAAAGCGAGGACTACCGACCGAGCCAACTGATGGGTTGGATGCTGCAAAGCGGGCGAGGCTCGATGCTGAGACGCCTCCAATCATCAAAGTGCCACCTCTTCCATCAGGCCGGATAAGCTTCGCCCAGCTATTTACTCTGACTGAGGACTCTGGACTCTCTTCTTTCGATGTGAAACAGTTACCCCCCGACCTCGTAGTCAAGATTGCCGTGCCTTTACTAGCTCGTGTGGACCAGTCGCTTTTGAGCCAAGCTGTTGATGTATGATGGATTTTCAGAGTGACTTGGGGTGCCTGCTGACATTATTTCAGGCTATTCGGATGCGTTACGAAACAGTCCAGAAACAGCAAATGGCCCAACCGCAGCCAGCCGCTGAAGAAGAGGATGATGACTATGAGCCGGAATACCAACCTATGGACGTTCCGGGATCGGCGGCAAACGAAGCGGGTGCGGTATCAGCTGCTTTACAGGAGGAACAGCCCGATCTCGTGTCTTTGGGACCATTTGTTCTGCCACGGCCCCCTCCTTTGAGTGAGGAACAAGCTGCAGAAGCCGGTCGAGGGGCCGTGGCCAGAGTCTTTGGCATGTTAGGGTCAACGACCCTGGCCCCAAATCTTGTAAAAGGTCAGGGACAACTAGGGTTTTCCAGACTGGCGGGTAGTACATTCGACCGTGACGCTTGGGTAACATTGCTCACCCGGCTTGCGACTCGGGCTCCAGCTGGGTTAGAGGGGCCGAAACTGGAAGCAGATTATGCGGGCAGGAGAAAGCCCACGATCTCAGATACGATACGGGAATCCCTCTACCGCTATATACTTGAAGACTTCCGAGGGCGAGTAAATGTCGGCATTATGTGGCTGAACGAAGAGTGGTACAACGATCGCCTTCAAATGAAGGTTGCTTCCTCCAACCGAGCCGAGGATGACGAAGAGGTTTCGGTGCCTCTACATTACGACCATTGGGTCTTACGGCTGCTGGACGGCTTTTTGCCGTACCTAGACTCTCGCGATACCAAGATCTTCATTCGGTTCCTGAGCGAAATCCCCGAAGTGACGATTTCCATCGCCAAGCGCATAACGAGTCTTGCGAAGGACCCGGAGAGAGTGAACCTCTGCGTTCAATCATTTATGTATGCTTTCCACAGTCCTTGGCCGCATGGCTGTTGAACTAACTTATGACAGGTATTTAGTAATGTTCCGCCCTCCAGCGCGAGAAATTTGTCTGAATGCTTTAGAGGAAGTATATCTGACCTGTAAGTTCGCAAGGTTTCCTGTTGAGTCTCTTGTTCAAGTTTCTAATTCTCTTCTAGACGAGGAGTCTCGTCCTTCCGCCGGCAAGGTCCTCTCTCGGTGGCGGCCGCAAAGAGTTGAGCAGCTCCAAGCCGAACAAACAACCCTAGTGACCCGCACTGTTGACTCGCAGACACCAAGCAGCACAGTTACAAACGGTTCCAGAGACCCCAGAACTGCGCACGCAGCAGCTTACTGAGTCCGAGCCACAGCATAAGACAATTAAGCTAGCATTTCGTGACATACTGCAAGGGAACGTTCTACCTTAACGCAATCCAAATGATTCCCCTGCTTTTTTCATTCCCGTTCGTTTCAGATTCAATCTAACAGCCGCTTTCGTACCATATACCACGTCTTTGGTTCGACTTCTTACAGTCTCTTGCACTGTGACATTATAGCAGTTCGGGTTCAATTTTGAGGGGATCCAACACTTTTCTTCGAGGCCTGCCAACGTGTATTTTTATGACTGGGTTCTCCAGCGAATGTGAGAGGTGCGGAACAATTATAACGGAGCCTTGCGCTCGAGATTAATCTCTTTTGCTATGCACCGACCTGACTATATATGTAGTACAGTAGATGACGGCCAATAACTCCGAGGTGCTGACTAGTCTGGCTGTTATTATGGGTTATCTAGAAATACTCTTCCGGCTAACCTCAAGCACTACGGGAAGGGGATACTTGGGGATTCGTCCATTCTACAAACCTACCCTATCTAAGGGTAGGCTCCCAGCACCACATTAAGGGCTACGGATTTAGTTCGATTTCCCATAACACGCAAGGCTGCGGTGATCGATTCAAAAAATGGGGTATGACTGTTTTCATGCAGTATATATACCTTTGTTCGTGGATATGCCGATTCTTTGTAGCTCACTGGTCATGTCCTAGCCAAATCCTCTATAAACATATGGGGCAATGCTTGCCATCTTTCTAGTATGTATACGTGAATCCAGCCTGCAGAGAAATATCGTAAGTATGCCATCGACGCCAGTCCAGGAAAAGGCGGCTAAACCAAGCGTACCGTATTCTGAAGCACCTCTCCTTTCTTCTGCCGCGTATTCTGGTTATAGAAGCCCACCGAAAAAATCCCCACAATAACAATCATGAGGATATGAGACCTGTGAAGCAGCATCAAAGAGGAGCAAGTCAGCCAAGCCCACCCTTCCCGTACCAAGAAGAAAGAGAGAACAAATTGACCCACCCAATTGATACCCAAACTGCGGTCTGGTACGTCGGCGCCTCTTTTTGTCTAACGATATAACTGCCCGCAATTGATCCGAGCCCGTTACAAGCCGCAACGGCCGCGGCAGTCGTCGCGCGCTTCCATTGGCCAACGACATTGTTCGCCATGAATGCGTTTAGCGCCGCCCAGTTGGAGACGTATGCGCCCGTTGCGAGGAATGTCCCGATGTAGCGCACTGTTACTTGCGTTGAGGAGGGAAGGCCGAACATTAGATACCCGGCTATTAGGCATAGTGCGTTGAATGTGATCAGAGGTCCGCGGATACGGAACATGTCGCCGATCAGGGAGGTGAATAAGACGGGGAGAACGGCCCAGTAGTAGGGCTGCGAGCATGTTAGTACTTCAATATATCTTGGGTGCGGGATGGGTTCAGATAGTTACAGGTGTAGATAGCAGGATAGAGTCGTTGGCTGAGAAGCCCAGCCCTGACTCGATGATTTGAGGGAGGAAATAGTTCAGTGCCGTGGAGACGATATTCAGGCAGAAATACATGCACGCAAAGCCGTACAGTTTTGGATCTGTAAAGTTGACGAAGACCTTCCGCCATTCGAAGGGTTCAAGGACAACATCCCCGCGATCAGCCTGAATGCGCTGCACCGCGATCTTCGCCTCCGTCTCCGTAAGAAAAGCGAAGCTTTTCCGCGCGTCCTCAGGGAAATCAACCATCCACCAGTACGTCACGATGCCGATGACGCACGTAATCAGGCCCTGGACAAGGTACATCCAGCGCCAGCCCTCGAGCCCAGCCTTACCATGGAGCTGGTTCAGGCCGTAATTGACGATATACCCCGTTGCCAGCGCCGCAACCTCGCCAGACTGCAGGAACGCAAAGCGCAATTGCTGCTCCCGTCTCGTGTACCACGTGCTAACGAGGTACGTAAGACCCGGATAGATGCCGGACATGGAGATTCCCAGCAGGATGCGGACGGCGATCATCTGGCGCCAGGTTTGCACAAATGCCGTGCACAGGGTGATCAGGCCGAAGCAGAATGTGATCGAGGCGAACCATGGCCGCGGGCCGACGTAGCGCACGGCGACGGTGCAGGGGAGTTGGAAGACTATGCTGGCGACGGTGAAGATGAAGATTGAGACGGAGTAGCGCTGGCCTTGCAGGTCGAGGTCGGACAGCAATGTTGTGACCGAGGCGGAAGCGAGGATGCCTGAGTCTAGCAGATTGAGGCTGCAAAGGAGGCCGGCGATGGAGCAGAGACGTAGGTCTGTTTTGCGGCGGATTCTGGACTCGAGATGCGCCCATTCTGGGGGCGTTGGTGGTCTCTCTGCATCATTGTGCTGGAGAATTGACGAGCCCGGAGGAGTCACTGCTTGGTCAATTGCAGAGGCGAGCTTCCCAGGCGTTGACTGCTGACCGTCTTTTTGGAGCATTGCGTGGATGGGTTGGGGTAGGGAGAAGAGAAAGATGGAGGGGCTGCAGGAACGATTTGGTGTACTAGTTAGCGGGTGTTTGCTTATCATTTCGGATCACTGGATGCCTCCATCTTGAACAACTCGCTCCACTGCAGGTCATTGACTCATTCAGCCCATGTTGTAGCTGTGATACATTTCCAACAACCCATGCACCAGGCATACCCATATGTTCATTTGTTTACTTGATGGTGATGTACTCAGTGTCCACACTCCAGTCATCTAGAGGCCTATCCTTGATGTAAAGACCCCGCATTACCGAGGGTCGAGGTCCAGGTCAGATTAGCACCGATTCGCTCGGCCACTGTGAGAAGCTGTGGAACCAATCGAGAGAGCGTTATCGGGGGACTCTCTCCACAGTTCGCTTATGGCCAAGAGCTTGTTTACAGGGGTCAGTATACATACAACTTGGACGATGGCCAGCATGGCATAGGAATATAGTATGAGAAATCTTATTGAGTGAAATCAGGTGGATTCATTCCAGCTCCAATTTATGCCTCGGGCGTTTAGTCTCCTTCTTGATAGGCGAAAAGTCATTGTGACGTTTCACACCCTTCGCTTGCTTGGGTTTGTTAGAGGCTAAGATACCTTCGAGTGGTATGCGCCCTGGTTGCAGCCCTGCCCTCTCAAAATTAATATACATTACATGGCCATTTCTCTTAAGTATATTACCGGGACTCGGATTACCTTAATCCATATTGCAGATGTGAATTGCGCGCAAGCATTGTTTGGCTTTTAGTTTAATATTAGGGTGATCTGCAGGGGGTATGCCGGCATAACTTAGAAATATTTAAACAAACAAGCTTGGCAATGCCAGCATAAAAGAACGGTTTACGGAGTTGCAGGCTTTAATAAAGACTGGAACATATACCCCTTGGATTGGAGTAAGGTGCGAGTAAACAAGCTCCTTATGTTGGAACTCTTAATAGACCATTTAGGGGTGCCTTTCGCCACAAAGGTATACCCATGAGATTATTATGTGATTAATAGAAGTGCCCAGCGGCTGCCTTGCAAATATAACAACTCGCATCCCCGTGTCCTACCGGGCGGCGGAGCGTCGCCGAAGAATTGCCGGTCCAATGCTTGAATAAGTGTCGCTGGGGTGAAGGTATAATAGTCCTCTTCGTGATCCGCTATGTTGGGACATTTCTGATCCAACTTCCCTCTCTTGACCAACCCCAAGAGACACTGATGGGTGCAATAGTCGCGACGCTGGCGTTTCGAGGGACCTGAACGGGGGAAGTTCGATGATCTCTTGGTAGGAGGATTTGTCGGAGAAAGGCTTCCACTGTCTCGAGGTGTCTTCCTAGCCTCACTTTTAGTGGCTGCAGGCAGTGAGAGAGACTCTTGGTATCTCGCCCTAAAGGAATGATACTGAACGGATGAAATGGAAAATGGGTGATGGATGTTGCTGTGTTCCCGAGCCGATGCCGTTCCCAAGTAATGGTGTCGCTGGTAGATCCGCTGTGTTGGTGTATGCCGTGCTTGTCAATGTGCGTGGAGTAGCTAGGAGGTAGCCCGAAGACGAGTTGATGAGGTTTGCAAGCAGCTTGAGCTTGCTGTACTTCTCTCTATAGATTTCACGTGTTTGTGTTATGGGTGAACCATAATTATATGGTTAAGGAGGGAGGAGTGCCGCAGTGGTTCTGGATGGAAGAACTTGGAAGTGAAGCGGATGCTAAAGGGATGTGTATGTCACCTTGATAGCTCAAGTGCACCAGTGCACCAGAGGGTGCAGTCTACCCTCAATTGGCGGCCAGGTACCGAAGGAATATTTTGATGGAATTGTAGGTTTTCTAGAAAGGGTAGGTAAATTACCTTGTATGGTAAAGAGGGCAAAAACCGTCAACAATAGTCAATAAGGTGAGCGATGACAGCTGCCAGACACACCACTTCTAGGAGAGGTCTTACTCCATAGTGGCAGTTGCCTAGTAATACTCATTTAAAGCTCGAAGCTCCAGTCGGTGTTATAGATTGAAAGATTCCATGGGCGATCTCCGAGTGGGCTTGTGGACCTGAATCTCGACCCCGCAGCCTCGCCCGCTTTTCCTTCGGGCGAAGGGAGTCACTGACAGACCTCCAAGTCCAACTCCAACCCTCTTTTAAGTCAGTGGCACAATTCGGCATGTGCTTTTATTTTCTTCATTCTTTTCGCTTTGGTATCCTTCGTTGAAGCTTTTGATTATCACTCTCTCATATCTTTTATTGTCGAAAGGCTGCCCTGCCCGCCACCGACAGTCTTGATCGATTCTCATTGAGCAGCAGCCTCGACTGACCGGACAATATCAAACGGTCTACGCAGTATTCGCCGAGCGCCGAACCCTATAAAGATGGTTGAATTTATTCCTCTTCCCGATCCTCGTGCCTTACTTCCACCTCTGCTGGCATGCCTTCCAACGGCTTTTGTCTCCTCGCAACCTCCGCCAGCTCTCCTCCCGCTCTTATCACCCATTTTGCGCCAAAGAGTACAGATCTTCAGTTCAGTGTCTACATCGTCAACCAAATCATGGATTCGATTACTCTGCTGGGACTCTGAGAAAGGGGACCGGCTTCAATCTCTGATTGACGGCGCCACCTTCGAGCCTCATCCAGTGTCCGGGGAGATTGAGTTGCCTGACGATATTCCGGTAACCTATAAAAGGGTGGACGAGGAAACACTTCAGTCACGTGTGCTAGTACCGGACTATGAATTCAAGGTCGTGTATCTCTGGTGCCCAAAGGAGGAATCCCCCGGCTGGCGTATTGCTGAAGTTCTCCCTCACCAGGGTTTAGGAGAGGATGACGGGACTTGGTCCGCTTCTATCGGCGAAGCAAATGCAATTGCGCAAGAGAAGTTGGTGGATGACGCTCTAAAGGCAGCGGAGAAGGATGACCGGACAGCACCTTCCCAGGAGGGAGAGGACGATGAGGACGACGACGACTACTGGGCCCGATACGATGCTACGCCCGGACGCACCCCTTCAGTCAAGAACCCTGCTCCACCTACCTTAACATCTATGCTGCAGCACCAGGGCCCATCTGAGTCGTCGTATTTTTCTCAGTACGACGATGTGCAACCCGTGATGGACAGTCATGATCCGGATGAAGAGAACCCGGAGCTTGGGCCAACATCACTTGGCGGAGATATACTTGCGGAGCTTGCCAAACGCAATGAGGAGAATGAGGACTCGGCGTCCCCCGAAACTACGAACCAGACAAACGGAGCACCGTTAAGCCATCCTCGACCGGAGTCCGCAACCTCTTCGAACTCAGAGGCTGTATCGAGGTTGGAACAGGAAGCTGAGAATCAGTCCACGTATGAAATAGGGGTGAAGCAACACATAGGCTCCAATATCAAAAGCCTGTTCCGCCTTGCCAAAGCGACGGGTATATCTCGAGCCGATTTCCAATCGTTGGTCAAGACCGAGCTGGATCTCTTGAACTTGTCTGACGACGATTGATCACGGTAGGCTTTCCAAGGCATGGTCATCATTGTACGTTTGTTAGCCTTTCCGATTGGTATCATCACATTGGCGCATTCTGGGAGCGTTTTTGGAGCATTGGCTGCATTTGGATATCCAACGTGTCTTGTTTTGAACATAGCTTCTGGTGGAATTCAATCCTCGTGTCCACACGAAGTATACTTTTTAAATTATATGGAACATTAAAATCATCAAATTACGTAGACTGCCCCTGAGTTTCAGACTTGTTTGAGACTCACATGTTCGCAGATCTGGCCATTACTTGTTCCGTTCCGGATAAAGACACGCAATCCAGACCACCGGTCACAGCTCAATTCACTACTGGACTATGCGGCTTTCTTGTTCAATTTCATACCTAATTTAAAAGTGAGCTTGTCCACCTCGAAAAATCCTTTTTTCTTTTTCTCTGTCCCCAGCTAACCTGCTTCAGTTCTATTCGTACTCTCTTTCATCCCTTTTGTTTTGACCTGGTGATTATTATGTCTTCCTCGCCCTCTCTGCGTAAGAGGGGCGGCAAGAGAGAGGAAACTCCGGTGCCCTCTGACCGTTCTCTTACTCCTTCAGCTTCTAAATTGAGTGCTACGCCGCGCTCAGAATGGGACTATCGGCTGGCCATTACCATTCTGACAGTGCTGGCTTTTATTACCCGGTTCTACAAGATCTCCTATCCTGACCAAGTCGTTTTCGATGAGGTGCATTTTGGAAAGGTACGGAATTGCGTGTGTTGACAGTGATCCAACACTGGACTGACATTGGGTACTCCCAGTTCGCTTCTTACTACCTCCGACGGACCTACTTCTTCGATGTTCATCCCCCTTTCGCCAAACTCCTGCTGGCCTTCACCGGATGGCTAGTCGGCTACGATGGCCACTTCCTGTTTGAGAACATCGGGGAGTCCTACATTGAGAACAAGGTCCCTTACGTCGCCCTCCGTGCTATGCCCGCCGCCCTCGGTGCCCTCACGATCCCCGTGATATTCCTGATTATGTGGGAGTCTGGCTACTCCCTGCCGGCATGTGTCTTGGCCTCGGGACTTATCTTATTCGACAATGCCCACGTTGGCGAGGACCGATTGATCTTGCTGGACTCGACTCTAGTCATTACCATGGCCCTGAGCATCCTGTGCTACATTCGGTTCTACAAACTGCGCCACGAGCCTTTTGGACGCAAGTGGTGGAAGTGGCTTCTTCTGACCGGCGTGTCGTTGAGCTGCGTTATCTCCACCAAGTACGTGGGCGTCTTCACCTTTGTTACTATCGGCTCGGCTGTCATGGTTGATCTGTGGAACTTGCTGGACATCCGGAGACAAGGCGGCGCCCTGAGCATGTTTGAATGGAGCAAGCACTTTGCGGCCCGCTTCTTCTCTCTCGTCGTTATCCCATTTTTCTTCTACCTATTCTGGTTCCAGGTTCACTTTGCGATCCTGACACACTCCGGTCCCGGTGATGACTTCATGACGCCTGCCTTCCAGGAGACACTGAGTGACAACGCCATGTCTGCGCAGTCGGTCAGTATCGAGTACTTTGACTCCATCTCTATGCGCCACAAGGACACAAAGGTTTTCTTGCACAGTCATCCCGACACCTACCCCCTACGCTACGATGATGGTCGTATTTCCAGCCAGGGCCAGCAAGTGACCGGATACCCCTACAACGATACCAACAACCACTGGCAAATCATTCCCACAGTTCCTCTGGATGAGAACGATGAGAAGAGCCGCAAGGTACGCAACGGCGATGTTGTTCAGCTTCGTCACGTGGCTACTGATACCATTCTCCTCACCCACGACGTTGCCTCGCCTTATTATCCTACCAATCAGGAGTTTACCACCGTTTCGCATGAACTCGCTGATGGAAAGAGGCACAACGACACACTGTTCGAGATCAAGGTTGAGCATGGCAAATCTAAGCAGGAATTCCGCACATTGTCTAGCCAGTTCAAATTGGTTCACGTACCTACCAAGGTCGCGATGTGGACTCACACGACTCCTCTGCCTGACTGGGCTTTCAAGCAAGCCGAGATCAATGGTAACAAGAATGTCTTGCAGAGCAGCAACATCTGGTTTGTGGAAGCTGTTGAATCCCTGGAAGAGGATAGCCCGCGCCTCAAGAAGGAAGAGCGCAAGGTCAAGCATCTGCCTTTCTGGAGAAAGTACCTCGAGCTGCAGCGCGCCATGTTTTTCCATAACAACGCCCTGACCAGCAGCCACCCTTATGCCAGCGAGCCGTTCCAGTGGCCTTTCCTTCTGCGCGGTGTCAGCTTCTGGACCAAGAACGACACCCGTGAGCAGATTTACTTCCTGGGTAATCCCGTTGGATGGTGGATCTCTAGCAGTCTTTTGGCCGTGTTTGCCGGTGTTATCGGTGCTGACCAATTGTCTTTGCGTCGCGGTGTTGATGCTGTTGAAGAAAGTGAGTCAAGCTTCCCCGTATACTTCTTTTGATACCACGCTAACCGTTCTAGTCTGGGGCACGGGCTCCCGGTCCCGCCTGTACAACAGCACGGGCTTCCTGTTCCTCTGCTGGGCCGCCCACTATTTCCCCTTCTGGCTAATGGGTCGTCAACGTTTCCTGCACCACTACCTCCCGGCGCACGTCGCCTCAGCACTTGTAACGGGCGCCCTGATCGAATTCATCTTCAACATCCAGCCAATTTCCGTCCCAGCAACTATCCCAGTCGGCGTGGATGACCCTACAGGCAAGGCAAAGGTCCGCCGCTTCGTCACCGCTAGAGAGCGCATGGGCGTCAAGTCCCTTGTCGCCGGTTGGATCGCGTCCCTGACCATCCTGGCCGCCACCATCTGGGGATTCTGGTTCTTTGCTCCCTTGACCTATGGAACGCCTGGGTTGGATGTTGCCCAGGTTAACGCCAGGAAATGGCTTGGCTATGACTTGCACTTTGCGAAATAGGTGCATCTCGTTTTGTTCGCGATGAACCCAGCTAGCGCTTGACATTGTGTAAGATGATTTGCTTGTGTTTGCATTTGGGGTGTTCCGATATGCTCCAGATCACAATGGACAGTATTATGCATGTGCTGTAGGAGCTTGTCAGTCAGCGCAGCGCCATACGACTTGTGGCATTATGCTTGATTCGACTTGAGCTCGTATCCTACCCATCACAGCTTTGGATATTGTCATGTCGGTGGTCAATCCTCTCTCTCTATAAATCTTTTCAATTGACTTGTGTATCCCGATATAGCGTTTTGCTGGAATCTCATGTATTATCTACTAATCGAAAACGACTACGAATGAAGACGTATTGTTAGAGCTGATAATTATTTTGTATGCAAAGCTCATATAACCAAAGTAAGCTAAATTTCAAAAGATCCAACCGACGCCATAAGGTGTATCTATATACAATAAATCATAAATAAATCTAAAATGGAGACTAGTAGGCCATTCGCTTCCCGATCTCACTCTCCCATCCGCGGACTCTCTCGAATCCGTTCGAGGCAGTCTGATAGTCAAGCATAGCCTGGTAAACCTCCTCCTGGCTTGTCAAGACGAAGGGTCCATACTGCACGACCTTCTGGTCCAGCGGCTGTCCAGCAACAAGGATGAACCTCGACTCCTCCTCCGCATTGTCCGGTACGGAAGCCTCGATGTGGTCCCCGTTCTGTTCGAAAACGACATTATGGTACTGCTTCACCAGCTGCGTCGAGTCCGTTGACCCAAAAACGGTAGTTCCGGACAATGTGTAGGCAAAGGCATTCCATCCCACCGGCAGAACCTGCGAGATCCGACCACCAGGCTTGATCGACACGTCCAACAGCCAGAGCGGCGTGTAAGCCAGATCGCGCACGGAATCAACACCATGGCTCTGTCCCGAAATAACCTTGACAGTCACTCGGCCCTGATCGACAGTCGCGACGGGAATCTCGCTGGCGCGCAGATCGCGGTACCTCGGCTCGCACATCTTAAGCTTCTTGGGCAAGTCAACCCACAGTTGCATGCCGACGTTGGGACTGCCGTCTGGGTTCTCGTGCGGCATCTCCGCGTGCATGATGCCCTTGCCGGCTGTCATGAATTGCAGATCACCAGGTCCAATTGTGCCCTTGTTGCCGGCGAAATCCTCGTGGTCGACACCGCCGGAGAGCAGGTAGGTGATTGTTTCTTGGCCGCGGTGCGGATGGTCGGGGAAGCCGGCGCCCTTGCCGATGGTGAAGTGGTCGAGCATGAGGAAAGGCGAGAAGTTGCGGAGCTTGGGGGTGCCGATTGAGCGGCGGACGCGAGCGCCTGCGCCCTCAGCTTGCTCAATGGCAAGGAAGACGGTGCGGATTGCGCGGGGAACAGACATTTCCCTAGTAGATAGGATTGGTTGGGTTGATGGGAAGTGTTCTTTCGTGATTTTGGTCGTGGTAGTAGTGTAGCTTTGTACCCTCGAAGCGAAGTTCCTCAAGTAGTCGATACCACGACTAATCTTTAGATCCGGGTTGTTGAACTTGTGAGCAGTAAAGACGATTGCTGCGATGCCAACAAAAATGGACCAGAGCAGTTTCATCGGCGTCGAAGGCGGCTATTTATACCGTTTGTCTGCTGGGATGAGAAACTAGTAGAAGACCCTCGCGGGGACGACGAGGGACATTTAGTCACATTTTATAAGTCTCGAATAAGCACTCTATATGGCTCCTTGCCTAATGCGGAAAGATCGAGGCTCTGACAAAGCTGACAAAGGTTCGTGTCAGCGCTGCCAAGAGTTGGGGTTTCCACTCCTGGTGCTTGCATTTGCAAGCATGAATCATCAGAATAGCGGGATAACAGAGATTCAGAGAGATTGAATTTGGATGTTGAGCATTGGAATAAGTAAGAGTGGTCAATAAATCACTGCACTGCTTGATTCTCAATTGCCATACTTTGTGAATACAGGGGCATTGTATCTATCTGACCTCGGCCTATTTAGGGGAACTAAGATAACGCGGGGACAACACGTGCCGATAAGATCAACTTCACAGCTGTCATCAACATCAAACACTGTGAATGGTGGTTGCTCTCCGTCACTGAGATAGCTAGAAATGATTCAACTCCTTCATATCAATTGAGATTTCCCGCTCTGACGAACATATTGAATGGTCAACTTGTATCTTGAGTGAACTGGCTACATCTCCATCACGAATACCTGCCAGGGAAATCGCCCGACAGCATACACACTCACCAATGCGCAGACAATCGAGGATAGTAACCTCTCTGCTCGTGTTAGCATCTGCAAGCTCTAGTGCATGGGCGAGTAGGAAATTCAATATCCACGATGATTTACTAGCATACCCTCAGGTAAATTGTGTTCGTCCTGGAGACGCTGTACATGCTGACAATTTACTCTTGTAGTTTCGGATTCAGTTCCCTGTTGGCTTCGTCCTCGATTCTCACGCGCGCGGCTTATTAGAACAAGCTCCTCATGGTAGCTCTCCAACCCCTGAAAAGAGCGACATCTACGAACAAGCACCGTTACGCGACGAATCTGGTAACACGATACCTGACGAGTCTAGCGGCGATGAAATCAAGCTCTCATACGAGGAGCTTATTCTCGAAGGACAGCGATACCTTTGCGAAGTTCCTATGGTAGAAGCTGCTGAGAACAGTCAGACAAAGGAAGAAGTGAACGAGGATGAGGAGCGAAAGGAGCTGGCGCGGGCGACAGACCGAGGTCTAGAGCTCTTGCGTGAGATGGAGGGCAAATGCCTCTACTACATCTCCGGTTGGTGGTCATACTCTTTCTGCTACATGAACCAGATCAAGCAGTTCCACGCGCTTCCGTCAGGAGCAGGCATTCCAAACTATCCGCCCATGGAGGATCACACAACACACTCGTTCATCCTAGGTAGGTTTCCTCAGGAAGAAGGTCAGCAGGGTGGAGAAGGTGCAAAATCCGAGAAGGCGACTACAGATCTAGCCGAGTTGCAGACAAAAGGGGGCTCACGCTACCTGGTTCAGCGACTTGACAGCGGCGATCAGTGCGACCTAACGGGAAAGAGTAGGAAGATTGAAGTCCAGTTCCATTGTAACCCGCAGTCAACGGACCGTATTGCCTGGATCAAGGAGCTCTATACCTGCTCCTATTTGATGCTCATCTATACTCCCCGCCTATGCAACGATGTTGCTTTCCTCCCACCTCAACAGGAAGAAGTCCATACTATAGAGTGCCGTGAGATTCTTACCCCGGAAGAGGTCTCGGATTGGCAAGCAATGCATGAGTACGAGCTATCTCAACAGCTGGTAGAGTCTGCTGAAGCACCGGAATACCCGATTATCGGGGGAATTGAAGTTGGCGCTCAGCGGTTAGTCGGGACAGAGGGCAGGCAGATCGAAAAGGGCCGCGTGGCTTCGATAGGCGAAGAGAAGGTGAACGTGGTTGCCAAACGCGTGAATGGGGAAGTGCAGCTCTTGTCCACCGAGGAACTGAAGAAGTTTGATCTCGATGAAGCGAAAATCGAGGAGCTCAGAAAGAAGCTAGAAGAATGGGCCAAGGGTAAAGATTGGACTCTGGAAATCGTTACCGGCAACGGTGCATACCTCCGCGGAGTAGTTGATGATGAGGAGGAAGCGACAGAAGGCGAAGGAGAAGAAGCGGACAAACAAGAGCCGAATGAAGATACAAAGGCCATTGATGGGCAGCCTGGCCATCAAAAGGACATGCCGGGGCCAGGCCGAAAGAATGAGCACCTGGAGGGTGGTGAAGAGCCGACAATCGACGCTGGGGATGTGGATGGAAGTGAGGAAGTCTTCAAAGACGAACTGTAAATAGGCCATCTATACGAGTTGACGATTTTGTACTTGCGTTGGAAATTACACTGTACTATATGGAGTACTGTAGACTCGAACAGCGAGACGTACTTGGTCGCGGATCTTGGACTCGTGGAGTGCGAATAGATTCTGTCGGAAAAAGAAGGTGCTCCTCGCCTCCAGTCAAGAAGCTTCAATAGTATGCATCATTGCACCCGGACCCAGGTCTCATCGAGAGCCCTGTGGCTGCGAACCTGGGTTGTCGAGTCTATACTGGAGGTACAGTGGCGTAGTACTCCCTAGGCAGTGCTGATTTGCGCAAGCACCCCTCAGCCCCAATGATCGGCTTTCACTCGTCTTTCACATAATTCCACGGCAGTGTGTGCCTTCCTTGTCTACCTCGTCCCTCCGCGGCCTTGTTCAGAGCCTGTACCCCGGATTTGCACTGTTGCAGCCTGATTCATACCTGAGTTGGGAGCTGCCAAGCCCAGCCCACTCTGCCTCTCGCTCGCGGACTCTCCTCCGGCCATTACGACGACGAACCCCGACCGACGTCGCCGGCCACTGACTTCCCGCCACAACCGGTCTTCTCGCTCCTTCTCCTCGCACAATCCCTACGATACTGCCTTGACGCCCTCCCCTTCACGCTGCAGCTGCAGCTGGCCCGCTTCTCTTCCGCGTCTACCCACTATCCTGATCAGCACACGCAACCCAGTCGGTCGACCGGCCACCATGGGGTTCATCGGTGTTTATACCGCCATATACGACTACCAACCGCAAGCGCACGGTGAATTAGAGCTCCGTGAAGGCGATCTGCTTTATATCCTCGAGAAAAGCGCCGAGGACGATTGGTGGAAGGCTAAAAAGAAGGCGGACCGGGACGACGAAGATGAGCCCGAGGGTCTAGTACCAAATAACTACGTCGAGGAGGTAAGGACACTCAATCTCAGTCTCTGTGGTGTTGCATGTGAGAAGAGACAATTGTGATGGCAACTGGCGCCTCGCCTGAAGGTCACTGGCCGTCGTCCCGCCTCTCAGGGGTTGCGATGACGTTCGCCCACTGCCATGGAAACGGACAGCATACTGATGAATAGCAGGCCACGCCGGTTCATACCGCGAAAGCGCTATACGACTACACACGTCAGACAGATGAGGAGGTATCTTTCTCAGAGGATGCAAATTTGGTGGTGTACGACACCTCGGATCCGGACTGGACCTTGGTTGGAGTTAATACAGACTTCGGATTCGCTCCGTCAAATTACATCGACATTCTTGAAGACTCTGTAGCTCCGAATCACGCATCACCCGAGCCTCCCTCTCCAGCTGCTGCTTCCCCAATTCCCGTGCCCGAACCTCCCAGCCTTCCGCAGCGCCCGGGGCCGGCTCCCATTGAAGAACCTCGCTCGCCCGTCTCGAGCTCTCCCGGGGATGCTGTCCAGAACCCCGCTGCGGCAGCGATAGCCAGTATACTTCACCAACAGAATCTTTCTCCCGGGTCGTCCAGAGATGTTCCCCCTCCCCCACAACCCCAGGCGCAGCCAGAATCGCAATACCGCGAGCCTTCACCTTCCCCACCCCGTCTGCCTGAAAGGCCCCGTTCGGAACAAGTGTCATCTCCTGTCCGTCTCGAGTCGTCTGCGCCTTCGCCGATCCCTCATCCTCAACCTGTTTCGATACGGGAGAACGATGGTGGCCCGCGGGAATCCCCTCCATATAATCGGGTTGGAAGGACGGCGCCACGATCTCCATCCGGATATCATATGTACAACATCAACGAGATGGTCGAGGTTATGGGCAAAAGAAAGAAGATGCCCACGACACTAGGAATCAACATTGCCACTGGAACTATCTTCATATCACCCGAGGATGATGGGGATGTGCAGGAGTGGACTGCGGAGAAGCTTACCCACTATTCCATTGAAGGGAAACACGTTTTCATCGACCTCGTTCGGCCCAGCAAAAGTGTGGATTTCCATGCCGGGGCCAAAGACACGGCCCGTGAGATTGTTTCGGCGCTTGGTGAAATTTCCGGGGCATTCCGCGCTGAAGGTTTGCGGGAAGTTATTGCGGCAGGTGCCGGCGGCGGTGGCGCGCAGAAGAAGGGAAATATTTTGTATGACTTTATGGCCCAGGGTGACGATGAAGTAACGGTTGGTGTGGGCGATGAGGTGATTATCCTAGATGACACTAAGTCTGAGGAATGGTGGATGGTGCGGCGCATCAAGAATGGTAAGGAGGGTGTGGTTCCGAGCAGCTATGTCGAAGTGAGCGGTTTCGTCTCGCCGCCTCCAACGACGACTCCTATCGTGCTTGAGGAGATTCGGGCAGCTGCACCGCAAAGTCCCACAGTATGTCCTTCAACACACGACTATTCAGTCAAAGCTAACTGGCCCAAGCGGCAGCACCACAAGAAGGACAGCAAGAGTAGCCCGAGATCCAGTAAGCATACATATGTCTCGCCGATTTAAGCAGTACTGACGGGATACAGAACCTGATCCGGCAAAGGTTAGGACATGGATTGACCGGTCTAAAGCATTCACTGTAGAGGCTCAGTTCATCGGATTGCAGGATGGCAAGATCCATTTGCATAAGACGAACGGGATCAAAATCGCAGTGCCAATCCCGAAGATGTCGTTTGAAGACTTAGAATACGTCGAGAAGGTTACCGGAGAATCTCTTGACGAAGACAAACCATTGTCTGACCACATTCGGCGCAAATCGCAACAACCCAAACCCGACAAAACCGACAAAGTAAGAGCGTCAAATGATGGGAAATCCGGCGCCACTTTTCAGCAGTCCGATTACGACTGGTTCGATTTCTTTCTCAAGGCTGGCGTTGGTCCTCATCAATGTGAGCGGTACGCACAGAATTTCGCCAAAGACTCGATGGACGAAGGTATCCTTCCTGATATCACCCCCGAGACTCTGCGTACATTGGGTCTGAAAGAAGGCGACATTCTGCGGGTCATGCGCTACCTGGACAATATGTTTGGGCGGACAGGTGGTAAATCGAAGCTGCGCAACGTGAGCTTTGGCGGGGAAGAAGTGCTGGGTAACGGTGACGGCTCTGGTGGTCTTTTTGCTGGACCTGGCGGAACACTGCACAACAACACTACCCGACCCCGTCCAGCGCCGGCCGTGCAGACCAAGGATGTCGTTGATCCGAAAGTGTTTGAGCAAAAGGATGCGGCAAAGCCGGCCGAAACACCCAGCAGCAGCACCCCTCCACCGGCTCCTACCGCCCCTATCGAGAAGCCTGTTCAGAAGGGATTCGACGACGATGCGTGGGAAGTCAAAACTACCAAGCAACCGACAGGCCCAGCCCCAGCTGTCAGCTCGCCACCCGCAGCAACACCCGCCGCGGCGAGCCCTCCGCCTGTCCAACCGGCGATCACCGGAGCTATGGCAGATCTCTCACTCCTCCAAGCGCCCCTTCAGCCAACTCCTGCGCAACCGGCGCCCGCCCCTGCTCAATCGCCCCCGGCGGCACAGCCTATTCAAGCCCAGCCAACTGCGATCCCTGCGCCTCAACCGCAGCAGTCAGGCGCCTCCCCCAACTTTTTCGCGCAAGTGGCACAGGTTGGTCAACAACAGCCTATGCAGACCGGCTTTCAGCAGCCTAGACAACGCCCACAAGCACCTCAGGGCATGGGCCAAAATTCCCTTATTCCACCTCCGCCTCAACGACCACTATCTGCACCTCAGAACATGCCTCAACAACAGCCTTTCGGCCTGCCTCAACTGCAGCCGCAGCTAACTGGTCTCCCCCAACAAGGTCCTCAGCTTGCTGCTCCTGGGCAGAGTCTGGCCAGTCTAGGTCAGCAGGGCTTCCAACCTCCGCAACAGGGTTTCCAGCCTCCGTTCCAACCGCAACAGACCGGATTCATGGCTCCAAACCAGTTCCAGAACGGACTGATGCCGCAGCCGACAGGTTTCCAGCCTCAATCGCAGTTCGGGATCCAGCAACAACAGACCGGGTTCGGTCTTGCACCACAGCAAACCAGCTTTGGAGGATTCGGCGCCCCGCCCCAACAACCAATGGCAACCGGCATCAACTCTGTTCTTCCTCCTGCATTGCAACCTCAGCCTACCGGTTTGAACGGCTCGGGCTCTATGGCTTACTCTCCGTCTCCTCCCCCTATTCCACCCATTCCGCAGCAACATACAATTGCGCCACTGCAGGCTCAGAAGACCGGCCCAGCCCCTCCCGTGCGGTTTGGTGTCAAGCCTGACGCTCCCAAGAAGCTTGCGCCTCAGCCGACAGGGATGAAGGCGAATCTTTCGCAAGCCAGTAAGTCAAACTCTCTCTTCAGACATCATCATTTTCCAGTAGCTTACTTGTGCAGCACCTACCAACCCGTTCGGCTTCTAGGCGAAGCAGTCGTGTACATAGGATTTCCTTCGCAGCACATGACCTTTTTTATACATTATCCTTTGCTCATTCTGCTGGCGGGATTGCAAGCATGTCCAGTCCCTGACCTAATTCCCTTTTTCTCACTTTTAAGCACATGATACATGCAGCGATCTAGGCATGACCCGCCATCTACCCAAGCAGCAAGCGCCGAGTATTTTGTTACATGGCACCCTTCAGCGAACTAGACTTCGATATCCCTTTCCTTTCCTCTCTTTTTCTTTCTCCGACTGACCCGACCATATACGTAATTTTTGGAAGACCCCGTTTACGCTAACGCTCTCCCGTCCACTTTTCCTTTGTCATGCTCTGCTTTGCTCCTTGGTCTGTGCGAGTTCAGATGCTCCGTACTGCTGCGTTGGCTAGTCGCTGTCTAGCATCCTCTTCGCTTCCCCGTCTGAGCTGCGTTTCTTTGCCTCTTCATTGTTATTCTTGCCTGTTGTCTCCATGTCCTGGTCGGTGCTGTACCTTTATTCTTCCACAGCTGTTTAGGTATTTCTATCACCGACGTCAATATTTAATGTTGAGTTAACTTTAGACAAATCAGTACGGAGTAAATCTGGGTGACGGCGAAAAGGCCACGGTTGTGCGTGGCGTTTAGCGTAGAACTTGTGGCCTTTTCGCAGAGCAGAGTGTGCAAAAGTGTATGACACGCCAAAGGATGCCTTGCCAAGACAGTCACGGGATGATCTCAGCCAATCAGCAAACCAACCAATCCAATCCGGGCACGGCTCGGAATGAGCAAGAAGGGCCACGTGACCTATAGACGTACTATAAGGAACGTAGGTATTCAGGATTCCCTGAATACCATTCGGAATCCTGAATACCATTCTGCCAATGTGGGTCAGAGAGTTCTGATACCCGATCAGCCTCTGACACCAATTTCTGACCCACGATCAGCTTATCTTATCGACTAGAATAACTAGTTAGCCTATACCACCTGATATGGTCTACATAGTAGTTAAAACTAGCGAAATAGAATATTCAGGTAGCCAAGAACTGCTGCCTGTTGTATAGTGCAACTATAAAGAGGTAATAATCATTAGAATCTTAGTTGCTAAGGTTGTGGTGCATAGCAACGGTATGTTGTGTGGTTGATATACTTTTGCTTCGTCCGCAAGTTCTCCGTTCCCTATTCCCACCACTCTCCTTCACACCAGATTCTTTCATCCCCTGCATGCTTTTGTGTTTTGTTTCTGCATCTGGAGCGCATCAGTTGAGCATATACTCGACGCGGCCGCCAATATTGAGTCTCCAATCGCTTATGGCCTCACAAAATTGGATTTTGAGAACCCTGAGGTTCTTAATGCAGCGAATCCTTCAGGCTAGGGCAATCACCACGGTAAGCACGCTGCGGGAAAAGGGAGCGCTACGCTACCGCCTGCACGGGTCCTGTTGTCATCAACAGGCCCCCTCTCGGATTTACAACCACCTGATGACTCTCGTCTTCTCCGGAATTGTGATTACCGATCGTGCTCAACGTATGTATCAGTCGAAATTCATTCCTAGTCTTGTCTCGACACAAGCAATTATTACTGCGATTTTCTCGGCCGTGAGCCCGAGATTCAAACAATAGGTATCCAAGGGAATAGGAAAAGCAGAGATTAGGTGCATTTGAAATCTCAGAAACGAGGAAGCAAAATAAGCAGAAGAGAAAACAGCGCCCGGAATACATTAAATCGCCATCCCCAAGACCAACACCTTTAGCCCATTATTCGGGCCCATCTGCCCTTCAACCTCTTCCAAGACCCTCAGCAGCTCTGCATGAATGTACTGCAAGACCCTGCGCACAAACTCAAAGGTCCCTGCAGCTTCCATTGCCTGCAGTATATGCGTCTTGACTTCGTTCGTGACGCCGCTTGCCCCGGGAGCGCGCTTGAACAAGGCACCCATAATACGTCCGGGGTGCTTTGTATGGTTGAAGAGGTGGATTAAGAGGAGGGAGAATTTGCCTTCATCTAAGTCTTCGCAGAAGCCTTTCTTGGTTGTGTACTGGGAGAGGAGAGAACTGTTAGCTTCTGTTTATGTTGTTTATTCTGAGACAGGGAGTGTAAGGGAGGTAAGTAGGAGGTGCGAATGGACTAACCTCCTCAGATGTAAGATTCAGATAGTCGTCTCGGATCTGGTAGTATCTCCCGCAAAGAGTCAAGAGGTGGGAGATAGATGAAGAAGATGAGAATTTGAAAAACGTAGATTCAGCCTGCATCAGACGGAGCATGAGGTGGAACAGGCGACCTGTTTTGTTGTCGACCATGGTCAGGTATTCTTCGACGGATGGGCATTTATTCTGGTAGCACCAGAGCAATTCGAGTGCTTGGCCATTGTGGAGGCTGAGCAACTCATCTGCCATGCGAATTAGCACGGCTGCTACAGAGAGCAGGATAGGACAAGCAAGAACATACCGACAAATATCCTCAGACTCTTTTGCTCACTCGGTAGCCGCAAGATGTCTTGCACAGTTTTGACGTAGGCAGCGGTGGCACTGTTGACTGTCTGGCTGGCGCCATAGAGGATGTGTGTTGCTGGATGACCTCGACGCAGAGCTGAGGCATCTTCCACGTCGTCGAGCCTGGAAGATTAGCAAATGAGCAATGCGGTAGGTAGTGCTGCTTACATGAGGGATGCGTTGTGCAAGACTTGAACTACATGCTTGATGATCTGTAAAGAGGCTGGCGGAACCTGATACCAAGAATTCATGGCATCGATGAACTTGTTGCGGATGCCTTTGCCCTGAAGGGAATTGACATAGTCAAAGGGCTCATCACAAGCCTGGTCCATTTAGTATACATGCAGATGAAATAAAGTCCAGGACGGAGGGCTTACATTGCTGGATGCCGTGAAGTATGGATTGACATAGACGGAGATAGAGTCAGAGTCAACACCATATACTCCATTCGTATGCTTGTTGGTCCCATATCCATTTGCACTTTTGCGATGGACCCCACTGACATCGTTGGTACCATTGCTGATAACACCGTTGGTGGTTGAAGGTTCGACTTGGGACAAGGGAACCACCTTCTGCTGTAGGTGACACTGTGGCTGCACCTTAGGCGGAGCATAGCCCTCCAAAACGCGAAGTTCACCATGTCCTTTTCCAGTCAATGCTGCTCGTTGCTCGGGGGTACTGGCGATGTCCTCACGGCTATACCGTAAAGAGTGAGAGATCCAAAAGGAACTACCACCAATCATGAAGAAAGCTACAGCGATATACCTGCGGAGCTCATAGTTCTCAGGCTTCCACCCTTCTGTCTCCTCCCAGAGGTGATATTCCTTCATCATATCTCGCTCTCCGTTCTTGATTTCCTGTATCACGATGCTCCGTGCTTCTTCCTCGGAATACCCGTACTCTCGCATAAGCAAGCCCAGGGCATTCTGCATCCGATCGAGCGTGCCCGCCCGCTCATGCTCAGCGACTTCTTTGTTGAAGCTGTAATAGTCGTTCGTGAGCATCACAGATAGCAGACCTGGATTGAGCCAGCTCCTAACTGAGTCTTTCGCCTCCTGGGAGACTCGGACATCAGCCCCCCAGCATCCTAATTCTATGCCCCAGCTAAGGACACAATATCAGTTCGTTTCAATGCAAATCAGAGGGTCGAATCCTTACACAGCCCCAACCTCGCCCAGCCGATGCCATTTGTACTGCTCAAACGACATATCATTGTGCGTGCTCTTGGATGTGCCCTCCAGGTGGCCCTTCCAGCCATCGACCATTCGAAGTCCTAGCTCGCGATCTTGATCTAGGATTTCACGGAGCATCCCGATGACCAACTTGCTGATTTCCAGCTTCGGTTCCAGACGCTGACCGAGCTTCAGCTCTGCCAGCAAGACCACCGCGAGGTCCTGCGTGATTTCCTTGCTTTGCTCCGGGCTCAGCGCATCGGTGATATCTGTAGGGTTCGGTTAGCACCGGTGCTCGTCCTGCATATGCTAGAGGAGAACAAGGGGGGGAATAGATCGCAGTACCATCCCAGAAGAACCCAAAGTCGCTGACCTCCGTAAGCAGCACCATCCGCTCCGGGAGGGTCTCGGGAAAGGCACACGAGTTGAAGTTGCAGAGGTTGTTTGCGCTTCCGTGAAACTCGAAACCCTTTACCCCTAGACCATCTGCGTTGAGGGCTTCGGTCCATTTGAGGAGGAAATCCGCACATGCTTTCTGAGACGTCTCGTTGTGGTGAGAGACGTGAATTGGAAGGTCCCAAAAGTACTCGTCAGGACGAGGATGGATGCTGTGAGGCTCGACCAGGTCCGAGTTCACGCATGCGGCGGTGATTGCCGGGAAGTTCATAGACATGATTGAGGTTTCTGAGTAAACTTGAAAAGTAAGAGAATTGAACAAAAGTAATAGATCAGGGTACCTTTTGCTTGGGGGCTGGTCTTTAAATCATTGCCAGATAACCCTTGCCATGGAGGACTTGCTGATAAACCTAGGGCTGTCAACTTGGCGTCGAGTTCCGAGCTTGTAGCAGATCGCTTGCCATTGCAACAACATCCCCGAGCTGCACTCGACGGATCTGTTCCTGCCGTGTCCGCCCTTTCTGCAACCTTGGGAGGTTGTCTCCCGCCAATCATGCGGTGTTACCCAGATCCAAAGCTCGCGAAGCTGAGGCCATCATATCTCAGAGCACGCAAGATCGGCCTTTGGCTATTGATTCTCATGCAGTCCAAGTTATTGATCCCACGCTCAGCTTATCTTCAACCGCCACTGAGACTGGACCTATCCAATGACATACATCATCAGCAAACCAACAGACAAAAAGAGCCAGATAGAGGTAAGCAGACGGACTCCGAAAAAAAGCAAGAGACCTCGAATGTCTGCCCCGACCTGTACTCGAGGACAGAAATACGATCTGTCAATTTCTCTTCCATTGGAAGTCCTCAATTTCTGTATCTGCTGTACCACCTGGCCGAGCAGTATCAGCCGTCTTGTGTACACTGTACAACCTTGTCGTCTGTAGAAGCGACTCGAGCGTCGCCCAGCCGAGACTATTGAATAGGTAGACTATACCGTTGAACTACTCATTTTCTGTACGTAGTCCCCTGTCAATGAGGTATTTCGCCGAACCCTCAGCGCAGACAAACATGCTCCCCGACTGGTACCAGAAGGCTGAATGTTGACCATATCCCCTGTGCGAGCACCATAAGGCTTGTGGCTTGAGACACACACTATTGCTAGATATCATACTCTCACTAGCCAAAGTTCGAAAACTCCAAGCGGAAAAGCATTCGCTCCCCGCAAGCGAGCTCTCGCGGGAAAAGCCTCGGACAGCGAGCTAATTACACGGGAATTTTGACCTCCACTCCACGGGGATATAGCGGAAGTCATCGATATAGCTCGATAGAAACGTCAGCCCCAGAGCTAAGGAACTAGATGGACCAAGGAACAAAACAATTGAGTCTGACGGCTGATCATCAGCAGGCCTTCTCTGTGTAATGGTTCGATTCATGGGGCCACAGCATCCGTTCCAAAGACCTGGAAGCCTATGGACATGAGTGGATTACAGGAGTACTTTTCTTGTCCCAAGCTGCAGTTGCAAGTGTGTGCTTGGATACCCCTGCAAGGTCATTGGGACATACAGGAGAGCTCCGATCTAGTGTCACCGCATCGCGATGACTCCGAGGGGACGCATCCAGCGGCTAAATCTTCAGGCAAAATCAAATCATCTATGACGCGAAATCTCTCGGCTCAAATCAGGGCACAGTCTCGTTTCAATCCGGGTAGACCGAGACAAGGTCAGGGGTGCTCTCTTTGTCGCAATTGGACGGAAGCAATGGGAACTTCATCCGAGCATTCCGAGCATTCCGAGCATTCCATGCCGGACATCTTGAAGCACAAAAGATGGCGGATCTGTGAAACTGTGATAACGAAGCTATTCTTGCCTCATGTGGGGCATGTTAATCCCTGGCGATCTGTTCTTCAACCTGTCGACCGTCTGACTGCATGTCCCGGTTCCTGGTTCATCACCAGGGTGTGCAAGCAGCTCCATTGGCTGAAGATCTAGCTGTCAGCTGCAGGTAACACTGGACGGCAAGCAAAAGCAAAGAAACAATGGCTGGGATTCGGAACCTTGGATAAACTTCAGCTAGCGATTTCAATCCCAACCACGTCCAGGTGGATTCGGAACCGGCCTCGCGCAGCAACAAGCCAGGGGTTTGTGCAGGGTTGGCGCGTGTAAGCGAGACTATCTCCATCGGAAGGATAGAGTGGCAGCGAGGACCCCGAAGAAATGTGATTTGACCATTCTGCATGAACCTCGGAGTTCTCAGTTCGCAATCCATGTAGGCTAATGATGATTGCACTGCGTATGTTTCAGGGGTATTGGTTGTAACTGGTCGAGAGTCCAATATAAAGGGACACCGAGGGCAATGACTCCCCAAGGAGGTGCCTCCCACATCTTCTCGCCAACCCAGAAACAACCAAGGCTTCCAAGGTTAGATGCAGACCATGGACAACCTTACTTCCAACAGTGCTTCTACGCTATCTCCTTCCAAAGGTGAGTACTTCTTATCGCAGTAAATAGGCAACCTACTAATCTAGGAATCGCTTCCAGAGCCCTCATTGCTCGGCCTCCTGCTGGCCTCCATCGGGCCTCAGCTTACTACCATAGCCATATTGGCCGCTGTGCTGTTAGCAACTCGTCTCTACCGCGAAGATGATCCGTATCAACTCAAGAGCATCCCCCGTCTCCCCCGCTCACGGATCATGGACGCCTATCATTCAGGCTCGGTCTGGAGGATTTTCGTTCCGAGGCTGATTCCATACCTCGACGCAGCATACCACAAGGCAGGTGCCCCTTCCATGGTCTCTAGCCGGGGTGGGTCTGATTCAACGCAGTACAGCAGAAACGGAAAGCCCTTCAAGATCTGGATCATCGCGCTTCGAAAATGGGTCTATGTCCTGCCACCCAAGTATTTGGAAAAAATCAGGAATCAGAACCAATCAGCATTGAACCTTCGGGACGTCATTCATGTACGGTCGTCCATGCTCTTTCGAGTGATCTGTGCTAACAATCTTAAGATGGTCTATCCGGGTCTTCTTGATAACTTTGTTGCTCAGGTCTCCTCAAGATTGGTCAATGTGTACCTCTGTGAGTTCAATCCACCGCATTCACAAGCTCGACTGGATACTGATCTGAGCAGCCGAGATTGACCCATTGCTCCAGAGCCGCACCGAGCACTTACTAGACAGAGACATCGGGGCTCCAAAGCAATGGAAAAGTATCAATGCGAACAAGCTTTCCCAGGATCTTGTCGACCACGTCTCCGGGCGACTTGTCTTTGGTGAGAACTTGGTCGACAATACAGCCTTCCGTGAGCCTATGACACGCTATTCACACAGGCTTGTGGCCCATGGTCTTCTCGGCCGCCGGTTCAATATATGGCCCCTGAGTCCACTTTTCGCCCGTTATCTCCAATGGCAACTGAAGCGAGATCTTGCTATCGTCGCTCGCATCGTGGGCGACGAAGTCAGCAAGAGGCGACGGCAGCAAGAGCAAGACCCTAACGGCAAGAAGCCATTTGACTGCATTCAATGGGCAATGGAGCAAGATATCCCTGAGGACCAGAAGAGTCCCGAGGCGATTGCACAACGACTCGCATTCGCCACTTCGGGCATGATTAGCACACCTCCTGGCACTCTATTGGGCTTTTTCTTTGATGTAGCTTCACAGAAGAGCGTCGTCGAAGAGATACGTACTGAGATAGCCCAAGTGCTCAAAGAGGATGGACAAGGGTGGGTGGAAACCTCGATTGCCAAGATGAAGAAGCTCGAATCCTTTTGTCAGGAAAGCGTTAGGACCTCTTCTTCGCTCGCCCCTTGTGAGTTTAGCAAGCCAATGAACCTATATCCTTACGTCTGACTGACTCTCTCAGTAACTGGATGGCGCCTTGTGACAAGCGACTCTTTCCGATTCGATGACAGCTTGACCCTGCCCAAGGGTTCCATTATTACCTTCCCAACAAGGCACATGCGATTGAACCCTGACACATTCGAGAGCCCAGACAAATTTGATGGGCTTCGCTTCATGAAGATTAAGGAGGAGCAGGGCGGAAGAGATGATCTGACAAGCGACGGTAAGTCAAGCAGATGCCGCTTCCCTTATTACTGGGCGAGCTAACTCGATTACCTCGCAAGCGATCAAACATAGATCCCTCTTGTAAGTTAGACACTTACCTCAGCTTCCTAAAGAACTCACCTGACTTGGTCTTTATAGGTTTGGCTATGGAAGACAAGCGTGTCCAGGGCGATTCTACGCTCAAAGATTGATGAAGGTCATCATCGGTGTGGCGATCTCACGATACGATATTCGTTATGCTGGCGGAGATCGAGAAAGGCCCGAGTCATGGGATATCGAGCCATTTCTGATAGGCGACACGACAGTGGACCTAGAATTCAAAGTCAGACATTGATTGAAAACAACGCAAGCCACTGGGACACTATGCAGTGAAGAGGTAAGTATAAGTGTGATATTGGCTTCGCATGTTTCGTTGAGAAGGTGTGCAGAGCTTATCAGCCAGGGCGCATTAGGGTGTGTCTGAAGAGGACCTGGGAGTAAGAATCATGACAAGTGTAAGGGATACAGGGTTCTAATATCAGTTATTATTTGATCTTTCCGTAATGCGAGATATCACTATCTAATCATGGGCCATGTTCTTCCGCACAGGCAATGCCTTTGTGGTTTGAGATACATCAACCCCGGCGCTTATATCCTCCCACTCATAAGTAGTAAGACTAAGGGGAACATCCAGAACCAGCTCTTCAAAAATTGATGGCACTATACATCCCTGCTACTACTTAGCCAACTTCATCGACCAAAACTACAAACTACCAACAAAGCGCATAATATAATGCTTACCGCGCCGGGTCTAGCGCATCGGGTGCTCCCGTCTGCGTACTGTTCGCGACCTATATAGAGCGCTCAGACTCCCGGAGACCTTACTCCTAGACGAACCAAACTCAGATGGACGATATTTCATCGAGTATGGGGCTGTTGTTGAGCATGAGAGCTTGCGGAAGTCCATTATCCCCATGGACCAGGCGAAGCTGTCTATGAGAATCGATATGCTGCGGCGTTTGGATACGGAGTAGCTAGGTGAAGTTCTCTGTAGGCTGTAGCATGGATTGGGCACAATCTGGCCCCATTTTGGAGATCTCCAAGCCGGCGCTAACAACAATTCTGGATTTCTTACTCGATGAAATTACTCGTTTTAGCCAAGAGCTTGGCGTCTTTGAACCCTTGGACCCTGGTCATCCCCGTCAGGAGTTTTTGCAAATGTTGTTACCTGCGCGAATATGCGGCTGTTCGCGCTCTTGCTGCGCGTGGTGGCCACTTTACCATTGTCTCTTGGTAGGCATCGAGGTCTCCGTTTTCCTCTTGCTAAGGTTGATGCTGAACTTTTAAGGAACTACCGCGCAACAATGCTCGAGCCGTGAGGACTATACAGCTCGCACTCAAGCAGAGATTGACAAGATAACCCAGAACTGCACCACGATTGCAGGCGAGCTTGGTCTTGTGGACTGGTCCGGGCCGCTCACGCTTCCCAATATCACGCGTATCAATAGTATCACGCTCTATTCCGGCAACATCACCTCCATTGAGCTTCCCGCGTTGGAGTACCTGGGTAGTAACTTGCTTCTCACGGACCTGCCTTCGTTGCGCAGGGTGTATCTGCCTAGACTGGAGTACATTGAGGGCCTCTACGTAGACTTTGCGAGCGACGCACCGGAACTGCATTTGCCAAAGCTGACCAACACATCGTCAATTTATCTACGAGGCAACTTCTCAGAGTTTGTTAACCTCTGCATTGAGGTGAATCACAGACTAACAATAACCTAGTCAGTCGTTCGACTCTTTGCGCCGTGTTGAGAAGAAATTCGATATCTGCAATGCTGTCAGCTGCGGCTATTATTCTCGCATGGAGGCTTACACCCCGATGAGCCTTTCCTTCCCGGTTCTTGAGAGTGTGGGTAGCTTCATAGTGGCCGGGAATGTGTCAAGGTACAACTCATTTTCATGGAGGACCCTTAAGACTATGGACTGATTTCATACAGTCTCTCGCTACCTGAACTCAGTACACTCACATGCAGAGAATGTGACTGGGCGGCACTGCAACTAAAGCTCTACGGCTCCTCACGGATACCAGTTGACCTACCCAAACTGAGTTCGGTGAACGGTTCTCTCAACATCCGAGGGGATATTGACTCGTTTGTCTTCTCCGCCTTCATTACCTATAGGGGTTGAAGCTAACCCATCCCAGCATATCCCTCCCCTCCCTACAAGAATACACGCGCGAGCTCATCATCACGCCCTACGAACCCCTAAATATAACCCTACCGGTCGAAAAGGCAGAGGACTTTTTGTTCACCGGCAATATCACAAGGTATGTTGCAACCAGCTGCAGAGCCAGCCCTAAAGCTCCTCGTTGAGCAAAAACCAACTGAATATGTCCCGTTAGCATCCAACTACCCAACATCAAAGACTTCACTCGGATCCACATCGACTCGGATCTTGACTTTGATTGCGACGAGCTCTGGGAAGACCTTGATCGGACGAGCGGGCCGCTGAATGAGAGTTGCAAGGAGGAGTATTTCCAGTGCTCGGTGGGTGTGTCTTGCTATGCAGGAAGACTACAGACAGTTGCTGTAGCTCTCGGTCTCGTGCTTGGGATGGGATTTTTGACGTGATACTTTGGTAAATTTGCACATACACAATGTTGCTTTGCTCTTCTTGGATATATTATAGATGTTATGGTCTATAACTTTGTCGTATAGCAGAAGATGTATATATGCCGCTGTACATGTACCAGCTCCTAAATACCGATGTTTTGAAAGCATAGCCAACGTCGATGATTCAATAAAAACCCAGCTTTTGTACCTCGCCTAGATACATGGCATCAAATGGTGTGACCTTGGTGGCATATACATCTATCTCTCTGTAGAAGAAATAGCAGTAGTAAGTGAAGTCCGACATATCGCAACGAAAAAAAAGTAGCAACCTGCTAAACCAGTAATCCCCAGCGCCAGCCATGCCATGCAAAAGACCAAAGCTCCGTAAAGTACTCCGTACCCAACACCGATTCCATGATCATAAGTCATAAGCCTCATTACAGCACAACCAGGTTGCTAACGAGGTCAAGTCTCATCCCAGAGCCCAAACACGGGCAGATCCTCGGCCATATAAAGAAGCCCGTTATCGGACAAGATCATATCAGACAGCGGCGTGTGGCCTCCGCCTCCACCTCCACTTCCTTCTCCAGGCTCAGCCGCAGACCCGGTTCTCATCCCCGAAACTGACGCGGAAGCTGTAGCTGTGGGCATGCCCATCGACCCGCCCGGTGAGAAATTGATGGGAATTCCGGTCGTCGTGAGCGTGGAAATGGCCGAGTCATACGGGAGGCCTGTGGCAGCGGCGTCACAGAGCGCATCCCAGATGCTGCTGTCTTGCGGGGCGAGGGTTGTTAGATCGGGGGGTTGTTGTGATGGGGTGGGATTGTTTGCTGGCGCGAGTTTATCAGGGGAGAGAGGAGATGGGACTGCGCCTGCAGACTCGCCGGGGCGGCGGATGGGTGGTATTGTATCTGGGGCTGGGGATGGTTCGTTGGCGTTTGCACCGGCAGAGCCTACTTGGCCAAAGAGCTGGTCGACCTGTTTGCTGCGGCGTTCCATCCACTGGCGATTACGACGGCCAACGTATTCTGTTACCGCGGCACGGAGGTACTTGATGATTTGGAGGAAGCGGCAGGAGTGCGGATCATGAGGGACGAAGAGCTCGAGGAACTTCTCGGCTTTGTTCATGCCTTCTTCGAGCGGGAGGAGGTTGTCGTAGTCGGCGAAGAAGGCGGCGCCTAGGACCACTGCTGAGTTGAAGACAGAGTTGATTAGGAATGGGAGACGGCGTGGTAGAGACTCGTATCGGGCTAGGCCGTCTACGATGTCCAGGCCGCGCAGGGCGGAGTAGACGCAGGCGTCGGCGAAGAGGGAGAGGCGGGATGTGCCGTTCCTGGCTTCGGGGGTTGCAGAGTCTTTCTTGCTTCTCACGTACTGTGATACCCAGAAGATGAGAAAGGGGCGGGTTAAGAGGATGATCGACCAGTAGTACGACCCCAATACATGCGCGGCAGCCAAGCTTTCTTCTAGTGTTTTGGAATCCAGTCGCTCTGTTTGCATCTGTAGGAAAGTAGGCAGATTCCGGACCCAAGCTCGATGCTGATTAGATATGTTCTCAGCAACATTGATCGAAACAACCTGCCGCATGTACACCTCCGTGAGAACCCGCTCAAAGATGCGACATAGAGAGACTACAGTCGTAGATAATTGGTCCCTGGGTAGGTGTGATTCTCTTCGGGTCATCTCATCCTCGCGCAGGTCATAATCGAAATCCGACGTGGCTGGTGGACGCCCCAATGATGCGCTAAGAAATAGATCCATCATGCGCAAACTCTTCCACACACGTTCCCGTGCCCTTCTTTCCCGCGCAGTGAATAAGGAATTCGCATCTTTTCGGTGTATTCCCACTGCATATGCAGCCCGCAACGCTATTCCGAGGTTCATGAAGGCACCATTTCGACGACAGGCACCAAGCATGTACATGGAAATCAGAACATAGGACTGGATAGTATATAAACTAGGAGTTTCCGTGAAAGCGGAAAAGGCCAGTTGCCGGCCGCTGACGAAATACTGCTCAGCTAGATTCTGGTTTGTGTCGGATACCTGGGCGCCAATCGCGAGAACAAGATAGAAGATCGAGCTGACCGTATCCTCGTCACCCGTCGGATTCCCAATCCAATTCGAAAGCCGCGGATGGAACTCCTCAAGGTCAAATAGATCAAGCAAAGGACTGGTAGCCAGAACATATTGACGAGCGAGCCGCTGCGCCTCGTCGTTATTGGGAGGCTGTATTAATGGCCCACTTTGCGTAGTCGAGCTGTTTTGAAAAGCCTCTAGCATCGAATGACGCGACGTATCCTCTGTGAATTCGCACCGTCCGATTGCAAGCGAAACAATGCGCCGAACGCTCTGTAGAAATGACAGGCTGGCAGAGTCCCCGATATACATAAACTTTCCCTGTCCATCCCGCAGCAGCCGCGCAACCTTCGGCACGGGTGCCGCTCCATCTTTATCATCCCCGACTTCCTGCTCTAGATTTGCGCTTGTGTCTTCGAGCGTGTTGAGGAGGTGGTCCATGGCCGTCCGCCGCTGTGGAGTGGGAACCAGGTGTTCGCTAAGTAGCATTGCTTCTTTGGCATCATTGCTGGGCCGGAGCAATCGGGCTGGTTTGTCCGAGAAATGACATTCTGCTTCTTTGCGACGCTGGACGCATATCGTGCAGGGTTGCTCCCCATTGCACTTTTGTTTCCTTCGCTTGCAGCTATCACACGCCCGCCTGCACCGGAGACGAGCCCCGGGCGCCGTACTGGCTCGAGGCATTGGTGTAGCACGGTTCGAGTATGTCTTCGCAGAGGTGGTTTGCGAGGCGGCGGTCAATGCGGGGGGAGCGGCAATCAGTCGGTGTTCGAGGAGAGGCCGATTCGGCTACTTTGGGACAAACTATTAAGCATTTCTTGTCACCAAGTACTGTTTCAGCACATATCGCACGGCGAGTTATATTGAGTCAACAACCAAGGTGGAAAGTTGTACAGAGCGCGCGTGCAAGTGCCTGGCCTTCCCCAGACTGCGGAATTATCGGGGCTTGGCATTACGCCTGAGGCAGCCATGATCGACAGTGTAGACACCTCAGGCAGCATACAAAACACCACTAATTAACTGCAAATATTGAACATGTCATAGAAATGATATTAAGCCACGGCTCCTCATTATAGTTCTGTTGCATTACAGCCCAGCTAGAATCTCACAAGCCATTGACGCTCGGTCTTCACAAGTTACTCCGGACGGAAAGACACAAGCCGTCCAAACGTATCTGCAGTACCCCAGATGCCGTGGCGCAAACCCGAAAGTTGAACAATCTGGCTATGGTCGACGAACAGGTTGACATCGATGCCAAACTCCCTGATATACCAAGTGTAGACTTGGGGATCTGCTGCTTCGAACATGACCCGTTCAGCCGGAAGCTCCTTCATGATCTTCGACACCACGTCTGTTCTCCATGACTTGACATTCTCGGTGATGCCTTCTGATTCGATCATCAGACGCTCAACGCCTGCGTCTAAAAATTTCTGCCCCAAGTTTACGAGTTTTCCAGGATCGGAAGTACCGAGTGACTCGAGGCTAGCCGCTGAGGTATCACCGCCTGCTCCGAACTGAATACCTAGCTCCGGCTTTGCTTTGAGTCCGTAAGAATGGACCTTGTCGACGAGGCGTAGCCAGTCGTCCTCGGGAATGGAGAGAAACCCAGAAGAGAGCTCGATAACGTCGAATCTATGAGAGTTCAGCATCGGCATGAGAGCATGGGGACTATGACGAACCCTAAATCTTTGCACTTTGTGAGATATTTGTCAAAGACTGAGTTTGGGTCTGGATGTGTGAGGAGATGCTCGGCCCACCCGCCCTGGAAACTGGTTAGAGGGTCCATTTCGTGAGGTATCCAGTTGGTACCCACAGTCGAGACATAAACACTGTGTTCATGTGCGAGGTCGATCAATTCCCTCAACGGCTTTTCTGGAAAAAGAGAGAAAGAGCCTCCGGCAAACTTGAGTCCATCTACATGCGTCCCCATTCTAGGACACCATTAAACGTGAGTCTACAGCCACCTGGGTTCCAGCACTCACGTCTCGAGAACATCGGCGAGGTATCTCTTACCCATCACCTATGACCACGAAGAATCAGCATTGTGCTTGCTTTGCCTGTCGGCCAGCAATCTCCTGGTGCATACCGTATAGTACGGTCCTCTGATCTCGGTAACTCCCTTCGTCCTTGGCTTCTTGGGACGGGGGTTTGACCGAGCAAATCCAAATCCGTTGGACTTATCTTGAAGCAGCGTGGCTGCTTTCTTGGAAGCAGGGGCGGTGGACGATAATCCCCTGGACCATACTATCGGTGCAGCAGTTTTCATGGAGACCGAACCGAAGCCCTTTCTCCATGAGAGGGTAGCGGTTCGGGTTAGGGGTTGCAGCATCGTGAGACTTTGAAGTATTTGTCACGCCAATCTTACGGTGCGAGTGCGATTATTTGATTCAATCGACAGGTGCGTTGCAACTGAAACAAGCCGAGGTAGGCAGTACAAATTGGAACATTGATGATTATGCCACAGAGAAGGCAGAGAGAATTGGCCTTGGAGTATAGCAAGGAATATATAAGATTGGACAATCTTATCTATCAGGTGATTCTTGTCATCATACGTACATCACATCCCCTGGGTATGCGGAGTAGACTAGCTGTTTGGGCCGAGATCGTATGAATTGATATGAAGTAAGATGGCGGACTAGATGTGGATGATGTCACGATACCTAGCGGGAGAAAAGTCCGCGAAATCTCGGCTCAGCCCTCTTCAGGGTACTGCTTACCAGGGGAATCAGGCTCTGAAGCTTGTATCTCAGGAACCAACAGGTATGCTTCAACCGAAGTAGACTAGATGATAGAAGGGTCGAAACTGGTACATGCCGAGCCCGGCCAGACCGAGTCATCCTCCAGAGTGGATTATTCAGAATTCATAACTTTATGCAGAGGATCATCGGTGTTCGGAACCTCGGAGAAACATGAGCGGAAGATCGGACACCGGAGACTCATTGGACCCGGGGAGGAGTATGGTAAGATCTGGTAACAGATACACTAGGCTGGCTGCAATCTTTGTTTTTTCTGGCAGTCAGCCGATATTGATTGCTGGGGATGATTTGATTGGATTAGCTGAATAGGACTCGAAGCGTGGCCCGTCTAAGGCGGGCACAGAACAAAGCAAAAGTTGGTTACTGGTACCTTAAGAATCTAAGATGGTAATGGGCGTACCAGCCTTATGAAGGAATATGGCCGTGCCCGTGATCCTCCAGCTGATCTCTTCTCCACTTGCGCACGACCACCTGCCACAAGTGGTTCAACGTGGATCGCCTCGACGAGACCTAGAGCTCAGTGAGTTTGAACTCTGTTAGAGCCAGCATCAGCTATCGACTCGAGAGTCGAGACAGACCGAATACGAAGCTCGAGGTTGGTATTCAGGCCAGAGAAGATATGTGGGAGCTCTACCCTACGGAGTACTCCGTAGCTCGAACTCGAAGAATATTGATTAATGGCTGGCGCCTAATTACCAAACACAAGGTAGGGGAGCCTTTTTCTTGGAACCTTACAGGGCTACGCTGTCGATCCCCACCGTATCACCGTATCGAATGATAGCTTCCCCTCCAGATTCCGGGCCATCCGGTTTTGTCACTGTTGTGTCTCACGGACAGCCAGCTCTCTTTGCAACGATGCCTTGTTTATTCAATTATTGCACAGGCCTTTGCCTAACCCCACTCGCCGTGACCATGGAAGCCCTTCCAGACTGACGAGAGTAGTAGTACAAATAGTCGCGTGTGCACGTAAAGAGAAGGAAGTACTGTCACTGCCACTGTCACCGCAGCTCTCACCTCTGGCGCCATCAGGCATCAGCTCGCTATCTCCCCCTCACTGCTCACTGTCAGCTGCACGAGCAGGACCGGTCAAGTCGGCCCTTTGTTTGTCCAGAGGTGATGCCGATTTGATCCTAAGTCGTGATCCTCGTCCCTGCGGTTGTCTTCTCCTGTCTTACCGTTATTATTAGAGTTGACACCTCGATCATCTTTTCCAAGGTTCAACATTCCAGGAACACACCATGGGCGCCGGCGCTATCCTGGAACCTTTGGTGGTTATTGTCTTGCTTTTCGGTGGCACCTGGATCAACCGCTCAGCTGGCTCATTTCCTCCCTCGCGTCGTGCTCGCCGCAAATCCACTGACCACTATCGTGGTGCTTCGCCGGACTCTATCGAGTCGGGCCTTTCCTCACCCACGCCCAAGGATGGTCTTCTGAAAGACCGACCTTTATCTCCGTCAAGCTCTCACTTTGGACTCGAGACCTGGCGCAAGCGACGCGTCGGGCTACTTCTGTGGACTGCTGAGGTCACTTCCCCGAACACTGCTATTTTCCAAGATCGTCTGCTCAGCCGTCTGTTACGCAAACTTCCTTTTCTGGCCGAATGTTGGTATTGGGCTTTGGTCTACTGGGTATGCTTCTATTCTTCTTGGTTCATCAGGTTACAACAAGGCTAACAAAGCATGGGTAGACGTATCAACTAGGCAGAGCGTTTACGGCCGTAACCCTACAAGAAGGAACCGTCGATGTCGCGAGGAAACATGCGCTCAAACTTATCGAGATCGAACAAGCCCTCGGGTTGTTCTGGGAGGTTCCGATCCAGCAGTTCTTCCTGGGGCACCCATTGCTCATGAAATGGACCAATTGGATCTACTCGTTTATCCATATCCCCGGAACGATAGCATTTCTAGTTTGGTTATATTACTACACTATCACGAGAAACCGATTTGACGAATCTCAGCCTGGGAAGCCTAGAGGGACGACGAGCGGCTCGCCTGCTGGACCACTTCTCTATCAAGCTCGTCGACGGACATTAGCAGTGTGCAACCTCCTTGCATTTGTTGTTTTCACCCTGTGGCCTTGTATGCCGCCTCGCCTGCTGAGCGACGAGGACGTACAAGGGCCGGAAGGAAAGTTGGCGCGCAGTTATGGCTTCGTGGATACCGTGCATGGAGCGGAAGGCGCTGGCAGTGTGTGGACTGAGAACAGGTTTTGCAATCAATACGGTGGGTCGACTTTTATGTTCTTGCATTTAGTCACATACTGATTTCCCCAACAGCTGCAATGCCCTCGTTGCATTTCGGATATTCTCTTATGATTGGACTCACTATCATGACAATTCCCCTGCCCGCCCACCAGCGCGTCTCGACGCGAGTTCGCATCGGCCCGTTTGGTGTTCATATTCCGTCCCGACAACGTTTGGCCTGTCTATTCCTCGGGTTCGCATACCCGTTCATCATTCTCGCTGCCATTGTAGCAACTGCGAACCACTTCATCCTAGATGCCGTTGCTGGTGCTATAGTGTGTACTTTGGGCTGGAAGTTCAATGGGATTCTATTGAATTTGATACCCGTGGAAGACTATTTCCTTTGGGTGGTCCGGATACACAAGCCTGAGCCAGCAGAGATGGTAGGACCGCTGGATATTGAGGGATGGATGGATGACTGTGAGGCTGAGACCGCTTGAAATATGAAACAGACAGGTCAAGCACCTTCAATATGTGCTGTGATTTCCGATGATACCCTTCTCTTTACTGTCATGACTGTCATGTTTTCACTTTGGGTTATTCTTCACAACCTAACACTCATCCTTAGGGTCACTCGCTTGCCCTATCCTTACAAGGGTATCTGTATAATTAGGCATCGCATAGGAAGACTTAATATAATGAGAAACGGGGATGATGAGATAATGGCTGGGTCGGTGCTATCCCGCGTAGGCGTACTTGAATATGAGTGTGGCAGAACGATCTATTCGCTGAAATGTTTACTGCACTTTTACCTTGGAGAGAATTTGACTACATACCTGGGTATCAAGATGGAGCTATATATGTCTGATGATCTATTCAAGTCCTTGGAAGCGCTGTCTTGGTGGGTTTTGTAGTAGACAGAGCAATCGTCTTCTAGCAACAAGACTTTATTCGAAACTGTATTCTATAGAGGTCGCTAAATGCTCAAGCTGTTTTTATCTATAGGTCAATATGGTTGGAAGAGTCCTTTGCTTGCCAAACTGGAGCTGCTTACATCCTGCATCCACCGGATACTCTCTGGTCTGGTTGTAATTGGGAGACGGCTTCCGTCATCTCTCTCACAACCATTAAATGGAGCCGACTTCAAGATCCCTGTGGATATAAGGCTTCCTCAACCAGGCTCGCCGAATAATCATTAAAAATTAGACCTGGGATATTTACAGTCGTTATCTTTGAGATTGCGGGACTGAACAACTTCTCCGTCCCCAGTACGAAACCGCTTCCCTCGGCTCTTTACGGAATGGAATATACATACAGCAACGACAGGTATGCGCTTCGCCTACCCTGAGGCTAAAGCAGACTTCTAACGACATTTGCTAGATACCGTGTTGATTTGTAGACGAATTGTTTCGTCGCGACTCCTATAATTATTCCACAATCAACGCGTGTCAAAGATACGCGTCAGTTCCAACTCGCGAACAACTTGACTATTCGAACAACCCATTTCAAGTATCGGCACGAGGAGCGAGGTCTAGAAATAAATCTACGTACTTCTCTTCCTCATCGGCTCAGCCAAACGGACTGCCGGGTCTCGATTTCCAGCTTCTCCGCATTTTGAGGCGATCGTCTACCGCCCGCGTCACTTTCCGTCAACAGGAGACTATTGATGCAGCAATCCGGTGTTGTTTATCACGTCCGGTGTTTCTACCGTATATAAGTGCTCATCCTGCTAAGAATCGAAGCACTGTCGTGGTTACTTTTATCAGTGCTGTTGCAAGCGGCAAGTTTCCCATCCCTTAACTCGCGGAACTTGCGCTAACTTTCCATCAGGGAATTTTCTGGTGTATCGAGAATCAAGCATCAGACCCTGAGAACAGGACGCTGAGCGCGTGCGTCGATAAGACTGTTCTGTTGCTGAGCTTGATCGTTGCGTCATTTACGGGCTGGTTGCTGAGCGTCCCTTTTCCAGTGCAACGCGTTGTCGACTTCCCGCCTCCCGGCGTCGCGACCTTCTCCACCACTTTCTCTCCCACCGAAAACCACCTCGACCTTTCCACCATCTCCTACAGCAAGGCCTTGGCTTCGTTCCCATCAACCAAGATCCTCTCTACTTGTCAAATATAATACTGAGCTCCCTTGCGAACCATGGCTGATGCCAATACCCCCTCGTCGGCGCCTGCCCCGGATGCTGGTGAGGCGCCCGTTGAGCGCGCTTCTACGGAGCTCAAAGCTAGCCCCCAGGAGTCCGCGCCAGAGCCCACCAAGGAGAACACAGAAAAGGGCGCCAATGGAGCGGAGGAGAAGCCTGCTGGTGAGTGCAGTTTAAGCTTGTTTTGGGTTCCCTGTTTGCCGACGCCAGATGACGAGCGCGTGTACTTGTGTTGTACCTATGCTGAGTGGCTTTGACTAACTTTTTGTGTGTCGTATAGAAAGTTCCCCCGCCCAAGAGGACAAGAAGGAATCTTCCGACGAAACCGCCGAAAAAGCCAACACACCTGCCGAGGCGAAACAGCCCGAGGGGGGTGCTGCTGCCCCTGCAGAGGCGGAGCGCGCCGCCGCCCCGGAGGCCAACGGAACGCCTTCAACTACCAAGAAGCTACCCACCAAGCGCAAGTCCACGGGTGGAGATACGAAATCTAAGCTGAACCGCAAGAAGTCGATGACTCGCATTACCCACTTGGATGCGAAGGCTGGCGAGTACTACCTCGCGCGTCTTCGCAGCTTCCCACCGTGGCCCGCCATCATCTGCGACGAGGAAATCCTTCCGCAGAGTCTTCTGGGCTCGCGTCCTGTGACCGCTCAGCGTCCCGATGGTACATACAGAGAAGACTACGCCGACGGCGGCAAACGTGTCGCCGAGAGAACCTTCCCTGTTATGTTCCTCCAAACAAACGAATTGTACGTGTAACGTATTCATCAGGCGATGCATTGTCAGTGGTGCTAACAATATCAATAGCGCCTGGATCCCTAACACTGATCTCACACCTCTCGATCCTGCTACCTGCAAAGAAGTATCGGAGAAGGGCAAATCTAAGGCGCTCTTGGCTGCGTACGGCGTTGCTGCAGAGGACCATGATCTCGCACACTACAAAACCATGCTCGCAGACCACCAGGCTGCCATTCAGCAGGAAGAGGAGGAAAAAGAGGCCCAGGAGGCCGCTAAAGCCGCGGCTAAGGCTGAGAAAGCAGCCAAGAAGAACAAGCGAAAGAGCATGGAAATCCAAGATGACGTAGACATGGAAGATGCAGATGAGGAGAAGCAGCCAAAGAGCACCAAGAAGAGGAAGAAGGATGCTGAGGCTGAGGGCGACGAGAAGGTCAGCAACACCGTTCTCAGCTATGAGATTTAACACTAATTCATACCCCCCAGCCTGCTAAGACGCCCAAGACTGCTACCAAGCTGAAGCTCACAACGCCCAAGAACCCGGCTGAGGACAAGAAGGCATCCGGCTCTAGCAAGGCTAAGCAGAGCGCCAGCAAGAAGGGAAAGAAGGCTGCGGCCAGCGAGGAGTCAGACGAGGCGAGCCCCGCACCTAAGGAACCTGAACCCAAGGTCAACCTGGAGGAGGCTAAGAAGAAGAGGGAGAGAGAAGGTAATGTCTGCCCACCATCATTTCGAAGATGAGACTAACAAGCTGCAGTTCTGTTCATCCGCCACCGCCTCCAGAAGGGCTTTATTTCCCGTGACCACCCTCCCAAGGAGGAAGAGATGTCGCAGATGTCCGGCTACTTTACCAAGCTCGAGAAGCTGAACGATCTCGAGGTCTCGATCATTCGCGAGACCAAGATCCACAAAGTCCTCCGAATGATCATCAAACTCCCCAACATCCCGCGCGATGAGGAATTTGATTTCCGCAAGCGGGCTCTGGACATTCTCTCCAAGTGGAAGAATGTTCTCGACAGCGACCGCGCTACACCCGCCCAGGACAAGGACGAGAAACCCAAGGCCAATGGCGTCCACAAGGAGAAGGAGGGCAGCGCTGAAGCTCCGGCCAAGGCTTCTGAATCCAAGTCTGAAAAGGAGGACGAGACTAAGCTTGACACCCCGGATCAGGATACCCCTATGCCAGATGCTGAGGAGAAGACCGAGGAAACACCGGCGCCTACTAAGAGTGATGCTGAAAAGGTGGAGTCTGAGCCCGCTGCCGCTGGCGAGACGGCAGAGGACGAGAAGGAGGAGACGGAGAAGAAAGCAGAGAAACCGGTAGATGAAAAGCCAGAGGATAAGCAAGAAGAGGAGAAGCCTGCTGAGGCTGGAGTTGAAGCTGAATCTGCAGCATAAGCCCGCCAGCAGCTTGAAACAGCACAGCACAGCACAGCACGACATTCGTGAACCTCACCACACCCTTACTAACTAAATTCCCCACTATTTACGTGCATGGCATGGCAATTCTTGGTTGGTACGCTGATAAGATACTCTTCCCACTTGTTTCTGTTTTTGTTCTTTTCATCCCGTCCTACTTTCTCTCAATCCTCACCTATTGTATGTATGTGTGCGCGCGAGTCTTGTTTTTGTATCTTTTATCCTGCAGGTAGTTTAGTCTAGTTCAGTCCAATCTAGTGGTTATTTTATCTTCTATTCAACTTGTCCCAAATAGCTTTTTTATCACCCCTTGTTCTGTTACCCCTGCACTGAGAGTCAAACGTCTGTTTTGCAGTGCTTATCCACCACCCTCTGGCCTGCCTCGATCATTGCCAGCTAGAAGGAAGAGAGACCGGGAGCTGAAGGCGAGACAGCAATCACGTGGCCCACCGCGCTTTCTGTAGTATGAGCCCGATCCAGCTCAAGACGAAATGACCCAAGAAGCCCTACTTCGTACCAAGCAATTACTGTTGCTTATTGGTTTACTCTGAGCCAGAAGACTGGAAAGAGACGTTCATGGATGCTGCTGTCGAGAGAGGACCTGTTCACCGTGTTGCGGATTCTTGCATACCAATGGGTGTATCCATGTCCCGATATCGTGGGTGCTGTAGAGGTGACTAGCATTAGGTTCGTACGCAGTAGAACCGTTCTTAGGACAAAGTCTTCAAGATCCAGGGTAGATGGGTACTACCGTATATTCAGGGATCATATCAATTCGTGTAGAAGAGCAATGTACAGTATGCAAAGGAGAAGGCTCGCGCAGCGGAATCTATCTATCGTCTATACCGGTCTGTGCCTATGCAAAAGAAAAAGAACCCTTCCATGAAGCAACGTGGTCGGGGTGATATAAGCCGTTCCAACACCGACAAAAGTAAATGCAAATGTATAGTCAAGGCCCGGTCCTCATAACTTCGAGGGCGAAGCGGTAAAACACAAAGAAAGTACGGAAAAGGTGGAAACATTTCTACTCCTCCACGGCAACAATGACCAAAACAGCGATATCGTCGACTTTCCCGCCACGGAAGTAATCCCCCGGGTAATACCGCTGCGCTTCCTTTGCAAAGGGGCTGTCGCGGCGGAGATCCATGCTGGCAAGTTTCGCTTCGCCTGCGATGGACGCCGCAAGCAAGGATTGGAGGGTATAGGTGTGGTCTGACTTGGAGGCCGTGGCGGATTTATTGGGGGTTGATTTTGGCATTGCTGAAGAAACAAGGGAACTGACGCCTTCGGAACCGGTGAGCCGTTCGAGCGTTGCGCGCTCTGCCGGAGTGATACCGGAATTTGGAGACGTAGACGCTGACCAAGCGCCTGTATGGATCATGCGGCCGGTAACGAGTTTAAGGATGTCTTGGTTGTTGAGGTTATCAAACACGCCATCTGTGGCGAGCATGAGGACATCGCCATGGTGCATGTGCAGTGTCGTGGTGTTTGCGTCGCGTGGGAAGTCTTCTAGAAAGCCACCACCGAAGATGGAGGCTTGTTGGCGCATGCGTTTCGGGATGATGCTAAGTTGATAGGGTGTGTTGAAGCCATGTGTCTGCGGGGTTGAGTAATGATGGACTGCAGCCTGGCGGAGGAGAACAGAACCTGAGTCGCCTAGGTTTGCGAGTTCAATACGGCCGTCCTCAAGGCCTACACCGACGGATGCGGTGCTGCCACCAGCAGGGATGCTCTCGTCTGCGACAACGCGGTCGTAGCCTGCCTGAAGAAGGGCTTTTGCACGAAGCTGCTCTGCAGGGCCGTCCCAAGCCAGCGCTGCCTGGGCCATATAATCGCATAGAGCATGCGAAAAGTCCGCTGGATCGACTCGCGACTCTGCCCATCCCCCAACGCCATCGGCGACTGCGAAAGCGATGGAGTTATCCGCGGAAGAACCGCGCCGACCTACTGTACTCACGAAAAAGGCATCCTCTCCGCTATCCGGCCGTCGCTTTCGCTTGACCGCGGGATCTTCAGTATCGAGGGCAACGCCAAGGGCGTCATGAAGCTCAGGGTTGAAGTTGTACGCATTCTTGGTAGGTAGAAACCGGCGACTCTTGCCGGACGAGGAGGCCGCAACGCGGTATGATATTCGCGGAGTAGTTTTATCACGTTTCGGGGTCGAATGAAAAGATCTGAACGAATGTACTTGTAGGAGGGAGATTGGTGTTCCCTGTGGTTGCGGAGACCGACATTGCGGGAGGCGCCGGAGATATTGCGACCTGGCTGCAGGAGACGAAAGGACCCCTGTTGAGCTCTCTCGCGCGATGGCCTGTAGGCTACTGCAGGCTGAACCGCAGGCGCTACCGGGCCTGACCGACAAGAGCATCAGCGAACTGTCAGACCGTCACCGGAGGGCCTCGTCCGTCGATTTCGAGACCCTCCACGAGCCGAACGCGAATAAAGAGGGTTATGCGCAGGTTAACCTTCAGCCGACACGCATCAAGAGGCAAAGGGCGAGCTACGCGAGAATGAACCCCTCAGCGCGGTATAGGAGGGAAAACAAAATGCGGATGCGACAAAACTTTACAAAATCTGTCGATCGCAGTGGATTTTTCGCCGACTGACGTAGGTAGGAGGAGCGAGAAGCAGTGGGTTTGCCGACCGCCTGGTCTCAGATGCCGCAGAGCAGATAACGCAGAGTATGGTATGGGCGGCTGGTCAATCAAAGAAGCCGCATCCAAAGTATCATCGGTCCGATTCAGCCAGCCAGCGATCATCCGTAGCTAGCCGCTGCTGGAGATTTGAAGCCAAAGTCGGGGGGGAGGATCAGAAGCAATCTGCTGTAGACTCTGGCCCTCATCGTAGATAAACCAGGAGGATCTTCCACGGTTTTGAGCTCAATTTCTAGAAACGATTGATGGGATAGCGACCTAGCTCTTATCCACTACATACGTAGTTCAGAGCCCTCCTAAATCCGTTTGGTGCGGTTTAGATACTATTGAGGTTGTAGAGTGCAGGTTGTATTGTCCGGCTTCCGCTTTTTCGACTTTCTGCCTTTTTCTCTCTCCAGACTTCAACCCTCCAGACCACCAGACACGTCTCTTGCGCCTCTCAACCAAAACCAACACAGACCTAGAATCAAAGGAAACTCTCTGCCTTGGCCTGTTCCTTATTATCCGGAACTTCGGGCCCCTCTACAGCGCCCACCATGATGCACCCAGCGAGACAGGCTTATGTGGAGGAGGCAGAGGTAAGAGCTTCCCATACTCCCAAATGTGCCCTCTGGTTCATTATGTTTGAATCATCATTTACAACTCTGCTGGTTGAAGGTTACGCGACTCCGACTGACCTCATGGACCTGTTGACTAGGAGATGGATACGGGCATCAATCTAGCTGATTTGCGTGAGCAGCAACCTCTCTCATGTCTTACGATCTTTAGGATATCAAGCACTAACAAGACTTGCCTTCCCAGCTATTGACCGCGATTATGTGATACCCTCATCCGCCGCCGGTATCCCGGCAGAGAAGGCATCCGCCATTATCTCGCAGTTCGAGCGCAAACGAAGAGCCGCTGCCATGGCGGTGCCGACTGACGATACGCGAGTCCGCGCACGATTGCGAGAGCTTGGAGAGCCCATAACACTGTTCGGCGAGGGGCCAGCTGACCGGAGAGATCGATTGCGGGAACTTTTAACGGACATTGCGGAGAAGCAAGAAGCGGCGGAGGAGGATATCGAAATGGCAGAGGCGGCCGCAGAGGAGGATGAGGGAGAACAGCAAGAGGAGTTTTATACAGAAGGATCTGACGAGCTGTTGAATGCACGAAAGGCTATGGCTCGGTTTTCCTTGCCGCGTGCCAAAGCCCGCGTTGCGCGACAGCGAGAGGAATCGACAATACCTCTACGAACACACATTAAGCATCGGAAGGCGATCAAGGAAAAACTGCATAACTTCGATCTTTACGGGTCCCAGATTGCGGGCGATCGGCCAGTTAGTATTTGTCGGTTTGCGCCGGACGGACAGACAATCGCGACTGGCAATTGGGGCGGCGGTATTCGACTGCTGAGCGTGCCGAATCTGGAGGAGAAGCTTTCCATCAAGGGTCATACTGATCGAGTTGGTGGTCTGTCTTGGTTTCCGGGAGCTACGCTTCCGGAGTCGAACGTATCTCGATCAGCAGTTAATCTGGTCTCCGGAGGAGGAGAGGGTAATGTGTGTCTATGGTCGCTTGACAAGGATCAACCACTCGCTACGCTGGAAGGCCACTCTGGCCGTGTGTGCCGGACAGAGTTCCATCCATCTGGGAAGTACATCGCATCAGCATCTTACGATACAACATGGCGATTATGGGACGTCGAGACGACAGCGGAGCTGCAATTACAGGAGGGCCACTCGCGAGAAGTTTACACCGTTGCATTTAACAATGACGGATCACTTCTGGCGAGTGGTGGCTTGGATAGTATCGGACGCGTCTGGGATCTCCGGACAGGCCGCACGGTCATGATCTTGGAAGGACATATCAGGGAGATATTTGGCCTAGACTGGGGAGTGGACGGGTACCGAGTACTCTCTGGGTCAGGTGATGGCTGGGTGAAATGCTGGGACTTGCGTCAAGTGAAGAACACCGGTGGTATTGGTGCACACAAGAGCGTCGTCTCAGATGTCCGATGGTACAAAGGAACCGAGTCGGAGTCTGATTCCTTTTTGCCATCAACGGAAGGACAGGCCGGGCGCATGGACGTAGACGGCGCGGTGGCTCCCATACAGCCCAGGAAATCAGGGACATTCTTCGTGAGCAGTGGGTTTGACAAGAACGTGAATGTCTTTAGCGCAGATGACTGGTCTCTTATCAAGACATTGAGCGGGCACTCCGGGAATGTGCTGAGTACTGATATCAGCAACAATGCGCAGTGGATCGCTAGCTGCGGGCATGACCGTACAGTGAAGCTCTGGGGGATTGAATAGGCAGCTTTGACTGTTTTCCTGGATCAGAAACATTAGCCTTCGGCTTCTCTTTAGGTAGTTGTGAAAGCCAGCGGCTTTGCAGCATGTATAGATGTAATATGAATGTTACGTGAATACAATAGGTCTGATAATGTCGTTGAATGTTAATGCCGGAGCTCAAATTCTAATTTGGGCTATAGATATTATTTAAATAAGTTTTTGTATTCAGTAGCCGGGCTAGCTCAATCGGCAGAGCGTGAGACTCTTAATCTCAAGGTTGGGGGTTCGACCCCCCCGTTCGGCTGGCTTTTTTGTTTTTGAACCTCATCTTCGTTTTGTCATCATCCCCGAATCTCCGATTCATATCTCGGAGCGTCACCGTTGGCTTTCCAAGTTCTCCAACTCCCTCATTCATACCTAAGTGATACATCAATCTCGCGCAACCGCAATGGCTGCAACTTTCCGCTCCCAAAAAGTCGCTCAGCGACTCGCTGCGTCCTCTACGTTACGCTCAACAGCACGGCCATTCCACACATCAACTCGCAAGACACTTCCCATATCCTGCATTCTCTGTCAGCTCTGGCCGTCACGAGCGGGCCCAAGCAATAGCGCCTTCATCTCCATCTCTCCTCGCGCTCTACCACACAGTCGCCGCGCCTTCACAACGACATCATGCGTGTCCACAAACCAGTCTACCGAACCATCAGCAGCGGAGACACCACCAACCATCCCCAACGCCCCCAACACAACAACCTACTACACCATGTTCCCGAAAACCCTACCAGCCGGCGCACCCCCCTCCTCCCCCTTCACAGTCGACCTGCCAACGCTCCGCCGCGAGTTCCTCTCGCTCCAAAACACCCTGCATCCAGACAAATACCCGCCGGGCCCCACGAAGCGAACCGCCGAGACGCTCTCGGCCACCGTCAATGAGGCCTACCGCACGCTGTGCGACCCGCTCCTCCGCGCGCAGTACATCCTGCGGCAGTTCCACGGGATCGATGTCACGGCGGAGGATGGCTCGGGGGCTAGTGCGCCGCTGGACCCGGAGCTACTGATGGAGGTGATGGATGTGCAGGAGGCGATTGAGGAGGTTGGGGAGGGTCCGGAGGCGGAGGAGAGGATTGCGGAGATGAAGAAGGAGAATGGTGAGCGGGTGAGCGGGTGTGTGAAGGCGCTGGCGGAGGCTTTTGATAAGGGGGATGTGGAGTGGGCAAGGGGGGAGTGTATCAGGTTGAAGTTTTGGGTTAGTGTTGCGGAGGGATTGAGGGAGTGGGAGCCTGGGATGGGAGGGATCCGCTTGATTCATTGATTTGAGGTGGTCATGGTTCGCCTGGTGTGAAGGTGCGGGTGGGTGTATCGTGTGGTTGAGGATTGTTATTGTGTTAGATGCTCCACTTTGAGCTTACACCTCGATCATCAACATGATTGAATGTATATTAGATCTTGGGCGATTCGAAGCAAGTTGGGTGCTGCTTAGACGGCTTGCACCAGATATATGTACATGTATATATAGACGGCTAAGCCCTAACTGACCATCTCGGGCTGGACCGGTTGAAGAACAACCAAACACTTGGATTAGAAATACCTCATCGAGTGCGTTACGATTTAGATGACAATCGAGCAAGGATACCTCGGTTATAGGTAGATAAGGTTAAGAATAAGAAGTCTGACCGGAAGACCCAGTCATGGTACATTCGAGCACGGAGTGAGACCCTGTCAAAACACGAGAATGAGCAATTCAATCTAAGACAACTGTAGTTCAATTGAAGAACCAAACAAGACCACGCTCCCGCAACACTGTTTCCACTTTCCATGCAGTATAATCTCAGTGGAGGGCCCAGCCAGGATGCATCGTCCAACATGTAGGCAATCCACAAGTGCATGAGACTCTCTCACCTTAATACAGACCTCACCAACATCACCTGACCACCCATAGAGCTCGTAACCCGCCATGCAGAGAGGAACCACACCTACCTCCGGATAGCTCTGGATAGTTTGACCGCTACATCATCGGGACCCGGAAAATTGGGCCCGCACATCAGGAGTCGACAATAATCGTTGGGTCTTCATGTCCAGGGTCCGACCCAATCCATTGGGCAACAATCGTCAATACAGAAAGCTTGGAATCGCCCTGATAGTGCTCGTGCCAACGAATGGCTAAGACCTCGCGTGTTCGCTGAGCTAGCTGCTCAACCCTCGAATCACGACTCGCAAGGCCTCTGCAACTCGCCCTGCTTTGCTGTTTGCTGGTCACCAGTGGTGGTTGCGATGGACGAACCTCTGAGATGTCGGATTTGTTTCGCCCTCAAGTTCTGCACGACGTCTGCTCTGAAAGGAAATGAGTCTTGATCATAATCACGCGATAAGGGACAATCCTCTTGCATCAATGCGAGTTTCAAATCAGGAGTTGGGTGGTTGCGTCGCGCGCAAGGGAGCTGGCGGTCAATCTGTCAAGCCCCGTCATGACTGCACACGTAGCAGACCACCACGACCGATTCGGATCGGCTTCCGCGCTTGGTCTCCCCCTTTTATCATATGCCGTCTTTTCCAGTGAGCTGGTGGAGAGAAGGGTGCCAGGACAAAGGGTGAGGAGGGGTGCAACACGCTGTTATTAATATTAATAGACGTAGTTGTCTCGAGTAGGCGATGGGCAGGGGCTTCCTGTCTGAAGTCTTCCTCGACTAATCTCCTATCTTACTTTTTCTGCCCTAGCGATAATTGTGAGCCTGGTTGTTCAATGGAGCGGGGACGGGATTTTCGGAGGTAAGTAAACAAGAATAAAAAGGAGGGAAGAGCGGTTTGGAAACTGCATCTCGCCTGCTTGATTGCATTGTAAGACTTGCTTTTTCTCGACGAGCCACTGACGACCTGCAGCATCATAAACTCAGTGCCCTTTACTTTCTTGGTCGGTCCAAGCCATACAAAACTCACCATCCAGTCGGGTCTCGCCCACCATGTCTCCAGACCTCTGGATCACCTCATCAACAGCGGCCAGACCCGAGAATCCAAGCACCAGATTGCCATATTAGAAGATGAAGATGTTGAGACCTTTGTCGCATTCTGCGAATATGCGTACACAGGCGACTACGCGGTGCCACCGCCTGGATCTCGAGAAGACGACGTAGAGCAGGACTCCATCAATCATGCGCTCAATGGCGTGTACCCTGACACTGGCCGCACATCGCCAGCAGCAGGCTTGGGGAAGTCACCACGAAGACCAACAGAAGCTCCAAGCGAGGCAGCTGCGGAAGCCTCCAATGGTAACGATGACAGAGGTAAAGATGTGAACAGAGATGAAGAGCAGCACAGACCCTCAAGCCGGCAGTCAAGTCACAGAGACAAACAAGCTCGGTACAGTTCGACAAAATCTGAGTATATGACCCAGGAGCAAACTGTTACACCTCGAGATTCGGATCAATCGCCCACCCCTTCTGCGGATTTCTCTCCGACCCGAGGAAGAAGACGCCGGAGAGGAAAGACTGATGAACAGGGGTTCATCCAAGACGCAACCTCCAAGCTCACTCCTCCTTGTACACCCCCTGGCGCTGCACGAGTCAAGGATGAAACCAATTCGGCTGAAGAACCTGGCGAAACCCCCCACGCAATGACCGGGGCCGACCAATCTGTCCCACAATCGATGAAGCATCCCGCACCAACTTCCGGCAACGTCGCTGATAGAAGTGGATATGAGGGGAATATGCATCAACAAGAGCAGAGTACAGCTAGAAGCCGAGCGCGGCCGGTCATAGATACGTCGTTCGCCAATCAGCAGTTCTCTCCTCGGCACGAGAAGGGAACAGGCCTGTGGGATGAGTTCACTGGTATCGACGACATCGACTTTCGCTTCTCAACTTCCAGAGCAAGGTCCTCAAACCCACTTCCTGGGGTTACATTGCCCTATCTGATCTTCCATGCCAAGTTATATGTCTTTGCCACACGCTACCTGATCCCGGGCCTCGCGCATCTCTGTCTGCAAAAACTCCACTACGACCTTCTGAACCTGGCATTCCCAGACCCAGACCCCGACAATCAGTTCGAGGAGCAGCTTGTTCTGACCACAACCAAGGCCAGGATGATCGTCAATCTCCTCAACTACACCTACACGAAAACAACCCGCCTGGAGCCGATAACACCTTCGTCGGCAACTCAGCTTCGAGATAATGAGCTTCGGAGACTCGTGGTGCATTATGCTGCATGTAAGGTGCGAGACCTAGCGGTGTATTGTCCTCCAATCGAACCTATTGCGGGATCCCAGTTCTATGCGGAGCAACCATCTGCACGCGGATTTCGCGCGCTCTTGGATACTCTTCCGGAGCTTGCTTCAGATCTGATATACCGCATGATACAGTGACTTTTCATTGTTGTTGGTCGCTCGTAGAGTCTATGTAAGCGATGAGAATCACAAAAGACGGCGTCCATACAATGGAACAAATGACGACGGTACTTGTACACGGGACGAGACTGGAGGGACCGGAGGTTGCTAAATTAGTTGACGTTCTATTTCTTGCACTTGGTGTTTGTTTGGTCCTTTTTTTGACTCCGCTTTCACGTTGGCAGGGATCAATCTCTGGTAGCTGGAGTTGCATGCATCAACTCTGTTTGAATATCTGGGGATCCTTGGTCGTTCACGGTATAGTTTCCTGTTTAGTATAATGATGAGGGCTTCAAACGCTCGCGACTGCATAAGTCGCCATGATCTTCATATGCGCCGAGACCAGACGGGTCTCGAGTCTTGTACCCCGCTCCCCTCCACGTACTTCGTACTCCGCTCAGGATGTGCTCAGAGAAGGTGATATGTATCGCTTACTGACAAAAAGCGGGCAACGGATGATCGTCTGCCCTATCTTGTTCGGGTCTGTAGTAGCTATCGGGCCAGAGATTGCTGATCAAAAGCCCTCATCGTCCCTGGTGGGCTACTTCTCGAGGCATACAACGTCATTTGATGCAGAGCGTGCTGGCCGCATCATAGCTTGTTTCTGCACACGGCATAAAGCCAAGATTGAGTGTAGGACAATGCTCCCAATGTCCAGGATGGCATGTAGATAACCCTACATGCCGAAGCCAAAGGTACGTGAAGGCAACAAGTACGGAGTACCGCTGTGAGATGACTCCCAATTACCTAGGACCTCGGACTTGTAGGAAATCACAATGTCTCTGTGATAGTGTCAATAGAGTTGGTCCCGGTGGAGATGTTATTCTCTACCAAGGTTTTGCTAAGTCGGTAGTTCCTGTCCTAGACATATTTCACTGTTGTTGCTCATCATCTTGATATTGTTCAGCATCCTATTTATATTCCGCAGGTCAGTGCTTGTCGAATTGAGGTGAAAACTAATGTTCACCGTTCAAGGCAGGGTGCATCGGAGACCTCTGTCCAGCATAAAGAGTCAAAGACTATGCAAAATGGCACCAAGGTTCTCTAAGTTAGGGTGATTTCGGGCTTGGCGTTGGGCCACCGAGTGATCCATCAACGTCTGTTTCCCAGGAGGGGAAAAAGACTGTAATTTGGCCCTTTGGGAAAAGTGGATATAGACCGATGACTGAACTCGTGCGTCGGCATGGTGGCTGCGGTTAAGGCGGCGGCATCGGTTGTGACACAAAATAACATGAATCACCATGATGTATGTACTCTGCAGAAGCACACTGGAGAATTGTTGATTCAATCCTTGGCGTGTATAGAGAACAGAACAAGGGACACTGAAACAGGGATCCCTCCGCCAATAAATTGGTGTACAGCCATCCTTGGCGGCCGACAAATATAGATAAGAATTAAGAACCGCTTCGATTGTGGCCTACGATGATGTGTCCACGAGGCGCGGTAGACGCAAGCCATCAGATAGATAATAAGAGCGCATATCAACTAGGCGACGATATTTTTCTTCTTCAATTTCCAAGCTGTGCCACAGTGATTGCGACAAAGTGGAGGAACAAGATGCGAAGCCAAGACTTGGCTTGAAGGTTTCTTGATCAGGCTCACTCGCGCATGGCGGAAGATGTCGGGTTGCCAAGAAGAAGCTGAGGTCTGGCCAGGGGTACGGGGCCAGGGCCCAGGGGTCGAGTTCACCTATCTCTCGGTTAGGGTTCTACCTGGATTGGTCAGTGGTAGAAGCGTGTCCTCATCCTTTGTTGGAGTGTTGAAACATTTTTTGCGTGTCTCTACTCCGTAGTCGCTTTGATGCAGCTTCCCAGAGCTCATTATTATTCAGAGCTTCTGTCATCCCCTAATATTTCCGAAGGTTCCTTATCGCGTCTCATTTTCGGTGCCCACAACCCAGGCGCCAGGATCATAGCCACAAAGCTTGGCAGTGGACCTTCGGTCGATGATGTACTGTCGATCCCCGTCTTGGCCGGTTGCCGGGTGCAAAGGGAACGGGGCCGAACGGGAGACCGAACAGGCGGGTGGCACAGTGGCACAGCGGCACATGTTCGAGTCCAACGTTTTTGGGGCCGGAGCATATGGGCTTTGCGGTACCGTGATTTGCGGGAACTGCTGTGGAAATATCGGGATCAGTTGTGATCCTTGACCCTCGGAAGAGAAACAGAAGCATTACCGATCACATACCTAGGGTAGAATACTCTCTGCACGTGCGGCCAGCAGTGTGGAAGCTATCAAGACTTGGGATCCATGTCCAGTGGAGCGCGCCCTGAATAATTTCGTTTGGGAGCTATCTTAGACCTGATCGAGGCTATGGGTCCAAGCCTCGAGCTCTGGTGCCCAGCGAATTGCTGCCCTAAGTTCTCACCAACCCCTGATTATTTTGGATTTGCAGTTGAAATCGTGAGATAGGCGGCCATTGAATGCCAAGAATAAGATGCCCGCTCTATGAGATATCGATTTTCGAGATCGCGCGAGAGATGATGGCTGAATCCTGAATCCTGAAGGTCCACGCCTCCACGATCTCCTATCCACTGTCCTTGGCGGACAGGCAGCACTTTACCAAAAATATCAGCCACCCAGCAACTTGTAGGTGCCAGAGATGCGCCCCGGACTTACCTCAGGATCGGGAAGAAGAAAGTAACTCCGGACAAACCCCCACTTCAACACATCGATGATCACCGCCCTCGAGCCAAGAGCCTAGAGTCGCAGGGCGGAGTGTGAAAGATAAGGCCATGCAGGAATACTCCGTACAATGTTGTTTGTAAGTCCATGACAATTGGGATGATCGTTTAGCTGGGCGTTGAGTGTTGCAACTCTTGCAGGGCGAGTGCTGAGAGACGAGGTTGGAAGCCAGTCACAGTCCCGAGTGTGGCCATGTGACTTCCTTCAATCAAGTCAATCACTCCCGTCGGCTTCTTCAGCTTCCTTCTAGACCCTTTCTTCTGCATTTGCTCCGGCCCGCAAGAGCTACGAAGTAAGCGTACGAACAACGGAACAGCCGACAACTTGTTGTTTTGTCAAATCCAGCTCCACTTTCAATCTCTCTATCACATTGCAATGCAGTCTCAGCTTGGAATCTGCTACATTTGTCTGCCTGCGATGGGTCTAGATACGTACCATGTCTGAGCCCCCCGCCAAGTCTACAGGACGACACGCACGGCACCAGCGCCTGTGGCCTGTACTTCTACCAGGCTCGGAAGTCAAAACACAAGGGCTGGAACGGCATCTGCTACCCTGACCCACTTCTCCTTCCAGTATACCCCGAGAAATGGCATCACAGCTTGCTCACGGAGCATCAACCTGCAGATCACGGCTCCACTCTGTTCACAGGCATCAGAATTGGCCACACGCTTTGCAAAGCAAAATTTTCAATACAAGGGAAGCTACGAGGCCATGTTTTGTTGGAATGAGAACTGATTTTGGCTTAGAGTTTGCTGCGAACTATCCCGAGCTGATATTGAGCAGATTGCTGCCCTATCCCTGAGGTTTGGTGTTTTGATATTAAAAGTCTTGGGATGGAGGCGAGTATCAATGATGGGCAACACCGATGCGACGGCAACCTGAGGCCCAATGCCCTATGAGAATCACATATGCACACTGATTATCGGTACACCCGTCGGTCTCGGCGTAGCCCTGAATTTCTTCGGTTTGATCGACGCGCCGGTCCCTTGGCGGCGATATACATTGTTGGTCCGCTTTTTTACTTTGTCATTTCATATCCTGTGCCTTTACCCCTTTGAGTTATTCTGGATTGCGTATGCATTCTGTCCCTGCGCCTCCGCGGCGTCTACGTTGACCTCACTGGCTGTACTTCTTCTATCTGCTCTGGCTTCAGATCTCAACTCTCTTTTGACATAAATCTCCTTCACTCGCTACCGGTCATTCGCTTTTGTCACTCCTTTCTATACATTTTCATTTCATTCCATAGATCACTTACTGTCATTAGATCTATTTGTCTTTAGACTGCAATCCTGTTCTGAATTTACTTTTCAATGCTGCATAGTCTTTCTTCTTCAGCCATAATGTTTGAGAGCACCCCTTACCCCCAGACTGACCGGTCTGAGACGAGMACAATCGTGGAAGAAGAGGTCGAGATGAAGAAGCCTGTTCAGATGAATCTCCGTGAGAGGTTACGCCACTTTACATGGGCATGGTACACCTTGACCATGAGCACTGGAGGCCTGGCGCTCCTCATCTCCAACCAGCCCTTCCAGTTCAAAGGACTCCAAGACATTGGATTGGCAGTATACATCATTGACCTCATCTTCTTCGCCTTCTGCTGCTCCCTCATGGCCCTCCGCTTCATCCTCCATGGCGGCCTTCTCGACTCCCTCCGCCACGATAGAGAGGGTTTCTTCTTCCCGACCTTCTGGCTCTCCGTCGCAACCATCATCTCAGGTCTATACAAGTTCTTTGGTGAAGATGCAAACGAGTCTTTCCAACTCGCCCTCGAGGTCCTCTTCTGGATCTACTGCGCCTGCACCCTCACCCTCGCGGTCGTGCAATACTACTTCGTCTTCTCCACCCACACCTACCACCTCCAAACAATGATGCCCTCTTGGATCCTCCCCATCTTCCCCGTTATGCTCTCCGGCACCATCGCCTCCGTCATCGCCGAAGAGCAGCCCGCCCGCTCCGCAATCCCCATTGTCTGCGCAGGTATCACATTCCAGGGCCTCGGCTTCTCCGTCGCCTTCATGATGTACTCGCACTACATCGGCCGCCTCATGCAAGCCGGGCTCCCGAACCGCGAACACAGACCCGGCATGTTCATCTGCGTCGGGCCGCCAGCCTTCACAGCCTTAGCCCTAGTCGGAATGACAGCAGGCCTCCCCGAGGAATTCGCGATCCTGCACGACGAATCCGCCGTCCAAGACGCCCGCATCATGACGCTCCTCGCCATCTCCGCCGCCGTCTTCCTCTGGGCACTGAGTTTGTGGTTCTTCTGCATCGCCGTCATCGCCGTCATCCGCGAACGCCCAACTGCCTTCCACCTGAACTGGTGGGCCATGGTCTTCCCCAATACTGGATTCACGCTCGCCACAATCACCCTGGGCAACTGGCTCAACAGCACGGGGATCAAGGGCGTCGCGGCCGCAATGTCCATCGGTATCATCTGCATGTTCCTCTTCGTCTTGGTCAGCCACGTCCGTGCCGTTATCCGTCAGGACATCATGTATCCGGGCAAGGACGAGGATGTTTCCGAATGAGCAACTCAACCTTGTCCGCTTATATCATTTTACCCTCTTCTTCGATTCTCCTGCGCTTACCACCGTTGCTTCTTCCAACGTTGCGAACTCGCCCGACCATTTTCAAACACCATTGGATGTATCCATCCTCCCTCGCTTGGACCTTTTCTTTCCCTACTCTTCTTCTCCACAACCTTTGCATTCACTTCTCCTATACAAAGTTTCCCTTTTCATCCGCACATAGACAATTCCTTATTTTGTTCTGTCCTTCGCCAAAATTCAATCATGTTCTGTGTGGGTTGTTTTGTTCGGGTCTGTAGTTAGCATTTACGGCGCTGAAGGGTGTACGGAGTACTGCTTGGTTGACTCTCTCGACATGATCGGCGTTTGGGATCTCCTGCTTTATTGTTTCATCTGCGACTGTTCTGTTCCTGTCAGTTGATCTGTTTCCCCCTTGTTGATCAATGCTTCTTGGCGTTGTTTCTTGGATTAGAAACCGAGATAGAAATTGAGAAACAAATTAGGAAATGATGGACCCCCTTTTGGGTCTTTTAGGGCTAGTTGATCTTGGGTGGAGAGGCGTACGTGTCGTCGATTTAGACCATCGACGCCTCAAAGTTTATCCCGACCTTATCATTACCGAGTAAGAAACGTTGCTACCTTCCAGTCTATGATTTGTTTTAGCCTATATGTACATGAGACTACCGAGCAAGGAGTAAGAAACGTTGAACTATCGTACAGCTTTTTATTCTAACCTAAGCGTGCATAGAGATTGGGCCAATGGCCCGAGAGATAAGTAACTAGATACATGAACGATCAAGTCACAAGACAGTGAAGCAAAGAGAAACTATCTAACCAAGAACACAACCAATCCTCCCATTTGGGTGACAGCCAAGAAAACCCAATTGGGAGAAACCTTGACCAGGATACAAAAGGACTCAAAGACTAGATACAAGAGCAACTCTCCTTCATCAACAACTCCACCTTTGCAAGGACAACTCCATCTTCAAGTGTGATATCTCGTCTCCATCTCACCAAAACAATCCCATCATCCCAACACATACCCATCCCCAAGTGTGATATCCATATCCATCTCACCAAAACAACCTCATCCTCCCAGCACATACCCATCCCCAAGTGTGATTGTCAAGTGTGTTCGATGCAGCCGAAGCGTGCGAGTCGAGTCGAGTCGAGTCGAGATTCACCGTCCCTTGTAGAGTGTGGTGGACACCGTGGATGGAAGTGGTGGACACCGTGGAAGCGGGTGACGAGTTGGGTTATCCTCGTCCCCTAAGGGAAGCACGTCCTCGCGGTGGGTTTTTGTTTTTAGCCAGCCTAGCAAGGTCAGTATGGATTGACGAAGTGTGGTGTGAGGGATACTTACAGGCACTGTCACACTACTGGGCTGAACCCACGACGATGTATGGATCGGCTTGGTGGTGAGAGCAGGGAGCGCGTTGGGTTATCCACGTCCCTATCACATACCGGCGTGTGAGCGTTTGTTTTTAGCCAGCCTACAAAGATGTTAGCACGATTCGTTGCATGAAGAAGGGACTGGGAAGATACTCACAGACTCTGTCGTACTACTGGGCGGCCCACGTTGCCAGGTGATGCTGCTCGGAGGGTCTCGTAGCAAGGAGGCATAGCCAGCCAAGCAGGAAGAAAAGATAGCAAGGAGGCATAGCCAACCAAGCAAGAAAAACTACCTAAGGCAAAGACCAGGGACCGTAGTATGATCTCAAGACGAAGAAATCGGGGAACAAACAGAAGGGCATGAAAGGCAAGGGAACAGACAACAAGCACGACACCAAGCTACCTAAGACAAAGACCAGGGACCGTAGTATGATCTCAAGAAGCAGAAATCAGGGAGAGACAAGGGCAAGAAAGGAAAACAGGGAAGACAGCCAGACAAGACACCAACAAGACACAACACCACAAAACGCCTAACACCACATACAACAGACAAACAGACAAAGACCAGGGACCGTAGTATGATCTCAAGACGCAGAAATCAGGAAGATAGAAGGGCATGAGTGGGAAAAGGGTACACCAGCGCGGAGGCTGGGAGGTGGAGGAGGAGAGAAAAAAGGAACGACGAGGAAGGAAAAGACAAGCTTATAACGGAGGGCGCCCTCGGCCTCGCTGCTCGCTGATTACCAATGCTCGGAGCGGGAAAGCGCGAGAAGGCCGAGCATGGGCGCAGGGTCGTTCCTTCCGTTTTAGGAAATCTTGAAGCTGTACTGGTACCGACGATGACCGTACCAAAGTATGATACGGCGCTCTTAACAGGACAATGAGCATGCGTAGTCCGTTCCAGATGATCCCAGTTTCCACTGCAGTGTCTCTGAGATCAGCATATCATGTAGCAGCTTGTGCAGGCGCGTTGTTAGGGCTAGGTGGGCTGGGCCTGTTGGGTGTCAAAGACGTCCCGCGTACCGAGATGGTACCTCTTCCTGGTAACAACTTCTCATACAGTGCAGACGAAATCGCCACACGGCACGAATTAGCCGGGAATAGAAATACAAGGTTCAGCGAGGCCATTCAACTGAAGGTTGATACCTGTTATTGGACGATACGAGAATAGTACGGAAAGAACTAGAGATAGCTTCCTAGGATTGAACTGTTTGTGATAAGGGTGGCATTTAATTGCATGTGTTTACGTACAGAAAAGCCAGCTGAGGCGTTTGGGCTTCAATCCCAGCGCAGGAGCGAAGCAGCGACACCACTGGCATTACAATCATAGACCAAACACGCTGGGTATCATGTAGACAAAGAGGATAGTCTGACAAGAACACTTCTGTAGCCTGGAGTGCCTTGTCACCAAGTTTTCGTAGTGCGGTATCGACACATGCACAGCCCGATGTGCCCCGCTGAACTATACAGCTGTGCGTCCGAATTCTGTCTTGCAGCGCAGCCCTGGGTAGATTTGGACGAATAAGTCTTCCTAAATTCCAGCTTAACCAGTATTTGATGAAGCTATTCGGCGTTAACGGACGTGATTGCGGTATGTCGCCAAGGAAGGAGCCCTAACTGCGGTCGAGGTACGTCACGTGGAAGACGTTATCCCAACGACTCCATGCTGAGATGATGGAGCACGCTACGACGTCATGCTCAGCCATTCAGACCATTTAACTAGCTGCGACAGACAAGCCGCTTGCCGGTGGCTGAATTTCGCGGTAGCAATATGATCAAGCGACCTTTCGTCCCACGTTGCCAATACCACGTCCAACAATGCTGATAATGACATCGCCGCTATCGTCACTGGCATCTCTCAAGCCCCAGCCAGGGGCACCGAACTTGACTAGATCTCTTGCAAGTTGAATCGAGCTCTCGTCCCCGACGATATCACGACCGACCTGGATACGTCCAACGTCCTCCGAGCCCATGGTCATCAATCCGATCATCGTCGCGAAAGCCGCAGGTGCGACACAGCCGCCCTTTGATATCGTTTCGAGCAGCTGATATGCGCATTGTTTGCCGATATCTTCAGGCGGCTGACCACCACTAGGAGGGCATGCCACGTCGGCGGAGAACAGACAGCCGGTTGAGGATTCTGCGACCAAAGACAAGCCGAAACCGAGACCAATCTTCTTCTTCGCCGACGGGTTATTCCTGTCGTTCGCGGGTACGAGCGGAGCCGAAGATACATCCGAGAAGATATAAGTGTCTGGGACAAGCGGGTTGAGGACACCACGGCAAGTGTCAATCATTCTGGCATTGTTTGAGGCCGAAACACCGACGGAGTATGCCACACCGCGCACCCTCTTGATCCTGCCAGCGTTCATCAGGTGTAGAGTCTTGGGTAGCCGAACTTGATGGCCGAAGACCAGTTGAACCTCACCACCACCACCTCTTCCGTTGGGACCGGGATTTGATCGCTTGAGGACGCGCAACTCTATGTTGTTGAAGATACCAAACTGGTTGAAGAGCGGCAGGATTGCAGTTCGAACGCTGTCCACGGACATATCGCCGGTTGGAGTTGAGGAGGTGATCACACCGGGACCGGTAAAGAGGACCTTCATCGGGGCTTTGGAGAACGGCGCCATAAGACACAAAGGAATGAGGAAGTAGCTGACACCGCGAGTACACCCGGCTGGAATCTCATGTCTAATTACACCACCGCTGCTAGCTCCAGCGCCCGAACCGCTCCCTGTGATCAAGCCTGGTTTGAAGACAATGATCGTACCGGTGTACGAAATCTCCATTTGCGAGCCATTGGTGACAGCCTCGAGCAACCGAAGGAATGAAATTTCGTGCTGTGCAAGACCCGGGTTTGTAGGAGATGAAGGACGAATCTGCGAGATGTGGACAGTGCGGCCGGTGAGGGCAGAGAACACGAGGCGGTAGACAAAATTCTTATGCGAGGTAAGTCGGATGGGAGGTTGCGAGGTCGCCATAGTTGCAATAGTAAGTCTTATCCAATGGCCTCGATCTGTTTGCGTATTAGCTGCCAATTCATGATCTTGAAAAACGAAACTCAAGAAAATCTTCCGGACAAGGGTTCTTCCGCTCCGTGTCCGGACATAAGATTAGCTATCTCCGGGATGTATGATCCGCTGATCACTAGAACCTTAAGCAGACACAACAACATCTCAAGAGCTACACCTGATAAACACGAGATACGCACCTTCAGCTCAGCTTGCAACAACCGGAGCAATGCTGCCTCCCGCTCTGAACATCCCCAAATGGTATCTCACACTCTGGCACTCCCTCCTCAAACACCCGCATACTACCTCTGGCCGAAGTTGTACAGAATGAGCAATATTCTTGTTAGCCGCCTGTATTTTGTTTTCAACCGATAACGAGGCCCTTGAATATCAAGCGCCTGATGTCGTAGCAACAGCTACTAATTTCACTTTTGATACTGTCGGAATCCTGCTTATATATGCAGGCCAGAGGCAGCAGAAATCTACCTCATCACAGATCTACCCCTCCCCCGCGCTTCCCACAGACCCGAACCTGAGATCATGCCAGCTAACAAACAACTCCCTTCAGGCTCGAAGCCAACTCGCACCTCCTGCAACCCCCGGTAAACAACTACTGCGTCTACCACCCCTCCTCCCCCGCAACCTCCGGGTACACGGTCATGATAGTCGGCGGCCCAAACGCCCGCACAGACTACCACATCAACAGCACCCCGGAGTTCTTCTACCAATACCGGGGCTCAATGCTGCTCAAGACCGTGGACACGAGCACAACCCCGCCCACCTTCCAAGACATCCCGATCCACGAGGGCTCGTTGTTCCTGCTACCCGCCAACACGCCGCATTGCCCTGTTCGCTTCAAGGACACGGTTGGCGTTGTCATGGAGCAGCCGCGGCCTGAGAATGCGGAGGATGCTATGAGGTGGTATTGTCGGAATGAGGAGTGCGGGCGGGTAGTTTGGGAGAAGAGGTTTGTGTGCACGGATTTGGGAACGCAGGTTAAGGAGGTTGTTGAGGAGTTTGCGGGGGATGAGGGAAAGAGGACGTGTAAGGGGTGCGGGACGGTTGCGGAGTCGAGGTTCAAGGAGGGCGAGGTGGTGCAGCCTCCTCGGGTTCCGGAGTAGATTGATTGATTGGAATAAGATACGATGAGACGAGACTAGATCATGAGACGAGGAGACGATAAGATGAAATACGAGTTGAGTGAATAGCAGCTGTTACAGAACAGATTAAAGAGTTGTGAGCATCATGTATATGTTACAGTGGCTTCTAATTATCAATTATTGTGCCAGTGGCTAGTAATAGGATGTAGTATGGCAAGGGAGAGGCCTCGTAGGGCTCTAAGGAACAGATGGGTAGAGAGAAGAATAGTGACCTAGGCAGATAGACCCCACGATTCGAATATCGAAATCGGCAAAGATAGCTGAGACAATGACCTTTTAGCAAACGACAAAAGAAATTAATCACTAGTAAAACAAGCCATCCAAGCGGTCGAGCCGAATTGCAGTGCAAAACTTGCTTCATCTGGTATATGGAACGGAGAGCGAGCAGAAGCAAAGCAGAAGCAAAAACCAAACACTTGTACATGGGTATGCGTGCGATACAGTCATGCGAGCCAACTAAGGAATGAGGAAAGCAAGGCACAATTACAAGAGGTAAGAAGATAACGAACCCGCTAAAGCCAGTTTGGTGGGTAGCCATGTCATGTCACAGATTCGAGAACCGTTATTCAGGACCACGTATGTCACTGTCTCATATGTCGACTGCGAACTAATCGTCGAACGGGCAGTCTATGCTCTCATGTCCGTCGCGCTCGCAGAGAGCACACCATTTTGTGTCGTCAATCACTCCGCTGGCCTTGCCTGCGACAGGAGCCATGGACGACGTCAGTCCCACTCCGCGAAGCCCTTCAAGGACAACATCGCGACCGGTTTTCTGGGAAGTGGCGCCTTGACTGCGACTCGACGACGGGGAGTGTGCGGAAAGCTTCTCGTCGGCGAAGCTGTCGTCGTGTGAGGGCTCCTCCGTCTCACTGGGTTTGTTCTTGGCCTCTGCGCCAAACATATTGGTGCAGCTCAAGATGTCGTGGCCGCCAGTCTCGCAAATCTCACACCAGAGGGAACCGCCGTCCTCCGAGCGAGTGTCAGATTCTTGCGCGTCGGATTCGTGCATCGTTTCCAGCCGAGCGGATGTGTCTGAGGCGCCGCGGCGGTGGGATGGGTATGATTGGTAAAGGCCATCCTGCTGATCCTCATCTTGCCAGTCACTTGGAACAACAGTGCGGTCAGACAGTCGGTGCGCATGGTTGATGGTATGTCCGTTACTGATCTTCCCTACTGAGCCGGTGGGTTTGTGCTGCGCGCTGGACTGCGTAATGGTAGAACTTCGGTTGCGACTGCTTCCGTTGATCTGAAGTTGCTGCAACTCGCGCTCGAGCTCTTCAATGCGGTATGTCTTATGCTCGTTGGCTCTTTCAAACTCTTGGACCCGCTCCTCGAGATCAGCCACATGGTCTGCATTGTGATCTGGCCGGGGGCCGAATCCGTTCTGCTGCAGCGCATGCAAGTCAGGGTCCCCCCTGCTCAAAGAATGGATAATTGCTTTCAGTCCGCGGATTTCGTCGTCCTTCTGCTCGAGCTCCCGTGAATGTCCGTCTGGGCTCATGCGGCTCTCCCTAGGCACGCCGGAACTATCCCTTTCCTTTTTCAATTCCAGTTTTGTTCGTTCGACCTCACCGCGTAGGAACTCCACCTCCGCTCTGGCCTCGGCTTCTCCACGGCGTGCATCTTCCAGGCCCTCCTCCAGCTCTGAGACTAGCTCTTCTAGCTGCTTGAGCTGTTGTGCAACGGCCTCGACATCCTCCCCGCGTTCCTGCAGCTCCTTATTCTGCTGCATGAGCTCGTCAATCCGCTGCTCGTATACCCGCTCAGTCTCCGAAGCCGCCACTTCTAACGTGTCGAGCGTGCTCCTAAAGTCAGCGCGGTGCATGTCAAACTCCATAGTCAATTGCGCGATACGTTCATTCTTCTCTCGTAGTTGGGCGCGAATCGACAACGCATCCGATCCCTCCAGTTCCTCTAACGTTCTCTGGAACTCTGATAGCGTAATTGCCTGCTCGTCCAGCTGTTTATCGCGTTCCAGGAGTTGCCTCTCTAGAGCCTTAACCTGCTCTTTAAGATCTGATATCTCCGCTCCCATAGAGTTCCGCCCGAACTCCGAGGTCCTAGCCGAGGACGGGCCGTCTTCAACGCTGAACCGGGACGGCGGACGATCAGACGCGCGAGACGGTGCCTTGACAGGACTTCGTGAAAAACCGTTGGAGGTAGGGGTCTTCGATGCGGCAGAGGGAGTTCGCAATCCCGACAGACTGAGCTTCGGCGGCGCGGTCACTCGTGGGGACTCCGGTCGGGGCAGGGAAGGGCGTCTCATCCGCGGTGGCCGAGGCACCGAGGCACCAGGGCCGACGGATTTGCTGAAGTTGACCGGGCGCGAGGGGGTCGTGGGAGGGTTTGAAGCGGAGCGTCTAGTCACGTATTTATTGTTGTTGAGGGGCACAAAGATACCCGATCCTGCCGTAGCGGTCGTAAAGTACTTCTTCCCGTCCACATCACCACTGTTCTTCCCACGTTTGGCGTGTTCCGGGGCAAGCTCGATGCCCGCAAACCTGCCCGGCTTACCAGTGACGACGCCGACGAATTTCACGGTGCCGTGCATCCCGCCGGGAACGTTGACGACGTCGCCGACCTGTATTTCGTCCAAGGGCGCCATCGCGAGCGACACTGCAGGAATTGGGGAATGGGAGATTGGCGAGGGGTGGGGGGCGAGTTGAAATAAAGAAAGAAGAACAGGAGGGGGACTGAAGGAAGGAAAGTGAACGAAAGGGGAGGAAAAGGGATGGCAAAGAGTGGAGGCAGCAATGATGAACAAAACGATCAACGGGCAGTCATTCTGGAGCTGTAGGGCGTCTGGTGGGCTCTGGTCGGAGAAAACAGTGCTTCAACGGTGCCCAACAGGAATAAACACAAGGCACGCACGAGCTGAGCCAGGAGGCAACGCAGGGGACTGAAACTCGAGTCTCGCGGGTCGACAAGTTGCATCAAATTTAGTGTCGTCATGCGGACTACTCAGACTAGTAGCGCAGGGACTAAACTGTTAGTCTTTCTTAGTTTATCTTCTGCTGTTCTTATCTAATATCTTCTTGATATTTTTCAGGAGTCCCGAGTCCGATCAACGCACGAACCATGGTACCTTTTCTCCCCGCAATGCCAGGCACTTTCATGCTCCTAGCTAGTAGCCACCAGGTTGTTTGTGCTACCAGAATCAATGCTATTGCTGCTGAACTATATTTAACTCCCTGTCATTAGTCCCAAGGTCCAGCTTTGGTCCAATTTTCAGTGCAATTATTGTCAGAACTCAGATTCCATCGGAGTCCACAGATACCCGAGATCCCGATCTGCTACTCCGTGCACACTCACAGTGCACTGATGGATCTCTCAATGTCCGGTAACCCTCCAGATCTTATTGTTCGGTCTCTCATTCGTAGGCATTTTCGGATAATCAATGCAGGATCAGTCAAATCAGCTCAGAGCACGCTCTCGAGAATTCAGGAGGTGGCAATCCGGCACAAAAATCAATTCAAACGAGATGATCCTATTGTCATTTAAAGCTGGTACTAGGTAATGTGCCTGATCATTGCTTTCAGGTGGTTGGTGTTAGGAGTGTTACTGTGTTGGTAGTAGCAAGTAGAGCAAATTAACGAATATATATATTTTTTGTAGCTCGGTTTGCAGACAGATGAGGAACAAACCATCCTTGGCTGTAGGGCAAAGCACCTCGTCCCAGCCCCAAGTTCTGTCAGGTGTAAGTCGAAAAGAAGAGGAGATAACTTCATAATCAATGCTGCGGTTTACCTGAAGGCTGAGCACTGAGCAGAGGCCTGGCTTGGCCGTTGCTTGGGGCCAGTTGTCGCTGCCACTCCGCCTTCTGCTTCCGCCCGTCCCGTCAACGGGAATCCCCTTCGTGTGGAGCCAGTTCTCACCTGCTGCCTGCAGCAACATCATACAGAACAACTGCGACTTCAAATTTCTGAACCTATCAAATATATACATTACAGTCACTTGAAATGCTACATTGACCGTCATACATACCACCAACATGGCCCAATACTTCTTCGACCTCCTCTACAACTTTACAGATTGCATGTGCTGCTTCCCCAGCTCGCCGCAACTGAAGATCAACAACCGCAGCTTCAAACTGCTCCGGCTTCTGGGTGAAGTATGCGACTCAACTCACAGCCATTGATTGCTCGCTGACGTGAACTTCATCGATAGGGAGGCTTTTCCTACGTATACCTCGTCCAAGACAAGTCCACGTCCGAGCTATTCGCGCTCAAGAAGATCCGATGTCCGTTCGGCCAGGAATCCGTGTCGCAGGCCCTGAAGGAGGTGGAGGCTTATAATTTGTTTACATCCGAGAGGAATATTATCCATTCGATCGATCACTGCGTTTCTACAGAGTCCGGCTCCAAGTTTCGCAGCGATGGCGGAGAGGCCGGTTCCAAGACAGTCTACATCCTCCTGCCCTATTACCAAAGAGGAAACCTGCAAGACGCAATCAACGCAAACCTTGTGAACCATACGCGATTCCCGGAGAAGCGCCTTATGGTCCTTATGCTTGGAGTCGCTCAGGCCATGCGCGCGATGCACCAGTACCGCGTCAAGAGTGGCTCTGCGCCGACGCGCAAGGCCAAGGCTGTTAGGAGAGAGGGTGCAGACGCTGATGCAGAGATGCGTACGAGCAAAGGGAAGCGACGGGCTAGTCAGCCTGTTGATGAGGGGGATTCCGAGAATGAACCGCTGATGGATGACGAGGTCACCCAGAGTCAGGAGGGAGTTGAGGATGGAAACCTTCGCCCTTATGCACACCGGGATATTAAACCTGGTATGTATTTGACTTACAAGATCAGTTCCGTAAGCTGACCATTCAGGCAATATCATGATAGATGACGACGGGCAAAGCCCAATTCTGATGGATCTCGGATCGCTTGCGCCCAGCCCCATCGCAATTACCTCTCGCTCACTCGCTCTGGCTGTCCAAGATACCGCCGCAGAGCACAGCACAATGCCGTACCGAGCGCCGGAACTCTTCGACGTCAAGACCGGATCGATCATCGACACGAAAGTGGACATATGGTCCTTGGGCTGTACACTTTACGCCTGCTTAGTAGGCAAGAGCCCCTTCGAAGCTCGAAGCGAAGAGACAGGAGGTAGTTTGAGCATGTGTGTACTGGGCGGAGACTGGAGGTTCCCCGACGAAAAGTCCGGAGCAACCAAGGGCAAAGGCAAAGCTGGCGAGGAGCCGAAGCAGGATAATGCAACTTCTATCAGCGCCCCTATTAAGGAGGTCGTGCGCCGGTGCTTGCAGGTCGAGCCCGCCGACCGTCCTGACATTGACGAGCTGATCCAATTGCTTAAGGAGGTCATAAGGGAGCTGCCGGATGATGATGTGGTGGGTTAAGTTGACTTAGTAGGTAATAACTGGCGTGATTCTATTCTTACATCACACTCGTTGCGCTCTTCAGCTGTTAGATAACCTTGCCTTGCTAGCATTGATCACCAAGTTGTACAATACCACTACTGAACATATGATTAATTTGATTCGTCGATGTTTGCTTCGAGCGTTGGTAAAAGATAAGAGCATCGGGAGTGACTTCTGCGCTCACCAACTCCAACTTTCCTAGCCAGTAGAAGAAAGCCCCCAACCGCTCCTTCTAGCTCCTTCATCCAATGGAGTAGCACCTGCATTTCATGAGGGGAAACTGGATGACGGGCTCTGTATCTCGTCTTATCACTGTCTCCCTGATAAGTAAGTTCCCCAACGCTGAGGTAGATAACGGATTGGAGATGCAGACTCAGGCTGACACCCTCAAAGCTTATCGGAGGAGAAACGGTTCTCTGCGGTGGTGCTGCTTATACTCCGATGTTTCCTTTGTGGACTGCCCACCGTCAATTATTCTCTCCCACACACCGTTCATCTTAGACTTGCTGCAGCATGACACGAACCATCGATCGAGATGCTATCCCGGGCACCTTCACCCTCATAGATGAGAGCCACGTCCTCTCAACCCGCCACCTCGACTCGGGAGACCGCGACATCGTTCTCGTCCCCGAGCCATCCAACGACCCAGACGATCCACTGAACTGGTCGCCACGGCGGAAACTATTGTCTACAACTTGCGTTAGCATGTGAGTCGAAGTGGCCGGACTAGCAAGCGGTAAATCAGGTCTAACCTTTGCTAGATATACTCTATTTGCTGGAATTGCTTGCGCAAATGTCTACTCGGTCCTGACCCAGTTGTCTGAAGAGACTGGGGTCTCGGTTAGCACGCTGAATGAGGGAACGGGGTACATGTTCTTGCTGGCGGGTTGGGGTTTGCTGTTCTGGCAGCCTTTGGCTTTGCAGTATGGGAAGCGGATGACTTATTTGCTGTCGCTTGCGGGTATGGTGGTATGTCTCCACAGGGTCTAGTTGCCAAATTGGATACTAACCCGATGATTAGGGAACTAGTGTCTGGGGGTATGCCTAACCTTCTATTCTTGAAGACATGCTTACACAATGACAGCCCATATGTAAAGAGCAACGGAGAATGGATCGCTAGAAGTGTCGTGATGGGCTTCTTCCTGGCTCCCATTGAGGCTCTTCCGGAGGTGTCTGTCACTGATGTGGTATGCTTTCAATGCATCTTCATTAAATCAAACCTTCCAGCTAACCATCTAGTACTTCACGCACGAGCGAGGAACATACATGGGTCTGTACGCCTTCTTCCTAGCCGGCAGCAACTACTTCGCACCCGTTATATGCGGCTTTATCGCAGAATACCACGGTTGGCAATGGGTGTTCTACTGGCCGGCCATCTTCTGCGGCGCGTCTATGTTAGTCCTCTTTTTCCTCATGGAGGAGACGAATTATGCAAGGAAGAGCCCTAGCATGTCTGATCCTGCTGTAGCTGTGCCTTCGTCGACCGCAACGGAAGACAAAAGAAATGAGAAAGCCCCGATGCCATCAACGCCTTCGAGCCGGAGCCACAGTGACCCGGAAGTAGGAGTGGTGTATAACAAGAAGACATATATGCAGAAGCTCTCCATCTTAGGACCTCGCCAGGCGAGAAATAACATGTTTCGCCGTTCCTGGCAGACGGTGTATTATCTGAGTTGGCCGGTGGTATTTTACGCAGGGTGCGTATGCCAGTGCCACTACTGGGCGAGACTGACTTTGATCTAGGTTCTCGTACGGATCGTACCTAATTTGGTTCAATGTCTTGAACGGCACTGCATCGTTGATATTGGGTTCGGCGCCGTACAACTTCAGGTCCGTACAATACCTGCCCGTATATGGTGCCCTAAAGCTAAAACTTCAAAAGTTCATCAATGGTCGGTCTCAGCTATCTAGCCTGCTGCCTGGGCGTTATTCTCGGGTGAGTACCGTACCCATGCCCAGCATAGCTTAGCCCAATCCTAAACAACAGCAGTTCCCTCTTTACCGGCCGCTTCAGCGACTACCTAACCCTAAAACTCGCCCGCCGCAACGCCGGTGTCATGGAAGCCGAGCACCGGTTATACCCCTTCGCCCTATGCCTGCTCCTCGTTCCAGCATCCCTAATCCTATGGGGGGTCGGCGCCGCACACGGCATCCATTGGTTCGGGCTACTAGTTGCTATGTGCCTGCTAGCGCTCACAAACACGGCGGGCATCACGCTGAGCGTGAACTACCTCGTTGACAGCTACCGCGAGCTCAGCGGGGATGCGATGGCGACAGTTATACTGGTACGGAATACCATGTCTTTTGCCATGGGGTATGGGATTACGCCCTGGGTGGAAGGACTGGGGTATCAGGATTGTTTTGTCTCCGCGGCGTTTGTGGGGTTGGCTTGCTCTGCTGTTTTCCTGGTCATGGTTAGGTGGGGTAAGGGGTTTAGGGTTAGGAGCCGCGAGAGATATTGGAAGGTTGTGCAGGGGAACTGGGAGAGAGGAATGGGTGGGGGACATTAGCCCATTTTAAGTCCTTGTTTGCAACGATGGATCATGGGATGGATGGGACGGGGGTGGGAGACGGAGTAGAACTCGGTAGTCTAGCGCGGACCGTTAATATCTGGAATGGCCCATGGCACGAGGCAATGGCAACGTGGCTGAGTAGAGTTAAGCCCATGGGCTGGCTTTACTAGGTTGGTACAATGGTAAGGGACTGAACTTTGAAGCTAAAAAAGAAGCGGAGGCTGCGTTTAACTAAAGTGTCAGGACTGAGGCTATACAAATTCGGTGCCTGCATTAATGTCTACCTTATGCAGTAAGCATCAGGCCCTTGAGAGCCGATGACAGTCTGACAGTCACTATGATTCATATATCTTGCATTTGCTATTATAAGCGTACCGAGACTCTTATCGAGGCTTGACCTCTCACACTTCTGGGGCTGTTTGTCTCAGCCATTGCAACCGGGGTTCCTGCCATTCTGGGCGATGACGACGATGATCCCAGTCTGCTCTCCGGAGACACTGCCCATTTCTCCCACAAGTCAGGGCCTCTCCATCTCCACCAACATCGGAATCCATCGTAATTCCTCCTCCTCTCCACAGCTAATGTTTGCTAGTCCCGTCTGACACCGCTTTTTATTATCTTTAACCGCTGAATCGCCGCATTTCCTCCAACAAAGTTAGGCTGTCTTCAGCCTAAAGATCCTGGGGCCTTGGCGTGCCAGCGCTGTGGCTGCCGCTCATGGCTGAGTTGCTGCAGGTGAATGGATAATGAGGAAGAACATAGCCACGGCCGGATGTATTAAAAGATGTTTTGGCCCCCAGTCGTACCCCAACGGTGAATTCCTTAAAACGACCGGGCCTAGGCAGGATGGTTGGCGTACCAGGACGGTCAAAAGCATGCGTAACATGTCTGAAGCGGAAGAAGCGAGTACGTCTCTACCTGCTATCGAACTCCGATATAGATGCCTAACCTCATCTCAACAGTGTGACCTGGAGAAACCGTTCTGCGGCACCTGTCGCAAAGCGCGCGTCGAGTGCGGGGGGTATCACCGCCCCCGCATATTCATCAACAACACTATTGAGAACCAGAGCCAACTGGTTCTTAGAAAGATTAAGGGCACAAGTGCTCGTACCGATCGCGAGGATAGTCATGCTTCTTCCTTTACTTCCAAAGGCAGTGATGTTGCTCTTCTGCCAGGGCTAGCGCGCTCCGCCTATCAAGCCAGATACATGGACCTGTTCTGGCGAATATACCTACCCAACGGCGAGGCGCTGTCGGTTGAGGTGACACAGATTGCATTGGGCAAATGGATTGATGCAATCCTTGACTTGAATGGCTCGGAGCCTGCGCTGAGGAAGGCGCTTCTAGCCATGTCGCTTGCCACGGTGGGCAAGCAGGAAAACAATCGATACCTCAAGGAGGAGGGGCGGAGGCTTTATACGAGTTCGCTGCAGGGCATGGCAGTTGCATTGAAGGATCCACGGAGGGCAACTAGTGATGCTATTCTGACGGCTGTTCGGCTGTCTAGCTTTTTCGAGGTACGTCAATGGGCAACTATATCTTGATAATGCTGATTGTTGTCGGCAGTCGTGCTTTGGCCAAAACGATGGCGAGGTGACGCAGGTTCGCAGTTGGCAAGCGCATAACGCCGGAGATATTGCGTTGATCTCAGCGCGGTCTCCGTACTCATTTATATCCGGTCATGCCCATGATTTGTTCGCGGATGGGCGGTCAAATCTGGTGAGTTGCTTGCAAAGACCCAGTACATCTGCAGACATTAACAATGCAGGTAATGCACTACCTTCGCCAAAGGAAGAGATGCTTCTTGGCCGACCCCGACTGGAAGACAATACCCTGGCTCCAGCGAGACAAAAACCCCAGAGATTACCTCATGGACATCCTGCTCGACCTGACTGGCCTGTTCGAAGAACTAGACAATATGAGAGCTCTCCCCGAGTCTGACGTCTTCGAAAGAGAATTCGCACGGCAAAACCTTCTGGACGGATTTCTCCAAATACATCAAGACTTACTAACATGGCAACTTCTGCATGCACCAGACTTCGAACCGCTCGCTGAGGTTCCCTACAATCTCCTCCCGCGCCATATCGTAGGCGCCCACCTGATGACAACCTTCTGGGCCTCTGTCATTGTAATCACAAGCAATATCCAAGCACTTTGCGTTCCGAATGAAGAGTTTGATCCGATTTTTGATCTCGATGCCTGCTGCGCAAACATGGTTCGAACGTTTCCACTCTTCATCCACCCGTCTCTAGGGCTTTTCCGGACCCATGTCACCCCTTACCCGTTCACCGTTGCATTACACTATCTTTGCGCCGCCGGACCACAGAAATTCGTTGAGGAAAGACGGATATTCGCAGACTGTCTTTACGATCCTGCTCTGTCGGGCGTGCAGCAGTTTATCTCTAACATGAAGGACGAGATGCCGGAGGAGTTCCTACATTAAACCTAGCCCTAACACTACTTACACTTAATCAACAAGACAAATGGTCCCATCTTCCCGATACCCAATCTCCCTCACCTTAACATTCCTCAAATGGCTCTGGCCCTTTGAGATCTCACAATCATGATAGAACAACCACCATTTCCCTTCAAACTCCACAATCGAATGATGTGTCGTCCAGCCCAACACCGGTTCAAGGATCCGCCCGCGGTATGTAAACGGTCCCCACGGCGAGTCACTAGTCGCGTAGACAAGATAGTGCGTGTCACCAGTCGAGTACGAGAAATAGTACGTCCCATTGTACTTGTGCATCCAGGCGGCTTCGAAGAAGCGTCTGTCATGGTCGTCCGCTGCAAGCGGTCCGCCAGACTCGTCAAGGATAACGAGCGGGCGAACAGGCGATGCAAGCTCCGTCATCGACTGCGAAAGCTTTGCAATCAGAGGCGAGAGCGCGGGAACCCCTGGACCTGTCGGTTCCTTGCCATCCTTGTCATACGTCCACCCTACCCCATCCTCACCCCGAACCCAGCTCTGCAACTGCCCTCCCCACAACCCTCCAAAATAGATAAACGCTTCCTTCCCATCCCCATCATCACTGTCGACATTCTCATCCACAAACACCGCGGGATCAATACTGAAACTCCCCTGTAACCACAGTTCCTGCGGCCTAAACGGCCCTGCCGGTGACTCCCCAACCGCAACCCCAATCCGGAACAAGCCCTCCCCATCCCTGGCGGGAAAGAACAAGTAGTACTTGCCGTTCCGCTCCGCGGCGTCGGGGGCCCAGAGCTGTTTAGATGCCCAGGGGACTTGTTCAGTTTTCAGGACGGTGCCGTGGTCCGTTACTTCGATTGGTTCCGAGGCATTGGGGCTGAGTGAGTCGATTGAGAAAACGTGGTAGTCGGCCATGTCGTACTGATCGCCATTGTCGTTGGAGGGGATGCCTGTGTCGCGGTCGTGCGAGGGGTAGATGTAGAGTCTGTTGGAGAAGACGTGCGCGGAGGGGTCCGCTGTGTAGAGGTGTGTGATTAGAGGTCTGGGGTCTGGCATTTTGGAATGGGAGGATGTTGGATTGCTGGTGGTGCGTTGGGCTACTTCGAGTTGTCTGCTGACGGTGGCTCTTGGTATAGTGTGGAGGAGAGGTATTGTCTTGTTGTCTTATATGGATATGGTACGTACCTCGAGCCGGAGTTCTACCGTAGTTGTGGGCATGAAAGAGCCTGCAATTTATCCGCCGGCTAAATTACGCTTCAGGAAGCCACTGTAGCCTGTAGGTGGTTTCATTTTCCTCCGCTGGTTCCAGGATGGAGGTGGGAATGGGACGATAGATTAGAGTAATCCTGAACGGACACGGAGCTTCTTCCACGTTCCTGAGGGGATTTCCAGCCTCTTGGAGCTTTGCCGGGAAGGCCTGGTGCATGGATTATAGACTAGTTAAACACAGGTGGAATCTAGACGGTAGACTACATGAGATGATTCTTGATGTTCAAAGTGTCAAGTATTTCATTACATGCCGTCAATGTTTGTATATGACATGTTTGTATATGAGCAATATAGTGGTACTCTATAGAGTCATCCCCAACACCAGAATCCACGCCTTCCACGGTCTAGTCTACATCTGAGCATACTCCACAGGACCAGCTACGGACCCACCTCATACATCCTCCATCCCGTCCATGAACATGTATCTACCGGGTGCATTCCTTCTCCTCTCCTCCACTGCCTTAGCAACCATATGCCTCCTCTCCCAGTCCCTCTCCACCTGTTCAATCACACTTTCTTCCCTCGCTGCTTTGCCCTCCTCACTTTCCGCTTTGACCGGACTCTCGCACCCCCTCAGCCCAATGAACCTCCCAAATCGACGTCTCTTCACCTCCGTATCAACCCCCAAGTCCCGCACAAAGCCATTCGTCGTAAGCCATGGCTTCACGGGGAGCGGATACCGGAAGGACTCACGCCTCGGCGGGTAGACCTGGTGGAAGTGCAGCGCCAGAGCGTCAAGCTGCGCGGACGTCAACAAGTTGAAGGCGAGGATTGACTTGGGGAAATATGGGTGCGTGCGGCCGGTTGAGTACGATACGAGCGGGTGCAGTTTGCGCGCGAGGTGGGCGATTTTGTCTTTGAAGTTGGGGTGGATCTTCGGAGCTGATTCTGAGGTTGACTCACTGAGACCATCGATATTGATTCCAAGCCCTAGATCGATCCCAGACTCCCGGAGATGGGATGTAATCTGCCTGGCCTGCCGCCGTTGCTGCCTGCGACGGAGGCGGCGGCGGAGCCGTTGATGGCGTTCGTCGTTTTGGTGTTCCTGAAGCCGGGCCTCCAGGCGCTGCGTGTAATATTGGATGTTCCGTCTGGCTTCTTCGAGTTGGACAAGACACCGCGAGATTCGATCCTGGAGGTCCTGGTTTTCGTAAGGTGGAGGAGAGAGGGGCGAAAGCCAGGTACGGGTGTCGGCTACAATTTGTTCTGCTTCCTGAGCGAGTCGTTCGATCTCCTGACGTTGTCGCATTAGTTCGTCAATCTCTCCAGGCTCAAGTTCAGACTGCTGATCGTGTTCGGTTTTATGGTCTTCCTGGCCTGCTGTAGGCACATCGCTCGGTATCTCTGGGGACTGAGGTGTGTTCCAGCATTGGGGCTCCGACTTATGATGTTGCTCTTGTGGACTGAGCTCGCCTTCTTCGCGCTGGAACTGTTTCCTTTTCTGAAATAGTCCATCAGCCTCCTCAGCCTTGGTTGGAGACTGCTGAGCGTACTCCATTAGGTCCATGAAGCCTGGTGTGGGCAGACCGTTTGGTTCATCTGGGCATGCGGTCAATTGCGGAGTTGGGGGCGGTGTTAAATACAATTCCGGGGAGGAAACGTATTCGTCATTCTTGCGGTTATCCATCGTTGGGCTTGGTTCTGTAGGTAAGTATACAGCGGTGCGGATGGTGTCGTGTTGAGTTTGATAGAGGTGCCTGGACCTGCAGTTGCAGTGAGATGATTGATGAGCGTAAAGTTAAGCTGCTGCGGTAAACACGCCAAATATATGATCAAGATGAGTAAGGAATGAATTAATTAGACGGGCGACCGAAAGCCTTATAAGCAGACTAACAAGTGTGGACAAAGCATGAGCTGGAACAATTCCCCTTTGTACCCCGAAACACAATGCAGAAACCTCAACTCAGATCCTGTTTCCAGCTCTTGACTGGCCTGAGCTCTGAAGAATCATCAACAAAGAAACGAAACGCGGTTCAGACTATCCCTTGTCGCCAAAATAGACCCAACATAAACAAAACGCCCGATTAAATAAACTCCTGATATAAGTCGCTATATATTCTTGAGACCAATCATAAACACGTTTCAAGACTATGAAAGGCGCACGTCCGCCAAGCGGTTCTGGAGAGCTGCCTTTTCATTGCCCAGAAACTGTTCATAGCGCTCGGACGCGGCAGGGAGACCGACATGTTTGTTGATCCAATTGAAAATAGTATAATGCCACATCAGCGCATTCTCGGGATTCAAAACCCAATGATTCTCGTCTGGGAACGTCAAGAAAGCGCTGTCGATTCCCTTCATCTGCAACACATTGAATGCAGATAGACCTTCAGCTATCGTCAAGCGATAGTCCTTCTCATTATGGATGATGAGATGTGGCGTCTGCCACTGATCCAGGTAACGGGAGGGATCCCACTGTGCCCAGTTCTCAGGAACTTTCCACTGCACGCCCTTGAGATCGTGAAGAGGGAAGTACAATTCTTCGGTCGCAAGCAAAGAGGTCATACTGAAGATGCCATCATGCGTTACAAGAGCTTTGAATCGCCGTCCGAGCGGCTGGCCCTGGATCCAGTTCATCATGTATCCGCCGTACGACGCGCCCAAGGCGACAGCGCGGGTCGTGTCGACATACTCTAGGTTCTTTTCGATATAGTCGAACCCTCTTTCGAGATCGATGTAGGGCAGCCCACCCCAGTTCCCGCGGATCGCATCGGTGAAATCTTGCCCATAGCCAGTGCTGCCTCGCGGGTTAGGTGTAATCACCACATATCCTTGCTCAGCAAAGACGGCAGGATTCCACCTTGTACTCCATTGATCATTCCACGCTCCCTGTGGACCACCATGGACCAGAAAAGCCAGGGGGTACTTGGCCCCTGGTCGAAACCTAGACGGCTTGACCACCCACGCGTGGATCGGGGTGTCCTCCGCCCCTCTGTACCAAATCTCGTCCACTTGAGCTGAGGAAAGCCCAAAAGCAGCTCCACCATGCCCAATTGAAGAGATGACACGGTTGTCGCTAGGGTCCTCCGGGTTGATAATTGTCCATATGCTGTTGTCCACCAGATTGTTACTGGAGATAAGCAGCTTCGACGACTTGGAGGTGGCAGGGTGGACGTCTGTCACATAGCCTGAGCTGGTGATCTTCTTAAGCATATCAGGTGAAGAATGGCGGATGTTGAAAACTGGTAGCTGATAAAGTACCCCACGACCGTATTCCTCCACCTGGATGTATAAGGACTCATCGTCATTGGAAAACGTCAACGCCGACGGGCTGAGATTCCATAGTCCCTTGCCATCTGCAGATGCAAATGCTTCGATCATTTCACCATTCCAAGGGTTGGGGACATAGAGAATCCGGTTCTTATCCGACTCATACCCGTCCTTGCGCATCGCCAAAACAGCAATGGAGCTGCCATCAGACGAAAGAACCGGAGACGACATAGCGCCTTCAAGACCTTGGACCCGGCATATTTTGTGCTCAGTAGCGCTCACGCCGGTCCATGAGAACATCGGGCAGTAATAACACGACCCTGCAGTATGCAAAGCGGGATTAACACCAGGGTCCCGCGCCACAAACACAATCGCCGAGGGACTGATTGCAAAGTCACCTCCGCCTCCAAATGGGGGAATTGGCGACTCAACGCCAGTAAGCCCACAGACTGCAATCAAGTTCGTTATTCCGGAGATAGAGTACTTCCCCGCCTGTCGGGTTGCAGGAGACAGAGGAGCACGCTGGAGCAAGCCATAGAAAATGGCATTTCTCTGAGGCTCAATGTACGAGTCCCAATGTCTCACGAAAAGAGAGGTATACAACTTGCCGGTGGTGGGAGGTGTCTTGGCGTCCTGTGGGTTGTACAGAGTCCCGTCGGGGTTGGATTTGCCGGCCACAGCGAAGCCAATCTTTCCCGACTCGACAATGGTGACTTTGAGGTCTGACACTGGTCCTGGTACTGTTCCCGCAGTGTATGTCCTATCTGCCTGTCGAGCATCCCCAATTATAAAGCTTGTGTTTCCATTCCCTTTGGTTTTCAGCCAGATCAATTGATCAGTATCGTCAATCCACTGCGGCGAGCTGGCGCCTGGGTCGTTTGTTATGAGCGCAGACCGACCCGTTGTAATATCTAACACACGAATCTCATTCGTTTTGGAATGGGACTCGAACGAATAGGTTGTCTGGGTATAGACGGCGAGCGTTCCAGTAGAGTTTGGCACGGCGCTGGACCGTCGAGGTGCTCCGAGAAGTACCCTGTTAAGTCAGCAAATGGAATGACTTCAGAAGATTAGAGCTCCGATGTCTCCGAGGATGAACCAAAAAAAAAACCTTACTCTGGAGTGAATTTCATGGACCGGATCGTCATGTCAACTCCGCAGGCGATAAGCGAACGATAAGCCAGTAGACCAGGAACAGGCGATGGACGAGCGATGGACAGAGTACAGACTGAACAAAAAGGCTATCAGTGAGTGGTTGTGAGTCTCTATCTAGTAGAAAGAAGGAAGATGAAAGATGGTTGAGATGACAATGGCGATGGTGGACAAAAGATAAAGGACCTTGCTGGTGACTCGGTGAGGGGAAAGAGGAGGTGGAAACGCTGGGGTGGAGAGGCTGGGGGAAGATCTCCGAGTCAACTGCATTCCACTACGGCATGAGGATAAAGCTATGAATATCAACAGACGTCAATGAATGTCATGTATACTCTGTATTGCAAGCCTAGCCATCCATATAATTACAATAAATGATACAGTAAATCCCTGCTATGTCATCATTCCTCTTCCTCGCTCTCATCTTCTTCCATGCCCTCAGCAGCCCTGACGGTAAACGTGGGAGCCTGATCCACGCCAACATAGCTGTCACACATCAGGTACAGCGTTAGTTCATGCTCACCAGGCGTGGGCACAGTGTAGTCGAGGCGCAGTTCCAGCTTGCGACCGATAGTAACTCGCTTGATCGCAAGCAAACTCCTCGTCTTCTCGTCACCAACGATCAACCACCAGTTCTCCATTTTCTGACTGGGGTAAAAAGGCGCGTGAACTGTGGTGTCGACCTCTTCATCCTCGTCCACCTCCCGCTCGACCTTGATCTTAAGATACGCAGGTTCACCCGCGGTGATGCTCTCTGGGTCCTCGACCTCAAAGTCGAGTTCAAGAATGGGGTATTTGTTGTTAGTGAACGCAGCTGCCTGCGCCAGTTGTTTGTTGTCAAGGTTCAGACGCTTGATCAAGGTGTTGTAGTCTTTGTTCTCGGACGGGTCCATCGCATCCATGAACTCGAAGATGTCATTGATCCTGGAAACGCATTTGTTAGGACAAGCTCTGGTAGAATAAGCAGGGTTTACATACTTGTACTCATTGGCAACCTTGATAACTTCAGGGCTGAAATGGGGGATCTGTTTGAGCGGGCTGTCACGATCCCACATAGCCTGAACCACCATCTGTGACATCTCCATCGCGTTCATGGCATTCATGTGGCCATCCGAGGCAAGAATATCCACACAAGCACTGAGAAGGTTGAGAACTTTGCTAACAATGACTTCTTGATCCTTAGCCAAATCGATAGGCAGCTGCATGCGTGAAAAGTGAGCTTGCAGCAGCACAAAGGCCTTGAAGTGCGGTGAGTCGTAGGCGGCTTGCGACATCTTGACTGGGACACGGTCGTACACCCGGCGAAGGATGTGGTCTTCGTGGCGGCGCATCTGGACAGACTCGAATTCTGTAGCCGAGGTGACAATCTCCAGAATGCCCTTGAGTTTTGTCCGTGCTGACAAGGAGAGGAGGAAGGTCTGCATGGTGATGTATGAAATGTTGTAGTAGGCGCCGATTGAAGCAGCGTTCAATGGCGAAACACTGTCATCTTCTTCGTCCAGATCAATGATCTTGGCTTCAGACAGCTCCTTCAGAGTGTTCTCCACTAACTCAGACAGGAATGTACTCAGCCCCTCGTGACTGACATCAGTGAGACCGTAGAAGCTGGGATTGGCCAGGAGGCGGCGGTAGAAGTAAGTGTACGTCATCCAGTCAACGGAGTCTTGAGTAGAGGCAATCGTCCCCTGGCTGACCTCGGTAACAAACGCATCGTGCATGTACAACTGCAGGTGACTCTCCACCGGTAGCGCCTCGTTGAGGAACTTCTTGTAGTATTCACGTTTGACCGTTGGGACCATGAGAACACCTCGGCCAATTTTATCCTGACCAGGGCGAGACGCTTTGCCAAACATTTGTAAGATCTCGCTGATAGGATAGTCAATGTAGCGATGCTCTCGGCCTTCGAAGAACTGAGTGCCCATGACGACTACAAGGTGTCCGGTGAGGTTGAGTTCCCAGCAAACATCGCGGGAGGCAATGACCACTTGAATTGCACCGATGTTGTACAGATGACAGACAATGCGCTTGTCAGTCTGACTTAGAGCTTCGTGGTAGTATCCAATACCATGCGAAAGTGATTCGGCCAGAGTACGCTCATGAATGCGGCTGAGTAGCGGCTGCAGTTCCTCAACGTCAGCATGGAGGAACCGGTCCTCGTCATCGTCAATGGAGCATGCCGTCAACAGATCAATAGCGGTTGCGCGGGTCTGCTTTCGATTAGGCACGAAAATCAAAGCAGGTTTATCCGCAGACAGCTGCAGAATTGAAAGATATGCCGGTCGAGCCATTGCCAACATCATTGAAGGGAAATGTGGTATGCTGAAAGACTGAATGTGAAGCTCCAAGGGCACTGGCCGTGCGTGAGGACTGAAGTTGTAGATGGTATGCTTGTTCGCTCCAATCCACTCTCCAATATCCCTAGCATTGGCAAGAGGAACACTGAGTCCCACGATACGCATGCCGCTCTCAGTCTGTAGCGCAATGGAATGCATGCGCGAGACCACAACTTCGTACACGTACCCACCATATCCACCAAGCATGTGTAGCTCATCGGCAATGAACAGCTCGACAGCGCGTACGTTCTTGCGCTTCTGCCATTGCCTGGAAAGTACATCCCACTGGGCGGGAGTAGCGAGAACAAGGTCTGCGCCGGCGAGAATCTTCAGATCAGCTGTCATCTCCCCGGTGAGTTTGGCAATGTTCTTGCCACCAGCCAGGTTGCTCAGTCGCTTTTTCCAGTCTTCAAGTCGGCCGTCAATGAGCTCCTGGAATGGAGCAATGTATACTGCGCGGCCACTGTCTTCTTGGGCCCAATGACGTAGAATTGCCAATTCTGCGCAAACAGTCTTGCCACTGCCCGTGGGAGCACCAATGAACACATTGTCATCACTGTCGAAAAGTGTCTTGAAAGTCTGGGTTTGGATCTTGTTGAAATATTCCCAGTCGCTGTACAGCCGCTGGTACTCGTCGCGCTTGAGAGCCTTGACAGGGGCCCGTTGCATGTCGAGCAATGGAGTATGAGGAGGGAACCTCTCCGGAAGGATCAGTTTCTGGAAGGACACAGCGATGCGAGTTTCAGAATGCATCCAGCGGTCGGAGACGAGAGAGATGAAGTAGTTAGGGGGCATAGGTTCAGTGATGGGAACAGTGAACTCGACAAGGTGCTCGTTCATCTCTGACTCAGCGTAATCCTTGCGCAGAACGAACTGATCATGGAACAGAATCTCCTCCCCGTCGCAATCCTCGACCAGGATCCAAAAGTCCTGGGCAGTGCCGTGAAGCTCCTCGTCCCAAACGAAATTGGGTGTGATCGTCAACTCAACCCTTAGCATGGAGCGAGTGATGGGCTGAACCTGGGCCTGAACCTCCAACCGGGGGAATTTGGAAACCAGATCGCAAACAGTTTGGCCAGCTCTAGGCATGCCTAGAAGCTCACCCATGCGCGGCGGGTCCAGATCAAAGTAACTGCCCCAAGGCACGTCGATTCGCTCTGACTTCTGAAGAATGTCTCGAGGGCATCGCGGAAATTGGCGCAGCGGGCTCATGGTAGGCCACATGCGCCTTTCGGCCATCTTGCAAAGATCAAGGGCATTTTTGGCCACGGAGGCCCAACCGCGGCGTAAACAAATTTCAAATAGCGCACGAATGATACGGCCAGCTGATTGAGTTACATAGACCAAGTCCGCCATCAAGGCGAGACCCTCCAGCTTGAGTCGAGAGATATACGCCTGTAGCAAGACGTTGATCTTGGAGTGAGGCTCATCGATGCTCTCCTTGACCGGGACGGGCACACGGCCAAGCATCTTAGCAAGTTCAAGCTTCTCATCCTGGCGGACCGGAATATACTTAAACTCATCGCTGAGGGCGAAGATGCGGAAAAGCTCAATGTTACCGACAGATGGTTGAAGGTGTTGGTTGTATGTTAGCATGGAGTTATGGCCGATGTAATAATGTGACGCGATTCGTCCAAGCTCCGTGGATTGCAGTCGTCCAGTCTTCTTGTCATACTTGACCAACCCGGCCTTCTCCAAGAGCACAGCTGCAGAGTGCACTAGATCAACTCGCTTCTGTTCGAGAGCATCGTCATTCTCGTAGTCAGCGCCAACGCTGTACAGACCAGGAGAGCGCAGCATGCGGACGAAAAGATAAGTGTAACCAAGCCAGTCGACTCCCTCGTCTCGTGTGCGAATGCTGCCAAGTACAATTTCTGCGTTCATGTTGTCTGCCAGTTTGCTCACAAGCTGACTCTCAATGGGCAATTGTTGGTTCATGAGCGAGAGGTAATACTGAATTTCAGCTTGCGTGGTTATGATGATACCTTCACCATATGTATCGTATTGAGGCCGTCCAGCTCGACCTAGCATTTGCAGAACATCTTGAGGACTTAGCTCAACCCAGCTACCTTTCTCCGGAGAATAGACCTGTGTCCCCTTGATGATGACGGTGTGCGCAGGTAAGTTAACACCCCACGCAAGCGTTGCTGTACAGACAAGAACTTGGATGCTACCATCTTTGAAGAGGGCTTGGACCGAGTCACGATCCGCAAGACTCAAACCAGCGTGGTGAATACCAAAGCCGTAAGGCAGAATATCTTTGAGAGCAGCATCATTTACGGATTCGGCCTCTTCAGCAAGGATAGCCCTGCTTGCAGAGTCGCTTTTTAGGATTTGACCGATAGTCTCCATCTCTAGAGCCTTGTCCCGGAGGTATTTGGCAGTCTTTGCCGTCTCCTTTCGAGAGTGAACGAAGATAAGCATCTGATTTCTGTTCTGTCCAACATGTTCAATGACTTTGTTGTAGCAAATGTCATTCATAATCTTCAGTTGCTTGATAGGCTTCTTATCTGTGACACCAATGAACTCTTGCTTCAGAGGGCAGGGTCGGTATGATCCATCAAAATGGAACATCCCTTTGGCGGGGTCAACGCGTAGAAAGCTTGCGACATCACGGTAGTTGGGAAGAGTAGCACTAAGACCGACGATTCTAACAGGGTCACCAGTTTGCTCGACTTGACGGATAGTCCTGCTGACGATGCTCTCAATGACAGGACCTCGCTCATCGTGAAGCAGATGAATCTCGTCAATGATTACCAGACGAACAAGCTTGGTGTAGCTCGTCTCTGATGCCTTTCGCGTAATAACGTCAAACTTCTCAGGGGTTGTGACAATGACCTGAGTCTCGGCGATTTGCTGCTTCGTAAGTTGACGATCGCCAGTCAATTCTGCGACTCTGATACCGTAAGGGGCGAGACGTTTGCCAAAGTTCTCGACTTGCTCTTGCACAAGAGCCTTCAAAGGGGAGATGTAAATGACCTTGAAGTCATCCAGCATGATCTCTCCCGTCTGAGGGTTGCGGTTCTTGCCGACCTCGCGAAGGATGCTCAGCATAGCCACGTTGGTCTTTCCAGATCCTGTGGGGGCGCAGACAAGCATGTTTCCGTCATCCTGAAAAGCGGAGGGGTAGCATTTGGTCTGGATTCGGTTGAGCTCCTTCGCATCTCCGAAGCCGATGCGAGCCCATTCAGGCAATTCTGAGATTGCAACCTTCCTTTCTCCGGGCTCTGGCTTGTTCTTCGGCGGCGGTACATGAATCTCCTCGTAACCTTTGAACGTCCGTTTCGTCGAACCCTGGGGAAGTTTGACGTTGGGATTTGTCATCAAATGGTTTCCTTGGTGAAACATGAGATTCTCCAAGTTGATTAATCGCTTGGGCTGCAGTCCTCTAACCAACCCACCATCGGCAGGCTTTTGCTCTGCAGCAGGAGCATTTGGCATGTCAACGTCCATGAGATCCATCTTGATCCTCTTTTCAGGGCGACCTGAATCATCATCACGGGCCGTCTTGCCTCGGATCTCGTCCAGGATAGAGCGGTGTCCAGCCTCGACCATCTCGATTTCGACTAGGTTACGAGCGTCGGCATCTTCAGCCACACGTCGCCAGCGAGTAGTCCAGACGACTTTATCACGGTTCATGACGAGTTTAGCAACAAGCTCTGGAAAATCGTAATCAAAAAGCTCCATAAGGTCGTTCTCTACATCTCGCAGCGACCTCTCCGAGCCATCCTCCGTCTTACCACCCATGATTTCAAGTGCTTGGGTGGCCTTTTCTTGCTGGATGTGGGCATCTGAGTACGCGGCACCAATTTGACGCTGCAGCCAGTATGCATCAATATCGCGAGCATGGACTTTGAGGCCCGTCTTCTCTTGTTCCCCGTCTCTGGATAATCCGCCATCAATGACCATTTCTTCTGTAGGCAGATCTCCCGAGGCTTCCTTCGCTGTGGCCTCGTCACCAGATTCGGCCTGCTCTTCGTCTTCATCAGACTCGTCCTCGTCATGTACCTCGTCCAGAGTACCCATGCGATCTTCATCCTCGTCCTCGTCGAAAACCACGGCAACACCTTGTCGTTCGTCGAGTTCGGCCTCGTCTTCTCCAGCAACACCATCGCCCATTTCTTCATCCTCGTCCTGCGCATCGTAATCCGTGATCTTCTTTCCGAGGTTGACAAGCTCATTGAACTCTTTCGGGTCTAATGACGTGCCAAGTAAATCGTCGACTTCCTTCTTTTTATCGAAGTCCTTCATCTCCTCATCTTTCAAGATCTCCAGTACCGCATCAGCGGCGCTTCGAACAACTTCATGTGAGACGTCACCAAGACGGCTCGCAGTCAATGTGAGGATTAGGTCGTAGGTAGCTCGGGTAGCTGGCGTACGAGGGCGATATTTGAGGCCTTCGATCAAAGCGTCGGCAGCGGTCAGAATTCCCTGTCCGCGATATTGGGCGGGTTGGCCCTTCTGTCGCTTCTTCTGTTCACGCGCAAGGACATCCTCGCCCTCCCGAATGGCACCCCGCTCAACGTCGACAGGGCCGACGGCCTTCTTGGACTTCGGTGCATCATCGCGCGCTATCCTTGATCCCATCTCCCGGATACCGATACGGCCGGCGAGCGATTCTGGGTCTCCGGTGGCTTCATCGTTGACGCGGGAGATGAAACGACGGTCCGCCTGGAGAACCAGGTTGGACATCGCCGAGTACTTGTACTGTGAAATATTTTGGTCCGCCATTTTGTTGATCGGCGCTAGAGCAAATTCGTATAAAAGAGGAAAAGAAAGGGTATCGCAGGCGTTGTGACTGGCTCAACGGAGCTCAGGCTCAGGAATCGGCGGCGCGTCGAGACACCTGCGACTAGAGATGAATCCTGTGGTAAAATGAGGTCTGTGAGGCTTCACAAACCTGGACCATCGTCCTGCAGCAAACAACTGCCTCAAGCGTTACGCGGCGAGCTCCTGCTAAAAATTGAGGGAGAAAAGTGGTTGCGTTGAAGCTGTCGGGAAGAATGATGAACGTGAGTTGTCGCAGATTTCGGTGGCGGAAGGTTTGGCGGTTTGCGGCCTCAGAGCTAAGGCAGCTCTTCCTTTTCTGCCGCCAGAAGCAACCTTGGAACACTGGGTCAGGAACTCATCTCTGTCACCAGTTACCGTGAGATATGCTGGGCAATGGGTCTCGTATACATTATCTGGCCCAGTGGCAGGCTAGATCTTTAACCCGCTTCGAGACTGCCGTGCCCTATCGCTGCCTCGTGCACCGGACAATATGCCACCATGCTCAACCGCGACGCGTCGCAGCTCCGAAGCCAACCGCGGCCTTTCCCACGCAACGACGGTCAGCTAAAACGAAGTCCACGGTGAAGCTCAAGGATCTCCCTCAAGGCGCAGTAAAACTGGAGCCATATAGTGATGTCGTGGAGGAAACGCCCCGATACCCGACGGTTCTCCAGGGACACCGCAACAACATGCACAAGTTCAAGGACTGCGTTGTCCTGACTAGGGTTGGAGGTTTCTACGAGGTAGGTTGTCGCTCTTAACATGAATCAAGGCTGACCATACAGCTTTACTTCGAACAAGCGGAGGAATTCGCTCCGTTGCTCAACATAAAGCTTGCCTCCAAAAAGACCAGCGCCGGGCCTGTCCCCATGGCAGGCTTCCCGTTCTTCCAACTAGACCGCTTCCTGAAGATTCTTGTGCAAGATCTGAACAAGTATGTTGCCATCAGCGAAGAGTTCGCCATCAGTGCGGAGGAGAAAGCACGGTCCGGTATGCTATTTGACCGCAAGGTAGCCCGGGTCATCACTCCGGGCACCCTGATCGATGAAAAGTTTATGGATCCATCCGAAAACAATTTTCTCATGTCAATATACATCGATCCATCACAGTTGGGTAGATCTGCGAGCGGCGACGAATCCTCTCACCAGCATGTCATCACATCGGCCTCCTCACAGAACGTCGGCCTCGCGTGGCTGGACCTCTCCACAGGTGACTTTTACACCCAGTCCACCACAGCGCAGATGCTCCCATCCGCAATTGCAAGGGTAGGTGCCAGGGAGATTCTCGTAGACCAACGTCTTCAAGATCTAGTCGGACAAGAGCTGCAGCTGCTTATCGGCCACGAACATCGGTTAATGACCTTTTTTAACTTTCCTGAGAACGTTGCGCCGGTGTCGGATTGGGCATATATGCTGGAAGAGCCCCTACCGTCTACGTCAATCGACTCATTCACGCAAGAGGAAGTCGCGGCAGGCTATAGTTTGCTAGAATACATTCGAGTCCAACTGCAGGGTCTTAACCTAAAGCTGCAGCCGCCTCGTCGCCGGCATCTGGACGAATCGATGAACATCGATCGTAACAGTCTAAGAGGCCTTGAAATACTCGAGACAGCGCGCGAAAGTCTTGGAAAGGGTAGTCTACTTCATGCGGTGCGTCGGACGTCCACCAAAAGCGGAGCGCGACTACTCCGGGATCGCCTATCATCTCCTTCGACTTCACTGTCAGTGATCAATGATCGTCTCAATCTAGTTTCAGTATTCATTGAGGATAGTGAACTACGTGATGGGCTAGTGCAGCTGCTCAAGCGCAGTTACGATGCCCAGCGTTTGGTTCAGAAGTTCACTCTAGGGAGGGGAGACCCAGATGACTTGATCTGCTTGTCTAAGGCTATAGCAGCTTCGAAGGAAGTGAAGCGGCTATTATCTACAACTAGCAACGCACGATTCTCGAAGTCTTCTCAGGAAGCACTCCGGACAATGGTTGGTCGGCTATATCTGGATGGGCCAACAATCCTCGCAGACAAGATTTTGTCCGCAATCGACGAGGAAGGCCTGCTACAAAAGCAACGCATCGAAGATGACACTGCAGCTGAAGCGGCCCTTCTAGCACATGAAGTCACCCTTAACGAAGGCGCAGCAGCTGATCTAGCGAGTTTGCCAAAGAAAGTCAGACAGAAGACTGCCAATCACTCGGCAACAGATGAGTCTTCGGTTGTCGAGACATGGATAATGCGACGAGACGCGAGTGCCGCGTTGGAACAACTTCACCGAACACTAGACGAACTGCAGACAGAGAAATCGGACCTCGGCCAGCATCTTCGTGACTCTGTCGGATCCTCCACTATTACACTGAAGTGGACTCCTGGCTTGGGGCACATATGCCATGTCAAGGGTGCGAAGGTCTCGCAGGAGCAACTGGAAGAGCTTGGAGTGACTCGAAATGTTTCCTCAACAAAGTCAACCAGGTCATTCTACCTCCCCGCTTGGACCGAACTCGGCGGCCGCATGGATCAATTGAAGGTCCAGATCCGGCAGGAGGAGCAAGCCATCTTCGAGCAGCTACGCCGCGAAGTCATCATGAACCTAGTAAAGATCCGCCGCAATGCCTCGGTCATGGACGAACTCGACGTCGCCTGCTCGTTTGCTACACTCGCGGACGAACAGCAACTCATCCGCCCCACCCTCACAACAGGCACATCACACAAAATTGTCGGAGGCCGCCATCCAACCGTCAAACTCGGTCTCGAAGAACAAGGACGTCGCTTCGTCAGTAACGACTGCTTCCTCGGCGAATCCGAGCGCATCTGGCTCATTACAGGCCCTAACATGGCAGGAAAGAGTACGTTCCTTCGCCAGAACGCACTCATCACCATCCTCGCCCAGGTCGGGTCCTTCGTGCCCGCCGACTACGCTGAGATCGGTATCGTTGATCAGATTTTCAGCCGCATTGGCGCAGCAGACGATCTCTTCCGCGACCAGTCCACGTTTATGGTTGAGATGCTGGAGACGGCGGCCATCCTTAAGCAGGCGACGCCAAGGTCGTTTGTGATTATGGATGAGGTTGGGCGGGGGACAACGCCTGAGGACGGAACGGCGGTTAGCTTTGCGTGTCTGCACCATTTGCATTACCGGAATCAGTGCCGGACGCTGTTTGCGACGCATTTCCATGGGCTTGCCGATATGACCCAAGAGTTCTCCGCGCTGGAGAGGTATTGTACTGATGTGAAGCAGACGGCTGAGGGAGCATTCTCGTTTGTCCATAAGCTGCGGAAGGGTGTCAATCGAGAGTCGCATGCTTTGAAAGTCGCCCAGCTGGCGGGATTGCCTAAAGAGACACTCGAGCTGGCGAGGAGGGTTCGTGACAGTGCCCGCCGTGAAGCTTCTCAGCTCAGTGCCTCTGCCTCTGCTTCTGCATCATAAATTTCCACTTCTAATGTATACTTGCATATCATACAACAATCTAATATACCACCATTTTTCAACCCTAATCGTAACGGTCATGACCACTCCATATGAGCCCTACAACTTCGACTTCGCCCTTCCCCCTTCCTTCCCACTCAAATCAACAGCAACCCCTTCCCTAATACAAACTTCCTGACAATCCTCCTCCGCAACTCCATTAACAAACTGCGTAACCACAAAATCCACTCTGCGCTCGCCAACAACCACCATCGGCGCGTGCCACGTCCCAGCCCCATACGTAACAGCCTGATCCCCACTCACCACAAACGCCCTGAGTCTACTCAGATCGGGCGGATCGCGGACGACCACACTCTCTCCCGCCTCAGTCGTCGCCGCAGCAGTTTCCCCGCGCAGTGTAGGCGCCACAACGACAAGGTAGTATGTGCCTTTATCGTCGGAGCCAAGACCAAGCGGGGAGAACGTCTGCGTGGTGTAAGAGTGTCGCTCGAGAATCCCAACATCAAAAACCACTCTGTCTGTCTCCTTCCCACTGCCGGTCCCGGCAACGGTTCGCAGTGTCCGCGGGAAACAGCTGAACATGGTCATCCGCGCCTCGGAGGGCTGCTTGCTGGGACATTGCGCGTAGTTATTGAGTAGTGGCGATATAGGGCTGTATTTCAGCGCGGAAAGCTGGTTTGCGGCCACTGGGGACGGCACGAGGGGGTGCTTTGGGTGTGAGGAGAGAGGGTTTGGGGCGCTGGTTGCGGTGCGCGGGAGGGGCGGGATGATTGCGGTGCCGAAGGGGGCGAAGGCGTCGCGGGTTAGGGGCTCCGGGGTCAGAGTGAGGGAGGGCGAAGTTAGAAGAGTTGGTGGCATTTTGTTTGTGAGATGTGGAGGTTGGAATTGGAATTGGGGGAAGCAATGGGTTGGCGATGGGATGCGGAAGGATTATATAGAGTGGGGTGGGTGGAGTGAGTTGGAGTTGGAGCTGTTCGGGAGTCGCCGATGAGGGTCCATCTTTCTGTCAATCGCATCAACCATTGATGTTAAACAATCCTAGATTCAGGCAAAGGAAACACTATTTACCCTAAGCCAAGCTGAAAACCAACGCTTTCCGGCCATGGCATGGCTACTCTCAACCCCCAACCCCTCTCCATCTTCTTTTCCCCTGCGTTGCTTCTTTTCACCCTATTTTCCCCGTTTGCTTTTGTTCGTCTCTTCTCTTGACGAGCGAGTTTCTATGGACTGGACCTGACTGGAGTAAGTCTGGATGGATAGAATGGCTATGTCTGCGTTGGCATGAGCACGTCATCTAATCCGAGGGCAAGACACAAATACATTCTGACAGTCTATTGATTTGAAATTTATACAAATTGTTTGTCAAATATATACTAGATCCGCTGAAAAGCACTTTTTATATACTCCCCTTGGGACTGTTCCATACTGCTTCCGTGAGCATCAAACGCCTGAAACCGGCCTATCGCTCTCCTGCACATCCAAAGCCCCCTTCTCCTTCTCCTTCAACCCGGTCTTCGTCTCAACATGCTCCTGGCTAAGCTGCCTCTTAGAAACAAAGAAACTAGCCACGAGCCCCACAGCCGCAAGAGCCGTATACAAGATCCAGATATTCCTGATGCTCCACGCAAACGCACTCTTCACAGCATGCCTCTGTAGCGAGTCCTCTATGTCCTTGACAGCAAGAACATTCGCGGCGGCCTCCGCGCCCGAAAAGTCCTCCTGTAGGGCAGCACTCAGCCCCGCATCTTGCAGGACGTCCTTTTCCATGTGCATGCTGTTCTGGAAGACGACGCCGCCCAGCACAACGGACAGCGCCATGGCGACGTTGCGCACGAACCCGAACGTCGCGGTTGCGGTTGCGGTGTCCTTGGTGGGGATGTTGCTTTGCAATGCCAGAAGCGGCGGGAAGAAGAGCAGGCCGCACCCACAGCCGGAAAGGATCTGGTACCCAATGATCTTGCCCAAGGGGGTGGATGTGTTATAGTCGATGAAGAGACCTGTGCCAAGAGTGACGAGCGCCATACCGAGCCAGATTACCTCTTGGTACCGGCCTGTGCGGTGAATGAGAATTCCGACGAAGAGACTAGTGAAGGATTCGCTTAGTATGAAGGGGAGGATTAGTAGACCTGAATGGAAGGGGGAAGCTTCCTTTGCAGATTGGAAGTAGAGCGGGAGGTAGTATTCTGCGCCGAGGAAGGCCTGTTGAAGTGAGTCAAGGTAGTACTATAATTCAGGTTGTGTATGTACTTACGAAGCCGTGTGTAAAGTCTACCAGGAAGCAGGCAATGTTTGAGCGGCTCTTGAAAATGTGCAAGGGCATGAGAGGATACTTTGCCAGCCGCTTCTCACTGTAGATGAATGCAATGGACATCAACGCGCCAAAGACAATCAAGCAGATGACTTTAGGGCTGTCCCAAGGGAAGGTATCCCCGCCAAAGTCCAATCCGAGAAGGATCATAATGGAGATGGCTAGGATGGACAAGCTGCCGAACCAGTCTACTGCCTTGACTCCGTCGAGTATGGACGTCCTAGGGTTATGGACATCGAGGAACAGAATAAGCAGCACAAATGCCGTGCCGCATACTGGAAGGTTGATCCAGAAGATCCATCGCCATGAAATGGATTCGGTGAAGACACCGCCGAGGACTGGGCCGAGTGCACCAGCCACGGTCCAAGTGAACTCCATAAGTCCCATGAACAGGCTGCGTAGCCTGCATTGGGAAGTCAGTAATAATGCGCCTTGCACGTATGCACTACTCACCTAACACTGAACAAATCAGATATAGTGATCAAGATGAGCTGGATAAGACCACCCCCAGCAATACCCTGCAAACTACGGCCCACAATCAACATGGCCATATCCACCGCCGTCGCGCAAATAATCGACGAGACAAAGAACAGCGCAACAGCCGATAGCAAAATGGGTTTCCGGCCCCAGATGTCAGACACGTTAGCCCAGATGTTGCCGCTGGCCGCGTTGGCGAGCAGGTAAGCGCCTCCAATCCAGACATATCCGCCACCAGAATGCAAATCTGCGGATATAGTCGGAGTAGCAGTGGCTACGATGGTTTGGTCGAGGGCGGAGATAAACAAGCTCAACTAGACCCTTGCATGAGTGACAAGCCCTAATGTAGTGCAACTCGCCCTGGGTAACTAGGCCGGAAACTTACTGCCAGAGCAACCAAGATAGCACCAATCCGCCAATTCCCGCGGGTCTTTGGGGATTCAGTGTCCACTTCTTGTGTACTTTTTGTTTCTGTAGTGCATTCCTCTGCTTTAGTCTCCGAACCAGGTTCGTTTGCAGCATGGCTCGTGATCTCTCCCATCTGAATCTCTGGGCTAGTGGGGGAGGCCATCGCTTCCAGAGCACCCCGTTATCGAGGAGTGGCCTCTATACCTGAGAGCCAAAACGAGTATATACAAAAGGACCTATCTCCACCAAATGAACGAGATGAAGTTGTAGAAAAAGATCTCTTCTGTTTGAGTCATCCGCTGTTTGGTTGCTTTGCCGGATCTTTCTGCCTCAGGCCTTAATCTCAGAATCTCAGGCACCACTGCATCTCCTCCTCCCTCCAATCTCTAGCAAACACACAACATCTGCTAATGCATTCCTCCTTGTTGACCGACCCGTGAAAGATCTTTACCTGCTGCCATTTATCTGCGTCACGTCCTATATCTTTGGTTTCCCAAATAGCGCCCTCGAGCAGCTGATAAGAGGCGCCGAGTTGGAGACAACTGATGCAAGCGTCGAGTTCATCTACTTAGACCAACGGCTAGACAGGCCTTCGATGCGTTCGTACAAAGATTGGACGGCTCATGGAGTCATGATAGCCCTGGATAATCATCCAATCAACTCCTCTGTCTGCAGTTTTTCACGTTGAAGGTCCAATCAACCACCTGGCAACGCAGAATGTTGTTGGATATTGCGACTTGGACGGGTTCATCTACGCCCAGCCACAGAACAATTCGGCTCTCGGCAAGGAGTCGAGGTCTGATAGACCGCAAATAGAGGCGATCAGTTGTTGGCGACGAATAGGATGAAGATTCGGACTATTTCTTGCTTGATGGTACTTCCCCGCACGTCCAAGCCGAGGCCCATATAGTTCCCACTGCCCCGAGAGCAACATTGTCCTCGAAATGCAGCTACGCACTCGAGTCTCTTCCTGTTATTCATTATTGGGCCAATTCTACCGATAAAAATGGCGGCAGACATCCCCCGTAAGCTCTGGGAGCACCACAACCCTAGGGCTACTGAAATGTGGGCGTTCAAGGAGCGCTTGGAGAAAGAGAAGGGTATAAGTCTTCCAGTAAGCATATCCAGAAACTAAGAGGAAATCATAATCTTACGGTCACAGACTTATTATGACCTCTACACCTGGTCGGTGAAGAACCGCGCTGCATTCTGGGATTTTAGCTGGAAATACTTCCCCATCATCTACGAAGGATCTTATACCACCGTTATAGACGAATCCGCTCGCATTGACAGCATCCCCACCTGGTTTGAAGGTGTCCGGCTCAACTTCGCCGAGAACATGCTCTTTACAGCCGAAAAGAGCCCCAATGGAACCCACTTTATCTCGACAGCTGGAAAAGAAGACAGCAAGATCGTAGCGACCCAGGTGCGCGAAGGCGCCGCGGAACCCGCCACCTCCATCACCTGGTCCCAATTGAGACAGCGGACAGGAAAGCTGCTTCAAGCGCTAAAGGCCGCCGGGTTGGCCAAGGGAGACCGCGTAGCGGTTGTCGCTAGCAATAGTATAGACACACTGGTTGTCTTCCTGGCCACCACCGCTCTGGGCGGCCTGTTCTCATCCGCCTCGACCGATACCGGTGTCAAGGGCATCCTCGACCGGCTTGTCCAAATCAAGCCGAAATACGTCTTCTTCGATGATGCCACCGTCTATAACGGAAAACACATTGATCTTCGCCCGAAGATAACCGACGTCGTCAACGGGCTCAAAGATACCCCCGAATTCAAGAGCCTATTCACCCTCCCCCGGTTTCCTGATAATGCAGTCGACGTGACGGGCGTGCCCAGAACCCAGCCCCTAGCACACCTCCTAGCTACTGCGCCATCAGATAAGCTCGAATTCGTCCGCGTGGCCTTCCGCGACCCCTTCCTCGTCGCCTTCAGCTCAGGAACAACGGGCAAGCCGAAACCCATCGTCCATGGCGTCGGCGGATACATCCTCAACAGTAACAAAGAGTCCCGTCTACACCGCAGTCATGGACCAAAGTCCATCACGTTGCAGTTCACAACAACGGGTTGGATCATGTACATGTCCGCTATATCGGGACTGATGTACGGCGGTAGCACAATCCTCTACGACGGAAGTCCCTTCATCCCAAACCCTAAAATCCTCATTCATCTACTCGGAAAATACAAGGTCACCCACTTCGGCACATCCCCGCGGTATCTGCACGAGCTACGGAAGAACGGGATCTACCCACGAGCCGAAGAAGACCTTAGTAACCTCGTCGGCGTCACAAGCACAGGCATGGTTCTCCCGGACTCCATTGCCGAGTGGTTCTACGACGCTGGCTTCCCGCCTCACGTTCAGTTAGCCAATATCTCCGGCGGCACGGATCTAGCCGCTTGCTTTGGGCTCGAGAATCCGATTACACCGCTCTATGTCGGCGGGTGTCAGGGCCTGCCTCTGGGGATACCAGTTGAAGTCTACGACCAAGCAGACGAAGGCGCGTTCGGCGTCAAGGGCACGCCTGTCCCTGATGGCGTTCCTGGCGAGATTGTCGCAACAGCTGCGTTCCCAACTATGCCTGTGATGTTCCTCGGCGAGGACGGTGCTCAGAAGTACTTCGATTCGTATTTTGCGAGATTTGACAGTACGTCACGTAACCCTAACTTCCATACTTCATCCCTCTTTTCTCATCCCACCACATCCTGCATCATATCACTAACATCTGGAAAGACGTCTGGACCCACGGCGACTTTATCTCAATCCACCCCGTAACAAAACAAATCTTCTTCCTCGGCCGCTCCGACGGCGTCCTAAATCCCTCGGGAATCAGATTCGGGTCCGCCGAGATCTACAACGTGATCGAGACGCAATTCACCAAGGAGATCGTTGACTCCCTTTGCGTCGGGCAGCGCCGGCCTCAAGACACCGATGAATCGGTGATTCTGTTTTTGCTTATGAGGACCGGATACAAGGTTACCGAGGAGCTGGTCAATCGGGTCAAGGACGCTATTAAAAGGGCATTGAGTGCGAGGCATGTTCCGAAGTATATTTTTGGGACGCCTGAGATTCCGGTATGTTACCTTTTCTTCTTGGATATTTTTCGTATGTGTAGTGGAGTGGGATGTAAGGTTGCTAACGGGAACCTCCCTACGCAGACAACAGTGAATCTCAAAAAGGTCGAGTTACCCGTGAAACAGATCGTCTCAGGTAAGAAGATCAAGGCGTCGGGGACATTGCTGAATCCAGAGAGCCTGGAGTACTACTATCAGTTTGTAGACGTGGAGAGATTGGCTGCTGAAGGAGAGTTGAAGGCGAAGCTATAGAAACATACATATGTTCTCTCAAGCGTTAGATTTGAGGATATAAGAGAAAAGGGTACTTCCTCGAATTCCTTATCCGTATGGAGACGCATATAATGTTTTGAAATATTGATGCATTGTCATTCATCCAACCGACCTGCAGGACAATCGTGACCTATGCTTCAACTTCAACAGCCGATGCAGCTTTAGTCTGGGAACGGAGTAACAATAATAGGGTAATTTGATATCGAGAACGCAGAGTAGAAGAAGAATTCAGAGCCCAAGAAGACAGATTATCATGCGCCGTTCTATACGCCTAGCCCATATAAGCGGAGGAAACAAGGATAACCCTAACAAATCGAGAAGTTGTCTATTTGTTGTGCACCAGGAAGTTGCGGAACGAGTCCCAGTGATCCGAGTCGGCATATCTAGAGCAAAAACTTAGTAATTCTAGTCCTTACCACCATGAGCATGGGTGAGCGAGGGACATACATGTAAACCATACTACTCCGCAAACTTGACATCAGAACCTCCGGATGCCAGCGGAAGAGGTACATAACGAACGCCCAGCTCAAAGACGCAAAGACTGCCCAGGCGTTACCCTCAATCTGCTTTCGTGCTTCGGGGCCGATAAGCGATGAGAAAGGGCGAGCGCCAGGCTGCACGGAAAGCTTCGCGAAGCCGAGGACTACGCGGGCGAAGATGTAGATCACGATCTGACCACGTTAGCGCGACCATCCACCAAATCCATGCCAGGAGGGATGAGCTGCGATACGCACCTGCTGCGTGATACTCGACTTATGCCTCCCGAAGACCGCATAACCCCCCATCAACCCCGCAAAAAAGCTATCGTACTGCCCCTCTCTCCCCACGCCGGCAGGATTTATATTGCGCAGGGCGATCATGGAGCTCTTGTATATCAGGCAGAAGACAGCGAGGTTTCGGGCATGTTGGCGCGTCGCATTAAGGACGAGTTTGACTTTCTCGCGGATGCTAATGACGTATGTATGTCAGTTGATGTATGTCGACGAGGCCGGGGATGGAGATCTGGGGAATGCGGGGGTCCTTACGTTCCGGAGCGGAAAAGGAATATCATCCTACAATGCGCGGTCCATATTAGCATACTACTGCAACCAAGAGGTAAATCACGCTGTTATCACATACACCAGAGCATGCGGAAACCGCACCTTGGCGCCGTATACTGCGCCATTACGAATGCCCTTCACCAGTGACAGGAGCGGTGCGAGATCCGGATTTGTCACGAGGGCGTCTAGACGAGACTGCTCAGGTGTTAGTTTTATGTTGCTCCTCTGAAAGCGCGCGAAGTCGTACAACTAGAGCGTCCATGGTGTCGAGTGGTCGGTATAGCGGAGAACCTCGGCAGACCGAGTCGGCAGCGACGGTTCGATAATCAGTTGCTCCGGTGGATGGGACGCGGGTCGACAGGGAGCATCGGGGGGATACGAGGTCGGAGCAGCGACCGGAAGAGAAAGAAGAGTTCTTTAAAGACGAAGGACGAAGATAGGAAAGGGAGTTGCGGGCGGCATATTGTAGCAGGTTGGTATCCGCGCTGTCGAGAAAAGATCCTCGGCATGTGAGTTGCTGCCGAGTCGACCAACGTCATGTCACGTGTTTGCTATCAACTACTAGGTACTGTACTATAGACGGAAGTTTTGAGCCCTGAACGCCAGAAACAATCAATCAGACACCATATCCTGCATATCCTTACTCATGTCGTGCCCGCTTGGCCCCCTCGTCTTCCGAGACCTCATCCACATCCATCATGTCCGCGTCTCCCTCGTCATCAGACTCAACCCCAGCCCTCCGCTTCAGACCCTTCATCTTCCTCGTCTGCAATCCACCCAGATCCTGCTTGTTCAAGTGCACCCGGCCGACCTTGTCACCGATCAGATCGATACCGATGTTCTTCTTGTTCTTGATCTCCTCGTTAGGCTTCTTGCCCTGCTTCATGGCCTCCTTCATAACGTCACGAGGAGCCTCTTGAGTACGTCCGACCTTGAAGTCGAATTTAGGTCCGATCTCCTCCAGCTCCACGCGGGGTAGCTTGTGTCCGCTTCGCTTGGTCACGATCTTGTACCACCGTAGGTGAATAATGGGGGCGAGTCCCGCCGTAGGCTCCTCTGCGCCAACCATCAGCGCATACTGTAGTCCCTCCACATCGATCTTATCGCTAGTATCGCCCTTGAACAGATCCAGAAGCATGCTCTTCAGCATTGTGTGCGTCGTCGATGTCGTATCCTCCCATGCGCTACCGGAGAAGAGCATGAGCGGCCGGAGTCCGACACCGATGTGCATAGAGAGCTTGTTCATCTCGGGAATTCCCTCGCCATTGGCGTCGGGGAGGAGTAGAAGTTCGAGCATGTCGAGAACCTTGGAGTCGAAGATGCGCGCGAGTGTCAGGCAGTTGGGTCGCTTCTTGTTACTGCTTCCGAAAATGACCATACCACAGTCGTTCTTGTTGGCCAGAAACTCGAGACTCTCGACATTTTCAAATGGGTGGATGTTCTCATTTTTCTTGTGGAAGAGGACGGAGTGCGGCGTTGTGAGGGAGTGGAAAGTCTTGAGGATGGTGTGAAGGGGTGCAGGACATTTTGATCCGTGGAGTAGCAGTGTGCGCTTTGCGCCTTCGATGAGCTGTGGCTCCTTGGCCTTGAGGATGCGCGCAGTGCGCGGGTTCTTTGGCTTTCTGCGGCAGAGATTTTTGTTAATGATTGGCAGGTTCGGGGTGGAGCATTCGACAAATTAGATGGCAGAAGGGATTACTCTAGCACCAAGGCTGCAAGCGAGTACTTACACTTCTCGAAGCATTTTGACGAATGCAAAATGTACTGTGGATGGGGTTAGATATCTACGATATCAGTTGTACAGTGTACTGGTTCCTGTAAAATCATCGTTGGGAAAAAGTTTGGCGGAAAGGTCTTGGCATCGCTTATCGATAAGCGATATTCCACTTCCCCACATGCAAGCAGAGAAGCAACGAAGTACAGAGCACGGAGATGTTTAAGCGAGGATGAAAAGTTGTTCATGTCTTACATTCAATGATATAAACGTCTAATACTTATATCTACTCCAAGCGTAGCTTTTCGAATTCCCGAATTTGCTCCTCCAACCGAGCAACCTCGCTCTCGGCATCTCGGAGCTTCTTCTCTTCCTGCTCACGCACTTCAGGCTTCGCCTTCTCCTTCCATCCAGCACCGCTGATCAGGGCAGTCTGGCGACGAACGGCATCCCGTGCCTTCTCCAGACTGGCCTTGCCCTTCTCTTCCTGTTCAAGGGCAACTTCCTTGGACACGCGAAGGTAGACAGCAGCTTGTGAACCGACGGCCGCAACGACACAGCCCGAAGGAGGAGTGGTGTTCTTGGGACCGAGGACACTCAGTTCACCAAGAGTCTTACCACCGAGAGACTTAACAATGTGAAGCTCATCCGAAACAGTCTTGTGGCTGGTCTCATCGTATGTCTGGACAATAACATCGCCCTTGGTCTTGACGTCGTACTGAGCAAGGATCGAGCGAATGGCCTTAGACGTGTTAAGGATAAGCTCATAAGCAGTTTCAGCTGCAGAGTCGTCGAACTCTGCCTTGTACTCGGGGAACCTAGCCTTCATGATCGAGATAGTGTTGTCACCAGGACGGCGAGGCAGACGCTGCCACAATTCCTCGGTGACATACGGCATGATAGGGTGGATCATGGTCAAAGCGCCCTCAAGAGCGGTGTAAAGGGTCTGCTTAGCAGACTCCTGCACTTCTTGCGGCAGCTCAGGAGCCAGGAGAGACTTAGAGTTCTCAATGAACACGTCGCAGAGCTGGCTGTACCAGAACTGGTAGATTGTGGAAGCAGCAACGGAGAATTCGCGGTCCTCCAGAGCAGCGTTCACCTCCTTAGCGGCGACGTTGAATTTGTGCAGAATCCAACGCTCGGAAAGAGATTCCTTGCCGGTCTTTGATGGGGTCGCCTGTGGCTGAAAGTCATCACCAAGCTTTCCAAGAACGAACTTGGTGGCCTGATAGATCTTGTTACAGAACTTGCGGTATCCGTGAATGACCTGGATGTCAAACGCAATATCGCCACCTATAACACGCTGATTAGAATCATATGCAATACCGAATTAGTGTCACTAGACTTACCGCCAGTAGTGTAGGACACAAGGGAGAATCGCAGAGCATCGGCACCGCACTCTGGAATACCCTTGGGGAACGCCTTCTTCTGGTACTTGGTGGCCGTAGCAACCTCCTTTTCGGCAAGGTTACCAACGAGAAGCTTGGCGTGGAGGTCGTCAAGCTTGATACCCTCCATAACATCGAGAGGGTCGATAACGTTGCCCAGAGACTTGGACATCTTACGACCCTCAGAGTCACGAATGAGAGAGTGGCAGTAAACCTCCTTGAAGGGAACCTTGCCAGTCATCTTAATACCCAGCATGATCATTCGGGCAACCCAGAAGAAAAGAATATCCCAACCAGTCTCGAGAACGGACGTAGGGTACAGGTTCTCAAGGTCGTGAGTCTGACGAGGCCAGCCGAGAGTCGAGAACGGCCAGAGTCCCGAAGAGAACCAGGTGTCCAGCACGTCTTCATCTCTCTTAAGGGTAAATGTCTTGCCAGGGAACTTCGCCTCAGCCTTCTTCTGGGCCTCCTCCTCGTTGCGGCCGGTGACCCAGAGGTTACCATCGCTGTCATCGCTCTCCTCGCCCTCAATCTGCACGAAATAAGCAGGGGCTTGGTGGCCCCACCAAAGCTGTCGAGACAGACACCAGTCGTTGATACCGCGCAGCCAGCGGAAGTAGCTCTTCTCAGCAGACTCGGGTCTGATGATGATTTCGCCATTTTCGACAGCCTTGATGGCAGGCTCAGCAAGTCCTTCCATCTTCATCCACCACTGTGGCTTAAGGATAGGCTCGATAACATCGTTTGACTTAGAACACCGAGGGATCTTCATGGGGTTGTGCTCCCACTTGACGTACAGACCCTTCTCCTTCAACATCTCGATAACCTTGTAACGAGCATCGAAGCGCTTCATACCGGCAAATGGACCACCGTTCCTGTTGAATGTACCATCGTCGTTCATAACGGAGATGAAAGCCAGGTTATGGGCTTTTCCACGGTTGAAATCGTTGAAGTCATGAGCGGGGGTAATCTTCACGGCACCAGTACCGAACTCGGGGTCGACTTCGGGGTCAGCAACAATAGGAAGCAGACGATCAATGAAGGGGTGGCGCGCAGCCTTGCCGATCAAGTGCTTGTAGCGCTTGTCATCGGGGTGAACAGCGATACCACTGTCACCAACCATGGTCTCAGGACGAGTTGTAGCAATTTCGATCCTCTCCTTCGTACCATCAATCTCGTAGCAGAAGTGAGTCAAAACACCAAACTCGACCTTCTTGTCATAGCCCGGAACATCGAGAAGCGTACGTCCCTCAACTTCCTTGTTTTCGACCTCGAGGTTGGACAAAGAAGTGTTGAGGGCCACACACCAGTTGACCAGGCGGTTAGCACGGTAGATAATGCCCTCCTCGTGGAGGCGGACGAAAGTCTCGGTGACAGCGGCGGACAGGTTGTCGTCCATGGTGAAGGCCTCTCGAGTCCAGTCAAATGAGCCTCCGACTCTCCGGAGAGCGTTGCCGATGTTACCATGGTACTCGTGCTTCCAAGCCCAGACTCTGTCCAAGAATTCCTTGCGACCCAAGTCGTGGCGGGTCTTCTTTTCCTTCTTCCAAAGCATCTTCTCAACCACGCTCTGGGTGGAGATACCGGCATGATCCATACCAGGGAGCCACAGAGTGGTCTTGCCCTTCATTCGTTGCCAACGGATCATGGTGTCTTGAAGGGCATTCGTAAGGGCGTGTCCCATGTGCAGCGATCCGGTGACGTTGGGAGGAGGAATCGGAATAACGAAGTAGCCCTCCGGCCTAACCTTGCCATCGGGGCCAAACTCAGGCTTGAAAAGATCGCGTTCCTCCCACCATTGGTATCGGCCAGCCTCGATAACCTTGGGGTCGTACGCATCGGTCGTCTTTTCCTTCTCGACCTTGGGCGCTTTCTTTTCGGCTTTCGGAGCGGCGGGTTTAGCGGCGGCCTTTGCCTGTTTCTCCTGGAACTTCTTCAACTTCTCGGCCTTCTTGCGCTCTCGCTCCACTACAGTAGACATATGCAGTCAGCAAGTTTTCGTTAAGGTAGACATGGCGCCTGGATCGTCCACTTCCGGACGCGACTTACGCTCTTTCTCGCTCTTCACTTTAGGTGCGGCTCCATCTTGACCAGCGTTCTGTTGGTTGTTGGCGGCAGGAGGAACATCCACCTTGGGGCCTGTCGGCTCACCAGCTGTCAAAGGAAAATCATTAGCCCTGCCGTCCCACGGCGGCGAGTTATCTGGGGCAAAGCGCACTTGGGTTCATGGAGGCTGAGTCTTGAGCCATTCTGGTAAACGGTCGGTAGATTGAAGGAGCAAGTCTCCTAGGCGCCGCTCGCGCCACGAATCGTCTGATAAGTATCTTGACCACCGATGACTCAAAACGGTGACAGAGAAGAGGAGGGGGAGGGGTCGGAGGTTGTGGGAAACTGCGGGCAAATTAAATTTCCCAGGCGCAGAACAGAGAGCGGAACGAATCAAGTCTGGCACTGCGGGGCTTTGAATGAGGCCCCCCCGGTGGTGCAATGCTAATATTGGAGGGAATGACTTGGGAGTTGCAATTGGGCTGACAATGCATAGATTTGTTCAGATCACGTCAATTGAAAAATGAAGACGATGGCTGCTTGAAGTGAGTCATGCACAGCTCTTGAGGATAATGAGATCCAAATTCAAGTGCCTTGGCCAAAGCTCGTAGCACGTGACCTATAACTCCTAGATCGCCTGATTCTCGTAAACAAAAGACCATGTACGGAAGAAAGCACTATAGCTGGTGTATCAATCATGAGTGTATTATGTGACCGTCAAGCTAACCCCCGCGCCTATCAATGATAACAATGTATGAATGTCCCGACAGCTGCAATCAAAAACACGGAGGACAAAGAAACGATATAAAGATGAGCATGGAAAATGCAAAGAGGAGATGTAAGAGTGGAAACAAGAGGGGAAATTCCATAACACCAGACCAACTACTCAGAAGGAGACAAAGTAGGGGAAGCAGACACAAGCTCGTGACGAAGGACGTCTGACTGAACAAACACAATAGAACGACGTAGCAGCCCGTTTATGACTGGAATTCCCACCCTCTCAATACAACAAGGTAAAGAACTGAGACGAGGGTTTACCCAACAGAGGATGTTAGTGTATGTCATTTGTTCGTTGTCGTCCCCGTCCATCTCCATCAGTCGTTGAATCCCCGGCAATTTTTTATCAAAAACCAGCATAAGCCAAGAGTCGCGTCATCCCGCCGCTGGTTTCCACAAGTAGCTTGTCCACGTAGACCGAACTCAAGAGAATGTACCAAGAGGCTTGTCCCGTGGAACGACAGCGACCATTGGAAGAGAAGGACTCGGCAGCATGGCTGTCCTAGATCAGGAGAGCGTCATTTATGATTTTCAAGTGACTCATGAGGAGGCGCTACTCCGATTAGCTGCCTCTTCGGCTCTGATCTGTGTGAAGTAAGGATGAGCCATGGCTTCCTGAGCGGTAAGACGCTCCTACACGGCAAGTCAGCTAGACATTCTTTGATACAGCAAACGATGGGCAATCCTTACGGCATGATCATAGCGAAGCAATTTGTCCAAGAAGTCAATTGCTTCATCACTGATGAATCGCTGGTTCTCCGCGTTGACAAAGGATTGCCAAGGCTTGCGGGGGAAGCGGGAAAGAATCTCGTCGTACTGGGGATCAAGCTCGATCTCGTACTTGTCCAGGTACTCAAAGAGTTCCTCGGTTCCAAGCACCTTGGCGATCTTGACCAACTGATCGGAGTTGCTGTTACCGTGGAAGAAGGGCTCCTTGCGGAAGATCATCGAAGCGAACATAGCACCGAGCGACCACATGTCTAGGGAGTAGTCGTACTCTTGGAAGTCTACAAGCAACTCGGGGCCCTTGAAGTATCGTGAGGCGACTCGCACGTTGTATTCCGTGCCCTTGTGGTAGAACTCGGCGAGACCCCAATCGATCAGGCGGAGCTAGGAGAAGTCAGATCATGTTCTATATGATCTAAGGAGCGCAAGCAAACCTTTCGTTTCTCATGGTCAATCATAACATTGTGCGGCTTCACATCTCGGTGCATGATGCCCTTGCTGTGGCAGAAATCCAACGCCTTCAGAAGCTCATAAACGTAGAAGCGGACATCATAGTCGGAGAAACGCGGGTACAGTGTCCGAAAGTCGGTGTTGTTGACATATTCAAAGACCAAGCTCGGAGTCTTGCTCTGGTTGTCGCGAACAACATCGAGCAAGGCGACGACATTTGGTCCACCTGCCAGATTCTGGAGGATCTTGATCTCCCGCTTGATCTTCTTCTTCTTGACCGGCTTGAGGACCTTGATGACACACTTCTGGTAGTTGACGATGTTGATCCCTTCGAATACTTCAGAGTACTTTCCCCGGCCTATATCAGAAAGATTAGTATGTTGTGTTCAACGCAGTATCCCGATGATACCGGACGGGACGAACTAACCGATTTTGCGGACCACCTCGTAGTTCTCCAGGACACCCCATGAGATATTCACGCTGTCATAGTCCCAGTAGGACCGTGGCATGTGCTTATTGACATCAGCATAAACGCGCGCCATGGTGATGGCGGCCGAAAAGCAATGTTGGTATCAAGCCCACAATTGGATATTCAGACTGGCGAAAAGCGGCGGCGGGGTTGGTGGGACGGTGCGTTGGGATGGCTAAGATGGCGTGAGAAATCAGCACCAGCTGGGAGGACGGACAGCAGCAACTGCAAGAAGAGACGCACCCTGGACAATCTGATAAGCTGCAGCCGTGCTATCGCCCTGAACAACCACTGGGGAGAAAGTTAGGCTCTTTCAACCTACTCTGCTGATAATAGCGGATTGGCCCAGAAGTGTCACTCCGCCTTGCAAGTCACGGGACCAGTGGTGGTCTGCTGTCACGACCGATGCGGTTAGAACCGCGGAACAACGATGATGCGAAGTATTATTTCCCTTACCGTTCTGGGACAGTTCCGAGCTTGTTTTGCTTTGCGCTGGAACCGAAGACAACAACTGACGCTGGAAATAGGGCTTTTATAGCTCTGACGATTCGCTATGTATTACGACTTGAACGTGCCGTACAGCCCGGGTGATTCTGAGATCTCCGCAACGCTAAGCTTTCTCGCCGAACGTATGCCGCAATTTTGTTTTTTTTTTTGTCTGCCCACGGCGAGGGCCACACGACCCGCGGGCGATTTCCGAGTTGACTGTATGGGCATATGGAAGGCTAACCTGACAAACAGTGGGTTACACAACCGTTGCCCTTTCGCAGACCATTGCCGGAAAACTTCCCCCAAGCCCTACTCCGCCGTCGCTCCCCAGCGATGTCCCGAAAGGCCTTACGCTCCTCACGCGCCTCAACTTGCCCCTCTCCGACCCCGCGCAGAATCAACGCCTTACCAGTATAGCTCAAGCCTACGACTTGATCGCCCTGCGTCCGAGCAACGAGAAAGCGTTATTGAATGCATGCACCAATGCAGAATGCGACATCATCTCACTAGACCTCTCGGTCAGGCATCCCTATCATTTCAAGTTCAAGATGCTTTCTGCTGCCATCGCACGCGGTATTCGCTTCGAAATATGCTACGGGCCAGGAGTCACAGGAAGCGGACTAGAAGCGCGCCGAAATTTGATCGGCAATGCGATGGCCTTGATTCGCGCAACCCGTGGTCGCGGAATAATTGTGTCCAGCGAGGCCAAGAAGGCATTAGGTCTCCGAGCACCGTTCGACGTGATCAACCTAGCGTGTGTGTGGGGCCTATCACAAGAGCTGGGTAAAGAGGCGATTTGCGCAGAATCAAGGAAAGTTACTGCCCTTGCCCGATTGAAGCGGACCAGCTGGCGCGGTATCGTTGATGTCGTTGACGGTGGACAAGTTCTTCCTGCGTCGAAGAAGGCAGCTGCTCCTGTTTCTGATAAGAAGGTTACGGAATCAAAGTCGCAAACAGAAAGCAGCGGCGACAACTTGAAAAGAAAGGCGTCTTTAGCTCCCGAGGTAGAAACGGATGGGCCTGAGAAGCCACTTTCAAAGCGCGAGATGAAACGCCGAGCCAAGAAAGCTAGACTAGAGGCAGCTCTATCGGGGGTTGACGATTCCCCTGCAACATGATGGTTGTATCCGGTAGCTTGCTACACTTACCTATGACCGCCAGGTAATAGCTTGGTCATTCCGTCAACCCTCACCCGCAGGGGAACGACGTTCCTGTCATATCATGCAGCTTCATGCCGCGTTGATTGGGCCCGAAGCTCAAGGGATTATAGCTAGCACGCGTATAGACCCTTGTGGCTTGTGCCAACCCGCAAGACATGTCTCATGCTAGATGATCTGCGATCTCTGCGTCCTTCCGACGAACGGCTATAGATCACGGGCTGATCTGTACACTCCAGTCAAAACACTTGGTGCTTTGGCAGTCATCCAACAATCGTTCCTGAGGGAGCACAATACGGCCGGCAACAGGATATTCATACTATTCGAAGATAGGGTATAAGTGCTCAAAAATAGGCATTACGTCCGACTCAAACTTCACAATCTGATTATTCCGTGCCAAGGATCGCAACAGGGCCTCTTTAAACAATGCTTCTATGAGGAACTACTTACATGCGTGCCGTCCCGCAATCGGGTCACATTCACGTCCACATGAGCAGAACCCGAGTGGTCTCCACTTCGAAGGACTCATCACAATACAATTATTCTCAAATTCTTTGTTGCAATTATTCTCAAATTCTTTGTTGCCCATGATGCGTACTGCCGACAGACAACCTTACATTCCGCAAAGTCACCTTCAGAATGACCGGTTGAGCGCCTCTCGCTCCAGTCACGCCTGTGCATCTGTAGAATACTCATCAGCGGGCAACTTCACATCGCAAAGTTACTACCTACCCACTCACTACGTAGGTAAACTGCTCGATCAGTTGACACATTGGTACAATTCTCAAAATTAATTTGATTCTCCCCAATTCTTGGATTCCCTTGCACCCTCCCAACGCCAACGTACTTCGTACTTATACTATACATTTGATCAGGACTCGCCACGTTCATAGCAAGACATAATCCTACTTCGTAAGCCCAGCATCATGGCGCCAGGGCGTTGGGGTCGTAGCGTGACTAGCATCCGCGGACGGTACCCAAAGTCGAAGGTATGGAGTGACGTGGGCCAGGGTCATAAACTCAAGCAACGCTCTCATCATCGGACTTCGTGGTTCCAAGGGGAGAGCAACACGGTACAGAGTTTGAAAATCCACAAGGAGCAAATACGAGAGGTCCCACAGACTGACGATAAAAAATGGGTATAATTGTGGGTATATCAAGATAAGTAGTATGAAGGAAGGTAACAGAGAAGTCAAAAGCAGTTTGCTACTGGTTCTCATCCTCAATCTCAACAAGCACCTTAAGCTCGCCGTCAAGCCAATCCACTTTCTCGGCGGAAATTAGGGCAAGTGTCCAATCGCTATCATTTTCAACGAGGTTAAGGCCGTTCGGAAGCCAAACTCTGAACCTCCAACCCATAGACGCGTTCCAGGCGTTTGGGTCCGAGTCTAGTTCAGAAGGGAAACGAGGGAGTTCGCCGGCGAATTTGCGGGCAAGGAGTTGTCGTACGCTTGCGAGGTCCGGACATTGGGCGGCGAGGAGATCGTGAGAAGGAAGAATGCGCTTCCCGTTCTGCAGGATGTTGATACGTAAGTGGAGGGGGCATTGGGAAGGAGGCGGGTTTGCGTTGGGAATTTCGGAGGTTTGAGAGAAGGCCAGCGGTGGCGGCATTGCTTGGGTTTGGGCCAATGGTGTGTGGTCGTGCACGCCTTGTCTAGCAGCTAGGCTATCTCGGATAACCCGCGAGACATCACGGGTAATGCTGCTTGCACTGTAAAGGGGAATATGTTAGAGTTCAATGTCCTCATACACAAATGATGTGGAGCAGACTTACAACTCGTTTCTGGCCGGCCCTCCACCAATGCGCCATCGTAGGTCTGCAGAGCTATTTGAATTGAGGATACGCCCTACATTATGGTCTTCACAGCAGCCGGAACAATTGTAGTCGCCTTCGTGGAGAACCTGATAATGGCTATCCACTGCGGCCACGAGACCGCGCCAGTCGCCTAGTTGAAGGCCGGAAAGAGACCAAAGGTTGTCAAGCTCGTAGTTGTGGTTGTAGGCATCATAAGATTTCGAGATAACATCCCAGTCAGCGGTATAGCCATCCAAGATAGCGTCGGTAAGGCCCAAATCTGTGACCTGCACAGACGGTTCTTCGTGAGGTGGTGGCGGCGGCGGCGCCGGCAGAGGCTGCTGAGCTGAACTATACCCGTCCGGAAGATGATGATGCGCCTCCATCTGCAGGTGATCCTCGGATGGGAACTTAGGCGGACTCACACTGCGGAAGTCTTGCATGCTATCTTCTGTCTTCCGTCTCCTCCGTGCTTCCACGCCACCTTTCCTGGTTTCGACGGCGTACTGTCGTTGGCGTTCATTCGTGACCATGCGGCGCAGCAACGGAATAACCAGCGAAATGATCTTTTGCTGGTCTCTTGGCCATACATATGTACGAGGAGGCATGCCCTCATTAACCACATGTTCACCGAAGAATCGCGGACCATTGCCCTCAACCTCAAGGAAATGGCGGACACAGTTCCATAACCGTAATTTGACCATCTCTGTATCCCCCTTCCCACGCTGGCCTACACAGTCACGACGCTCCGGATGCCTATCATCCAGCATGTATGTTTTAGCCGCAGCCTGCAAATGCAGGAAATTCTCCGGCGATAGCTCGAGGGAAGTAAACATTTTGGACATCGGAGGCCGTGTATACTTCTTGTTAGTCGAAGTCTGGCGGAATAGTGCTGCGGCGGAGTGCAGTCCAACGGCGCGAGCATCTGCAAGCGATTGCGGCGGAGTACTGCGAATCTCTAGCCCCTCGCCTCCGAAAGGACTTGCATGGTGGTTGGCATTGTGTGGACCCTGTTGTTGGTGTTGCGGTTGACCCTGGTGCTGACCGAGACCAGCGCTTGCCGCAGCCAACGCCGGGTCAAGAGCATCCTCGTTTCTCTTCCTCTTCTTCGTCCCCGATCGAGCCAACCCCGATGATTGGCTGTGTTCATTGCCGGATGCAGACCCAGGGCCACGATATTGTCGTGCACTAGTCATCCCCGCATAGCCCCCCTCGCCAAAGCCATCGTCATCCAATTGAATTTCAGGAGCGTAACCGTCTAGATGATGTTGATTTCCCGCGGCGCCAGCTGCTGCGGCAACTGCTGCTGCTGCTGCCCACTCGGATACATCCTGGCCCGCCGCTGCCGTAGCAGCCTCCACCAGTCCAGCGAGTTGATTCTCGCTCGGCGCATACCCGCTCGTCGCAATGTGTGTGTTTTGGTCTGCGCTGGATGAAGCTGGCTGACTACCGGGGAATTCGGCCGGTGATGCGGAGGAAGGATGTTGCGGGTTTGTTTGAGAGGTGGACGTCATGACGATTGGAATTCGTGAAGCCGGCAATTACCGCGACGCGTCTCAATTCAAAAGATTGGGCTAATTCAAAAGCTGTCGCAAAGCAGTTCCTCGTTAGCGTGTGAGAGCTAGTATAAGCTCTGGCACATGTACCCCTGCGGGACGGATGGTATTCTCGTCCGCTACCCTCCAGGGGCAGAAGAACAAGCGCTGCTTTACCGTTCGAAAGCCAGTGAAGAATTAGACAACCAAAGCGTCCAGCTGTATATCGAAGTATGAGAGCTGGAGCGTCGCAATCGGTCGATCAATCAGATGGCGCGATGAGGCTGTTTGCGTAGTTTGGAGCAACGGCAGACAATGCAAACTTTTTGCTCGAGGTCCCCCGCTAGTGTCACATGACTCGATATCAGGCATCATCTACGCCAACTTGTTATCTCTACGCCAGCTTGTATATGGAAGTAGTAACCTCATCTCTCATCGTGAAAAATTGACAATTTGCCAGCCAAATAATGTACTCTAGGCGAGACATGCCCGTATTTTCAATGAACCAAACGACATGGTAGGGAAGGGAATATCGCATCTCTAGATCAAGAACGCCAGCTCCGATACATGAAAACAATATACAAGAAAAAATAACGTCGAAAATTCATGGATCACCAAAATCCGGCCTCGAGAGCGCGAGCATTGGCATCTTGGCCACGTATTGTGGCGTTGAGTAGCAGTTCCTCTTTCAGCTCTCCCTGGTGGGAAATCAGTTCCTCGAGCTCAACATCTCGTCCGGGCTCCGGAACAGTGAGGTGACTCTTCTCCCCTAGGGTGCCACGGCGTCGGGCGGCTTCTATCACGGCCGCCCGGCTGCGCCAGCGTTTGAGTTCATCTTCATAGCCTTCGCGTTCGGAGTCCATGTTTCGGTACGCATTATATTCGTCCTCGCCACCAAAGCAGATTCCGTACCCATCGCAGAAACACACGTGCTCCTTTGGGCAGACCACATTCTGGCCGGTAAAGATGACATGCCAAAGGTATTCCCAGATACGGCCGGAGATGTAATCGCTCAATTGCGTGCGAAGAACCCAGTCTCGGTAGAAGACAAAGCGCGCTCGGGGAATAGCTTGGATTCTTTCGCGCGAGACAGCAAATTGGGCACAACACGGTTGTGCTAGCACATCTGGAATTGGTTCGTCGGGAAAGATCTCACCCCAGGATCTAGCGAGTAGTATTTCCTCCTGCTTAGTCTCGTCTTCTTCCAGAGTGCCGGGATGCAACCAATCGGGACAGCCAGGTCCCCAGCCACAGCGCAAGTTCATGTAACCCTCCCTGATGACTCGCTCTGGTCGCAGTCGTTGCAGGATAGTCGCTGCGTTCCCATCCAGAAGGTCGTCGTTATGCCATCCGAATTGGTGCGAGTGCATGAATGCGACTATTTCCGGTAACTCATCGTAGTGTTCGATAATGTAGCTCAAATAGACCATGACCTCGTGTCCCTTGTTCTTTGGTGGATGTAGAGCTGCGGATGGGTCGTCAACGACATATACAGCGGTTTCCCAGCCTGGAATCTCAAAATCTGTCCACGAGGTATCCTCGTAGGTTGTCCGGGGTATCACTAATGTCTTTGTGTACTCGTGTCCGTCCGGTCTAGGTATACCAGCGATAAATTGAGGGCGTGGTGCGAACGGCTGCTTCGGTGCTTCACTGATATTCCAATGGCCGGACGGAGTTGGCGATGGTGTCGCTACAAGCTCCCCTAAGCCAACAGCTTGCGACACCTTCATCTGTGTCCATGATCTGGAGAGCGTGAAGAGACCCCATAAGCAGAATACGAAGAAACCGCAGCCGAGGAGAGGGACGAAGCGGCGCGTTGTCGCCATTAGTGCAGATAAAGATAATGAGTGCGCTGCGGAGGAAGCGTCGGTCGATTAGCATCGTAAGCCATTGATAAATGAAGAGTTGATGACATTGGACAGTCATCATCGGTACGGTGAAAGATCATAGTGAAGACCATAGTGAAGAACATAGTGAAAAACAATGCGCGCTGACTGAACGGATCCTTATCGTACTTGGTAATGCAAGTTTGCGATGGGGGCCGGGGTCAACTTACCAGCAATTTAAACCGAGCTACCGACTTGCATTAGAATTGCATTGTCAAGCCCTGGGAACAGACAGGAGCATCGAAAGCTGTAGCTGTCTCAGGGCAGGAATGAGGAAAAGAAAGCCGCATAGGAGACACAGTAGCAGTCGCTAGCAACTGTCGTGTCCAGGCCCGCGTAGTGTCCACCGTCAACTAACGTGGTTACGCAATGACTCTGAAACGTTCGGCAACAACGGGGAAGCGGGGAGGCGGTGCTGCAACCTGCAGATAGCGGACGAAATCAAAATAGAAAAAAAAAAATAAATGTCCGGAGCTTGATGAAGAAGCTGTATCTAAACCATGTACGAATGAAGTACGTCCCTGTTCATGCGATGAGCAGGCACTGGACGGAAGTTGAGGCCGTCGAGCAACCTTGACTCTTGTCTCCGAGCCGAAGACGATCGTCACAATGCTGCCACAGTATGATTGGCTTCATGGCAACGGTCACGGCACCCCTGAGATTCATTTGTCCAAATTGAAGCTGGGGCCTGATTGGGTTGATAATGATAGGAAGAAGGTCGCCTGAAGTGCATGAGGCGCAACACACAAGGGACAGCCACATTCTTGTGCCACGTGCAGACCAATTTCATAGATCACAATTACTCCGCAGTCCATGTTTAGAAACTACTCCACGCGTCACTGTTTTTTAATAAGGCAAGACTTCTCTTTCCGAGAGTCGGGCTATGCTCATGGTATTTTTGGATCACATCTATGTACAGTCAAGCATCCGAAGATGATCTCGAATCCAGAAGGATAGAACGAGAAAGGCAGGAAGCAAAGAGGTAGTATGCAAATTAATAATATTCAAGGTCATGTCTCGTCATCCGCTACGTCTTCAACTGTAGGCATCCGCTCTTTTCCCTTGGACGTTGACTCTGATGCCTGGGTTTCGGTCTGAGACTCTACACCGTGCTCAAAACTGCGATTATGGGCTTGCTCGGCATCTGAAGTAGCTAGAGGCACTTTCGTCTCAGCTTCTGAACTAAGGTCCGTCCATTGTTGGGAAATAGGTTCGGTGTTGGCTTCAGCTGTAAGCGAGCTGGGTCCTGACTGCCAGTTTGGTAGGCCTGAAGTCCGTGAGGAGCTCGCGGCATCATTGCTATTACTCGTCCCTTGGTTCTCAGCCTCAGTTTGTGGCTGGGGACTGGGCGTGTCATTGATTATTGAAGCATTGCGTTCACTCCCCGGCGAAGATGAGCTTGCGATATCGTTTGACGGTACGCTTAGTCCTGGTTGAGCAGAGTGGAGAGGAACCAGGGTCCAGCCTTGCGGAAGTGTCAGCCCTTCTGGTAGACGAGGGTCACCGGATCCCATGGACGGCGTGTCCGGGTCGGAGACGAATTGATTGCGCGTTGTTGTAGGAGATGTTGGAGGTATTGGTAGAGACGGAGTTTGGGGAATATTGTTTTGGTTCTCCAGTGGTTGGGACTGCAAGGCACGAAGGCGTTGAAGCTCTGTCTGCAATAACCTGACTAAGTTTAGCTGGTCCGCGGCAACGCGTAACCCATTGATTTCATTTGCAATATGCTGCTCCATCTGAAGGAGTTGGTTCTGCAAGTTGGGCAAATTCGATGTGGATGTCGGCACCGCCTGAGGCGCGGCCGCTACAGGCGGTTGTTGCAACGGAGGCCTTCCAAACCCGAAGCCGAATCCTATTTGCCGGGCTCCAGCTGGGACAGGATTGATATTCTGCTGCCAGGGACCGTTGCCCTGGTGGATCTGTTGGTGCAGATTGTTGAAGAGATCTCCTCTTCCTGCGCCAAACCCAATCCTAAACGGACCGAACTGGTATACCCGAGCCCTAGGAAGACCATCGGCTGGGGGATTCCGGTTGATTGGTTGATTTCCAGGAGGCATATTCTGCTGTTGTCCAACGCCGCCGTTCCCCTGCCCCGGGTTGACGCCGGCGGCCCCTTGGGTACGAGGAGGAGCGATGACCGGTCGTCTACAGGTGGGGCAGTTCTGTTGTCTTTCAAGCCAGCTTCGAAGACATGAGAAATGTAGAATGTGGCCACAAGGTAGTTTCTTCGGGCGTAATCTTTCGGAAACTCGAGCAACCGGTCTGTCTCCAGGTTGCCAGTGGGTCATCTCCTCCCGGCAAATGATGCAGACCTCTTCCCTTGCAACTTCTTCAGCACTCGCGTCGGGATATCTGTCGTTCATATCGCGTGTGGCGTTTCGGTATCGGACGAAGTCCATAATGCGCCGGCCGAATGAGCGGATCGTAACAACGACATCTCGGAGAATATGAATGGGCAAGCCGTAGAATGTAAAGAGAATAGCAAAGAAAGTCAAATAGACAGTGAGTTTGAGAAAGTCCGTTAGAAGGTCCAGATAGAAGACCCAGCGTCCTTTTTCTTCCCAGCCTGGAACATCAAGTTCCATCTCATTGATGTCATTTTCGTCGGGTAAATCTGGGATTGCGGTATGATGTTCTGTCGCTGCGTGCTCCGCCAGTGCCTGCTCGCGAACAGCTCTAATCTCCTGACGCCGCTCCTCGATTCGGGCCTTCATCTGTTGACGATTGATATAAATTTCCACGAGCGAAATCGAATACCGGGCGGCGGTCGAGGTTGACAAGATCGTGAGGACGGCGAATTCGAAGCCAAACATCACCATCATGTCCGGGCGCGCTTGTTCAAGGACGGTGTCGATGCAATATTTCAGCATGAACATGTTGAACATAACCGACAGTAGCAGGGAGATCGCCAGCCTACTGTGAAACAGCACCGGGTTTGCGGGGGGTTGCTGTTCGAGAAACTCCACACGACCTTCCCCGATCCAGCCCCAGACTTTTCCGACCAGCAACGACACAAACATGACCAGAAACCAGGCCCCTAGCTCCCCCCGGAATATTGTCATGGCCAAGCATGTTTCAGTCACAGCAAACCACGCTTTCTCGTAGAGCTGTTCTGTTTCGATGGGTCGAAGGGGGCCGTAAAGAAGACGCTGGAGCCAAAAGAGCAGAAAGCCAACGGCCAGGAGGCATACATTCGTCAATATCTAATGAGCACTTCAGTCAGTTATCATAGAACGACAAGCGCGGAGGACAGATAATACATACCATGAGATTAGCGCTACTCTGCGACAGGTAAACACAGGCAGAATAGAAGTTCGCCCTCTGATGCAGTGCTTTCACAAAGACTCCAGTTGCCAAAGCCACTGAGGCCTGGGTAATAGTCAGCGTAAAATTCAACAGGGCGTCCTGTGCTTCGAGGCGCATACCCCAGCATAGGCAGCGAATCTCATGATCGCGGAGCGGGCGAGAAGCCCAAAATCATTGACGACGTCAAGATGCGAGAGGCCGTAATCACTTCAAGGTAAGCATTGACAGCAGGCGTCGGCCCTCTTGAAGAAAGGGAAATAAATGTGAAAGGGAAACCTAGGCAGATCGCGTGGACGGTTGGAGAGTGGAGGGCGGATCGGCCGTCTGGAGGACAGCTGTCTGGACTCTGGAGGTGCAAGGTGTCTCTGTTTCGTCAGCGGGGCCTTTCCGCGGTTCCGGAGTAAGTACAACTCCTTCTCTCTTCACCACAACATCTTCCTACTAATCCCACATTATACGGCAGACAGATCACTCCTCTTGAGCTCTATTCTCTTGCAGTGGACTGCTCGCCATCCGCCAATTGTTGATCTGCCGGTTCATCCATTGCATCACATGATTCACCAGCAACATCAGCCTTCCTCCATATAGATATTTCTCCGCAACGAGTAAGTTGCTGAGGAATGAGTCCTTGAGACGCTTTACCTGCTTGGATTTAACACCAGGAGCTCCCTACTTTACCATCCAAGTGTCTCATACCCGGCAATGGCATCTCAACGGTCTATGTTTACAGCTAGCCGCATCCAGGCCTTTACCTATCTACTGGGAGTTTGTCCGTTCTCAATTGCTTTTCTAGTTTTCATCAATTCGTCCATCTCCTTTGTTGTCACGGACTTGATAGGTCTCCGTGACGGTGAAGGTGACGCCGTGGGCACGCTCGGTTTCGCAGATGAGCTACTTGCTTTGGTAGCATGTCCCTTGTGGGGTGTACTTTCAGACCGTATTGGTGTCCGTCAAGTGAGTACTCTGGTCACCTACAGGGCCATCCCAAGTACTGATATCAGTCAACTGTAGGTATGCACGGCTGGTTATGTCATCATTGCTGTCGCATTGGTTCTATTTGTCCAGGCTAGAAATGTTTATCCTCAGCTTCTGCTCGGTAGACTGCTATTCAGCGTAGGCGGCGCAGCTGTTTCAACAATGGTCACAGCCGTCCTACCAGTTGTTACCGGAGGTGGCCCCAGGTCTGAGTTTGAACATGAACCAGAGCCGAGTACTGCCGCTCCCTCATCGAGACTCGCCGGTTTCGTTGGCATGTGTGCGGGATGTGGTGCTCTGATATCTTTAGTTCTTCTTCTCCCGTTGCCAGCCAAATTTCAGCAACTGGGAGTTTCGCCAGCGGAAGCCGTCCAGTACAGTTACTATACAGCAGCTGCGGTGGCTCTTGTGGTCAGCGCATGTTGCTTCGTTGGCTTGCGAGACCTTCCTGGCGAAGACGGAAAGACATGGGCCTCGCTCTGGACAAATATGCGGACCGATTCTTCTTTATCCAACTCCAGGAAATATTCTTATTCCAGCTTCAAGGCCAGATTTCCATATCTGGTCCAGTTCGGCTCTGCCATTACGCTAGGCTTCCGCAACCGCGATATCCTCATCGGATATCTCGGAGGATTTGTAGCCCGAGCCTCCTCTGTCGGGATATCGCTCTTCATCCCATTGTTTGTGAATAACTATTATCGCACGTCAGGTCTTTGTCATGAGCAACCGACGGAAGGGGCCAACCCTGGAGATATCAAGCGGTCTTGTCCGAAAGCCTATGTGCTTGCCTCGATCTTGACTGGAGTGTCTCAACTTATGGCGCTTATTGCGGCCCCGGCATTTGGGTACCTATCGGAGAAGTCTCGACGATATCATTTTCCGCTTCTCATTGCCTGTCTGGCTGGAGTTGCAGGCTATGTAATGCTCGCGCTTCTGCCTAGCCCCGAATTCAAAGGCGAGAGAGGGAATCCCGGGATAGTTGTAGTGATGGCATTGGTTGGAGTCAGCCAAATCGGCGCTATCGTGTGTAGTTTGTCCGTGTTGAGCAACGGTATATTGAGCTTGATCAATTCGGTCGAGAACACAACAAGCAGCAGCCACGTTTCGAGCACGGTCCCAGAAGCTGACGAGCAACAACCCTTGCTAGAAACAAATGCTGGCCAGTTTCAGCGGCAGCCCTCAACCCTGAAGGGTTCAATTGCAGGAGTATATTCTCTGTTTGGAGGGGCAGGGATCCTCTTGCTTACCAAACTTGGAGGGCTTCTGTTCGATGTTGTGTCTTCAGGCGCCCCCTTCTACATCATGGCAGGCTTCAACGGCGTGTTAGTGATTGTCGGCGTTGTTAGCGGCCTGGTCATCTACTTGAGAACGAACCAGTAGCGGACACACGATATTCTAACTTTATTGCAACTTCTCAGGGGCGAAAAGCCTTTAAACACAAGTGCAAGGAGCCAACATAGGCAAAGCGTCAACAAAGGAAAAGGCTTGTTGAATTCGTCACACCGGGATCACATCAAAGTCTGTTCCGCCTGCATCGCCAGCACGCCCAAAGAGAACACTCACGACATTCAAAGATATAGTGCGGCAGGCGATGAGAGCACACCTCACAGCGATGGGAACCGGAGATATATCTCCATGCGCCATCATGACTGCATTCGTGATTTTCTCTCAAGTCCTCCATTACTCTTGCCAATAGATCGTTATCAACTTCCACCTCGGGTGCATCAGGAGCCTCCTCTCTAGGAACTGCGACTGCAGCTCGATTATCCTGAGGCTCGGCGGCATTAGGGGGAGGAGCGGCAGCTGGAGCGATACCAGCGGCAGCAGTTGGAAGGTTGTTTGCCTCTCTATCTCGGTCAATGATCTGGTAGGCGCGCTGAAGAAGGTGGTGTTCATTCCAATCAGCACATTCGCAGATCTTCCAGCGCTCTCCGCAGTTGTAACAGAACTCAGCTCCGCAACGGCAACTATATTTATCGTCAATGCAAATGTCTGCGGTAGGATTAAGGGATAGGTGGATGGAGGACGAACGTCATGTGATTGCAACCATAGTTCAGCTCTACAACGCGCCAGCACGAGTAGCAGCGCTGCCATCCATTCTCCTGCGCAAGTGTAAGGAGCTGTTGCAGAGCATTATCGTTTGGACAGTCCCCGGTATGCGCGCGGCCCTTGCAACTGGCGCAGGTAGTGAGGCGACATTCGGGACAAGTCGCGACGTCATCGACAATGTGATTGGGGTGAATAAAGCTCGAACACGCTGGAGAGTAACAGTATGTTCTATTGACGACCGAGAACTCCAGTTTCTTCTTGTTGTACCGTTGCAGAAAGTCAGAACTGAGAAAGATTCGTGCAGCACTGGTGTCCATCCGCTGTCGGCAGCAGCGTGGAGGGAACAGAGTTTCGTCTGTCAGTGAGGCCTTGAACAGAGACAGAAGGCAAGGGCGGCAATAGTCGTGTTGACACGGAGCACGAGCCGCGTTGATGAATTCGACCTCCTCCCTACAGGCGATGCAGCGGCGAAGAGGCAGGCATGAACGTTTCACCGGGTGGATGCATTCGGACGTTTCGTTATCGTCAGTGTGTCCATTCGCTGCCATCGACTCAGCATCGTCTTCGATTCCAGAAATGTATAGAACTTTGAGCTTTCTCAGGGTCTCGTCGTCGAGGTCGGGGGAGTCCATATCTGGTCCCTCATCCTTGGGAGCTGCGGTGGTTTCACCGGATTCTTCAGCTAGATGTTCAGCCAGGATCTGGGCGTCGGCTTCCACTGCCACTGCAAAGCTCTTAGCCATCTTCCTGTCCCACAGGAGCTGAGAGACACATTGGAGCTCTTCATTCTGCAATTGAAACGCGAGATCCTCGTCATTGAGGTCACCACAGTCACTTTCCGAGATATGGAGGTGGCAGCTTGCATCCTCGAGTTGGAGTTTCAGGATGAGATCTGCTGTCTCCTGGTCTAAATCCGAAGCCAGAACTGAAGCCATGGTTTCTGCTGCTGGGGATGGTGCTGGGATGATGTTGGGGATGGTGCTCGGCGCAGCTCAAGCAAGGACAAACAGATGAAGCAATAAAGCAATCGAAAGTAAGCTGGGGCGTAACGCATGCACCGTTGATGGCTTTGGGCCTTAGGACGACCAATTCTCATGGACCCGCATCACCTTGTTTGATCATCCGCTGCGATTGTGGGCGTGTCAGGATGACTGAGTAGGGTACTACTTTCACTGCCTCCATGCCATCTTCCCGTGCTCCCACCACTATCCAGGCTGGTACAGCAGAGGTATCTAATAAATCCTGATCTGTGTACCATCGCGCAGTGTGCCTAAGTTAGGTATCTTGGACTCTGGCACATAGGAAGGACCCTTCGTCCAGAAAAAGCAATTGGTTGGAATACCTACGAGGGTGATGCTCGTGAAAGGAGTTTGGACACTCATCACTCCACCCACTGAACTCCCACTACGAAACATCACCCAACTATTCCCACAGGAATCGAGTGTCTAGCCGCGTTGCAAATCTCCAACTTTGATCCCCAATCTGCTTCATGTTACGTATGTTTCTCCCCTCAGACTGGCCCTCAAGATATCTGGAACTAGAATCAACCGGGACGCGAAGCGCACCCAACTCATGATCTCCTGCAAACGGCCTTCTTCAGTACACGATGAGGAGAAAATCCTAGCTATAAACATCTTTCTAGATCTGAAACTCTGCAAGAGCGACTCGTTTACTCTCTACAAGCCGCATGTTAGTCAGGGCTGCCCATGTCGCGAGCTGCTGATTGCAAAAGGCTGAGAAAAGCACTCGGATAAGCAAAGGGCATATAACCATCTGGCTACCCTTGGGATCGACCGTTGCTGGATGGGACCGGCCAACTAGGACATCCTGATCATCTTGGTTTCTGATGCAGAGGATCATATGTTACGTCCAATACCATCTGGATCCTCGCTAGAAAGGACATTCGCTACATCCCGAGCACCTTCTGTCGCTTGCTGTCTCTTTGTCATAACAGTCCAGATACCACCAACTTACCACGGGGACATTGGTACGATCTATGATCTTCGCGAATCTGAAGGGTCTACCTGGCATTTTTTCAAGCTCGAAATTGCTGAATGACAATCGAATGATGCATTATCGCACTGAGACCTCCGAAATCTGGAGAAGCTGCGAACTGCCTCGACTTGCGCAGAGTCTCATCCATCTCATCATCTCATGACGGTTTGGCCCCCAAGCCAAGCTTCAACTGTGGGACTCGCAGCAACTGCAAAGATACACCTTGTTTTCCGACGAATCACCGTTCCTGCTGCCTGGTCAAGGTTGACACTATCGATTATTTGCTAACGCTGCTGTTATCCAATCTGCCCGGATGTAATTACAGCGAACGTTGACTGAACGGCATCCTCATCGGCGTTGAGGCCTCATTGGGCATCCGCCGCCGCCGCCTCCAAGGTCCAGATGGTCAGCCGCACGAATCGGGGCCCTGCCCAACCCCCGTCGAAGCCTCAAAGGCCCCGAACGTCCTACTAGTTGTTCCTGCAGAACCGAGTCGCAGGCTCGCAGCCAATCGACAGACGGCCCTGTCTAGCGCTATGACTGGGTTAGTGGTTCGGATTGGACCGCTAGTCCCTTATATAGATCTCCCATTTTCCCTCTCCAAAGTCCCCTTTTCTTGGTGTTTGACTTCCTGCGAGATCATTTCACTCTTTTCGTCAGTCACTCTTTACAATTTCCGAGCGGTTTCCAACTTCCCACATTCGTTACTCGACCGTCCAGTTGAAGCGTTTGTTTTACCATCGCCTATCGCTCATTTTAGCTGATCGCCACATCTGATCGCCATCATCGATCAACATGCGTCCGCAAACCATCCGATCTTTCGCTCTTCTCGGCGCCTGCTCTTTCGCAGCAGCCAATGATATTGTCTCCCTCATCATTCCCGCTGCGGACGACCAAGAGCTTGTCGGCGAGGTTATTGGCAACGTACGTTTCTCAACATGAGCGATTCTCTTACACGTGGTCGCCTTAGTGTACATCAAATCTAACTTCTTCAGGCTGGTCCAACAACAACCTACCGGATCTTCTGCCCTGAGACCCTTGATGAAACCGAGTGCGGCGTCAACTCAAATGGTTTGACGGTTGCCGCGGCGCCCACTGCGTTTGTCTACGAATATACATTCGAAGACTAGTAAGATGCCGCTGATCTTACTCGTTAGATCGATCAAAACTAACTTACGCTTCCCCTAGCTACCTTAGAGAAAGCTGCAAGCACAGCGGCACAACATGGTTCTCCTGCCAAGTGACAAACACGCAATCCGACATGTCCATCGTCACCAGTGCCACTGTAGACGAAGCTATGCCCTACATAGCCGTCACTATCACCGCAACCGTAACGGACGCTGACGCAGATACCACCACTACTCCGACGGCCACTGCTTCTACTTCGACATCTGACTCTGACTCCGAGGCTTCGTCAACTACTAGCTCCGGCTCCGCTTCTGTCACACCCGCTCCGTCCCAGTCCGCTTCAAACACCACCACCGCGGCTGACCCTGAGGAAACGACACCCGACAATGCGGCCATGCCCCTGGCTGCTGGATCCGCGGCTCAGTGGATTGTCAGTGGCGCCGGTATGCTGGTGGCGTTGGCTCTGGCGTAAGCTGAGCTAGAGTCCGGGCTTGGACTAGGTAATGGTCGTCTTGGTCATATCTTGTACCTAGAACCACTATGTGCATCTCGATAATCTTGAATGAATTTGATATACGTACCTCGGCACTTGCCCACCTTCATCAATATTCTGGTTTTATTTGTCCTTATTTCTTAGAGACTGATACTCAGGCTCTTTGATGACACCCCCTGGTCGTTATCGCCCCGATCAAAACACATCTGCGCAACGACACCCGCCAGTCTAAATATAAAGCTGTAAATCAATACCAGACACTTATCTCATAATAGGCTTAGTAGCCAGTGGTCTTCTTGACCAAACGTAAACCCTACATTGAAAGAATGCAAACACATACGGGGATTAGGTAATAGGTATCTCGAGATTCCATTCGGTGCAAGCTCTAAATGATGTCGCACGAGTACTAGAGTAGATCATCTAATCATGAATAGCTTCATTCAGTCTTGGGATGTTGATGAGCTGACTGTTTTCGCACTTATGGTTTCATCCCCGTCGCTCGGAGAAAGTTCCCAATGGCACCGTGGCTCCTCTTCCCTCTCTCCTCGGGTATAGGGCGGCGCTCATCACCTAGTGGACGCACCTCCAGGCCAGCGCGGATAATATTCGACCGCAGCAGTCGGAGGTGTGCTTCCCTGACGTAGTTGTCTAGACTTTCGAGAGCCGCTTCTTGCACTTCTACGCGCTTGTCGCCCTGGCTGGAAACAAGGACATGTTTCTCTAGATCAATGCGGGCGTCCAGCGTACCGTCCTGGATGAGGCCGATTAGTTCCTGGACAAATGCTGAAGTTGAATCGTCCTGGTGTGACTGCTTCGTCGGGGTTCCGAGAACGAAGATCTTGGCCATGGATTCGAGCGAGACACGGTTGAAAGGGATAAGGTATTGTTGGATGGACTTTGTGCGGATTCGATTGTATAGAGTCTGAACGTGGCGTTGAAGGTGGATGTCAAGTAAGTAGTCGGCTCGGTATGCTTCGAGGATTTCGAGACATGGTCTGAATTTGGAGTTGCAGAAGAATGAGATGGCGCGGCGGATGTGAGGCTCCAACTCTAAGAAGTTGCGGAACGAGCTGTTGTCCAGGACGCGGCGCTGGAGCTCATTGCGGTCCATGGAAGCTAGAGCACAGAGGCCACCGTAGACTGCGACATCGTTTGAGGACAAGACTTCGTTGTATGTGTCCCCTAGACTGGGGTCTGTTGCCATGAAGCTGTTCGCGGCTTCTATATATGAGCCCGAATGTAGCTGTGATAGGCCCATTGCAACTGATGTCTTAGGCTGATGTTTGATTTGTTCTTCCGGTTTCCCTCCTTGACTCCGTAGCCGGTGCACGTTGGACTGTACATTCAACCAGTCTCCGCGCTCGATCGCCACGTTAATAACTTTAAACAACATCGACGCGATGTGACTGGGCGTGGTGCAGAAGTCCCTCATGCGGGAATAAGCTTTGAAGGCAGAAGTCAGGTCGCCAGCTTGATGATAGTGCTGGCCGAGATCTTCGTTGCCCATCTATCACGTTGTCAGAAACGAAAGCAATAAACGCAAATCAGTCATCCTTACTCGGATACTCTCTTTGATCAGGTTGTTCTTATATCCTCTGAGTTCATGCTCCAGTCGGTCCGTCTCGGCTTTGACAACCTTCTGTGACTTCTCCACCCATTCTCTGTCAATGATAGCTTCGGGCTCATTCGGTGCAACACTCTCGAATGCTTGAACTGCGCGCAGGTATTGAGAAACATCTTTGCCAGATTTCGCCTCTGCAATCGCAGCTTTGAGGGCCTCAACAGCGAGGTACGAGGAGCAGGTCCCGATTAGGTATAAACGATTGAATCGGGTTCGGCCTAAGCACGAGTACGTCAGAGATATTCAGCAAGTTAACGATAACGATATTGATGTCTGGTACTCACCGGTATAATTCGCAATGTACGATTCTAGTTCGAACTTGGGTGGCTCTGCTAGATATTAGCCAAGACCATCATGCGTTGTACGCTGTCAAATGTACCATCCACTCTCACAAATGGCCCCGGGGTGGGTACAAGGCCAGTGATCGACTCCGGATCTACTCCGACAGAGCCCGGTACCTGTTGCGCATATGAACCCGATAGAGCTGCCTCGCCGGCGTCCGATGGCATGGGCTCCATCGCGTGTCTGTGAAAGTGTTCGTTCGTGGTAGGCAAATAGAAAAGCAATATCTATGAGGTTGAGTAGTGTCTTATTCAGAAAATATGGTGAGAAAAGCAGGTATGAAGAGCTCCTATGGATCTCGATATCTGGGAACAATGGGACTCGATTCAATCGATAAGTGACCAGTGGCAGTGTGGGGAAGAGGGCAGAGAGATGTACGGCTGGAGCGTGTGTCACGATTTTTGGCAAAGTAAGTCCACAGGGCTAAGCCAGGCTCTTTGAGAGGCTAATTCCTAGCTTGCGATATTAGAGATCTCGTAAAAGAGGAAGAGGGAAGGACGGTACCTGCGGAGGTGTTGGGTTGTCTCTAATCTGGCGGAGACATCATTCCAACTCCGTAAATGCCGTCTTATCCCACCGCCTTCGTCACCGCTTCTTGCCCTTCCTGCAGCCATAGGGCTCAATGAAGATGCGGATACTTCCAAGGGTCAGCATCACCTAGACACAACTGATGTGACTAGGCTTTCGCTATGTACAGAGTATGCTTGCTACTACAGAGCGAAGGCAAATATTCTGAAAGTCGCTTATTACGCCAGCTAGACTTCTCACATTCATTGAAGATGGCTTGCCCTGGACGACAGGAGTGCATCTCTTTCTCTCTCCTCTAGTTCTTGTCTAGTTCTTGCACCTTTGTTACCATTCTTCTGCTCACTGCCCTTGTTCCTTGTCTTGGCTCTATTTAGTGCACATCTCTGTTCTCAGCAGAGAATTAAAGATCCAGACTCTGTCCTTTCGGTATGTGATTGAGGGATCAACAGACCTGGGATAAGATTGATGCAAGACTTGGTACGGAGTATGTCTGGCAGTCTGAGAGTTCGCGACCTGCGGCTCCGAAACGCACGCGGACAACAGACTATTTCGCACCCCAGAACTCTCCCATGCATGCAGCTGTCCTGCAAGTAGGTCGAGCGCCTGATTTTGGTTCCCGATCTGTTCTTACTCCATCTTCATAGTTCTGTTAAATTAGTTTTGTTATTCTCTTGTCTTTTCGCGCTGGTTGGTATTCAATCGCCTATCTGTCCAGAATACGCTTACTCTGGTGTTAGTAATGAATAGCTATTCCTCAATGCAAATTTCATATTATGATTCGAGTATACATCCATTTCCATCCCGCCGAAAGGACAGTAAAGCCAGGAGTATTAGTATTATCGCTGAGCCCAAGTAAATACACCCACGAAGTAAAGTAGAGCAAACCAAAGCAAGAGATCATGATCAAAAATAGTAGAGTCACACGCCATTGTATGCAATCAAATCCTCACAGCAAAATCGCAAAGCCAGCAAAGAAACCGCCCAAGACAGCAACTAGCCCATAGACCTGCCTAAGGTCCGTTACAGGCCTCACAGCAGCTCCCTCGTCATCGTCACTGGGCAAGCCCGTGAACGGCGCCAGAGTCGAGGTCGTCGAGGTAGTGGCACTCGTCGTCGTAGTCGAGCCATTGGTGGACGTCGTGTTCGCGAGCTTAGGGTTCTGGGCGCCGCAAGGGTTGCTGGTGCGGCATCGGTCCTGGCAGGTGGAGTCGCCGCAGGCCGCCACGCAATTGTTATTTTCTTCTGTGCAGAGGAAATAGGGAATTGTTTGGGAGTATTCGGAGGAGTTGGGGGACTGGTTGTTGTCGCAGACGCAGCTGTAGACGAGGGTGTCCTGTTTGGGAAGCAATGGTTAGAGCTCCGGCTAGATACAAGGTCTGAGGGAGCGGGCTGTGCAGAGTCAACGTACACTGTCGCATGTGTTCGATGTCGGGTCTCCAGATGCACCGGGGAGCTGCAGGCACAGGAGTGGGCAGGAGGAGGTTTGTGCTGTGCACCATTGCTCTGTTGGAGTTGAGTGTTAGATCATGGTCGTCAGGACAGGCATATACTGTGGAAGGAGACTGTACTTTTCGTATCCTCGTCCAGGTTTTGGATATCTACTGTCGTTGTACTAGCATCCTGGCAGATTGCAACGGCCGCCACAGATGCAAAGGCGAGCAAGAAACGCAGCAGGACCATTTTGGTGATTTGAGTAGCGACTGTAATGTGTCCGCCTGAAGAATAGCTGGTATGGAGCTCTAACTAACGAGATTACCAAAAGAAAAATCCCGATAGAAATACCCGATGCGAGGAATCGGGTCTTAGAAATCAAGACTATAGAACCACCAAGCAAGTGGAGACGAAACGAATGGATTCTGGGGTAACGACTGAAACAGTCACAAACGAAGCAGCAGATCTGAGGGCCTGAGGAGAATCAGAAAGCGGAAAATAGTGAGCGACAGAAAAGAACTGAGCCGGAGACCCTGAATAAGTACTCCCACTCGTGTTACTGGACCGGTGGCGGCGCTATCAAACCTTTTAGCTTTACTCCATCCCCAGCCTGAGTTAGCTGATCCTGGGTCCATTCATCAGGCTTAAGAGGTATTTTTATTTCGCCTGCTGCAAAATACTCCGAGCCGCATCCCTGACTCTGACTCCCAGTATGCGTTGGTACTGACGGAAAGAGAGACTCGGTCTTGCTTTTCAGCTTCAGGGGCCAGGGAGCTGCCACAAAAGAAATTATGTCGATCCGGGGGCTACCGAAGCTCCGTTTCTTTCAGATAAATAGAGTGCTCTTCCCGTCCGCCCATCATAGAATCCACTGTGCACACCGAAGATTTGAGGATTCAGCAAGTTGGTACGAGGATACCGGTAGCCTCCCGTACTTGTGAGACACTCCATTCTCATCGGTAGGACAAGCGAGCAGCTTAGAGGAGAGTCCGAGGCGAGACGGTGGCCACTGGCATCCCAGCCATTGCTTGACTTCCCCTCCCCAATATGCAATCTGAGACGGGTGTCAGGCATTGATTGGTCTCTTGAGTCTTGAGATACCTGCCGTTGAGGGTCTGTAGTTCTGTACTATACCAACTACTGCAACTCCCGAGTAAGCTCCACAGAATGCTCACATGGTGCTGGAATGTCTTGGAAGACTGACGACGGACCGATGGCCGCCTCTGCCAGTCTTTACAGAAGGGGATTAGGGGTCTGGTGTGTCTGACTCGGCCAGCTTCTGATTGGCGGAGACAAGGCTTGGCTTTTTCTAGCGTGAACCTCGGCCTTTTCCCTGGAGCTGCTCCAATTTAGCTTCGTCTAGCATTTACAAATTGTACTTGCTGGCTCGCCCGGCGCTGTCTTATCTGCCCTCGCGATATCGGATGAGTGGCGGCAGTTTCATCCGATCATCCCATCAATTGTACGAAGATGGGCGCATTTCTCCGGCTTCTCGATCAAGCCTTCACTACTATCATGACTCGATGTTGAGGCATTATTGATCGGCCTGGCGTTCCTGTTCCGGAAAGGTGTCTTGGCAGTCTGCTCTCCCGTGATCTCCAATCCAGTCTGGCTTCAATATCCAGCTTATGCGGTGGCATCAATTCCACTGAACCTAGCCTTTTACATGCCAGATCATGTCGGTCTCTCAGCTCTAATCTTTACAGCCTTCCCATAGTTCTTCTATTTCTTTCTTTGATTATTCCTACTTCTAAAACTTAATTGACGGGTGGTTGTCCAGCGCCAACAAGCTCCGCAGGCAACCCCGTAAGTTACCCCGTGCTTGCTTGCTCTCCGCCACCTGCCCCTCCTTTCATGTTGCATTGAACTTACTTATTTTTAACCCTGGGTCTGTAGGCATTCCTATTCCCTATCTCCGACTCAGAAGTATCTAAATGGATGGCTCCAGCGAATGAGGAGACAGGCCGGGTACCGAGGCCGCAGCCGCTCCCTGCTTCCCCTCATCCTTCAAACGCCGCTCCCAGCGCTCTCGATCGTGACGGTGACACGGTAGAACCAGCCATCTCAAATCCAGCCGAGACCAGTGCCGACCCTAGTCCAGCCTCTTCATCCCACTTTCAGTCTGAATCTCCCAGCCTCGCGCCGAAGGAACGCCCAGTCTCCGGTATAGTTCCCCCGTATTGGAGCCATCATCGCAATGCGTCTCGCGTGTCGCAAATATCTACCGATGGAGGACCGGCGATAACGCTTGAAGATCATACTGAGGACCCGAACTCTGAAACTAGCCGTGGCCTGTGGGCCAAGAGCGTCACGATCGATGATCATGTCGTTGTCCAGGGAAAGACAGGGATAGGTGCATACGTGGTGTGGAATTGCAAGATCCGAACCCTGGAGGTGTGTTTCGGATGCCATGCTTTGCATTCTCTCGCTGGCCGTGCATCAGACTGACTTGATTAGGGAGGAATGATTACTGTTCGCATGAGGTATTCCCGCAACGACGTTGCTCTCATGTTGAGTGTAAACTAAATCCACCCATTGCAGATATTCCGAGTTCGACGACCTCCGACTAAAGCTAGTGAGATCCTTCCCGCACGCGAAGAACGCCCTCCCATCACTCCCACCAAAGAGTGTCCTCTGTACGCCTCCAGCACATTGTGACCATTTGGCCAATCCATCCTGACATACCTTGCAGTCAAGTTCCGACCATCCTTCCTCGAATCTCGCAAAGTCGGTCTCGAGTACTTCCTAAAGTAAGACTATCCACCCCGTCGATGGGCTAACTCCCACACCGAAAACTAACTGGCGTCCTGAAGCTGTGTCCTTTTAAACCCCGAGTTCTCAAGTTCTCCTATCGTCAAGGACTTTCTCTTTGGGCGAATGTGCTAGGGCTTGCAGCGACCCTATGCACTATCGCAATCCTATCACGACATCAGTATCACTGATAAATATCTTGCCGGCGAACAACGCCCATTGTAGCTCCTACACATAGTCATTAGTAAACCGTAGTTCTTACAAATCCACAGCTGTGTTTTGCAGCCGAGCAGCCTCCTAAGAAGAAAATAGCCCAGCATACATGTCCCTTGGACCGATATATCTGTTTTTTACGAAAAGACCAAAGTATGTGATTTCATCACGACTGGCATCATTATCTATTAAAAGTTTATGTACTAAGGTAAGGTACAGACAGTATCTATAATCATCCTAAAGAACACAGAGAAGAAGGGGAAACCGGGGTTTCTTCTAGGAACCCAGGTTATAGCTGGTGGGCAGTTTTCCTTGTTCATCTCATCTCACATCAGGCGGTTGGTGTACGGTGTATGCCGCGTCAAGTCGTAAGTTCATTCATAGCGCGTGTGTGCTGGTTGTTGGTTTTGACATATCCAGGAGCGGTAAGTTATTGTACAGATGTATGTCTTGTGGTAGGTATGTACGTTGTAAGGCGAGGTTCAAGGACTCCGCCGGGTAGAATCGGCATATATAGTTCATGGCTCATCCCAGGGTTTCGTAGTTGAGTCAATGGCTCTTCAGGCTGCCCCTGTCGGAGTTGTCGGCCACCAGGCTGCGGAAGGGAGGCTCTCTCTCAGTTGATTTGTCCCGACGGATTGTGAGACAGTTGATGCCGAGAAAGGTCGTGATGCGGTTGATCACCAAAACGGCCCAGTACATGTAGGCAACAAAGGCGAAGAAGAAATAGGCCCGCAGGTAAAAAAGTTCGAGGGAGGCGCTGACTGCGGGAAGACCGAAGAAGGGGAAGTTGGCGAGAATAGCGCCGCCGATGAGCGGAGCCTGCAGCACCGTCCAATGCGGGAATGGTTGTCTAAGTAGGTGGGCGAGGATGATCTTCGTGGTCATCCGACCAAAGACGAAGGAAATCGTCCAGCAATACAGCACTAGTCGGTTGCCAGAGAGAAGGGACGAATACGGGGAGAAGAGCCAGGCCATGTTGCATCCAGTGAAGATGATCATCGGCACCCATTCCTTGAAGATAGGAGTAATGGGGAGTCCTTGACTTCTGCGAGCTGACACGACATTGTAGACGCAGCCAGGAAGGTGCCCTAAGAAAAAACCGACGAGAAGTATCGGCACCCACAGATCCTTCATAGAATTGTTGCCAAAGAGGCCTGGCAAGTTCAGGAATTCCACAATGGGTCGAGACCATATTTGCGGGCCGTACCAGCCGGAAGCAATCATAATCGCAATACCGATCAAAAGACCTTCGGTGGGACCGTTGAAGTAGCCAAGATAGAGCGTGTGGGTGTGATATGTCTCCCAGGTCGAAAAGTACATGGCGAGACATGGCACAAGAGCAGTCCAAGCGCCGAGTTGGGTGGAGCCTAGGCCCATTGCGGCGGTTTCAAGCAGACTGGCAAGAGTGCAGTTGAGGGAGTCAATTCCGTGGCTGGGAGAAGTTAGCAAACTCCTCACCACTTTCGATCCCCTACTAACTCGAAGAGCTCTCCTAATCCGCTGGAGGTGCCAGTCCGTCGCGCTTGTTTTCCGTCCACATTGTCGAGCGTCGAGTACCTTGTATAGTCGTCAGGATAGCTTTCAGAGCAATAGCCTCGGCGCCTTACATCCACATTCCCAAAGCGAAACTGTAATACAGCCAAGAAGGACCCTGGCATTGAAGGGTTAGAAGCGAGCTCAGTAATGATAGACCGACGAGCGACTTACCGGTCCAATGAGATCCGGCATGAAGATCTCTATGAGCATGACGTTACCAACGATAAATCCGAAGCCCAGGAGTGTGACCATATTAGGGGCCATCCAAAGCGGGAGCAGTTCGACGAAAGCATTCCACTAACACCCCGCCATTCTTGTCAGCTAAGACCGAACCGGAACCGGGAGAGAAGGCGCAATACATAATGTCTCAGGATGTGATTTGAAATGTACGATTTATCAACGCTGGAGTACTTGTAGCTCTTTAGGGGTAGGAGGACATCATCGGAGAGGGAGTCTTGAATCTCTGAGGCACGCGCAACCCGTTAGCTCGCTGCACAAAAACCAAGTCCACTCCAAATGGCAGCACTCACCTCGGATCCTTCGAAAAATCCTGATCATTTTGAGTAGGCTGCGTGGTCAGATTAATGTTCGGGGGTGGAATGCGCAGGTCGAGCCTAGTTCATAGCGCGCGGATGCGGCGGCGTGCACGGAGCAAATAGTCGTAGGGCGAGCCAGGGAGCTGCCGCGAGGGTATGAACTGTCTGAAGCGCTCTTCTTAGAGGAAAGAAGGAGACAATGGTCGGCCGGCGAGGATCAGTAGAAGAAAAGCGAATTCCAGACAAGGTCCACTTTTTTTAGAGGTACTAGTCCCAGGAGCACGAATCGGTTCCGGTACCTGGGCTATCACGTGCACGTGCTGATCTATATTATTATTGTACCGACCGCATCCCTTTGCTCTGTTCCTACGGAGTACTTAGTGGTTGGTGTAATGCGGTATCTCTCACACATTCGGTCGGCCTCATGTAGGCCGTCAGAAATCGCTTTGTGTTTCAACCACTTGTACGGAGTACCTGGATAGTAGCACGATGGCTACTATATTTTCAGCTTTTTCCTCGCCGAAACTCACACGACTAGCACCTTGGTCTCCATTGATCCTCGGACTTCTCAACCTCTTCAACAACAACCTCCAGGATTATCTCTAACCCAGATTCCAGCTTTCATCCTTCCCCAGCTGCTCCAGACCATGACCCCGTCATTACCCCCGCAGTCCAACCACTTAGATTCCCGCTTTTCGGGGTTCCACTGCGAAGTTTCCCAAGATGTATCCGACTGGTTTGAGCCAGATGTCTATCCTCAGCAATCGAATATACCGTCTTGCCTGAGTATATGAATGTGAGTGCACACTCCGGGCACAGCAGCAAGACTTGCATCCTCAGCCGCCAACTCCGTCATATCCCCCTCTATGGGGTCGAGATTCCTGAAAGAAACCCTGTCCGAACCCAGCTAAAGCTGCTTTGGGGATGTATTATTCGACCCTGATTCTGGGACTTGGGCTGTCGTTGCTCGTCTCATTAGCAGGGCGCCGAATCGATGCGAGAAAAGCAGTGACATGGTCTCCCTGTAGAAGCACAATAACATCACGGAATTGCTTTAGTCTTAGGTCTTTATTATCTGAAATGGACGTTTCAGGAGTATACTGAGGTATTTGGTACATGTAACGTGATAGGGTTTTATCCGCGCTGACTAGGTGATTGAGATGGAGTCGTCCTTTTTTTAAGTTTCTGTCTGCGTGGACGAGGACAGGTTCTGACTGAACTGGGCATAATGTAGATTGCATGTCGGCAGGTGCAGCGACAAAAGAAAACCTGCTTGGTGTTTTTCCTATAAACCAAGTCATACGAAGTATATTATAACCCGAACTATATACGGGGACTTAATACTAGGTCAGTTGCTTCCCAACTGAGAATATGGCAGCAAAACTGCGAGTTAGCTTATCACATTTCAGCATAGTAGTTATTCATTCAGCAAGAAAAAGCAGTTGACCGTGCGTAATAGTGGCCTTGGAGCAGAGAACCCGCCTTGGAGTTTGATCAACTTTGGGTCGGTCGAGATCACGTGAGCGAGGAGCTCCGCTCCGCAGCTTCGAGTTCGGATGCTTGACGCGCCATGAGATAGAAGTCATCGAAGAGTGAGAGATCTGTTACCGTCTACCAAGGAATGCGGAGTCGCTCAACCGTAATAGTCGCATTCTACTTCTCGCCGTATCCTTCTCACCATCTACGAACTTCCCGATTGTCCAGTTTGTGTTACCACTCTTTTAACACTTCTCGATTGCTCGGACACACGGCCGCCGTCGCCTCCCACCTTTCGGTTTCTACAACACTTTCAGTCTGAGGATCATTGCGCTATACATTCAAACCGACTTCAGTATACGATACGATCGCTCCTGGAGCCTGGACATGACGGTGGATGGTCAGCTTGGCGCTCGCGGCGCAGTACACGACTGAGTATCTTGCGCGATGCCCGGCGTCGTTGATACTCCCGCCGGCCCAAGCTGGCCAGGCCTGGGCTACACAGTCGCGCATCAAAAGGTTGAGCTGGAGTTGGATTTTGCTAGCCGGAGTTTGAAGGGTAAAACTGAGATTATCATTCACCCGGACAACAAAGACTTGCGCACCATTCGATTGAACTTTCGACAGGGAGAATTGAAGCGTGTAAGTGTCAGCGGAAAAGTGCCTACGGTCAAATATGCCGACCCCTATGAGTCGCTTCAGCTGTATGGCCCTCATTACCACCAGCGTTTGGCGTCAAAGATCGATGGCCTCCTTAAAACTCCATCTGAACCGGATCTCCTCGTGACCGTTCCGAAAAGCGTCCGCATAGACGAACTCGATCCAACATCCGACGAAGCGCAGGATCAGATGGCACTGAGGGCTCCGGGTTTTGCAGATGATACTGAAGGACCTTTAAGCTCGAAGGCCGCCGAGACGTCCGCTCCGAGATTCACGGCCCTCACTGTGAATATCGAATTTATCGTCGAGAACATACGAGATGGGCTACAATTTGTTGGCTTGGAGAGTGGTGACAAGCGATATCCGCACGCTTATACGACAAACTCGTTGGATCATGGGACTGGGTGTCCGCTTTTCCCTTGTGTGGATGATCCTTCCTCGCGATGCACCTGGGAGGTATCGATTAGATGTCCGTGCACACTGGGCGATATTTTTGACCGCAAGTCTCGAGACCAGTCGGGTGGCGGGACAGATGCCCACCCAAAGACAAGGACGAACCACGATCGGTTTGCCCCGGATGATGAGGCCCTAGATCTTTCCGTCGTCTGTTCTGGAGACTTGACGGATGACATTGTTGATCCAAAGGACCCCAGCAAGAAGACCGTCTCATTCGCTTCCTACTCTCCTCTTTCTGCGCGGCAGATTGGATTTGCTGTTGGGCCATTTGAGTATGTCAACCTTGCCGATTTTCGTGAGAGCGACCAAGACGAGCAACTTGGCCAAAATGCCATTCCACTTCATGCGTTCTGTCTTCCAGGCAGAGGCGATGAAGTTCGTAACACCTGCTTTCCCATGGCAAAGGCAATTGACTATTTCTCGATGACATACGGATCATATCCATTCGCAAGCTACAAAATATGCTTCGTTGATGACGCGCCAGAGGATACACTGCCAACGGCATGCTTCTCAATATGTAGCAGCCGTCTTCTGTTTCCGGAGGAGATAATTGACCCTATGTACGATTCCACTCGTGCCATCACCCACGCGCTAGCTGTTCAATGGATTGGTGTCAACATCGTGCCAATGGCGCCGGTTGACACATGGGTAACGGTTGGTGTTTCTTGGTACATAACAGATACCTTTATGCGGAAACTCTGCGGAAACAACGAATATCGGTTTCGACTAAAACAGATGTCAGATCGGGTTTGTGACCTAGATTATGAGCGGCCATCAGTCTACGACATGGGAAATATCCTCAGCATAGACCCATCAGAGGCTCACTTTATCGCGCTCAAAGCACCACTAGTACTGTTCATCTTAGATCGACGCCTCACTAAAGCCAGCGGGAAGGCAACGATGTCTCGGATTATATCTCGCCTCTTCTTGAATGCTCGTATGGGATTACAAAATAGAGCTGTCACATCCTCTCTCTTTCAAAAGCTCTGTGAACGCTTGGGACATGCAAAGCTGGAGACTTTTTTCCAACAATGGATCTATGGTGCCGGGTGCCCCAGGTTTCAAGCGACCCAAAGATTCAACAAGAAGAAACTGGTGGTGGAGATGATGATCAAACAAGTCCAATCAGATCAGCCAAGCGCTCGCGACCTGGAGAAGGATGCGTTTATGCGCGATGTGAAAGAAGAGATTCGAAACGTTTATGCTGGTACAATACAACCAGTCTTTTCCGGCTCGATGACGATCAGAATCCACGAAGCTGACGGAACTCCTTACGAACACATCGTGGAGATCAAAGAGGGCGTGACGAAATTCGATATACCATATAATACGAAATACAAACGACTAAAGAGAAACAAGCGCCAAAAAGAGCGCGCTGCTGCTGTGATAGGCACGGACGGTAACGCGGAGGTGCAGGAGGACATTCTGCTCTACTGTCTTGGGGATGTGCTGCAGAGCGAGGAGGAGATGCAACAATGGCGACTTGCTGACTGGAGTAAAGAGGATGAAGAACGAATGGGCCAAGAATCTTATGAGTGGATTCGCATGGATGCAGATTTCGAATGGATCTGCAAGCTCTCACTGGTCATGCCAGGGTACATGTATCTTTCACAGCTCCAGCAAGATCGTGACGTGGTAGCCCAGCTCGAGGTCAGTCAAAGCGGACCTTCTATTCTATCTCTGCTTACATCTCTCTAGTCCCTCCAATACATGGCTGCGCAACGAGAGCACGCTCTGATTTCTACCATCTTTCTTCGGACGCTTATGGACCGACGGTATTTCTACGGAATTCGGGTGGCAGCGGCACGGGCTTTAGTTAAGCATGCCAAAGAAGAAATTAACTGGCTGGGACTATTCCATCTTGAGAAAGCTTTCCAGGAGCTATTCTGCTTGCCAAATTCTCCTATGACTCGATCAAACGACTTCACAGACAGGGCCGCATATGTCCTTCAGCTCGTCATTCCAGATGCTATTTCTAGAGTGCGCGACGTCAGTGGAAAGACCCCTATGAGGGTGAAGCGATTTCTATATGACAAGTTGAAGTTCAACGACAACTCTAATAACGAGGTAAGCATGTCCATCTTAAAGCTTACTACACACTTGCTCACGCTATAACAAGTACTCGGACAATTTCTACGTGGCTACATTAATGAAGTCCCTCTGCCATGCCATGCTTGGAAGAGTTGAGACTCATACAGATGACTTGAGCAACTTTGACATGGATGCCGTTCTCGAAGCTCAAGCCGAGGAGCAATTGGAAAAAGACGCCATGGCAGAAATTGATCGCTACAGGAGAATGGACGAATGGTCGAGTTCCTACCAGAACCTCTACTCTCGAGCAGCTTTACATTGCCAAATGCAGCTCATGCAGGCTAAAATAACTGGCGTCGATATCATGCAGTTCCTACCATACACGCGGGTGGGCACTTATGACCTCCTTCGCCTAGATGCTTTCCAGTGTCTCGTCGAGCTTGATATCTTCAAGAGCCCTGAGCTGCTCCGATGGTTCATCTTTACCATGTCAAACGACCCATCCGTATGGCTCAGATGGCAACTCCACGGCCTGTTTGGGAAAGCGCTCGCCCCTGTCGCTTTTGGCCGCGGCGTCGTCAACGAGCAGACGCCCGCAGCTGATGGTCTCATTATCGAGCAAGAGTCATCGACAGAAATTCGGCAAGCGGATCTCGCCCGGAGACAAACCGTCACTGGGGCTTTAGCCGCCTTAAAGACCGAGGTCTCCGGCGACTTGGTGCTCAAAGAGTGCCTCTGGGCCGCTTGCTGCTCGCCAATTATTGGCGTCCTTGAGCTCTCGGAATTCGCAGACCTGTGTCGAGTCATATATGATCCGATAACCACTAAGAGAATTACCTTGAAATACCCCCGATACTGGGGCCTCAGGCACCAAGGCAGGGTATGTACATCCGGGGTCTATTAACACCCTTGTCATTGTTGTTCTGAACGGCGTCACTGATCATCTGCCTACAGGGCCGCCTCCACTTCTACCGCACAAACAAGATCCGCACCTCCCTCAACCCTTCAACCACGTCATCCCAGAAACGCAAACGAGAAGACGGCGGCGCCATGCCAGCCCCCGCCTCCGGCCTTCGCGTCACATTCAAGCAACCAAAACCGAACCCCCATTACCTCAACCACATCCCCAGCACCCCTTCCGCCAACACCCCGACCCCGCGTTCAGGGACCCCCTTACAACAGAGACAACCTACGAAGCTGTCCATCCCGAACTTCGCTGCTGCTCAAGTACACCGGACACCATCATCACAAACCCCCGCAACCCCGTCCACGCCTGGTGGCGGGCTCAAGCTGAAATTAAAACTTGGGTCCCAGCCTAAACAATAACATTAGATCTTTTCTTCGATATTAATGATGAGTATTCTTGTATTGTACTTTCTTTAGGTTTTCAGCCTCGTTTTCTATTCATTTTCTTGGGCGGGTGTGGGATGGGTAGGAGGGTGTTTGATTGGATTTGCATCGAAATACATCAAAATAGCTAGCTATCTATATCCATGAAATTTTGCGATTCTCATCATGGTGTGGTTGAATGCATCTTTCAAACTCGACTTGGACATACCTTTATGTCTCGAGAAATTATCTTCATCTTTTAGTTCGTCGACTGTTGCTTTATGGCTAAGAATCCTAACCCGCCCGAGTGTGTCCACCAAAATATATATTTGAAGTAGATCTTCGGGCACCAATGACACCTGAGCTACAAAATAAGAGAACGGCACGTAGAGTTTAAAGATTTATTTTGATTTAATTCCCTCTCATAAGAAAACATGAAAAAAGTAATAAAAAGACGAAGTGCCCTTGCTTGGTATGATTCCATGCGAGCAGTCCAACCCGTGAACTCCTTATTCTCTCAATGAAGTAACCCACATACGTTGCATGGTATGGAATGGTATAAAAATGCAATCCGTAGACGTCCTGACGCTTTTCCCCCGGCGCTTCGCTGTCTCTATTTCTCGTTTATCCGTTCCAAAGCCTAGAAGAATGAGTGATTGTTAGTGATTCGGACAAATAATGGGCGGGACAGAAGAAGAGACAGTACTGACCTCGAGCATGACGACTGAGTTTCCGCGAATGACCTAGAGAGCATAGGAGTCCATTGGTTAGTGTCACATTTCACTGTGGCAGTCGAGCAATAGTCCCAGGGCTCGGGGCGTGTTTAACGCACAATCATGCCAATAGCAACCTTCTCTCCGCCTGGCTTCTCCTCAAAGGCCTCATCTAGAACGATGTTCATGAAGACCTGGCATCGCACGTGCTCCATTAGCTTTATTGTTCTGTTCCGCGGCGAGTGGGTAGCTTGTGTAGGTGGTCTCGAAGCCAGATCGCGAAAATAACGGGAAGAGAATCAATCTAGAGCAGGACTCGGTTCAACGTACATCGTAGCCTCGCAGAACGCCAATGACTTTGCGGTTTCCGTTGAGTTCGCAGAATACCCGCTTCTCCATATACTGTACAAACGATGGTGTTAGCGCGCGCCATTGGAATGGTCAAAAGAGGATCCGGGTAGCAATGACAGACCTTCTTCAGTTCGGGCTGTGCTTGAGGCATTTTGGCGATTGGAACTTGATCTGACTTGCTGCCCTTTTGTCGAAGGTGGTGATGCGGAACTTTTGATATCGGCGGGAGGCACCTGAGCCGGAGAAATGATGTTCCCGATAGCTCAAAAATGCCGGGTGACGTTGTTATCGGAAGGATATCTCCAGCCAAGGTCCTTTAAAAAAAGATTTAGAAGATATCAGACCTCTGAAGATGAGCTCTGCATTTGCTAGTAGAAGGAAGCCGCGCAAGATTGGCGGAGATGACGGCGACAACGATGAGGACCAGGGTAGGTGCCCGCCTTCATACGGTGTTTCGAAGCTCTATTTGAGGAGCCTTGAACTAATACGATATCTAGATTCTGGTCCGATTGTCAAAAGACCCGTTATCTCAAAAGCGAAACAAAAATCCAAAGCGCGCCTTTCATTCGGCCCCGGCGAGACTTCAATGACGGAGGGCGAGGACGGGGAAAGCGAGGTTATCGTGCCCAAGAAGCATGGCTTGGGTAGGCGAGTGCTTGAGAAGAATGCATCACAGAGATCGATAACACCGGCCGGGTCAGGAAATCAACTTCCGCTCAGAGTTGGACCCGAGCAAGATCGACCGAGCTACAACAAGGAGTATCTGAATGAACTTCGAAATTCGACGGCATCGACGCCCAAACCTACGACTGACCCCGAAATCCGGAATGAGGTGGATGTGGCAGCGAAATTTGGTGAAGTCATGAAAGTTATTGCTCCGTCGGCCATCCCTACGGAGGCTGAGATAAGGGAAAAGAAGGCTCGCCGGGCAAGGTTGGCAAAAGAACAGGATAGCCATAGTCTCACCGAGCAAGACTATATATCGCTTGAGGAAAATGCGGGGGATGACTGGGAACTGGTCGACCGAGAAGATCTCAAAGACACGAGGCTAGTGCGGGACGATGAAGACTTTGCGGAGGGCTTCGACGAATACGTCGAAGATGGACGCATATCATTGGGGAAGAAGGCCGAACGTGAGCAGAAGAAAAAGCAGCGCGAAGCCATGCGCGAGCTCATTGAAGATGCCGAAGCTCTTTCGGACGAGGAAGACTCTGACTTGGAGGAAAAGGCGGCCTACGAAGCCGCCCAGACAAGAGCTGCGATGGGATACGGCAAAGACCCCGTAGATCGACCGAAGACGCCTCCTAAGATGACCTCGCTACCACGTCTCTCAACATGTCTCGATAGGTTGCGGATGAACGTCGCGGTCTTGGAGAAGTCTCGGACACAAATGATCAACCGAATGGAAGAACTGAGAAAAGAAAAGGCAGATATTTCTGTTAGAGAAGTTGAGATACAGGCTCTGATCAAAGAGACTGGAGATCATTATGAAAAACTCAAGCAAGAAGCAGGAGTCACTCCGGGCTCCGAGGTTGATACCCCAGTGACCACAGATTTCGAGAGCTCTCGCGGATTAGAAAACATTGGGGCTTCATCCATGGTTGTATCCGGAGCAAACTCGGAGAGTGAGACCTGAATGGTTACGAGATGTTGTCTTTGGATGTGTGCGTGTGCCAGCTCTCCAAGCATTCCCCATTCAGAAGGTGCTACTCACCCCAGGCCATCTCACCATGACTACGCATACCGGAGACCTGTCTGCGTTTCATCAACACTTTGACCTTATTAAGTCCACGAGCGATACCTACGTTAACCCAAGTCGGTCGATATCCGTCTGCCAACAAATCCATGTCCGATGAGCCGAACGCCGTTTTTCTCTCTGGGTCGTTGGTCACTGCCCCGGGCTGAGCGTGCGAGTATTGGACCTTCGCAGTAAGTCATACCAATATGAGATTTCTTTAAATTCTGTACAATAGTAACTCATCACGCAAAGACCACGTCAGGGTTTAGCTCTAATTGAGACACCAATTGACGAGAAAGATGGCGTTCCTCCACACCTCTACCGCCGTTCGGATGCAACTCCAATTGAATTGTTCTTCGATCTTTTCTTCGTTGCGAACCTATCTACCTTCACAGCTACACATGAGATTAACAATGTAGAAGGTGTGGGAATTTTCATGGCTCTCCTATTCAGGTCTAACTCGCCCTATAGCTCTGGGAGCCTACATTGGCTTCCTCGGCGTGATCTGGTTTACTTGGCTCCAAGTAATGATGTTCGATATACGTTTTGCCCGAGACTCGCTATTCGAACGCATCTGCAAAGCCATGCAACTGGGGATCATGGTTGGACTTGCTTCTGCAGGGACGAGGATTACCACGCGTGTCCGCCCCGAGAACGTTTGGGCCTTTCAATCACTGAGTCTTATGCTTGGTGGAAGCAGACTCCTTCTGTCGATACAGTATATTGTCAGTATCATCTTTATCCGCAAGCGCATGAGTAGTGCCGCCAAAGGACTATGCATCATCGCCACAACATTGCTCGTTTCGAGTTTGGTACATTTCGGAGTAAGCGAACCATGCAACTGAAGAGACGTGGCCCAACCCCCGGCTAACGATTTGAAAGATGTATTTTGCCTTCGGCGAAGACTCGGCGCATTCCTATATTTGGACTGTTTGGTTTGTGCTATTTTGGATCGAGATGTGGGCAGTGATCGCGACCTCTTGCATTGCCCCAGGTATTGGATTTCAAGAAACTCCCCTGAATGTCCGCATGGGTCTTCTTACTTTGATTATCATTGGTGAAGGAGTCATCTCCGTTACGAGACTTGTCAACAAAACTGTGCGGCCTGGCTGCTGGACCAAATGGTCGTTTGTCCATATCTTAGGAGTCACCACTAACGTCGTAAGGCTTTACTGATATCCTACGAACCGGTGCTTCCGGGGATCCCGCTAACATTGACGTATTAGTATTTCATCTGGCAAGAATACTTCGACCTCACCCCGACACGCGCCATGAGTACATTTGCGCAGCAAATCTGGGCCCAGCTGCACTTTCCGTTCCACGTGGCGCTCGTTCTTCTTCTGGAGGGGTCACAAATCCTCGCCTTGACCCTGGATATCACCCTGAAGCTGCAGTACCTTACGGAAACGATCCTGTTTGCATGCGAAGAACCGCGACCGGATCCCCGATTGGCCATCAAGCTGCTTTGCCAGACAATAGACGATATGGAAATCGAGTACAGCCGGGGAGCGACTGGTGAGCAGAGGGCAATCTATGACATATTGAATGATCTTCCAAATCATGACATGTGTCCCGTCAACGGAACAATTGGATTCACACTCACCAGGAATATGTTCAATGACTTGGTGGGAAATGTGACATCTGCTCTCTTCTCTACTATGAGGATTGTGCCACCACGTAGCGCACATGTCAGCACTATGAATAGCTCGCAGCTACTGAGGATGTATGTTGAGCTCTTGAGTTTTGTCTATGTGTACTTTTTCATTGTCGCCTCAGTTGCGATGTTACTTTTCGCTGCCTTCGGGCTTCTAGCTCGACGCCACGACAAACCGCTGGCGATGGCAATCGGGGTGGCGGTTCGGATCATCTCTGGCGTCTTCCTTGCAAGCCTTACCGTCTTCGCGAAGCATTTTGAGCTTGCGTATTCGTTCATGAAGTCTCCGACCATACTATACGCATTTACGTTTGTTTTATTGGGAGGTAAGTTGCTCCTATCCGCATTTAGCCACGGTGTGCCTTTCTCATCGGGATCTAGTGCTTTTGGTTGACCGACTTCTGGACCATTTCGCTGGACAGCCAAGCAGCAAGAATCCGGCACGACGCAGGAAAGCGAGGTAGGCATGCGTCCTGCTGTCGATTATGTGCCTCACATTTCTCTTGCCCACAGAGAGCCCTATTTTCAGAGCCGTTCCCGGGTGGCGTTGGGGATGTGCTTATGGTTATCGATCCTTTTCGATGTATTTCTTTCTACTTACCAATGGGATAGAGGGGATCGCCAATGCAGGAGGGACTTCACGATTGAGAATGGAGTTCAAGCTCGGTAGATCCGTCTGAGGTTCCTCCCAGAGACTAAAACGGAGCTGCATATTTGTGCATCGGCTGACGGGAATGTACAAGTCTTGGCCATCCCCAACCGCGTGCGGCGAATAGTGGAACAAGTGAGACAAATGTACGGCCTGCGGTTACGGAGTAAAAAGATAATAATAGAACTTGAAACATCGGTTTCCAAACTTCAGATACTGAGCGGCGCGCCCTTCTCCCACGGCAGGCTAAGACATCGTCCCAACAGACGACAAACCGCGCAGAGGCGAAAGTTTCAAACGGAAAGCAGAAACGGCCAGCGCAACAATGCATATTGGCATAACGCGGGATGGAAAAGGTCGAATAGAATTGAAGTAGGACCACAGTAGTAAAGTACCTACAACCCCGCTTAGATGACAACCGTCAAAAAGTAGGTGTACACAAGGGGAGCCGGGGTTGGATTGGGTTGGTCTGGCTGGAGCCCTAATCATGGTAGGACGTACGCACGCAGAGCACAGGGCACAGGGCAGACCGTTGGGACAGAGCGGAGAAGAACGACTCTAACGGATGGCTACTGACACAACGCCGTGCTGTACTCTGTACAACTGGGCTCGGGTTGGAAAGCAGAGATGATAGTGCAGACGCACATCGTGCACTGACCTGATCTGTGCTGGCGCGCATACCCACAGCTCTGAGTCGGAACTGAGTCTGGAACTGAGTCTGGATCTGGCGCTCTGAAAGGTGGACCTGGCGCTCTGGACCTAAGATCGGGCATGCGGACCTGCTGAGTGTTGATCGAATTCTGGACAGTGCGTATCGTTGGAAGTTGCACTACTTTGCCTTGCGAGTGATATGTGGCGGGCCATCCACTGTCTAGGAAACCATGATGCGGGGAAGCAAAGAACCACATCGCTGGTATGAGCTTTTTTTTTCTTTTCTTTTTCCACTTTTAGAGTTCAGCCTGTGTAGCTGCGGCCCCTTTGTCCATTAGGAGGGGATGACCCTGGGACGGCGCAGAGGTAACGAGCCACCCGGAGCAGCTTCCGTCTACGCGAGGGCTGTATTTAGGTCCGTTCTTCATGGCTTGCAGCTAGCAAACTGGTGACGTGGGGACAGAGCTGGAGGGGATGGGGATGGGGACGATTGACAATTCTTCATGATGCAGATGGCGATGTGGAGTTTGCAGGAAGCTTATTGTTTGGAAATCCATAGAAGCCCCAGAGGCTGGTTTGCTTGGTTCTGTGCGTTTTCTTCCTGTTCTCGAACGTCGTAGATAGCTTGTAATGAGTTGGAGGCCGACCGGGGGATTAGACCTGGTTAGGTATACGGTGAATATCGTCCGACGTCTTACGAAGCCAAGTAAGGCTTAGAATGAGGCTTTGGTGTTGCCAAGAAGGGTCGGTATAGAGGTTCGGACCGAAGCTGTTGGAGGGCCGGTCCTTCATATAAAGCTTTGATGGAGCCGCGCCCCAGACAAAGGCAGTTTGGCTAGGGTTGGCTCAGCCGCTGTGACGATGTCGCCCGGCCGCGGGAGAGTGACAGCTGCACTTGACAGTGGCGGAAAAGATTTCCAATCCAATGATAGAATAGCATTCCCCAAGCAAACTTCCGACAATTTGAGGCCCAATGAGGGCGCATAAGGTTGGGGTTGGTAAGATCTGCAACGGTGCGTCTCGCTCCTAGCAGCTGCTGTTGGCTCGGATGCGCGAAACAACGGAGCCCTATGTACTCAGCCGACAAGCGGGCACAGCCGTGCAACGCAAAATCTCTGACGCGAGTGCCGTCCTGGATATGCTATGTCAACTTTCTGAACGCCGTTGTTCATTGAGTTATGACTTTTTTCTCGGTTTTCTCCAGCCGGAGCTATCATCCTCTATAGAGTTCCGCCACCGATCTAGCCACACGACGGGACTAGAAAGCCCCTGCTGCACAAAAATTGAGCTGTCAGTTGATTGCCGAGTGAAGATCACGGAGAATATGGCGTTAGACCTATCCCCCTTTCCGCCGTGAGGACGATCTTCTTTCAGGCAGTATCCATGCTCGATCCTGGCATCTCAGTGGACAAAGACTGGAGATCAAGGCTTAGCCCAGATAGCTCTATGCCACGTTACAGATCAAGTAACTCAAATTCTTGCTGCCGTTAGTACCGATAGCAGTGGAAGCCATGATCAAATGAGTTAGTAGTTCTCCGGGATATGGGGTCCTGAAATTCTATTAAAGCAAGACTCCACGGGGATGGACGTCAGAGGGAACCATGATAAACAGTTTGTGGCCGCCACTCTAGATTCTTTCTTCAAATTGTTTTTGATCCGCATTCTACTTTCGCTCTTGTTGCGCGTTTTCTTGTTGTCAGCTAAGACATTCCAAGACAAAGTATCCTGTCTTCCGGCATAGAGCGGCATAGAGCGGTTGCTTCTTTTGAACCATCTTTTCTCAACGCAGTGAGCACTGAGACATAAATCCTACTGCATGTTAGTTCCCCGTCAGATCAGGACGAAACAGTCACCTACCCGACATATGGACGTCAGAGGTCTTACCTGAGAGACCCAGAGACATCCTTCCCGAGCTTCAGATTCCATCCTGGTCCCTCTCGCGTCTGTTTCAGATAGCCGGACATCCCATTGCTTCCTGGAGATTATCCGACACGCGCTCGCCACGGAGCTCCCTGATATTAAGCGGGGGATCGCGTGGTGGGTTCCCTTGGTAAGTCAACAGCTGCATCAAAGACCCCTCCATCCAGACATTGTGGTGCTGACTGGGACCATAAGTCCTGCAGGTGCCCTGGTACGCCCAACAAGGTGCATAATCCAGCAACAAGATCTGATGCACTCGCTTCATTCATCTTCAATACCGGTTAGAGGCCACAAGAGCGGTGTGGTTGATATCGTAGGCTGCTGGCCTGACATTAAAGCAATGTTCCGCGTCCTTGCTGGACCTGATAGCTGGAGAAAGGACATGCTTACCGAGTGCAACCTTCTTTCCACTTCGTGTTTAGCCATCCTCCCCGACAGCTGCGCCCCCATGTCATCCTTATCTTTTGATACAACATCAACCCTTAGCCAACGCCCAGAAACCACTATGGAGTGCGACCAGCTTCAAGTAGGTGAGCACGTGGGGGCAGACGAACGATGCCTGATCACGTCCAATGGAGTACCAAACGGCGATCTCTCGGGACAAGAAGTCCAGACCGGCAGAGAACAATATAGCCATTGGCATGCGAGCTTCCCAATAGTCGAGCCCGCGAAAACTGATCGACCAACATCGCAGAGCTCATCTCACTGGAGACCTCAAAAGATAGACCATCCCAGCCCTGGGAATCCATTCGCACTCGAAGAATTTAGCCCCAACAATGCCAGCGTCCCAACCCCAGACCTGGTCCACCCTATTCCGAGACATAGTCCGTACACCGTGACGAGTTACTTCGCCTCCGAGAATGTACCAGAGACTCTATCAAGCTTTGGGCAAACGGAAAGTCCGCTATCCGAAGACAGAAAGTGTCTGGTGCGAGGATCAGACCGGACAAGTGATGACTTGGTCTACTTCTGCCTTCTCCAAGAAAGACAGTCACCTGGTACGAACTCTGTGACCACCATGTCCGATCAGTATACGCCTATAACCAACGACGGTACCTTCAACAACCTTCCACTGTCCCCTTGGCCCTCAGTCAAGGCTCAAATGCCCTGTGACACGCAACGGTCCAATGCCGCTCAGTGCAGGGGAGAAGCATTGTGGAATGATGCGCGGTTGCTTGGGGATATAGATCAGCAGCAAGGTCACCTCGACCAATTCCCCGTGACCAGCGACGTGATCCATGGTTTACCTAGCCTGGGGCCCAATGTCGAAACATACGTCCAGCCCTCGTCACTGCTCGACCCTTACGATTCGACTTGCTCCGATCTGTACTTGAACGGCAGCACCGTCACACAGCAAGACCACAGTCATATCCAATATTCGAACAATACCTTTACATACCAAAACAACCTTCGACCGGACGATGCGACAGACTCGTTCTTCCCCGCTGGGCGTTTCTCCTATCAACCAAGCCACGTCGGCCGCATGGCTCCTTGGACTAGCGATGCCAGAAATGCTCTCCTGATAGAATATAAGCGCCGCGGACTGTCGTACAAGGACATCAAGAGGATTGGTGGATTCAAAGAGGCCGAATCAACCCTTCGTGGCAGGTTCCGGACGTTGACAAAGTCGAAAGAGCAACGTGTCCGAAAGCCTCAATGGCATGAGAATGATGTAAGTCTCTGGCGGTGTCGCGGGATTGGAAGCCATTGCTAATTAAACAAAGGTGAGACTTCTATGCGAAGCGGTCAACATACACACGGACAACGGCAGGATCAGTCCCTACTCAAGGCGCCCAATCCCACCGGCCAAGATACCTTGGAAAAAGGTTGCCCAGTATATTTGGGATCACGGAGGATCGTACCATTTCGGAAACTCCACATGTAAGAAGAAGTGGTGTGAGGTGCAAGATCTTTAAGGTGGTCACCAAGCAATGGAAATTGGCTATACCTTGCTGTCACATTTGTGCGGAGTAATGGGTCCAGATATGAATGCATGCTGTAGATAGATACCTAGTAGCGCAAGTTACATAATATGAACGTTTGATGGATGCAACATACCTTGAACGGGAATAAGTGAGCCTGGAATCCTCTCGGTTAATCGCTCAAGAATACAAATTTTACGCCCAGATAGAACAGAGAGCGTCTTGGAGATGACGTCTTGAAAAGCTCACAGGAAAGAACCAAAGTTGCAGCCCGAAAGCTATGCCTCGTGATGCCTAACTATATACAAGGGAAAGTGCTATCTACAAACCGTGCCTGCCTCCAAACGTCGGTAAAACGTATTCGGAGACGTCGAAATCTTTGGGACACTTGTTCCCATGATCATAACAGAGAGACCTCTTTTAGGTCTGGATGAGGGTATCCAATGGAGGCAAGAACTTTCATGAGAGCATCAGGGCTGCGTCGCAACTCATTCCATTCGGCCTCGGCCTTCACCATCATTGTACCAGCGAGAAGAGTGCCATTGAGTTCCACGACACCCGCTTGGTCAATATCTTTGCGCGCCACGTCATCGACGGAGACAACGGCACTCACATTCTTCCTCGGGCATATCATCATCGTCGAGTCCGTCATTGCGAGGTTGTAACTGAAAGCCGCAGGTCCTGTATCTGACCGCACTTGACTCCGGGGAACTCCTGCAGCCACCGCAGCAGCCTTGTACAGAGACAGATATGTTTCGTGCAGTTTCTCAGCAGATGCATCTGAAGATAAAGGAAGGGCGAAATTGGCGAGGGGCATCCCGGCAACCCGGCGGAATTCAGTTTCTGAAGAGGCCGGTTGTGATGGAACTGTGTCGATAAGTGGCCTCCACGTACCGGTCTCGTCGTCTTGCGCCATTGCCTCCACGGGGAGAAATTGTAAGTGCCTATGCGGCTGGCTCGCCCCACTTTCATAGCCGGAGTTGAAGAACGCAAATAGCCTCTTTGGCCCTATACTGCCTGATTCGTTCCCATCGTTCCACGCTTTAATGCAAGCGTACGCTGCCGCCAAATCCTCCTTCTCTAGTATATCGGTCTGCTCTCGCCAGGCAGTCGTTGCGAGAATGAAGTGGTTCGGAATGACGGGGAATTTATTAAGGACGAGAAAGTGCGTCGGGCTTTCCTTCGGAAAGTGTGCGATGACAAGCTCCGGGGATGGGTTCTCAAAGGGATCGAATCTCTTCTTCGTGCTTCCTTCATCCGATTTCGGCTTTCCCGTCGGTTTGTTTGCCAGAGCAGGGCAGTATCTAAGTTGGTACTGATAAAGTCATCGTATCAGTGAATGATAACAATCAATGGTAGAATAGCCGTCATATGGCGGAGCTTACGGGGACGCCACCGGGACGCAGGATTTCAAGATGTGTCTGGGAGAAGATCAGGTGGCCGGCATCTTTGGCAGCTGTGAAGCGTTTAGCTACGAGAGCGGGCAAGCTCTCGGTGAGACCAAGCTGCATCATATGAAATTGTTGTTTGAATTTCGGAGGAGAGCGACGGGGAGGACAGTTGGAGAAGGAAGACCGAATAATAGCTGGGTGGCTGTCGGAGAACACATGCGGGGAGGTGGGGCCGGAGAGCTCTAGCAGCCAGAGACCATCATTGTCATTACCACCATCAAAGCAGCCTGTTTGACAGTAAACAAAAGGCCGGACCAAGAGAGCAATGGGACTCTCAATCCCTTTTGCAAAAAGTGGTCCATATCTGGCGTACGCAACCTCGCCATCGCAGCGGTTTGCCCGCCTTCCGTTCCTACAACACCCATACCTATACACCCTAAGAACAAAACACACAATCCACTGCTACCTCAACCAAGTCTACGGCGATGGATCATCTAAGAAGCATATACACCAGCCTTAATCTTACCCGCGCTGAGCCCTGGAGCCCGGCCTTCTACAACTTCACCATAGACCGAACATCGCTCCTCTCCGGCGCCGAAAGCTACTATAGAAACTGGTCTGGATGGCAGCGGATCGATTTTTCCCATTGGAATAACTTCCCTTGGTGGGAGAAACTCTTCTCTTGGGGCAGTTTCTTCCATCGCGACTCCTCTTGCTGGAGTGATGTCTTGCAGTGTTTCAAATCCTTCTGTACGCTCCTTATCTTGCCTTACTAACTTGCAAGTAGAAATCATCTGCTAACAGTTACCAAATCTTCAGCATGTAAATGGAATTGGAAGCCTTTTGCCACATGGTGGACAACATTCGGCGGTACTCTATACAGCATACTTAACCTGGGCTTTGGATCACTGGGTATCACCGCAGGTACTTATTCATCTCACCTAGTCCTTATACACCTCCTCTTAGGCATTATCCTGGATATGCGAGAAGGATTGAACAAGCAGTTACTGACGCGGGGTCTTACAGGGTCATTCGCTGCGATGTTCCAGTCATTCATGTACGGCGGCTCCACTCCGGCGGGCGGAATATTCGCTATGTTAACGAGCATGGGGATGCTAGGAACACTGTTCCAAAACGCAGCTCTCTGGGCTGGAGGGTTTGCAACTGCCGTTACGGGGTTCGCGACTTGGTTTGGAGAATGGTACGCAAAGGCCTCTGAGAGGAGTCTGGGGAGGTCAACCGTGGGATAGGACGTCAGAACGTTTCCACCCGAACTGGATTCTAGGTAGCTAGCTATGGCTATATCTTTTCAAGGATGTCATTCTAATAGACGCGTACTTCGCATACCTTGGCCAGCACATGTACCCTATCCACATCGACACATGTGGCACTTCTTAGTCTTAAGCTCATAACCTAAACCCTAAAATCATCCACACCAAAAGAGCCAATTCAAACCAACGCAACTGCAGTTTCAGCCCGTCCCGATTACGGATCCGGCAAGCTCCCAATAATTCCCCAAGTAAAGAGCTCCGAGATTTCATCCTTGTGCTTATACCCAGTCCGCCTGATCTCGTCCGCAAAGAGTTCCCTGACCCCAATGCCCTCAATCCAACCGCTCATATTTACCGTCTCCGCATGCGAGCGCATCGCCATCTCCACAATTGGCCGAGGATCTTTGCACTGGTGAATCCTGCCCTCCCCTGTAACAGTCCAGAAGGCCTTTCCGTCCTCCATCTTCTTAAAAGGCGGCTCAATAGTGTCGTCTGCGTGGCACATTATGGCCTACCCGTCCATAATGTATAGAGATTAGTAACAGCGCTTGTGCCAGTCCAGGCCTAACCAACTCACCCCTGCGCAAGGAAAAGAAATGGAAGAGAAGGCAAGGGGGAAGGACCAACCTGCGCAATATACTCAAAGCAATGGCTCATATGCTTAAGGGACGCACTACGGCTGGAACTCTGGTTCTCGGGGACATTGTTGTTTTCGGGGAAGATCTTGCGCCGGATTGTAATGAGGCAGTGGAGCTGGTGCAGCATGCCAATGACATGATTCACGCCTACAGGCTCCGGCTCGCCCGGGGTCTCGGGGAGATTATCAAACTTCGAGCCCTCCAGGCTCTGCTGCGTGACTCTGATCCCCCCTGCTGCGTTGGGCGGCGAGATCATCCCTTCCCAGGTGTTCGGGTACTTGTCGGAGATTGTGGTCGCTAGGAGTTGAGGCGCTTTCTTGTATGCTCGTAAGTGCGTGCCGTCGTAGCGGGCTGTGTTGAGGACGGAGGGCCTGGACTGGGGGTCCTGGATATGAATGCTGCCCGTGGTGCTGTCGAGGTGGATTGGGGGGTAGGTGCAAGAGCAGGTTGTCGAGGAGGCGGCATCAGATAGGATGCGGGAAGGCCCAATTATGAGGATTAGCAGGGTCAGGACGAGAAGGGTTGTGACTGTGAGGACAGTGATATGGACGGTTGGGTTTGCGGCGCCTGGGTTGTTGGAGTGGAGGCCCATCATGGCTGGAACTTGGCCTGACTCTGAGTCGTTGGTGACAGGTTGCGGCGTTATTTTCTGGTGGGAGCAGATGGCTGATGGTTCATGGTTGGGAGATTGAGTGTTGGAAAGACTGTGCTCTGTCTGTACTCATCAGGAGCTGTTAGTACATTATAAGGAGTTATCAATGCAGGCTTCAGAGAAGCCTGGCTGTGTTAGTGGATAAAGAGGAGCTTGTGTCAATAGTTATTGATTGAATAGAGATCTACTCACATCAACTGGTCCACGGGTAAATCTTATTGATCCCGGATTGGGAACAAAGACTCGGGCCGGGTTGCTGGCTGGTCCAGTGCTGGCTACGCTGTGCCACAAAGAGCTACCGAGCTGGAGAAAATGGTCTCATATCATAGTTGATTAAAGGAATATAGAATCATATAACATCAAGAGGAAGAAGATATAATCGAGGTCCAGCCTTCATATAAGTACATGTCTTTTTTATCAATAAAACAATCGACGCAGTGGTATCAATCAACTTATCCAGAATGCCGCTATCATCATGCTATGCAAGAGAACAAAAAGCAAAGAATCAGGCTTCAAGATCAAGCCATTAATTCGTCAATATCCACGACTTCTCCCTCGTGGTGCTGGGAGAAGCCAGGATGCGGCATCGCCGATTGTCCGATCAGCTGTCCGCCATGCCCGTCAAACCAAGCCCCTCGTTCCTCCTCAGTGGCATTGAGGATCCCGTTGGCGCGCTTTAGTGTCTCGACATCTAGGTCGGTGATATAGGCGTCGCGGTTTGTACCGTCACCTGCACCGCCGGGGAGCTTAACCCGAACCTCGAACTCATTGTTGAGCAACATTTCGTCCTTCCAAAGACGGCGCTGGCCATCGAAGACGCAGAGGACGCGCTTCTTCATGTTGATGTTGCGACTGGGGCAGCCCCAGGATTGAGGGTAATTGTCGCGGTTGTTGCGTCGCTTTGACGCGGTGAGGCGGGATTTGTTGTTGTTTGATGAAGGCTTGCTGATGACGTTGTTGCTACCAAGGATTACGCGGGAATTCTTGCCTGTTTTGGCAGACTTCGCTGGTCGTCGGTCGTCAAAGTCATCATCGTCGTCGTCATTTTCTTCGTCGTACTCAACGGAGCCGGCCGTGTCAAGTAGTCTGTGCTTTTCCATCGTCTTCTGGACCTCCTCATCCGTTTCAACTTCCGCAAGCCGTTGCTGATTGATCGCCTCGCTGGGCTCTTCCTGCTGCACCACGCGAAGAACACAGTCGTCGAGATGCTCATAGAAATCTTGTGCGTTGCTAAACGTGCCTGAGCAAGTTGAGCACTTGCCCGTCGCATCCTGGCAGTAGTCTGAGACGCTCTTGTTGGAGGAGGCAGTCGGGCTCTTCTTGCGGCAATTTGGCGGCGTTTGCTCCACTCCGTGGACGGAGGTTAGGTGACGCTTGAAGACATCGGCCCTGTTGAAGCTCTTCTCCGCGGGTGAGCCAGAGCCAGGGCAGAAGCCGCAGACCATCGTGCCTTTATAATGCGTAAGAGTGTGGCGGTTCTTGTCGTATTTACGGGCAAAGCCCTTGATGTGGTATTCGCAGGTCACAATCGGACACTTTTCTGGTCGTTCCGATTGATGGGTGAGCATGTGGGCTTTCAGGTCTTTAAAGACACGCCCGCAGTCGGGATGAGGGCACCGGCCCTTCTCCTTGACATCGTCATCGAATTCAATGCCGCTGGCAGCGGGGCTAGGTTGTGAAGGACGAGAGTGGATGGATGAAATTGATGACCGGCGATCATATACTGAGGCAGGACGAGAGTGAGGACCAGAGGGGATCGGCGATGGAGGGGCGAGATTGGATTGTTGCGAGTACGATTGCTTTAACATGAAGTTTTCGGCATAGTGAAACTGAGAGGGCTCTGGCGACTGAGGGTAGAAGCCAGTGGGGCCCATGGTGTAGTCTGGCTGTTCAGGATATGACATGGCAGGCGGAGTAAGAGTGAGTTGCGGTTGCTGCATAGGCTGGATGAGAGAGGGGTCTGTCAAGGTCAGATCAACTCCATCATAGTGATTAGAAAGTCACCTACCAACAAAACTATCTGACTTTTTCTGGTAGAAAGTCTCCGAGTCAAAGGGATTTACCATGCCCTCGTTGGGGAACAGGTCTCCCATGGCTGCAGCAGGATGGGTCAAGCCATTGTTTGTGTCAACCCAGTCCTCCTGGAAGGTGTGCGCATTTGCCGAGTAAGGCGAGCCCATGGCTGATGAGGAAGCGCTGGCAATTGAAGGACCCGAAGCTGTCGAGACGCCAGACAGAAAACCCTCTGCAGTGGTGACCGGGAAATTTGATTTCCCCATCTCGGTATACGAATCGCCGAACCCGGGGTTTTGGAAGGAAGCCTGGGTGAAGTCGTGGCCATATACACCAAGATTATCCACGAAGCTGAAGGAGTCGACCAGGGCAGGGTCGATGGAGTAGTCTTGGAAGTATGGGCCCTGATGTTGTCTTGAAGGCTCTAGTGCCATCATTTTGGCGGTTTTGGATTGCGGAGGAAATAAAAGGAAGTCGGCGGAAGTCTGCTCGTTTTGCATAGCCGGACTGAGGCCGGAAAGCGGGTTTGCGAGGCACTATTGCGCACTATATGTACTAGATCTGTAGATTGCACGTCAGATACGAGATTCCAGACAAGAGCACCGATTGAGTTCAATAACGTGGCGGGCCGCTCGGGGCAAATCCAACCTACCGACGAGATCGCGTTGCGGTATAAAATTGACAGTTGCTCACTGTAATAGTCGGAGGGAAAGCCGCTGCGCGATTGGAGGTGCGACAGGTTCGTGTTGTATAGATGCGTGACTGGTCTTTGTAGTCGACGACTGAGGGCCAATACAGCAGCGATAGATGAGGATGCTGACGGCAGACAGGACAGACGCCTGATGTTATATAAGACAGAGAGGAGGTGAGGTCAAGAGGGGGATGGGGAGAATAAGAAGAAAAGAAGGGGGCCAGAGGCAGGATGAGGGGAGCAAAAGCATTGTTAAATGCTCTCTGATTGCTGGCCCTACGGGCAGAGCACCATCTGGACTTGCAGTGGATCGGACTGGGAATAGATTGGCCAACGAGAGCAACAGAGCCCAGGGACAGACTGGGGGTGGCCGATGCCGATGATGATGTTGCTGATGATATTGATGGATGGGGTCGTGGAGGGGCGTGTGAGGAACTAAGAGAAAGTAAAAATAATAAAATAAAAATAATCATATGTACATACCAGAAAAATAATAAAATAAATTAAACCGGACTGGATAATAACAGGGGTCCCATTATTCTGTTAGCAGCTTACTAGCCGTATTGGCCTGTACCGCTAGACCAGGCATGCAGTCCGTTGCACCGCCAGACTGCGATCTCCAGTCCTCGCTGCTCCTCCGATTTGATTGCGATCGCAGCGGTGACAGAGGCGAAGAACATGGACTGTGCGACATTTTGAGGTGCGAAGATATTTTTTTTGCGAAGATCTCAGAGAAACTACGTAACGCCCAGTCAGAGAGCGACATCCAGTATCAATATCGACGATCAGTCGAGTTCTGTCCACCTCGATCCACAGCCATCGCCCAATGAGTCCGTGTCCCGAAACTTCCACAGATCTGGTGGCAGATACTGGTCGTCTAGCAAAAATAAAGTGATGATAAAGCAACTTGGATAACGGCATCTTCAGATACACAAAGGATGAAAAAGAAATTGTCTTGCGCCGACACTGCGGGTTCCCCGGCCACCCCTGTCGCTGCTCGCTACTCTTACCTCATTACGGCCTGGCCAGTTTCACGACTGGAGTCTGCAGCAGTCTAAATGAGTTACTGAAGGGCGAGCCGCTTGCCATGCCTCAGATCGCGAAGCGATATAAATTAGCATGCCAGTTAACTCGCTGGTGGAATACGTTGAGTGCAGACGCTCCCCGGGGACGCCGTCATCTGTATGCACAGGCCGGGATCTGACCCACAAGTGTCATCGGCAAGTCCGTGATGCTGGAATCGTCGTCAAGCCTCCTCCCAAACTCGGCATCGTGCCATCACCAATTGTGCTTTGACAGTTATCGTCTTCGGCTCCGCTCGCTGACTGCTACGATCATATCCCCATGATAAGATGGTGGCAAATTTCCCCTCAAGTCTCAGGAGTCAGGACTGGGCAAGCGTTTCCGGGAGGACGGCTTTGCTCCGCTAGTACGTGAATCAGAAGGTTAGAAGTTAGAACAGAGTGGACACGAAGCCTAGACTAGAGAGAAGAGAGTGCAGTGATCGCCAGGCGACTCACCTCTCACGTCCGGCCTGGATGGTTTAGACTTGGATGTTTATTTGAGACGACTGTGCTTGGCAGTCAGGCAGGATCTCTCTTGACCCGTCAATCTGGTTCTACCAAATCCTCTCTTTCCAAAGCCGTACACTGCACCACCCGATGTGACTTGCGGGCAGCTGTACGACAATGTTGAGCGCATCGCCAATTCACTGTCGGGGTCGTATCCGCCGAATCCGATTCCCCGACAGTCGAAATCTCCAATCGTGGAAGATGTCGCGATGATCCATATGGCCCATGCCGTGGCCCATGGACATCTTGACGATCTTAGTTCCAAGGTTCAGCTCCACCACACCCCTTTCTGAGGAACGTGCATTGTGATTTCCCGGCATGATTGGCCCCAAGCAAATGAAGAGTCACCCCGCTAGTAGCCGAGCTCTCCAATGAGACTCCAAGCTCGGTCCCGGACGGGATTTCTCTTGGGCAAACACTTTCCCCATTGCGGACGAACTGGACTTGTCTCGAACCACTCAGCCATCTAGAGCCGCATTTCTCCCAGGCGTGATCAATTTAGCGTCTTGAGAATTCAATAGTGCGGTCCTATCTCAAATGTCAGAAGCTCAAATGACAGGAGTGACGTGTCAATGGAAAATACTTCCATGCCATGTGAAGCATATGGAGTAATGCTCCCGACAGGCACATCTACACGATAAACGTCGCTTAAAGAATGGGATTGACCATGTTCCGACAACTTGAAGGCCCATTATTTACTCCGTACTCCGTAACATCGATACAGAGTAGATTACTGCAACTTGGGCTCGATGTGGGGCACTTGTGGCTCATGCAAGGCTGAGACTTGAGAGTTGAGACCGGCGATGCTCTGAGTTGGTCTGGGAGAGAGCCAGCGACCTGCACTGTATGACTGGCAAGCAAGATAGAATGAACCAACGCCCAAGCGAGTCAGACGCTATGGCATCAAGAAGCACTGCAACGCTGACAGACCCCTTGAGGTGGTGACTGAGGCTTGAAACACGTTGACGCCATACCTACGGTCGGAGAAGCTCAGAAGACGAGAAGATGATGCAAGCACGGATGCAGGATCCCTGGATGTCCACAAGGTGCAGATTACCAGCACCCACAGTCGTTGCAGCTAGGTGTACGCCGGAACGCAGCGAAATGGCGGAGGTGTCGGTGTGGGATGCTGCCGGGGACCAGTTTAGGCGCCACATTGCCGACTGAGCCACATGCCGGGAACCTATCGCAGAGCAGCCCGCGGATCTTCCCGTGCTGCCATTGGAAGGCCCGTGTGGAAGTGGGGCGCTCGGGGCGCAGTCTTTCCATTTTTACACCGCTCCCACTTGGTCCGTCCCCGACTTTTCGTCTCTCGCGATACAATACAGAGTACACTGACAGTCACATGAATCCATGATGGTGCAGGTGCCCGATGATTCATCCTGCATCTCTGTCTATTTGCACTCCCAAAATCGCGTCATTTCCAGTCGTTCGAGAAACGTTCCCTGCCAAGCCGGTCAGGAACCGGGGTTCTGTCTCTCTGACCGACGTTTCCACTCAGATTGCTGGAGGAAACCTTAATTGTGCCTCTGGCTTTGCGGTGGGAAAACCACGTTTCTGACCGAGCCTCCATCTTCCCTGCCCTCCATATCCTCGGAATTATTTTTCGCGAGCAAAGCGAGCTAACCGATCTCCTCCACTTGCATAACACTCAGCCTTATGGGTTAATCATGGACTATAAAGGCTATAACATATCACCCCGGCGTCATTATTTCCGTCTTTCACGCGGTGCAGCACAGATCCTGGCACCAAGAGACTACAACGCCAACACCTGACGCTGGTCGGCGAGCATGTGCTCATGGGGAGACCCCAACATTCCATTCCT